TAACCTAACCTAACCTAACCTAACCTAACCTAACCTAACCTAACCTAACCTAACCTAACCTAACCTAACCTAACCTAACCTAACCTAACCTAACCTAACCTAACCTAACCTAACCTAACCTAACCCTAACCTAAGTGTCCGACACAGTCGGACTGTGTCCGGATTGTGTCCGACACAGTCGGACTGTGTGGCGCGACAATCAACGGACTGTGTGCGGCACGGCCGGACTGTGTGGCGCAGATTCACCGCCAAATCTCGGACTGTCACCAAGAATCCGGACTGTGTGGCGCTAAACCAGCGCCAAAATCCGGACTGTGTGCGGCCTCGGCCGGACTGTGTGGCGCAACAGAGAGACTGTGCACAGTGTGACAACAGTGTGATGACTGTGGGTCCGCAATCTCCCGACTGTGTGCCGCCCTTTCCCGATGCTGACTAAACTGTGTCTCCCGGTTGCAGAATACCCTCAACATCACAAACAATTACATATCTCTGGATCCCCTCATCCAAATAATAAAATTAGGGCATAATGTGAAAGTTAGTGTATGTAGGAGCATTTTATTAGTTTTGCAATGGAAATCCAAGGACAATTGTGAACTGGAGACTTGGGTTTTTGAGGTTTTCCTTCAATTCTGTATTTTGCCTGTAACATCTTCAGTACTCCATGTCTACTAATGAAAATATTAGGGTACCATGACAAACCTAACCTTAAGCCTATTGAATCAGACACAATTGTGTGCAACTTCGGATTTGGCTCCCAAAACCCAGACTGTGTAAAGCACAGTCTGGTTTTAGGGGGTAGACTGTTTAAATCCATATCTATTGAACCCCTCATTCAATCTCACTGCTTCTGGGTCTCAAAGTTGAAGCAGGGTATGAAGAACACAGAAATTATTTTTTTGTATTTATAGTTGCATTTAATTGGCAACACAGTAGTTTCGGATATCGGTGGACTCAAAAGTGTCGGTAATACTACTAGCCGCAGCGAGGCTCGTCATGTCAGCCACGTATCAAGACTCAGCCAAGCTGATACGCGGCTGACATGACGAGCCTCTCCAGCCGCAGCGAGGCTCGTCATGTCAGCCACGTATCGGGACTCATCCCTGTCAATACGCGGCTGACATGACGAGCCTCTCCAGCCGCAGTGAGGCTCGTCATGTCAGCCACGTATCAGGACTCAGCCCTGCCAATACACGGCTGACATGACGAGCCTCTCCAGCCGCGGACAGGCTCGTCATGTCAGCCGTGTATATTGGCATGGGTGGCTTCTTCACCTCTTAATGGCCTCTTTAGCCCTGCCATACCCCTGTCCTACCCTGAACCTTCTAGCTTTTCAGGTTAGAATTTAATTGGCAACATAGTAGTTTCGGATATCGGTGGACTCAAAAGTGTCGGTAATACTACTAGTTTGAAAGGAAATGTATGTAGGAGCATTTTATTAGTTTTGCAATGGAAATCCAAGGACAATTGTGGACTGGAGACTCGGTTTTTTGAGCTTTTCCCTCAATTCTGTATTTTGCCTGTAACATCTTCAGTACTCCATGTCTACTAATGAAAATATTAGGGTACCATGACAAATACATTTTAAGCCTATTGAATCAGACAGAATTGTGTGCAACCTCGGATTTGGCTCCCAAAACCCAGACTGTGCTTCACACAGTCTGGTTTTAGGGGGTAGACTGTTTAAATCCATATCTATTGAGCCCCTGATTCAATCTTGCTGCTTCTGGGTCTCAAAGTTGAAGCAGGGTATGAAGATTACAGAAAGGATTTTTTCATATTTATATTTGCATTTAATTGGCAACACAGTAGTTTCGGATATCGGTGGACTCAAAAGTGTCGGTAATACTACTAGGCGCTCGTAGCGGCCGTAGCTGGCCTGGATGTTGGCAGGGCTTTTTGGGGCATGTGCGGCGGCGGCGGCGGCGCTAGCGTGGATGACCAAAGCGGTCTGTAGAACGGAAAGAACTGTGGGAGACTCACTCTGTGTTGGTGTCGTTGGCAACATCGGCGCCGGAGTAGTACCACTGGACCTTGGCCCAGACCTACGGTTGCTCGCGTCACGGCGAGGACGCGTCAGACGCATGGTGAACACACACACACACACACACACACACATACACACAGAGGGGCAGCAGCACGGGGGCGGGGCGGGGCGGGGCGGGTGCTTACCCCAGGGTCATCCACGGGGCGCGTGAGCGGCCGGCATCGTGCGAACTGGAGGATCCGGCCGACCCAGAGCTCGTGGGCGAAGTAGGAGGATGTCGGGAACCTAACCTAACTTTCCCATGCTGCCATCGCAAGCTGCCTTGCGCTCACTCATTTCGGTGCTTCTGGTGATAGCGGATGAGACCGGACGTCCGCACGCGATAGTTGTCAGCTGGCAGCAAACGGGAAGGCCCGACAGCGGATGCAGTGCTGCAAAGAAAATAACACACCGAGCTGGTGTGACCCTTAATGTCCGCAGGCTTATCCAGCGGTGCCAAAATATTCTTTGTGAGTATCTTGCCAAGTTCGACACCCATCGGATCTGTTGCGCCAGTTCAGCAAACGCGGATTTATGCACCCACACCAGGGACGCACGCACCAAATATGTTGATGCCCGGATGAGGCCCTGCGTAAAGATCTTGTGTTCGTAGAGCGCAATGAATGAGCCGAGCGTTGCGGGCGTGAACAGCGGGAAGAAGAGAGTGTTGCTCGGCCAGTTGCCCATGAAGAGCTTTCTCTTCAACACTAACCGTTCTTCAGTACCGCCGAAACAACACGCGGACACTACCGAAGAGGGATTGGGAGAGGGGACAGAGGGGGTGCGCACCTGGTGTACTTGCTCCTCAGTTTTGCCAAGCGCGAGCGCTTTGGGCGGCGCGAAGTAGTTGCTGAGCAGGATGCGGTGGTGAAGCGAGCCACAAAGCGGATTGTGTGACGTCGCGGGAGTGAGAAAGTCCATCGGGACGAGCTTTCTGCCCTGGTACAGCAGCTGGCAGAATGCTGGCCGTTTATGCCCTCTACACTCCAGACAATTGGCTGTGGCATGCGCAGTGCAGTCAGCCTTGACAGCAGAGAGTGGGTTGGAGAGAGAATATGCTCGCCGGTCTGATAGTCAACTCGCTTGCCGCTCTTGGTGATGAGTTGCCGTTAGAATCCATGTAACCTTGATGCAGGTAGTCCTTGAGCCCTTACATGTACTGGTTGCAAGGAAGTAGCGCGTGCAGGCACAGAGAGCCGGAGAGGTCTGGTGATAAGGAACGGAGCGATCAGGATTCAGCGGAGTAAGAGGAAGGAGGAGGGGAGACTTTAGTGCCTGGGGAAGAAACGTACATGCGTAGAGTGGAGAGCAGAGACTTCGAGAGAGGGGCAGCAAGGAGGAGAACGAGAGGCACGCACCGTTGTACCACTCTGCGTGCTCATCGAGTGCACGTCCGTCGTGGACGTCGCCGTCGTCTGTGCTCGTCTCCTTTACCGTTGCGGCCGCTGCCATTCATTCCTCCACTGCCAGCCAGATAGGTAAGGTCGAGGGCGTGACAATGGACAAATGAGGGGCTGAGGGCGTGAAGGCCGAGGGCTGAAAGGGTTGGGAGAACGAAGGGAAGAAGGGTCGAGTATGTTCGAGGTCGAGTGTGCGCGAGGTATGTTGTGCGCGGGGTTGAGGGGCCAAAAGGAGAAAAGGATGTGAGGAAGTGAGGACAAGGGGTTCAGCATGTGCAGCATTGAGCGCGGGTGCGCTCTCGGCGATAACCCAGAACGAGGGAGGACTAGACGAGGAGTCAACAATAGGTCGAGGGCTCGAGCATGCGTGCATGGGCTTGACGAGACGCACGAGTGCGGATGTAGGTCGCAGGCGAAGACGGGTGCGTGGGCCCAAGGGGTTGATGCAGTCGAAGGCACTCGGTGGCGAGCGAGCGTGGACTAGAGGAGACAGGTGTGGGATCGAGGGGACGCGCGGGCGGTTGTGGGTCGCAGGCGAAGGCAGGTTCCTGTCGTCGAGGGGTCGTACGTGCACGCATCAGAGGCGGGATTGTCTAACTAGGAGGTCAAGTGAGCGAGCAGCCATAACGACAAGGAGGCTGCAGAGGTTGCGGGGCACATGTTGAGCAAAGGGCGGGTGGAAAGGGCGAGAGCGAGAGGTACGAACCTTGGTAACGCTCAGCCTTCCTCTGCCTAGCTCATTTCTCCGCCACCAGCTGCTCCTTGACCTCCTCATCGACGCGCTGAAGCGCGTATGGCTTAATATTTGTGATCCTCTGTGTGCGGAAGCGAGGGCACGTGGAGGGACGGCGACAGTGTGAGGACGCCAACTGTAGTTGGACTGCGGGGTCTCAGTGGTGACGCAGGTCGAGGGAGGGAGAACGAGGGCGTAACCTTGCGTGGTGTCGAGGGGACGCGCGTGAGCGCTTGGGCATGAGGGCACGAGCGTGAACTTTGACGGCCCAGGAGGTCGAGGGGCACTGGATGGACGCGGGCGTGGGCTCGAGGACATGACCATGGGCTCGAAGGGAAGAGGATACGCGTGCTAAAGGATTTGGATCCCAGGTGGTGCGTGCGCTGAAGGGGACGAATATGCGCGGGCAAAATTGGGGGCAGAATCGCAGCTTCATCGGGTTGAGCGGACAGGCGGGCGGAATAGTTGCGAGGACACTGAGTGGTGGGCGTGCTTGTGTTCACAGATATGAGTGTGCGTATGTGGGGTCGAAGGGATGCACGGCCGGAAACGTGGAGTGCGTGGGCTGAATGGACGAGTGTCGAGGGGAGACAGGTCGGCGGTGGGGCGGGCGGAAAGGATGAGGTTAGGATATACACGTGTGCAGGGAAGGACTGGCGCCACGAGGGACGACAACGCACCTTCATGACGCTCGTCCTGCTCAGCGAGCGTGCATCTCCCCATAAATTTCCTCGTCCTCCACGCCCATCCATGTTCCCAGCCCGTCTCTCAGCCGCCGCCGCCGCCGCCGCCGGTCCTCTTCTTCCTACGCTACCAGCCAGTTAGGTTAGGTCGAGGATGGGACTGTTGACGAATGTGAGATCGAGTGTGCGCAAACTCGAGAGGACGAGGGCGATGAGGATGAGGGAATGAGGGGTCAAGCGCGCACGGGGTCGAGTGTGCCTGTGGTTTCGGCAACGATCCAGGACGAGGGAGGAGTGGTCGAGGGGCCGTCGAGAGGTTGTGCGTGCACGCGTGCGCGAGCTGGATGAGTCATGCGGAAGCGGATCTGGGTCGAATCTGGGTCGCAGGCGAAGGCGGATGCGTGAGCTCAAGGGATGAAAGGGATCGAGGGCATTCGGTGGCGGGCGGGTATGGGCTAGATGAGTCTAATTTGGGCTTGACGGGACAAGGGGAAGCGCGCGGACGAACAGGGATAGCATGCAAAGGCGGGTGCATGGCGTCGAGGGGTCGCGCGTTCACGCATGGGCACAAAGGCAGAATTGGCTATTGAGGGAATCAAGTGAGCGAACGGGCTTGGCGTCAGAGATCGAGGGCGTCGCAGGGTCGCAGGTCGAACAAGGGGTAGGCAGAAAGGATCAGAGCGGTAGGTACACGCCTTGGTGACTCTCGGCCTCCCTCTCCCTAGTTCATGTCTTTGTTGCTAGCTGTTACTCACCCTCCTCGTCAACAAACTAGAGCGCGTGTGGCATGATGTCTGCTATGCTTTGTGCGCTGGCGCGGAGCGCAAGTGGGGCGGGAGCGGAGGCGCCTGAAGGGACGGCGACGGTAGAGGGACTGTGTAGGGTGGCGGGGTCGCAGCAGTGACGCAAGACGAGGAAGGGTGGACGAGGGGACGACGAAGTGTTGATGCTGCGTGGGATTGAGGGGATGACCGTGCGTGGGATTGACAACGCGAACGGTCGAGAGAGTCCAGGTGACGTGCGAGCTTGGGCTGGAGGCAACAAGCGGAAGGGCAATGAGTGGCGGGTGTGCATAGCGTCGAAAAGATGCACGTGCGCATATGGGCTCGAACGCGGGAGCGTGGACGTCAACGTCAACGGCCTAGGGGTTCGAAGGTACTGGGTAGGCGGCGGGCGTAGTCATGAGAAGATGGGCGTGGGCTCTGGGGCTTGAGGGGACGAGGGGACGTACGCATATAACTTTGGGTCGCAGGCAAATGGATGCGTGTACTGAAGAGAACCGAGCGTGCGCAGGCGGGATCGAGGGTTAGGTTCGACGCTCGAGCGGGTCGAGAGGGCAAGAGTGGCGTCGGGCATGCACAGGATCTCGGCGGTGACACGGTCTGGGATGCCTGGGCGAGTGACCCGAGCGAGGAAACCTTCGACTTGAGCATGGAGATGGTACTCTGCGCAGCAGCCTGTTGAACTTTGAGCGTGCGCGAGAGCTCGAGTGAAGATTTGACCCGGGAGGCGAGGGCATTGAGGCACTCCTGTGACACGGAAGGCATCGAAAGCTTGAATGCAAAAGGTTCTTGTAGGGACGACGACGATCTTCTACTAAAATACCGAGTTGCCTGAGATGTCGTGTTGCTAACAACATAGAGGGCGCCGTGGGACCTTGCCAATCCGACCGACCGAGTTGAAACTTGGAAGGCTGCGAGGTAGGAATCTAAAAAGAGGAAAGGAATGGGTGAGGTCGATGAATGCAGGAGAAAGAGAGAAACGGCACGTCGAAACTTGCAGACAAATGAAACATGGTGGGAGAGCTTGAAGGACAAGAAGTAACATGCCATACCGAGGTTAGCGCACGCGTAAAGTCTCTCATGATATACCCGAGCGGCACAAGTACCTACAGAAAGATCTGAAATCATCGTTAGACAAAGACAAGGACCACAATGGGAATCCTCAACACTGCTTGCTTTCTCAGGGCCTCGGCTGAGGCCCATCGTCCGTTTGCAATGCCGAGGGCGGGAAAGAAGGGACAACGAAAAGTAGAATACAGATACACTTACAGGAGCAGGGGTCTGTCATGGTTATGGTTACAAGTCGTCTCGTGCGCGTAGAGCAGAGTTTGCTCTGGTTTCGCAATTCATCGTTGTGTGGTAATGGCTTAGGGAGAACACCATGTCCGCCGCGACGGTGATGTGCGTCGATCTACACTCATTCGCCAGCTCCTCGTTGGGCAGCTTTCGTGTGCGCCTAGAAACCACAATGAAAGAATAAAATTAAAATTCAACAAGTCGACACGCGTCCATGCAAACACGATCGGAGCACGCGCGACGTAACCTTTGCGCGCATCCAGGACGTCAACACCGCTGCTGATCAACTGCATATGCTCCAGCTGGCTCACGCACGAGAGCACCTCGCGCCACGAGCCCTTGAGGTTATTGCCCTCCATGACTGTGACGTCGAGAAGCATCTGGGCCGCCTCCATGTTCTTTGTCTTTATCTCCCCGAGGTTGTTCAGGAACGTGAACTTTGCGAGCGTCGTCACGAACGCGTTGCGCTCCAGCTCGAGGTCGAAGAAGCACACGATCCGGATCGCATTCCGGAAGCCGTCGAGGCAGAGCTCCACGACATCCAGGTTGTCCGTCTCCTGCAGTGGGCCCGAGATCCCCGCAAGGAACGGGATCCACGCGACCTCGAACATGGGCCAGACGTGTACGAAGTGCGACGCGCTGAAGAACTGCTCGCCACTCCGCGAACCCTTGCACTGGGACTGCATCATCGTCCTGAACAGCGCCTGCATAACCGACGCGTGAGCAAACCACCCCAGCACCGACATCTCGACGCTCGACGCCACCAAGAAGCATGCACCTCGGTCTTGTTCGCCATGCCGTTCGACTGCAGCATATACGCCTCCCTCTGCAAGTCCTGCCCGACCGTGGCGAGCGCGCTCGCCAGCCCCGCACCCGGCGCGAGCGACGCGACCAGGCTCGAGTCCACCTCATCCTTGATCCGGATCCCATTGTTCACGATGTCGTCAAAGATGGCGGACAGCAGCTCCTCGGGGAGATCCGCGCCCTCGTTGATCCCGCGGGTGTTCTTCACGAAGTCTGCGCGCGTCATGCGCTTCTTCACCTGCGGATTGTGCGCATCCGTGTTGAGCAGGATGACCGAGTACGAGATCACGTAGGCGGTGTCTGCAACGGAAACGGGGCCGTGGCGCGTCAGACGCGCGCGCGGATGAGCAGCGCGCGGGACACGCATCGGCGTTCGCGAACGGTGTGTTTGCATTGCCCTCGATGTAGCGCTCGGCGAACTTGAGCATGAACCGATTGATCTTCTGCGCTTCCCCGGGCAGGCGGAACGCCTGCAGGTAGACGTGCAGCGCGTCGACGAAGGGCATGCTCCGCAGGTCGAGCATGTTGACGAACGTGTACATGGTCGCGATGTTCTCCTCATCCCTGCAACCCGGTGAGACATCGCAAACGGAGGAGGTGGAAAACGCGCACCCTTCGCCGAGGTACTCACCGATCATCGACTTGCTCAGCCCATCGGTATGCAACAAGAACCGTGTGACGTCCTGCGGCGCCTTACTCAGAATGAACCCCGTCTCGAGCAAAAATTGTAAGCCCTAACACCCGCCCATTGGTCAGCCCTCCTCAGCCGAAGAAAACACGCACTCGCTTCGGCTTAAGGTTGAACTTCTTGACGCCCTCCAGCAACATCGTCTTCTTCTGCTTCGCGCTCTCAAACCGGCCCGGGTCGTCGTGGATACCTGGCGTCGGCTGCCTCGTCGCCTCCGCGCTCGGGCCACCCGTCGGGAGCCTATCCAGTGACTGCGACGCGTCGGGCGTCAATCCCTCAGGGCACCCGTCCTCGCCGACGCTGGTGCGCCACGCACCCGCCGCGGCCGCGGCCAACGCCGAGTCGGGCGCGGTGCCCTACGCGACGAGCGAGCATAGCACGGCAGTGAGGCACTCGAGGCTCTGGCGGCAGAGCTGCTGCTCCGAGTGGCCGAGCGCGGATGTATCGAGCGAGCCTGAGACGGCCACGGCGGGATGCCCGGCGCGTACGCCTTGCTCGTGGGTGTCAGCGTGGGGCTCGCAGGGTCCGCCGGCTTCTGCTGCGCGGCGGACGGGAGCGTGCTGGTGCCGATCTTGGTGATGATGTTCATGAGGCTGCGCGCGCGGCGGGCAGGGTGTTCAGCGAGCTGCATACACAGACAAAAAAAACAAAGAAAAAGAAAAAAACAGAGGGCAGAGCAGAGCAGAGGAAAAGAGAGGAGGCGGGGCATGCTCACTGCTCGTAGATGTTGTCTGCGACTTGGCTGTCGCAATCATAGTTGAGATAAATCTCGACGAGCGCCTGCGGATCGTGACAAAGGCGTGACAGCATACCCAAGATGGCGGCCTTCTGCTTCAGCGTCGACGTCTTCATCTCGAGAATCGGGAAGAAGATCTCGTGGAACGGGACCTCGATCTCTTTCTGCAGGCGCAATAAAAACAAAACTAGGTCTGCGAAGACAGACCCCCCACGCGCGTGCGCACCTTGAGCTTCGTCCAGAAGCCCGTGATCACGCGCCAAAATATCTCGACGCTGATCTCGAACACCTGCGGGACGGGGCTGGCTGCTTTCCTGCTGAGGCTGAGGCTGAGGTACTAGTTCGCCATCTGCACGAACGGGGTCGCCTCGTGGGACGAGCTCGAGTGGATGAGCAACGAGGGCGAGACGAAGACGTCCATGTGCGCGTTGAAGATGACGAGCACCATGTGCAGGGAGAGCAGCTTGGAGCGCATCGAGTGCGACTTGAGGTCGTGCTCGTTGTGGGCGGGGCGTGCAGGCGCGGGGATTAGTAGGGGGTGATGTGGATGCGGTGCGAGGAGGAGAGAGCGAACCTTTCCGAGTTGAGGGGCTTCATTGTGAGCTTGCACATGGATCGGAAGATGAGGAAGGCATCCTTGAGGAAGAGGTCGTTGATCGTCATCGTGTGTGCCGGGGGAGCATGATGCCCCTGGGCTGGGGTGCTCGGGCGAGAGCTCGCTCGCGTGCAGAACAGTGAAAAGGGGACACAAGCGGAACTGTGCGAGGGAGACCCACGCGTGAGGGGTATCCGGCCTGTCCGCGCCGTGCTCGATCCCATTCGACGAGGGCAGCTCGAGGACAGGCAAGTCGTCGTGGGCAGCTACCGGCGGCAAAAGAGGGAGCGGGATCTCGAGCGAGATGTCATCTGCCGAGGGCACCTTGTCCTGGGACGGCAGCGGGCACGGCGGCTCGATGTCCGGCGTGGACGGCGCGAACGAGTCGCGCTTTGCGGACGGGGCGTCGTCAGTCCTGGATGCGAGCGACGCGGTGGACACTGCGGCGGCGGGTGGGGGTCGGTGGACATGAGAAATATGTTGTAAACGGTGCGGACGGCCTTGAGGAGCGAGGACTGGTGGACGAGGATGGTGGAGGAGAGAACGAGAGCGAGGAGGGCCTTGACGACCTGGAGCCTAACCGAGTCGGCGGTGGACTCGGTGTGGCAGGTGGTGGTGGTATGCACGACGAGGTCCACGAGCGAGGGCGGGGGGAGGTTGCTCTGGGAGGCGCTCGAGGTAGAGTGGCTGGGCCCGGACCCGGGGACAGGGGCGGGGACGGGAGGATGCGTGTTCGGGAGGCCTGGCCTCGACGAAGAAGGAGTAGGAGATGAGCTTGGAGATGCAGTCAAGGCTGGCGGCCGTGAGCTTCTCGTTGCGGGTCTCGCAAGCGAGGCAGAAGACGGAGTTGCCCTTGGAGATGGTCATGGAGCGCTTGTAGGAGGAGGGCGGTGTGGAGGGATGCGGTGGACATGAATGGGGAGAACGCGGTGTGGGTGTCGATCGTGCGCGAGGCGTCGGTGGAGGAGAGCCGGGAGGACGGGGGTGGTGCGCGCGGTAGCTGAGGCTGCCCCCACGCGGGGGCCGGTCTTGCAGCGAGTTCTTGGATGGCGGCGTCGGAGGAGGGGCTGGCGCAAAGAAAGATGACATACCTCATGGATATCCTCGTCGTCCGCACCCTCTCTCTTCCCAGCTTATCTTTCCGCCATCGCCGTTCCTCAGCGTGGTCGCTGTCGCTGTCGTCATGATTGTCAGTGTGGTCCTCATTGTCGTCGTCTTTGACGCTCAGACGGTCACGATGCTTAGAGCATGATCAGGCAGCGTGGGCGTAGGGGCGTTAGTAGAGCAGAACGCCTCCGCGGCCGACATCGTGGTGGCGCAGGGGAAAGAGACGGCGGTGAGCGGGGGCGTAGGCGTGGACGAGGACAGAGACGGGGTCGGGAAGGGAAAGGTTAGTCCCTCGAGGATCTGTAGATAGTAGAAGTAGAGGAAAAGAGAAGGAAACATCAGTACACATCCTCAACGATGCTAGCTTTATCAGGGCCTCGGCGGAGGCCCATCGTCCGCTTGCATCATTGAGAGCGCAAAGGAAAGAGAGCGCAAAGGAAGCGGGTGTCGAGAAGTCGAGAAGTAAAAGGAACAAAAGATAACTCACAACGAAAGGTTTAAAGTGCTCATTTCGCTCATCTGGACCAGTGTCTGCGCTGGTTTCTCAACCGATCGTCCTGTAGAAGAAGAGGATGTGGCCGATGGCCTGTCGAGAAGTCTCTGGCTTGCAGGCTAGCAGAGGATGTTGACATTGGCACGGACAGGGCGTGGACGAGGGATCGCGGAGAAGGAAGAGGTACTGAGAGACGAGCGAAGAGTTGGATTGAGAGCTGTTCATTACGATCGAGGTAGAGTGGTCCTCCTTCCACTTCGGGCGAAAAATTTCGCCCACAAATCGTGTGGGTGAACGGGCCTGAGTTCAAAATATAGATATAGATACAACAAGAAAAATAATACAGGCTGTAGCTACAGAGGAGCACCTAAGAAAGTAGCTTCGAGGGAGGTGTATATGCACGCAAAGTACATAGAACGAGTCGCGCGGACTACATGCATATGGTATTAGCCGACAAATAGAAGATGCAAGGGGATAATGAGGCTGCGAGGCTGGGCATGTCGCACGACCGTACTCTCGAGACTGCTGGAACAGTGATAGCGCGTGTTCTGCTGCTATCGTACACTCGTCTGAAGCTCGCTTGAGGCCCTCTAGTGTCCTGTGTCCGACAACGTTCTGCCGAGAAGGCTGTTCATGATGTCAAATGTCAGCATCAGGAGCATGAGAGAGGAGGAGAGGGAGAGGAGGAAGGAAGGAAATGAGGCCGACGAAGTCGGCGGCCGCGTGCTGTCTGCGGCAGCCAGGCTCCCCACAAAACCCAAATTCACCTTCGGCGAATTTGGGCTGTGGGGAGCCTGGCTGCCGCAGACAGCACGCGGCCGTTTCTGCATCATGACTTGTCCACTGGCACTTTTACGCCGCGTGGAGCGACTGGGCGCCCTGGACAGCCCGCCGCCGTTTCATGTCCTCAGTCCTGCAACAGATGACCTAACCTAACCTTCGTATGCGCGAGCTGTGTGCGTCACTTACTCTCGCAGATACGAGGCTCTCGTCCATGTTGACAGTGGCGAAGACGTAACGTTCCTGCAAAACACTGGTCAGAGGCAGAATGACGGACGGAACGAGGGTCGTCAAGGAAAGGGAATGAGAGTGTCCTTAGTGAGAGAAGGGGTCGTCGACGCACGTAGAACGCGGCGGCGGTGGCGGCGCGCAGATAGCGTGCCGTTGTTTCACATCTTGTGAACTTCACCGTTGCAGAACTTTCAACATCAGGCTTCTCCAATGCTAGTGCTTGCCGTGCGTCCTGCGCGACTCATCTGCTGTGGAGTGCCGGGAGTTGGGTGTCTTCAACGCGCAAGCGAGGATGGCGGGAGGTTGATGGACATGGGGAGGGATCCGTGAGGAGGGATCGAAGGGACAAGCTTGCGTGGGGTTGAGGAGACGAGCGAGAGAGCAAATGGTGAGCAGGAATACACTCGAGGGTACAAGTATATGTGGGGTCTGGGCGGTGACGCAAGAAGGGAACGGATGTCAGGGCACTCGGTAGCGGCGGTGCGTGGCGTCGCGGAGACGGGTGCGCGTGCGCGAGGTCGAGCGGATGCCCGCAGATGTCGGTCACAGGCGAGGGCACATGCATGAGCTTGAAGGGACAATCGTGCGCACGTGGGCTTGAGGGCGCGATTGACGGTCAATGTGATTCATAGCATTGAAGGCGTGTATGATGTTGAGGGTGGGGGCGTGAACGGTCGATAGGGAGATGGGACGCAGGCTGAAGGAGGGGCCGGCGGAAAGGATGAGAACAAGACACGCACACGGGGACGGACAGGCACGAGAGACGACGTACCTGCATCCATCGTGGATGTCCTCATCGTCTATGCCCATTCTCCGCCGCTGCCATTGCTTGTCCTCGTCATTATCCTCTGCCGCCAGCTGGACCTCGTCGTCCTTCTTGACGTTTGAACGGCCGTGATGCTTCACATGTTGTGGGGCAGTGCGAGCGCGGAGGCGTTGAGAGAGCGTGATACTGGCGCTGCAGAAATAGTGGAGGGCACTGGTTGACGGGAGCCTTGAGCGGATTAAGGGGAGGCGAGTGTGGGTCTGGGTAGCGGGCGCCGCGGATGGGTACGGGCACAGTTGGGTAGGCGAGGGGGATCGAGGTTCGAAGAGTTTGAGGGAACAAACAGGCGAGCATGCGCAGCATCGAGGGCTGAAGCGTCAATGATGGAATGCATCAAGGAAACTTGGTTCGAAGGAGGGGCTGGGGGGAAGGAAAGAACCAGCGGTACGTACCTTCGACCTCCTCTCTCCCAGCTCATCTCCACCGTTAGCTTCTCCTTTCCCTACTTGTGGACAGGCCAAAGCACAAGTTGCGTGACGCTGGCGATGTTCTGTACATGGGCGCGGAGTGTATGTGCGGCAGGAGCGAGGGTGCATGGAGAAGCAGCAAAAGTGCCTAGAGCGGAGGGTGGATGTCGACGGTGAAAATGGAGTCCTCAGTCGATGCGGGGTCAGCAGCTAACAATAGCAAAATAATAGGAAGAGTTAGTATAGTAACACGCTCTCAGCGATGTGTGCTTTCACAAGGCCTCGACGATGGCCCATCGTCCGCTTGCATCGTCGAGAGCGTGCAGAGTGAGCAGTTGAGATCAAGAAAAATCTTACCAATTTCCTTGATATTCCCTGAGAGAGTGGTGTTAATATATTGAGGGGATGTCAATTGAGGGCGCTTGATGCTCAAAGGTGCGGGGAGGGTCGACGCGACGCGACGTAGCAGTGTGCTTGATCACGAGACGTTAGAGGGCACTGTGTGCCGACACAGTCGGACTGTGTGCCGACACAGTCGGACTGTGTGCCGACACAGTCGGACTGTGTGCCGACACAGTCGGACTGTGTGCCGACACAGTCGGAGGGAAAACTCTGACTGTGTCCGACACAGTCGGACTGTGTGGCGCGACAATCAACGGACTGTGTGCGGCACGGCCGGACTGTGTGGCGCAGATTCACCGCCAAATCTCGGACTGTCACCGAGAATCCGGACTGTGTGGCGCTGAACCAGCGCCAAAATCCGGACTGTGTGCGGTCTCGGCCGGACTGTGTGGCGCAACAGAGAGACTGTGCGTGGTGTGACAACAGTGTGACAACTGTGGGTCCGCAATCTCCCGACTGTGTGCCGCCCTTTCCCGATGCTGACTAAACTGTGTCTCCCGGTTGCAGAATACCCTCAACATCACAAACAATTACATATCTCTCGATCCCCTTATCCAAATAATAAGATTAAGGGATGATTTAAAAGGTGGTGTATGTAGGAGCATTTTATTAGTTTTGCAATGGAAATCCAAGGACAATCGTGGACTGGAGACTCGGTTTTTTGAGGTTTTCCCTTAATTCTGTATTTTGCCTGTAACATCTTCAGTACTCCATGTCTACTAATAAAAATATTAGGGTACCATAACAAATACATTTTAAGCCTATTGAATCAAACAGAACTATGTGCAACTTCGGATTTGGTTCCCAAAACCCAGACTGTGCTTCACACAGTCTGGTTTTGTGGGGTAGACTGTTTAAATCCATATCTATTGAACCCCTGATTCAATCTCACTGCTTCCAGGCCTCAAAGTTGAAGCAGGGTATGAAGATTACAGAGAGGATTTTTTCATATTTATATTTACATTTAATTGGCAACACAGTAGTTTCGGATATCGGTGGACTCAAAAGTGTCGGTAATACTACTAGTCCTGCCCCTCCCTGCCCGGCCCTGCCTGTCCTGCGCACCTGCGCACACCCGGAAGCGGCTCCTCACGCCGCGTCTCTTCCCCTGCTCTCTCTTAGGAGGCGAGGGCACGACCACGCTCCCCGGTACCCTACCGCCCGACGCCTTCTTCTCCAAACACGCCCACTCTACGCTGCGCACCGCCGCGCACGCATCGCACGAGCGCACCCCGTCCTCCGCCTCCGGCCACATGCACCACCATGCGGCCGGTGCTGCTGAGAGCACCTCGCCCGCGAAGCGGCGCTACGTCGCGGACGCGCACGGCCTCGAGATCATCAAAAAGATCCGGCAGGGCGAGGTCGAGCTGCGCGATCGCACCATCGTCCTGTGCGGCATCAAAGCCAACATCCGTCCAGCTCGCTTTGCGAAGCTGAGGGCCATCAAGGACGCGAAGAAGCCAGGCAAAGCCCCCACCGCGATCCCCGCTGTCTCAGGTTTAAAACGCCTCCGCGGCCGACATCGTGGCGGCGCAGGGGAAAGAGGCGGTGGTGAGCGGGGGCGTAGGCGTGGACGAGGACAGAGACGGGGTCGGGAAGGGAAAGGTTAGTCCCTCGAGGATCTGTAGATAGTAGAAGTAGAGGAAAAGAGAAGGAAACATCATGTATCAGTACATGCCCTCGGCGGTGCGGAGGCCCATCGTCCGTTTGCAAAGCCGAGTGCGAGAAATAAAAGGTACAATAAGATATAATAAGAACATACTCACAGCGCGGGCATCTGTAAGGTTAATGCTCGTAGGCTGTCTCATTCATATAGAGTCGAGTTTGTGCAGGTTTTGTGCTTGTTGGCACAGCGGAATCCTGATACGCGGCTGACATGACGAGCCTCTCCAGCCACAGTGAGGCTTGTCATGTCAGCCGCGTATCAAGACTCAGCCAAGCTGATACGCGCCTGACATGACGAGCCTCTCCAGCTGCAGCGAGGCTCGTCATGTCAGGCGCGTATCGGGACTCATCCCTGTCAATATGCGGCTGACATGACGAGCCTCTCCAGCCACAGTGAGGCTCGTCATGTCAGCCACGTATCAGGACTCAGCCCTGCCAATACACGGCTGACATGACGAGCCTCTTCAGCCACGGACAGGCTCGTCATGTCAGCCGTGTACTGGCATGGGTGGCTTCTTCACCTCTTAATGGCCTCTTTAGCCCTGCCATACCCCTGTCCTACCCTGAACCTTCTAGCTTTTTAGGTTAGAATAAGAACATACTCACAGCGCAGGCATCTGTAAGGTCAATGCTCGTAGGCTGTCTCATTCATGTAGAGTCGAGTTTGTGCAGGTTTTGTGCTTGTTGGCATAGCAGAATCCTGATACACGGCTGACATGACGAGCCTATCTAGCCACAGACAGGCTCGTCATGTCAGCCGCGTATCAGGACTCAGCCCTGCCAATACGCGGCTGACATGACGAGCCTGTGCAGCTGCAGCGAGGCTCGTCATGTCAGCCGTGTATCAAGACTCAGCCAAGCTGATACGCGCCTGACATGACGAGCCTCTCCAGCCACAGCGAGGCTCATCATGTCAGCCGTGTATTAGGACTCAGTCAAGCTGATACGCGGCTGACATGACGAGCCTCTCCAGCGGCAGTGAGGCTCGTCATGTCAGCCGCGTATCAAGACTCAACCAAGCTGATACGCGCCTGACATGATGAGCCTCTCTAGCCGCAGCGAGGCTCGTTATGTCAGGTGCGTATCGGGACTCAGCCCTGTCAATATGTGGCTGACATGACGAGCCTCTCCAACCGTGGACAAGCTTGTCATGTCAGCCGTGTATTGGCATGGGTGACTTCTTCACCTCTTAATGGCCTCTTTAGCCCTGCCATACCCCTGTCCTACCCTGAACCTTTTAGCTTTTCAGGTTAGAATTACATGTGACAATTTAATTTCTGAGCTGTGACGAGTAATCATGTCAGCTGCTTGTTGGCACAGCGGAATCCTGATACGGCTGAAGACGAGCCTCTCCAGCCGCAGCGAGGCTCGTCATGTCAGCCGCGTATCAAGACTCAGCCAAGCTGATATGCGCCTGACATGACGAGCCTCTCCAGCCACAGCGAGGCTCGTCATGTCAGCCGCGTATCGGGACTCATCCCTGTCAATACGCGGCTGACATGACGAGCCTCTCCAGCCACGGACAGGCTCGTCATGTCAGCCGTGTATATTGGCATGGGTGGCTTCTTCACCTCTTAATGGCCTCTTTAGCCCTGCCATACCCCTGTCCTACCCTGAACCTTCTAGCTTTTCAGGTTAGAATGTAGGAGCATTTTATTAGTTTTGCAATGGAAATAAAAGGACAATTGTGGACTGGAGACTCGGTTTTTTGAGGTTTTCCCTCAATTCTGTATTTTGTCTGTAACATCTTCAGTACTCCATGTCTACTAATGAAAATATTAGGGTACCATGACAAATACATTTTAAGCTTATTGAATCAGACAGAATTGTGTACAACCTCCGATTTGGTTCCCAAAACCCAGACTGTGCTTTACACAGTCTGGTTTTAGGGGGTAGACTGTTTAAATCCATATCTGTTGAACCCCTGATTCAATCTCACTGCTTCTGGGCCTCAAAGTTGAAGCAGGGTATGAAGATTACAGAAAGGATTTTTTCATATTTATATTTACATTTAATTGGCAACACAGTAGTTTCGGATATCGGTGGACTCAAAAGTGTCGGTAATACTACTAGTGATGTCGAAGGGGTTGGCGTCGACACCGTTGAAGATGGTGACTTCGACAGCGGGAACATCGACAGCAGAGAGCACGAGCACGAGGATTCTGGGCGCGAGCGTGCATAGGGGTGAGCGTGCGCTGGGTTTTGGCGGCGACGCAGCACGAGGAAGGGGTGGATGTGAACCGTCGAGGGGATGAGCGCGAGGGCGCTGTGTGGCAGGGTTGCGTGGGCTGAACGGACGACCCGACGCGGCGTCAACGGCGGAACGTCGCTGCCGAGGAAATCGAGGGGCACAGGTCGAAGGAGGGGCGGGCAGAAAATCGAGACTGGGATATACGCGTGTGGAGAGAGGAACTGGTGTAAGGAGAGACAACGACACACCTTCATGACGTTCGTCCTGCTCAGGGAAGCTGCATCCATCACGACGTTCTCATCGTCTATGCCCATCTGAGCTCCCAGCCCTCTTCATCCTCCACCGCCGCCGCCTTTCCTCTTCGACTTCCTCAGCCACGAGCGCGGGATGGCCGACAAATGGGGGATCGAGCGTGTGCAGGGTCGAGCGTGTGCGGGGTCGAGTGTGTGCGGGGACCGAGGGGTCGCATCGTCAAGAGGACAAGGTGAGACGAGAATGTGAGGATGCGGGGTCGAGCGCGTGGGCGGTGTCGGCAATGATGCAGGATGAGGAAGGGGCGGGCGGAGGGGTTGACGAGAAGTCGGGCGTGCGTGCGTGAGCTGGAGAAGTCATGCGTAAACGAATGCGGATGGCAAGCGAAGGCAGGTGCGTGTGCTCGAGGGTTCAAGGGGGTCGAGGGCACTCGGTGGTGGGCAAGGGGCAGACAGAAAGGAGGAGAGCGGGAGTTACTAACCTTGGTAACACTCGGCCTCCTTCTTCCTAGTTCATCTCTCCGCTGCCAGCGGCTCCACGGCCTCCTCGTCGACGCGCAGTAATATTCATGATGCTTTGTGCGCAGGCGAGGAGTGCTATTACGATGGAAGCGGGGTGCGTGGAGGGACGGCGACGGTGTGTGCACGGTTTAGGAACGGCGGGGTCTCAACAGTGACGCTGGAAGAGGGAGAGAGAACGAGGGGATGCGCGTACATGTGATAGCGGTATGAACCTCCCGCCACCGTCATCGCCACCGCCCGCGTTCAGCTGCTCGTCACCGCTGCCACTTCCGGCATCGTCGGCGTTGGGCGTGCGCCCACGATCAGCCGATGAGAGAGGCGCAGCGTCGGAGGCGCGTAGGGGTCAGCATGGGCGCGACGGTGTGCGCGGCATCCGCGCCCGCCGCCGTGTCGCCGCCGTGAGGGCCGAGAGGCGCGAGGCGGCGGTCGAGGTTGAGGCTGAGGTCGAGCGCAAGCTCGCGCGAGGAGTCGTGGTGGTCGATGAGGCTGCCGCTGAGCGGCGCGTGTGGGAGGTGGATGCTTGGCATGCAGAGCGGGTAGCATCGGCACGCCGGGCACGCGCTGGCGCTTACGGTTCTGGTCCGCGGACTAGTGACGAGTGAGCAGCGGCGTGCTAGGGAGCGGCAGCGAGCCGTCGTCGTCGTCGTCGTCGTCGTCCATGTTGAAGTACGACTCCTCCTCGGCCCCCTGGCGGCGGAGCTCGAGCGGCTGGCTGAGGCTGTGCGCACGTCTGTGCGTCAGTGTGAGCGTGAGCACGAACTGGAGAGCGCAAGAGAAGTGAACCTCTTTTGGGAGCTCGGGCGCAGTGTTCGTCTCCCAGCGCAGGATGACCTGCTCGAAGCACCTCTTTGTGAACCTGAACCGGGAAATCTGCTGCACGAGCACCTCCTGCCTGGTCATGATGTCGATCGCCTCCTTCATGTTCCCCTACTTACAGCCAAAAAAAGAACATACTTAGCAAATGGTGTCGGCGCTGAAATATTTTGGCCATGTAAGGTAGATGCCGATTTCCCCGCTTGTTGTCCTCACTCCTCTCCCCAGTCGTGCGCTGTCTAGATCTCAAATTTAATGCTCCGACTGGGTCCTTTTTTCCGAAGCTTGGGCCTATCGTTATGAATCTGGCTGTAAAACTGCTGTCACTGACCTTACGCCGTGCTGGATATAAATGATTTGATTATTAAAATCAAAATTAAAAAATAGTGCTGTGATCGCCACGGCTGGGGAGGAAGTGGCTTCTGGCGGTAACGAGGTTGTGGGTTGGGTTTTCCCTGGTGGTTTCGGTATTGATCCATCCGGGGCCTTTCCCCCTGTCGGCTGAGAACCAGTAGGGGGCATAATAAGTGTGTAGAGAATCTGTAAGGCGCAGAGGAGGGTGGTGGGAGGTGTGGGAAAACACGAGATGGTAGGCGTAAGGGCCCAAAGAGGAGTTGTGCAACTTCAAACGCAAGACGGGCAAAGGTTTTAGAAATGAATATTAGTACCACTACCTCCAATGTCCAAGAACAGGTCATCCACTGGTTCGCGACCCTCGACGAATCTGATGTAGATGAATACCGCGTCCAAATGATCCCAAGACTCTATCCGAAAAAAGTTATTCAAGCCATACACTCTCGTCAACCCGATCAGGTTCTGGATCACCCCCGGGCCTTTGCACAAGAGGCTATACGTTGGCTTGCTCGTCTACCTCAGGGTAAACTCCCAGCGGCTCTTTTAAATGCTCTCTTCCATCAAGGCGATACGAACTCCCCTCGTCCGTTGAAGTCCGACTACGATCTTATGGAGCTCATTCTCGATTGCGATCATGCTGGCGAATTTCTTCTAGACGCTTGCAGTACGTCGCTCATGCTCTACATGCTCTACGTATCGTTTGACATGCTCGATGTGGAGTTATCAATGAAGATTTGCCACCGGAGACTCCGTGAGTTGGCAGTATTTCTTCCCCTGTTCGTTTCCATACTGAGCAGCCTTTCCTTCTACAACAGCTACGAGAAGGAAAAGAGGCTAGACAGGGCTTTCCATGAAGAATACCGGGGCGGCGCAGTCAACGATTTCTTTCAGGCCCTTGAGGAGTATGAATCCATCTACAAGCGCGACATTCACTACGGCAAAATAATCAGTATCCTGCAGTCTAGTGGCACTGGGAAATCACGCTTGGTTGAAGAATTAGGCAGTCGCGTTCGTACGCTTTCTTCAAAAATCGACCCTCGTTTTGATATTCAAATCATCCGACAGATCCCAACTCTGAGTGTTTGCTTTCGAGGTAGCGAGGAGGTGACACAAGGCTGGCCCCCTCGCGATCATGGCGTCTACGAATTCTTCGCAAAAAACCGCGCGCCCCAGTTCAGAGTGAGCCCAGAAACTCATCTTACGAGTATGCATTTTTAATGTTCGGCTAGGGTGAGGAGCTGGCTGCAGCCTTCTATGGGGCACTGTTGGAGGTTGTGAAGGATACGATCGGCCAATCGGCCTCACCCAAGGAGGCTATGATAGCATGGCAGGTGCAATTTCCGGCAGAACAGCGTCAAGAGCTTTTCATCGATGTCGTCCAGCGCGCAGAACAGATGCTTGCAGACAACACAGCCGAGCTCGAACACATTCGAACCAAAGGCTTTGAATCGGAAACCCCGACAGATGACGAGCTTCAAGGCATCATTACGCGGCATCATGAAGTCTTTCTCCTTCTCGTCAAGGCAAGGTTGATGGATCTAGCTCAGAAGCTCAAAACGCTGAGTTACGATCGGTTTGTCTTCGCTTTCGATGAGTGCACCCTCCTCAATATGGGCAAGGACACGATGAAAACTCCTCGCCCTCCCGGTGCACACATGTCATTGATCGCTTTGGAACGCATCATCAAGGTTATCGACTATTACGAAGATACTCATGGAGTGGTATTCTGGCACCTTCTTCTCGATACGAATTCGTCTGTGCCACTCCTAGCAGGGACCGGAGATATTGCTTCGTCCTTTAGGCTGAGAGATGCACTCAAACCTTTGCCTGTCTGGGTCTACCTTGGATTGGACCAGTTCAAGATGGACGTGCAAATAAAAAAACCTGAAGACGCGCTGTCATTGAAAAACCTCAAGCAGTTTGGCCGACCGGTAAGTGCCCGTTTGAAATGATGCTTGATTATGTCTTGATGGGCACTTGACTAGCTTTGGGCCACAAGCGAAACGCACATGGATCTGGTACGATTGGCTATAATAAAGCTTTTCCGTGGCCCTTCATTCGACGCCACCGACCAAGACCACGTTCTTGCTGCCTTTGCCAATCGAGTTTTGCTCGAAGTTGGCGAAAGCGCCGCTGCGAGTCGGGTAGCCGTGGTCGCCGTGGCTCGACACATGCGAATTCTGATGGGCGTCGTCGGCGGTATTGTTGTCACCAAAGCGCCTTCGGAACCGCTCCTTGCTATTGCTGCCACACAGGTGTTGAATCAAGCAAGTGACACCTACAACATCGCGATGAAGACCTTGCTCGAGAAGCTTATCATCAACGGAGTCGTGCTTGATCGAGGTCTTCAGGGAGAGTTATGTGGTCGACTTCTCATGATACTCACACGCGACAAAGCGACCTTGCCCAGAGGGGGCGAATTCGTGCCAATGATTGAGAGCCGACGGGCTCTCGCGATCCCACCTGTCAGACTTGACCAATTTTTAATTACCTTGCTCGGGGACAAATTTGGTCTGGGCAACGAAAAGGCCCAACGGCAGCATCGCAACAACCTCATAAGCTGGGCCAGCGATGTTTGGCTCAACTTTACTCATTTTATTGAAGTCGACACCAACATTAGCAAGCTCAAGCCTGACTTCCTACGTGATCTTTGGACCCGCACTTGCGCGGTGCAGTGCAAGTTTAGCCAGCCAGTGATGGACGGGTTTTTAGTGGGCTATAAGGGAGATATTAAGCGGCGCCTCAATTTATCCAACTTCATCATGATTCCTTACCAGATCCAAGTTCAATCGACAGCAGCCGAGAAATCAGCCGCTAATGGCCTGACCTGCCCTTTTATCGTTCGTGAGGACGGTGCGCACTTCAAACCCAAGCACGTCGCTCTCTTCCTCGATTTGGCCACCACAAGCGCATTTCATCTTGCCACTGGTCCTCGTTGCGAATTGACGTTCAGGAAAGCTGATATCGACGGTTGTAAGTGGGATGGTTATGCAGAGGATAACGCAAAGGAGGTGGAACGGTGGTGCCTGAATGTGCGTGGGCACAGCAAGGCCCAGTATCCCGTCATCGGCGACTTGGAAGATATATTCAAGATGATGTTCCAGCGCGTCCTTGCCTGCTCACAGCCTGAATTCCAGAAATATGCGGACGCACTACAAGCAGCTAATAGGGCCATCGAGGTGTATTGAGTAGTGACCCAGCCATCCTTCTTTTTGATCCAATGCACTTCGTTTGATTCTCGTGTACGTATAGATTTGAAAGGAGTATCATCTTCGAGTCGAAATTGGAGGTTGTAATAAAATTAAAGTGGACATACTGTGTGTCCGTGTCGAAGACCATTTTCAACACATTCTCTAATACATCATACAATGCATTTCACGTCTTCATAAAGCGGACTACGAGACCGTCACCATGTCTTAAACTGCCGAAGGTTACAGATGTATCCCACAAGGCGAGCTCCTCGACTCCGCGACCTAGATACATGATCGCTTTGTGGCCGAGTTACAAGGCCGCTTGCAAGAACCTTTGTGGTGGCAGACGAGCCGTTATTGCGATCATTGAGCTACACAATACTTCATTCTATGAGCAGAGCGCTACACACATCAAATTAGTGATCGCTGCGCAGCCCAGCCTCTAGATACCATGGCCACGACCGGCCACGACCACGCTTGTCACGGCGCAAATGTGATCGGAGTGTGTTTGAGTGGCCTGCGACAATGGAACGATCCATCACAAGTTAAGTACAGATGACGCGCCACCGTTAGATACGGATATCCGGAGACCACGTCGGAGATTGAAGGAGAATCGTCAACGTTGCTGCCTTCGGGAGACTAGCGCCACCACGCACCCGCGCTACTCTCGATGGACGGAGATCGGCACCAATCTTGGCGATAGATGTATAGCGTGCACGACTCCATCAGCAAGCGTACCTCGTCAAGAGCGTGTCAAAGAAGGCACTCTGAGTTGTCGTTTGCTCAAGTTAGACAACTTGTGCTTGATGAGTATCGACACCGAAATCGTGGAGGACAGCTGAGCTTGTGCTCTGACAGCGGATGGCGAAGTGTATCTCCTGGCGTGCGCCTCCTGGCTATCCGATTTGTTTTAATCTGCGGCCTTCCTTTATCAGAAATGGGCCTCGCTCAAAGCGACTCGTGGCCTTACAGAATAAAGGTAGCGTATAGAAGTGAGATGGCAAAGTAATCGCCATCTTTCTTCACGAACCCGTTGCGTATGAGCCAGCCGTAACGAACGTTAATTCGCAGACACGTTGTCCGCTCATATCTAGCACACTGACTGCAGGATCTGTCGCGGCACACGGTGACGACGCGAGCGAGGCGCATAATGCACGCTTGGCATCTGGCCGGTGGGCCTGCGGAACTAAGCTCGTCAGAATCGCATTGTTTTGGCAAACAGCGTGACGGACATACGGCGAGCGTTGCGCGTGCTCGTGTTTTCTGGCATGCCACAGCTTTTGCTATATATTTTCAGGCCACATGTCGAATGCTCTCTATTCCCCTGTTTCCTCCCATTTGTGGGATTTTGAAGTTGGGTTTCGAAAAGAATGGGATTTGAAACTTGAAAATAGTTAAAGCCAGGAGCAAATGCTCGTCCAGACACTTTAGGCGGACATGTACGCATGACCTTTTACCGACAGCTGACGTCAATTCATCTGAGATGCTATAGGTCATCCTGCAGATGCTCTTCGCGGTAATGCAGAATCAGCAGCGCCGCGAGGAGGAGGAGCGACGTACCGTGGGAGCAGAGAGTACCGAGGGATCAGATCATGCCGAATGGCCGCAGTGGGCAAGACAAGGACATAGAAATGGCACCCCCAGTGAGTTTGTCTCGAACATACAAACTCTTTCTTGACAACGCCATGATGCATAGAATCGATCCATCGGTCCCTGCGACGCTGTCATCCAACTCGGACAGAAGTTCGTATCCAATTTGGAGAGCGTGGATATAATTCATGGGTGTCCAACCATCGCAACGATGCGGACTCAACAGCGCATAGCGGATGTCATAGAGTGATATGACGCGCGTTGAAAATGCTGGAGGAGCGAAGCGACAAAGACAGTGGCCTTGGCAAGTCAATGTCAGCTGTTGCGGAGGACAGACAAGAAATGATTCCAGTGCTCACGCGCGAGATCTTCTACTGTTCACCGGCCCTCGCCTGCTCCGGCTGAGGTCGGACATGGTCAACCCGTTGTACGTCGTCTCACTTAATTACCGCCTCGCCGCGACGAAGCTTCTAAGCTTCCTTTGCTCCTCTCCTCCCTCACTCAGCATCTTGGAGAGGTCTCCGTCTATCGTGATGTTTCCACAAACGAAATTACATTCGCGAGAAAGAAGACCTTGCTGGCCTGCATCATGCCCTTGAGGCCCTGTGTCAGTGTTTGGACCTGTGGTATCTCACATTTGCATTGGAGGAGCATGCATCTCTGATGCGACAGGCGCGACAAACTTCTGATCACATCTTTTGCGAATGTTCTCCGTTGTATGACCGCAGCTCGCGACCGGAGCACCTCCAAGAGGCAAAGCAGCTCGCAGAGGAGATGAGGCAACGCGAGGTAAGGTTGAACTGTGCGGTGTTGAGCACGACAGAAACACGTCTGAACGAGACGAGCTCCTTCTCACACGCACATGGACTGCCCTGAACGACTAATGACGCTCGAGACGGCGATGAGGTAGCGGGGTTCATCTGCGAGGAGTCCTCAATGATGCTAGAGAGGCTGACGAGCTTAGGTCTTGGAGTGAGTCCTGGACAAGCTTGTATGCTAGTGTAGAACGAATGGGACGGAGGATGCCGCACGAGAGGCGTCACGGCTCACCGGTCACCGAAGCCAGCTGAAGCCGCAGAAGGCCTGGCATACCGTGCGGAAGCTTGCCGAACTCCCGCGTAGAAACCCACCTCATCCATTCGACCACCCTCATAATAAATCTCGCATTTCCAGTCTCGATTTTGCAGCCCTCGCCTTCGATGCTACCGCCCAGCCAATGCGGCACGCCCTCCTGCAGCTTCTGTAGGTAGAACCTTTCCGTGCCGAGCATCATATGCTCAGTAATACCGTCGATAAGATGGAAGACTGCGCGAGCGCATTCAGACGCGCTCGACATCGCTACAGTGGAGCATGGAAGCTAGGAGAGGGCGTACGCATGCGTGGCATATTGTATAGTCGCACCCCTGGACTCCATCCTGTCCTGGCTTCCCCGCAGCCTTTGTGTGCGGCAAACACAAACCTACGAGCATCTTACGCACATACGTCTATAATTCAGTACATAGCGTATGTACGCTGTAGCGAGCGCGTCGGGCCTGATTATTCTTCCTAGGTTGTTCATCTTTTCCGCACCCAACTGTGGACAATGACATATCCACCAGGCTGCCCATCGAATGTCGCGGACGCAGCGCCCTCCTCTCCTGAAAATATGCTTCCGACCATCTATCACCACGCTATTTTCGATTCTTCATGCCGATTTCGACAGTCTCTGAGATCGCGCCTCCGCACTCAAGAGACACGGCTTCCAGCATGTCTTGTCCGTTCCCCAACCAGCATATGGATTTTTGTGGATACGCATCGCTTTTCCCTAGAGCAGAAACGAGACGGTAACATACCGCGATCGAGCCCTGCCACCAGCTTTGGAGCCTAATATGAGCCCTCGACGAGCCAGCGACACATCCATGGCCGTTGACTCTTGAAACGACTCGTCAGCTTATAGCCATGCCCCTTTGTATCGCCTGTTCTGCCGTGATACTCAGTCACCGGCTGACCCTAACTTTGTTCCCAATACGCACCGCGCAACATGAATTTCGAATTTAATTTGCGCGAGACGAAGGTACGCGCTGTTGTACAAGAAAATACTGCCTTACACGTACACACCCGGCTGAAGAACAAAGGTAGAAATGAGGGGATGGTCCCGGTCGACAAAGTAAAATCCACAATGCGAGGGGATAGACAAAGGCACTAGTCACTACGTACGAAACGATTACCGGATTTTGGCAGTGAAAGGAAGCTACCGAGGGGATGAAGAATGGCGGGCGGGAGCACTAGAGCGAGCGAAAAGGGTGGGAGAAACAGTGACATACCATGACCTAAGTAACGCAGGCGAGGATAGATGAGGAGATAGAGATGCAAGATGGCGCGAGCTGAGATGAGATGAGCTGTGAATGATCGAGGGAGCGTATGGTATGGTATACGAAGTCCACAGCAGACTATAAGCCTGCACGAAACGAGCCACGTAGCGGCGAACGAGAAGATCCATGTGCAGACGTGGAAGACAAAGACGAGAGGGTCGAGAGAAAAGGAAACGAAAGCAGAGGAGAGGTGGGGGCGACGCACGACAGAACGCAGGCCAACCCCCTCACCGACGTCACGACTCGATTTCGTGCCCACTCGTCCCCTCCTTCGATGCCGTCGTATCCACAGTCGGGGCCGCGCTCACGCGCAACGACGTCGTGTCGTCCGCGACCGCGATACCAGGGAACCGCAGGCTCGCAGGCGATGGCGGCAGCGATGGCGGCAACGGCAACGAGCTCCGCTCGCCCCCGAGGCCTAGGGGGCTGGCCGATCGCCCCGGGCCTGGTTGGCTCAACGGACTGACGGGCCTCCGCCGCGTCGTCGTAGGACTCATCGACCGCGCAGGGCTCGCCGGCCGCGCAACGCCCATCCCTCCACCAACGCTCGACGCGCTTAGCCGGTGCTCTGCGTCAAGCCTACTGCTCCGCGCAGCCGTTCCGACACCCGCCATACTTCCCCGCACGCCACCAGGTCCAGCGCCCACACCCAACAGGCCCATCTCGAGCCCGCCGATGTCGTCCAGCGCGCGCGAGTCGGCACGTGTGTGCGCGAGGAGCGGCTCCGTAACGCCCACCCCGCCGTCCTTCGACGACCCGACATCGCTCGCAGTATGCTGATGCCCGAAACGCGGCCGCGGCATCAAGGTCGTTTCTGTCACCGCCTCGCCGCCTCCGAAGCCTTTCGATAACGGCCGATCTTCCACGAGCGTGTCGCGCCATCCCATGCCCGTGTCGTCCAGCGCATCGCCAAACTTGCTCTTCCGCAGCCCAAACTCGCCGTCCTCGCCATCCTCGCCGCCGACGCGTGTGCGCGCGCTGTCCATGGTATACGCGGAGCTGACTGCCATGCGGCGCTTGTACTCCTCAAACCGCATCAGCCGCAGCACATCCTCCGACGGCTGCTGCACTCCGTCCTCGTCACTGCTCTCCCTCGACCCTCGTCGTGCGAGCTGGTATCCGGGCAGCCCTCCCTTATCGTCGCCGGCATTCGCGTCGCGCGCGCCTGCGCGCCGCCATCGCCGCCGCCCGACGTACCACCGTCCCGCAAAGAGAACGACACATAGCGCAAAAAATCCGACGAGGCCGAGGAGGACCTCGACGCCGACGGAGAGTTTCTTCCCCGACGAGCTCTGAGTCGCCTTTGCCGTCGGCTGGCCCGACAGCGGCTGGTTGAGCACGCGCACGGTGTTGAACTCTTCCAGCGCCTTTGTCGCGTTCGTGAGTCCAAGCAAGCCGAGGCGCGGGCGGATGGTGTCGGTCGCGAGCGGCGCGGTCGCGTTTGGGAACGTCCCGTTCGTGTAGGGGATGTCGTATGCCATGACAGTGTACGTGTTGCGCAGGAAAGGGACACCAAGGATCATGTCGTCGAGCGTGGGCGAGGTATCGAGCTGGCCGCTGGCGGTCTGGATGAGCCCGAGGCAGGTGCTCGCGGTAGCGTCGTTCGGGGGCTTGGCGGTCACGTCGAGCGGGTGCAGGGGGAGCTCCGGCTGGCCGTCGAGCGTGATCGTCATGTTGAGCGGCGTCGTGCACGGGACGTAGTCTGTCGCGTCACAATGGAATCAGCATGTCTGGCAGGCGTGCAGAGGCGACTCACACTGTCCGTCAGCGCCGGGGCCGATGCCCAGCGCACCATAGATCCCGTTCGCGATGGCGGTGGTGGTCAGGATGTACGGCACTCCCGAATCGAGCACCGCGGTGGGGAATACGGCGCCCGTATGTGAGCGCCCGAGCGTGAGCGGGCGACTCTGACCGTCGACGTACACGGTGACCCCGCGAACGTTGGTCTTCCAGAATTTGTTGCCCACGTTGGACGCGATCACGGGTGAGTATGTGATCTTGGCCGGATCCGGGACAAGCGCGGTGGGGTGCTGGCCGATGCCGAGCAGCGAGGTAACCTCGGGGGAGTCGGGGCGGGAGAGCGCGAGCGAGAAGAAGCGCGCGGCGGGGGCAGAACCGACGGGGGTGATGCCGAAGAGGTTCGAGGCAAAGACGGCGCCGTCGGGAGAATTTCCGGTCGAGGGCGGGAGGATGCTAGCGATGATGGAGTTGAGCGGAAGCGCGAGGCCGAGGATGCCATCAAAATCGCGCTCGAGGGGCTCGTCTTGGACGGTCGTGACGGCAGCTACGGGGTAGCTGACGCATCACGGATAGGGAAAAGAAGCAGGAAGATGGGGACGTACCCAAAGCTTGAAATTCGATGCCGTAGCCGCCGATCTGGATTGAGTCCCAGTAGATGGGCCCGCTGACGCTTCCCTCGAGGTATTGTATGGAGAAGGTGGCGCCCGTCGAGGTAGCTTTGGAGGGGTCGTAGGAACGAACACCGTTGGAGCAAGCGGAGGAGGAGCAAGATCTGGACGCTACCCACTTGGAGCAAACGCGTCAGCGCCGGTAGAGTGAGTGAATGAAGCAGCGTACAAGGTCGGACGAGCCCATGTCAACCTGGAGGGACAGACTTTGGTTGTTGGAGCCGATGAGAATCGGGACGGTATATACGCTGAAAAGGGCCGATGTGAGCAACCAGTCATTTCCAAAAACAAGATGATAAAAAAACAAAGAAGACGAAAGAGGTAAGACGACGCTGAAAGAGGTAAGACGGCCCGGGCGCGTCGAGATTGAGCAGCCATACCAGCGGACCTCATGAAGGATGAGGGGGGCGTTGCGTGCCGCGACGGATGCTGGGAGGCGAGAGCTCAATTGCAAACTAGGCTTCGAGGCAATCAGGCAGAATGATTTGGATGCACGCATCCACGGAAGAGGGTAGCGACGCGAGATTAAACCCGAGGAATGGACTGGCACGCAGAGACGCGAATCTCGCCGGTTGTGGACACGATCGGGGTTGCATGGAGTCGTGCATTCGTGCAAGCGACGGATGGATGTTACACCAAATGTACGCGAAGGGACGACGAGAGGGGACGAGAGAGAGATGGAATGGAAAGAAAGAAAGACGGGCAAGGGGAAAACGGGCAAAGGAGACGCACGCTTCGTAAAAGCCGCCGCCGATCATTTCGAGGGAAAGGATGGAGCCCTGCGATCCGGCAGGGTCGTCGCGAGCGCGGAGAATGCGGGTGCGCGCATTTTGGCGCCGACGCTGGTCGCGTGGGCGGCGATTTTGTGCGCGGAGGAGCCCGTCGCGGACGGGGGGCGTGCGCACAGGTATGCTCTCAGGTGCGGTGCGCATGGGGACTGAGGCGTGCAGAAAGCTCTGAGCGCGCTAGATGTGCACCTGGGTTGCGTGGTTGGAGAGCCGGGGTGGCCTGGGCGAGACTGTGAGCGACGTCGAGCTCAGCGCGGGTATACGGGACGGGTGTTGGGGGGAGAAGCGAGGAGGTAGAGGGGATGTGGGAGTACGAGACGAAGGAGTGTGGCTGAGCGGTCGGTGGACTGATATCAAGGGGCCAGCCGTGGAGGACAGCACAGGCGCCGTCCCAGCAGAGCGAATTAATGAGTTGATCAGGTTATTGGCACGGCCAACCGTCCCCGCTCTTTGTACTCGCAGAGGCAGAGCGCCGGCACACGGAAAAAAAGGAGCGCAAGGGGGACTCGTCGCCGTCGTCGAGCTCGAAGTCGGTGCGGCGGTGGGTATGCTCGTTGTCGTCGTCGGCGTCGTCGTCGAGGGTGGACGGAACGGGAGAGAGGAAGACTCCGGCGGCGACGAGCGCCCGCCCCCGCGAAAGTTCCCCTTACGTAACGCGCGTCTTGGCGAGTCTGGAGCCCCGCGATGTTGTGCCTGGTCCTTTCTTCCGGCCCCCAGGCCTCTTCGGGCTCGCCGTTGCCAGCAACCTCGACGCCCGTCTCCCGCCTTGTATTCACTCGCTGTTCGTCCGCTCCCAGGCCTCATATACATATTACGCCCCATCGTGGACCTCCGCGGGTTCTTGTTCGCGATCTCCATTGACTGGTTCTCTTTCATCTCTTTCACCATCCGCCTATCGGCTCTCTATATCCCTTCTAGTGACCGCTTCCGTGCGCTAGAATTATGGTCGAAAAACCGTACCATCCCACGGCTTGTGCGGTCATTCCTCGCCGGCTTGTAGGCCTTGATGAACACGCGCCGTAACATCAAGTACACGGTCTGCATCATGCTGAGCCTCGCTATATGCGCCTATATGCTCACGTCTCAACTCGAACCTGCGCATTTGAGCGCAAACTCGCCGCCCGCATCCTCAGCGCATCAATTCTGCGCTTGATCTTCCATTCTGAGCGTGGATATCAGTGACCCCCCGCTATCACCGCGTTGTTGCCACTTGTAACTATCTCGAGTCTCCCCTAATCACACCGACGTGATGACAGCCGACCCCCCTCTGCAGTCATCAGGCAAGGGTCGTCAGGTGACACGGCAGCAAGCACTCGTTTGATGTCATTGCCGGCCAACAGCGTCAAAAAGCAGGCGAAGACGAGCAAACAGATTCCCAATCTTTGGCCAGAGCAACCCGTTCGCTCGCGAAGCGAGTTTCAACCAGCCATGAGACAATGATTGCGCGCCATATCTGCAGCTCCGCCGGAGACCAGACATCGCGTCATTCTCGACATCTGCACCTCGAGAGTTGACGCGCATTTCGGCGTGAATATGTCGCTCGCAGAAGCGGCATCCTCGGCACGGCAATCTTGTGCCTCCTCGATCATCGTCCACCTGGATACACACACGGCCCTTCATAGCACTAGGAAACGCATACATCGCGCTCAATCGACGCCTTCTGCCCAACAAGTCTTCGAGCAGCACACGCACACCGTATCTGCATCACTGCACTGCCTCGATCTATGTCTATTTGCTTGCACTCTCGCCAACCTTTTTTTTCTCCTTCTGCAATCTGCGCATCAGTGTCCTTGTCGACCGCCGATGTATGTTCTGAATTCTCTTTTGCAAGGTCAGGCACGGATTTCATGCGTCAGCGCGTCTACACAGCGCGTCCCCGACATCAGGCTGTGTTACGCCCACCCCTGATGACATCCACATCATCAGCGCTCGCACGACTCCCTTTGACTGGCCTCACAGGAAACCTGAGGCCGTTGTGGGCTTCCGTGGGTCCCACTTCTCTCATACCGCCGGGTGTTCACCTCGTGTAGACACTGCGTTTTCTCCTTCTCTCCTACCCCCCGTCCTTCGCGGCTCACATCGCACCTGGCGACGCACTCGCAGCATCAGGCTGAACGCCTTGCTTGGGTCATGCATGAGCAGGACAGACTGAGTCAGGAGATCCATGCCGTACACGCTTTCGGCACGATTAGCCTTCCTTTCACTTCAGGTCCCACTGCCCATTTCTCTCTTTCACGCGCTCTGCCGTTCTCGACAACATTAAGATGCGCCGGTGCATCTCTGGCCGCTGTGCATCGACATCGGGACAAGCAGCCGCGCGCGATCATTGCGCGTGTACCAGCCGTGCATCGTGTCTATATGTGAGTTCTAGGTAGAACTTAACGCATTCGCGCGTAGCGCGCGCCTATTGACTCCTGTTCTTCCCATCTTGCACGTGTTTTTTTTTCTCTTTGCGTTCCACAGATACGAGCACACACTGCCAAGTCCATGATGTCGCGCGTCTGCGGTGCCCGTCACCGTCACGCGTGATCGAAGAGGGTTCGGAGGCACGCGCGCCTGCGCATGCCGCGACACCTATTTTTGCCCCTGTCAGAGCTTAGACTTCGTCTGACTCACTCGGAACCGGATTCCTTCATCACGTTCTATAGAGGCGCCCCTGCGTGGTCGTGCCATATGAACACTATCAGAGACCAATTGAAGCCAGCAGTCGTCCGTTCCGGCTATGAACGTCTCCGATAACGTACCGGTGGTGATGCGACGAATGGGATTTCTAAGGCGGGCTCGGCTCGTAGCTCGTCTGCGGCGGGACAAAACGCGGAATGCACGCGGGCAAAGGCAGTCTGGTCGCCCTCAACTCGACGCGACGGTCTCAAAGAGACTCATGGGAACCCCCGTGCCTCTCGCCAGAACACGCTCGCGAGCCTGCATGTCACTGTGCCGTGCCGCGCTGTGCCGCGTTGTGTGCAGCCTTGATCACCAACTGACCAGTCGCGGACGCCGGGTCCGAGCCAGGCTGGGCTCTCTGAGCGGTGGCGTCATAGATTTTGACGCGTAGGATGGGCGTGTTCGGTATCGGAGGTGCAGGCAAGCCGTGCGGTGTTTGTGTTGTAGATTGAGACAATTTCGACGCGCGCGCAGGTTGCAGGAAGGCCCGCAAGTGTCTGATTCGTCTTTGACTTGCCTGACCACTTGCGTCTCGTTGGAGAGAGCCTCGTGTCGTGCCAAATTCTTGTGTAAAGCCTCACTTGCATTTAGACGTGACTTCGCCCGTCTGCGAAAACAATGATCACTACGGGCTAGAACGATCAGTGCGTGGGCCCTTGACCATATTCTCTCAAATGACTCACCGACCCCGACCTTTTTTACACAGGAATTAAACCCGGCCCCTTGAGATCCTCGCATATCCTTGGCTTCTCTCTATTGAGTGGAAAGTCTAATTGATGAGGGAAAGGCCACCAATTGAGACCCTCCCGCAGTTATGCGCTACAAACAACAAATTTATCTCCCCACACTGTCGATACGTCAGTCAAGTTATTCTGAGACTCGTTTTCGTTTATCTTTCTTGATTTGCATGGGTGCTCCTTCTTGCCTTAACTGATTTTTACTGCTTAAGTTCGTTCTTTTTGAATAAACTCACCACCCCAATCGATCCGAGCAAGCGCGTAGTGCAATCCATTTCCTCTCCGCTTCCTGATACCCTTACGGGGCATACCATGATCGCACAGCACGCCGGAACCGCGTTCCCAGACACCTGGACACTCCATGATTGCTATCGTGAGTCCATCACGTTGAACTTTGATACCATCCCGCTCCTTCCATCACGATGCCGCGAAGCATGGGGTCCAACTTCTGCGACTGCGCCGCATTCGCTTTGCTCCCACAAGCACGTTCCGCTGTGCGCGGGAGCACCCAATCGTATTCTTTGTCGGTCTTTTATTATTCTTGGACAGGGGAGGACTGACTTTCATACAATCTACAGTGCACCCTCGCTCATAAAATTCGTCATAACCATCTCGAGCAGTCTTGTGAAACCGACGGAAGGTTGACTTGAGCTTTTTTGTCTTGGACCACCCTACGGAAATGTGCCCTTGCCCTAACGATAAGCTTCGAGGCCTTGATGACGCACTTGGGATATCCACCACGCCCGCTGAGCCATTGACCAGTCATCAACCTCTGTCAATCTCTGGCTGTGGTGTAGGATCCTGATCCCCCGATCTCTCACGGCCACTACAGGTGTCTCAGCGCAGTTTCATTGACATAGATGGTCGATGGAATGCTCAGTGAATCCGAGGTTCAGCAAAGGGTCCGAGATGTCCCTAAATCGAGACCTTTTCTGCCGAAACCCTTGCCCCTGTGGAGGAGACTAGATCAGAAAACTCCATTCAGGCCGTCCTGTCGTCGGGTCGTCCTTCCGTGACTCAGAGAAGCTCTTCACTCATGTCGATCCTCGGGGATTTGCCAGAGCGGCATATCGGCACGACCAGATTGGCCGAGGTGTGCAAAGCTGCCCAGGCCCACGACCCACGACCCACGACCCACGACCCACGACCCACGATGACTCTCACGCACATCTCCCTTGGGTACGCTCCCCGCGAAGCGTATAGTCGATGGATGACGCTCTGCGCCAATCTTGACCTAGTTGGATAGTAGCGACATCGTTCTCTCTCCTTGAGCAGGGACTAGTACATGATTTATATACACCCGTTTTTGATGCGCGAATCTATGATGCTTGTCTGAGCATGATGCGGAGGCTGGTAAGGTTCCCAGGAGCCTTTGCTTACTAGGAACTGGGCGCTGCGAAGCTTGTTCGGGCGCGGTGGGAACGACCTCTATACCAAAATCGGGGCATAGACTTGTCCGCTGCAGTGGTAATAGATTTCAGTCGGTGCAGGTATAAAATGAGGATGCGTTATAAAACAATGTATGGACACATCCGGAATTGAACCGGACACCTCTCGCAAACGTACATGCTAAGCGAGCGTGATAAACCAACTACACCATGTGCCCGATGACATTGCATTGTCTGAGAAGTACAATATGCCCAAATGGGGACCGGAGACTGCTTATCATGATGCGGCAATGGTACTGTCCGATGCGCCTCGTCCCCCAAAATTGCATATCTCACATTTCACCGCAACAGGATTCGGGGTACACAGGGAGGGTGTTGTATGTTAGAATCGGTCGTTAAAAGTGCGTATGTCCAGTGCGGCCCAGTCTATAAATTTCTTTGTAGCTAACGACGTCTATTGCTTTTTTCAAGATAACCTCGCTGCGTGCTAAATGATTTAGTCGGTCATCATCGTGCATAGGCAGGCGCTTCGAAAATAGGTTCAGACCCGCGGTAGATCAGTGACTGATTCTCTGGCTGCTTGCTACGAGCTGCACGAGGCTGCGAAATGATGAACGCTGAGCCGATGTTCCCTGAGTGGAATGTTCAAAGAGAATAGGGGACCCATACGGACCCAGCTGTCCAGGTGCGGGGCCAGACCTCGAAGGCATATCGGAAGGTTGTTCGCTAAACTGCTTCTCACGATTTACGGAATTGTCGTCCGTGACAAAAGGAGGTGCGCGGCAATCAGCACCGAAAGAAGGAGGGTTAAGGTGAGCTGATTACCGTCTCTTGCCCTGTTCTTCGTCTTTTATCCATTTTCTCAGCCTTTTTGCTCTTTATAGCTCGACAGCCACCGCCCAATCCTCGGTCATGGCTCTCTGCCTCGCATGGACCCCGTCCTTGAAAACCCACGCGCAGTTTTAACCCTACCTTGAGTCAGGAGCTGCCTCGCCCCCTCGCGCCCTCTTCGACACTACCTTGATTAGCAAACGTCGTCGCACTGTGAGTTGGAGGCCTGTCCCTATTGATTCGTGGTGAGCTCCAAATCTCTGTAGTATGGGCCTACGTAGACTCACCCATCCATGTCGTCGCCTGAAGCAGAACCAGCGTGATCGACAAACACCATTTCGTTGCTTGAGGATCGAACATGGCGTCTGATCTGTCAGTGTTACCGTGATGACCCTTTGCCTGCGATCGTGACTCATGCCGGGCTCATGCGATTACTATTTTCAGCAGCCCATCATCATCTCAAGCCATCAATGTGCCATCTAGGCTGCCCCGTATTCCCTTCGAGCTCCACCGGCCCATCATCGAATTGATGCATCCCAATACATTCAGATTCGCGACGCATAGCCGGTACTACCATGAGTTGAGTCTTGTCTGCCGCGATTGGCGGCGAGAGGTGGAACGAACTTTGTATCAAGACGTTCGTGTCCCTGATGGCAATATCATGCTGTTCTGTCGCACTATGCTCAGTAGGCCAGATCTTGCCCTGTTGGTTGAACGCCTCATCGTCTTCGCTGGGGCCCCGGAGCTCGTTAGGGAGGGGGACAAGCCTATTGTAGAGAGGATGCTGAGGAGTCTCAAGAACCTGAAGGACTTCGAGGTCATGGCTTCCGCAGACTGGGGTGGTGATCTCCCCCTCACCGAAAAGTGGATCATCAGCCCGGACGATTGCTGGATGCTAGATGACTGTACGTTCGACCTGGTCAGCCTCACGACTCCATGGGCTTGGACACCGCGGTTGATAGACACCCTCGCAAAACAACCTCATCTCCGCGAGTTCATACACCGAGGCGGCTCCGCAAGTGAGATCGAAGTCGACGTTCCTGACTCTGTCCTTGCTTATTGCAATATCATCCACGCTGATTCGCGAATTCTTTTTGGCATGCAATCTTCGTTCCGTAACATCACGCACATGTCCCTCAAATTCCACAAGATGGGTGCAGCCGAGGAGTTCACGGCGGCAGAGTCTATCAAGCGTCTCGGAATCAATCTGGTTAGCTTGCAGATCAACCGTCGTGTCGGGGAAGACTACGCGAGCACAACAAGCTTGTTGAGGATTTTCACCACAAACACGCCGAACCTTTTGTTCCTAGCCCTGTACGAAACCTTCGACTACGTTCGTCTCTCTTGTTGGTGGATGTTCTCTATGGAGACTGACCCAAATCTAGTCCCCCAGGGAGAATGCGCAAATGATGAATATCATTTCGAAGAACCTTCGAAAGCTTCAATGCTTCGTTTGGGCGCCGTTGAATGACGTCAGTCCATTCGAGGAATTCGACTCGGACGAAGAAGATGACGAAGAAGGTAGCAGCTGGTCTATTGATACAGACGAGTCCGATGAAGAGGATCAGAAGACCTCTTACGAAAAGATCTCTCGTTATGCTCAGGCGTTCTTCACAGCCCTCACATCACTACAGTTATTCATATCAGGCAGGGGCGGTCGGGTAGACTGCTGGAGGGTCTTAGATCGCCCGACGGGTCAGCTAGCCACAATGGAGAAGGAAGATCGGGTGATCATCGATCCATCTACGACCGCTTTCAGATATATTGACCCAGAGGCACCACTGGATTACCTCCTATACGGCAAAGTTCGTGAGCCGAGGTTCTCACCACAGGACGGTCTGATCTCTCAATTACCTCCACGCCCTCGTATGGATTGGTGTTTCTTTCATGTGGATATCGGTAAGCCTTCTGTATTTTTCTGCTCTGCTACTCTGCGAACGTTCATCATGAAAATTTACGTAGTCACGCATTCATACTCGTACTCATACCCTCAGCGCGACAAGTCCGATTATTAGTGTTCTTCATTTGGTTTATCGGTGCATGCTCTCCCCGAGGCGCACAATACTTTCAGAAACGCAGTGTACGAATGAATGTCTATCAATATGCAATGCTGGTTGTTCTCTGGCTCGTAGAAGTACTGTATACAGCTTGTAGAAGCGTTAAGCTCAATAACAATCAGTGCGTGCAGTATTCGAGATCGCCTATTCATATGACGCATTCTGGTCACATGTATCATTTTTCTCAGCAGATGTCACAGCTCGGGCTTCCGTCGGCGTTCATCTAAGCCCTTAATACCATCGATCAAGCCACTATCAAGCCACCCATATTCTCCCATATTTTCACTGAGAAAGAAGCTAGAGCTTGTGGGTCGCGGTCCCTTGTGGGTCCCGTTCCTCAGGTCTCAAGGACCAAGCCGATCCCCAATTGAACGGTTGGTCTACAATGTGTAAGCGATAGAAATAACGTGGGACAACGCAGTGCCGTACCTTATAAAGCTTTTGGATGGAAAGAAGCTGTCGTCAGACCACTGATATTATCATTCATCGCTTTCCTGTCACAATCAGCCAACGATGAAAGTTCTCGTTATTGGGTCTGTCAAATTTTCGTGTACATGTAGCTCTTGGTGGCTCAACACATTTCCACACCTGTCTAGTGCGACTGGTATGATTGGCCGACCCATTGCCCAAGCTCTGAGCCGGGCAGGTCATATAGTGTATGGACAGACACGGTCAGCGTCCAAGGCCAAACAGCTTTCTGCGGGAGAAAGTATGTTGCATCAGTTTATACACCCTACCTTGCTTATTCTGATTTTTATTCGCAGTAATACCAGTCATCGGTGAAGTTGACAATCCAAAATCGTGGATAGGACTGATAAACGAGATCGACGTTGTGATCGAAGCAATCGGTGGAAATGAGACTTATATCATCAGCGCTGCCATTCATCGAGCTGTTTCCGAAGCCGCATCACGACGCCCGACGGGGACACCGAAGCTTTCCTACATATACACCTCTGGGACTTGGGTGCACGGCGAGGACCGCACAACAATTGTCACTGATAACACTCCTATAACCAATCCTGCAAAACTCGTCGAATGGCGCCCAGCGGTTGAGCAAGCCATTCTATCCGACAAGACTCTGAATGCGATCGTGATCAGACCTGCTTTGGTGTACGGATATACGGGCTCGATTACAGGCCTGGCCTTTAGCATGGCCGCTCAAGGCAAGATAGTTTGGCCAGGTACACCTGGAGGACGGTGTGCTGTCGTTCACGCCGACGACCTTGCGGATCTATACGTGCGTGCAGTGGGCAAGGCGCAGCTCATTGGCGGGCTCATTTTCGATGCCTCGACAAGCCACAGCGAGTCGGTGGATGATCTTCTCGAGAAGCTTGTCAAAGTGTCAGGCGCACAGAGTCCTTATGAATATAAGATACCTTCGAATCGTGAGTGACTAGATCTCCTTATGCATTAGTCCTAGGTAATGAATTGTGTCTCAGTATTCGAAGAAGCGATTAGCACGACAAGCCTGGTGCGGCCTACCCTCGCACGCACCATCCTCGGATGGGAGACTCGGAAAGCTGGGCTCATTGATGGTCTGGAAGTCTACTACGCCGCATGGAAAGCCTCCCAGTAAACCTTCGGGCTTACTCAATGAGTCTACGTCTTACACCGATATCTTTGCTCACCCGCGATCTCGACGTTATGTTCCCCATGTCGCTGCGATCCAAAGCGGGTATCATTCGAATTCACAGTCATGCTATTAGTCATTCTCTTACACTCTTGCCATACGGTACAGAAACGGTTGTTCCTTTTCCTCAATTGTGCTGTGTCATGGGGTGTATATACATCTGATCTTTGAAGAAATCTATGTGGCCGCTAGAACGAAATCCGCAAAAGGAGACCCACTTAGACTGGTGAGCGGCGGTAAGCACCATTTGTGAGTGTTCATCCACGTGTTTGAGCTTTATCTAATAGACGTGCAGACATCATAGAAGCGCTCAAGAAGATGTGGACATTACACAGTTGCGTTTGCGACAAGTCGTGGCCTGCACAGTGCCAATTCCTGTCAGAGCGAAGAAATTCTGACATCTGGCAATGAGATCTTAGGTTGATCACGGGCGCCCCAAAGACCTAGGAAGGAAGGTGAATATCTAGCCCTCGACGTTCATTGATATGCGCAAGTCGCACGGGGCCTGGGTCATGGGAATCCTTGTGCCGGCAGATGATGAATTGACCGTAATCTGAGCGTCTCACGATGTACAATTGTATAGGAGCATGTAGCTTCCCATCGTAAGAATATTACACATAGGTTGATAGTGCGGGGGGACGGGGAGATATATCATAAGGGACCTGGCAATGCCCATCGCCCACCCAACGTCGTGTATACGGGTATGAGAGTTTTAGTTCTTGGGTGAGTAGTTTCATGGCTCCGCGAACAAACCTAGCACCACTGATCAATACTCAGCGTGACAGGCATCATTGGTGGGCCTGCTGCTCGAGCGTTGAGCCGTGCGGGCCACATGGTGTATGGTATGACGCGCTCGGCACTCCAAGCAAACCGACTCGCAGCTGATGAGGGTGCGTGACCACACTCTATGATTGTACTGCGCATACCAATCATACATGATGGTAGTTTTTCCTGTCATTGGTGACCCCGCATGTCCTGAGAATTGGATTGACATCGTCCAGAATATAGACATCGTAATTGACGCTGTTGGAGGCGAGAACTCTGCAACGATTGCACCAAGCCTGCATAAGGCCGTCTCGGATGCTGCTGCACGCCGGCCGCCGGGGACGCCACCGCTCACATACATCTACACATCGGGGATGTGGGTGCATGGTGATGATCGAGCAACGATTGTCACAGACGGGTCGCCGATCGTGTCTCCATTGCGGCTTGTGGCTTGGAGACCAGCAGTCGAAGACGTAATCCTGCGTAGCAGCGGCGCTGTCAGAGGAATAGTGATACGTCCAGGGTTACTATATGGACAGGGAGGCTCTCTTTTTGCTGCGCTGTTTGCGAGCGCAGCGAAGGGAAACATAGTTTGGCCTGGTGCGCCAGGGGGACGATATGCAACTGTGCACGCAGATGATTTGGCTGATCTATATGTGCGTGTCGTTGGGCATGCAGCAGCGCTCGGAGGATTGGTGTTCGATGCGACGAGGGAGCACAGCGAGTCGGTGGATCTGCTGCTGCTGAGGATGGCGGAGGTGTCCGGTGCAGAGAGGTATGAGTACAAGAAGCCAACGAATTGTGGGTAAAATCAAGTATTCGGCCTAGCTCACTGCTGACGTGCTACCGCCTACTAGTGCTAGAGGAAGCCCTGAGTGCAACGATAATCGCACGACCGACACTTGCACGTACTATGCTAGGGTGGGAGTCGCATAAGCCAGACTTGGTGGATGGGCTAGAGATGTACTACGCTGCGTGGAAGGCGAGGCAAGGAGAAGTTGCCAGCTGAACGGGAACAACTCCGGATCGGGGCAGGATATCCCAGTACCAGAGAAAGAAATCTTCTATTGCGGTTGCGATGGTCGAGGACAGTGCTAGGTACCAAGAACTATGGCCTTCATCTTTTCAGCCTAAATCACCATATTGATTCTCAAAACAGAGGCGACGCGCACAAGACATAGTTTCCAGAAATCAACTTCCACAAATACCTCTCTGACTCACGGTGGGTTATTGTGTTTGCTTCGAATACCTTTACATCTCTGAGATCAAGTGAGTTGAATGAGTCGAGTAAATAGAACGAGAAACGCGCCTGGATCTCCATTTAACTGACTCGCGTCGGTTTGGAGAGTGGCGTTGCCACTCGCCAGAGGACTAGGAGCTGCTTTGAGAGGCTGCCGGAGCACTGCCGAGAGCTGCCGAGTGAGCAACGGAGATACAAACAATTTAACCTGATTCGCCCCAAGCGATTCAAAGACGCTTCCAAGATCGCTAGCCAGTAGTGCAACATTATCGGCTCTCACTGCATGCACTATGTTTTCCGCCCAATAGATCCTTCAATGAAGCGAGGCAGGATCTAGCCATACTCGAGAAAACATCTGGAAGAAATATTCTTGCCACTCATGCGTATGTCATGATGAGTCGAACGCCGGACGGTAGCCTCTTTGCACTTTTATGGAACTCTGATTCTGTTGAGCTCACTGCTCTCGAACCCGACAGGCGACTATTCAGCTGTCTAACTACAGCCATAAAGCCGCGCAGGACCCAAAATAATCTCGATGAAGTGATGAAGATGGAACTCATGGTCACTCGAGCTTTAGTTCGATGTCAATGGATCAGCGTATTGTTCCTCTCGAACCATGACATCGAATAAAATTGCGTGAAGGTACTCTCGAGAACCTCGAGCAGTGATACAGAACGGATTGCCTACGTCTCGCGAATCATCTCACTCCGATGATGCTCGTCATCCAATTTAGAAGCCCGCTGCTGTACTGTATGTCCTCTAGTTTTTCAACACCTCCCGCGCGCAAACAAGCCTCCAGCTGCTCCAGATCACTCTGCATGGTGACTTGGATTCTGGGCGCAGGAATGTTCATAGCTGCGCATACGTCAAAGAGCCATTTCTCGAGCCCACTCCGAAAGCGACTGATGGAACAATGTCCGTCAGTTTGAGCGCATTGGTGAATGAGCACAGCGATGGATCGCCAACTGATCCCCTGTACGCGTCCAGCTAGGAGCGCCTTGACTCGGTCGATAGGCGCATGTTTGGATACGAACGCTACGGTGAATCCTGCAGCGTGTAGCAGCAAGAAAACTGAGGCATCGTAGTGACCGAGAAGAGCTTTCAAAGAGTGTGGTTCGATAGCAACTGTAAGAATGGATTCTCCTAGTCCGTCTGCCAAGTAATTGACATGAGATCAAAGAGATAACACTGTTCTGCAAGAGACATACCCATTGTTGGAACCTTCGCATCGAAGCCAATCATGGCGAGATCGGTCGGCCTACCGAGGTCAGGGTAAATCTTTGACACTGCGACGAGAAGAATAGCGCTCGCGAGAGCTGCAATTAGGTAATCATGGTAATAGGGAGTGTCTTCAACTGTTGGGTCGACCGTGCAGATGTGGGCATAAATATCTGCACAAACCCTCATGAAGCTCGATCTGCAAACCAACTGTCAAGACTCACATCGGTTGGATTTGTCTAGATGTGAGGGTTAATACATTTGGTCTGCAACGTTCATCAGGAAGTAATGCGCACCATATGCGTGTATGATATCCTCATGAACGAGAGCTCAATATAGAACGAGATCCCCATTGAAGTCTTTCTCTAAATCATTGCACCTTATCTCAATAACATCCTCTGGTATTCCTGCCATGAGCTGCAGGAAGACCTTCGTTTGTTGTTGCTCATCGAGTTTGCCGCACCTCTCGAGTCTCGTGTCCACCTCCCACAGCCAGTGAATAATACTGCCCCAGAAGTGTCTTTGCACGATGACGCTGTAAAGCAAAGCAGGTCTGACTTCATAAAAGCACCTGGGAATAGAGATTTGAGACATTGTTGGTGGTACCAGTGAAGCCTAAGAGTCAACACATGTTTGGCGAGTGTTGTACACGGCGCTCAAGAAGTGATTCAACGAGGTATTCCGGCACGAACGCACCAAATTGGCTTGCGGCGACTCCCGGTTTCCCTAATTGTCACATCGGCGCAAGCTCCCGCCTAACATACAAATATGAATGGAAGCTGTAACAAATTGAGCCAGGATCATACGGCGTTATGATAACTTCACTATCGCAGTGATTGCTGCGACGCAGGCTATCGTTGGGATGTAATCTATGGAACCTGGAGAACTGTCAGAAACACACCTCACAAGAGTAGATTCGATTTCATCGATTTCATCCCTCCTCGACTGCAAAAATCTCAGTCATCCCCAGTACTGTTTCGCGACAATGTGATCGAAATCAATATTGCGCGTAATCGCGCGCAGGTATGAGCGGAGGGTAGGGACTGATGAAGCCTGGATGCAAATCTACCGATGCTCTTGGTCCCCTCCCACCTTGAATGATCCTTCGGCTAGACTCAAACGACATTTCGTCTTGCCCCATATCTTCTCACTGTTCCACTTCCTGATCGACACGATCATCATCCGGATCGTTTCTCACGAAGGAAAGCCCGAGACCAAGCACTTGGGACCAGTGTGAGGTCGGCTCCTCGTTCACCCGAGAGGCTTGACGAAGGTTGAGAAGAATGCGCGAGGGCAAGATCGCGTACAGCACGCGCTGGACCCTAACCCAGATAAAACGCAGGACGTGAGTTCCATAGTAGTATGAGACATAGAATGTTGCAAGAGACGAACGATGCAAGGAGGTTGGTATACGCAGCCTGGCAGAACGGCAGTTCATTTGTGGGTTCACAGAGAGATCACAAGGAGCTGACTTACGGGGGCGACTAAGACTATCACCAGATTGGCCAAAGATACAGCTGCCAGGGCAAAGTCAAAATCGAGAGAGAGGTCAAGAACAAAACGGAGCGCACGAACCAAAGAGGTAAATATATAGTAGAAAACCTGGAGAATGATCTATATTAATCTCTACCCACGTTCTCACAGGTGGAGGCGGACGTGCCATCGCGATATAGTGTGTTGATGAGTTTTGAATTAGACCGCAGGACTATGATTTATATCAGTACGGTGAAGGTTTATGTTTCTGAGACTTACCGTGTCGATTCCGCAGTACATTGATGAATATTAATACGACGATGACTACGCCTTCCCATTCAATATGCTGCAGAAGCAGACGTTATCTAAAAAACATGCTTACGCGTATCGAAAGCTATGAGCACCGCGCAATCCAGAACGAGGATGCGGCTTCCGCCAGTCACGACACAACCCCTGTCTACGTGTGATAGAAAGCTCTTCATGGGTTCAACTGAGGATAGCGAGAGATGGTCGACTTATGAGCGTGTCTACCAATCCAAGCATCACACCCACAGGTCAGCGATCCCATAAATTTTGCAAAGGTCACGCAGTCGACGATATGACACGTGGTCAAAAGGAGTCCGAGACCAATTCCAGTGCGTCTATCGCAAGACCAGAGAGCCCACGTTCGGAGGATGATCAGGACTGATATGTCGAAATGGAGAGAAAAGGCGACCATGAGAATGGATATTAGTCTGGTGAACTCACAGATCGAAATACGTACGTTCTGAGAGTGCTAGTCCCCACACGACAAGCCCTGAACACGAGCATCGAAATGATTAACCTCAAGTATTTTATTGGAGAGCGAATGTAGGTTTGAACAGCACTCACAACCAGACAGCTTGAACAAAAAACTGCATTCGCTAACGGACGGGTTTTTGACGGACTGGTCTAACCAATGAAGAATGAAGCCCGTCTGTCTGGGGCCGAATACAGATGAAGACGATGCACGCACAGGATAGCATTATTGTGATATCTAGGAATGCGGAATATCGCGTCAGGAAGAACAAAATATTGGCTACATTCATGCGCGAGCTCCAAACGTGCTCGACCTCTTGTCGGAAGGTCAGAGCATAGTCGTAGATCTGACTGTAAGGTCAGTTAACCCCGAAGCCAGGTAGCTGCAAATCAAGCACTCGCCAGGATGGCTGCGGCGCAGACTGCCCGCAATGGATGATATAATGAGCGGATGATCAGAACCCGGCACGCATCCGGCTTACCGTGGAAGTACTGCAAAGCGAACACGTCACGGACACGAAGCGAGAAAGAAGAGATATCGGACGAACAGAAACCAGGTTTGTGCGCCAGATGGTGTCCGCAACGTCGTCGGCGCTCAATGCGTACATGGCAGAGGGAGACAGCCGATGGCTGGTATCCTGCGCCCCTGAACCTTAAGTACCACGCACGTCGACAAGCTTGTCCTATATATCCATAGCAAGATGTGGAAATTTGATGCGTGAGTCGGGTCAAGAGGCTATGCACGGCGCTCCTCAGACACCTTCCGATTGGGCACTGTCGCGCCTGCACATCTGCCTTGCATCGCGATAGAGTCGCAGAGCCATCGTGATTGACAGCTACCTGTACTTGAGAGAGTGGAATAGGGAAAGTCAAAGCGGCAGACTGGGCTGACACAAGATTAGGCTGTTTTTCCTCCCTCCTCGACTGCAGGAACCTCGGTCATCCCCAGTGCAGTTTCACGACAACGCGCTCAATGGAAAGATTGCGCGTAGTGCACATGCATAATAATAGGTGGGGTCTGATGGGATACCACGTTTGGATGCGAATCTATCCATGCTCCTTGTTCCCTCCCACCTTTAGAAACCCTTTGACTTGACTGAACGACGTCTTTGTCTTGCCCCATATGCACTCACTGCTCTCCCTCCTCGTGTACGCGATCATCATCTGCATCGTACCTCGCGAACGAAAGCCCGGGACCAAGCACTTGGGACCAGCGTGAGGTCGGCTCATCGTGCATCTGGGAGGCTTGGCGAATGTTGAGAAGTATGCGCGAGGGAAAGATCCCATATAGTACGCGCTGAACCCTGGAGCAGATAAAGCGCGGGGTGTGAGCTCCAGGAATATGATGCATGAGCTGTGGAAGGAGACGGACGATGCAAGAAGGTTGGTATACTCGGCCTGGACGAACGGCGGGATGTTTGTGAGTTTATTCGAGAGATTACCAGAAACGGACTCACGGGGGCGACTGAGACTATCACCACATTGGCCAAAGATACAGCTGCCAATTCAATGTTTCGATGTTAAAAACATTGTCGAGAACACAACAGTGTGCACGAACCAAAGAGATAGATAAAAAATAAAAACCCTAGAAGGATGATTTATATTTATCACTGCAGGTGTTCTCATAGGTAGAGACGGACGCGCCATCGTGATAAAGTGTTTTGATGAGCTTTGACTGAGGGCACAAGACTATGAAATTCATGTGAGTATTACATGGAAGGCTCACTCTATCCGAGACTTACCGTCTTTGTTCTGGAGCACATTGATGTATATCAATACGACAATTACTAAGCCCTCCCATTCAATGTGCCGCAGAAGCAGGCGTGACCTTACACTTACGCGTATCGAAGGCTATGAGCAGCCCCCATCCCACAAGGAGGATGCGGCTGCCGCCAGTCATGACACAACCCCTATCCACGTGCGATAGAAAGTTCGCCATGGGCTCGACTGAGGACACCAAGAGATGAGACTGCGTGTCTAATAGTCCAAGCATCACACTCACAGGTCAGCGATTGCTGAAATCTCGCATCAGCCACGCAGTTGACGATCTGGCCCACGGTCAACAGGAGCCCGAGACCGATCCCGATGCGTCTATCGCATGCCCAAAGAGCCCACGTTCGGAGAATGATCAGGACTGATACAACGAGATGGTGACCATGAGAAAAAATGTTGGTCGGGTGAGCTCACAGATCGAAACACGTACGTTCTGAGAGTGCTAGTCCCCACGAGACAAGCCCTAGATACGATCATCAAGAATGGCATTCTTGAGTATTTTGTTTAGATGTAGGTATGAACGGCACTCACAAGCAAACAGCTTGAACAAGAGGCTGCATTCAGGGCCAGATGGGTGTTTGACGAATAGAACTAGTCGATGAAGCCCATCTGTCTAGGGTCGAATACAGACGGAGACGATGCACGCACAGCACATCATCACTGTGATGTCCAGGAACGCTGAATATCGCGTCAGGAAGAACAGGATCTTGGCTACGCTCAAGCGCGAGCCCCAGATATGCTCGATCTCTCTCCGGAACGTCAGAACATAGTCGTAGACCTGACTGAAAGGTCAGCTCGGCTGATTCGAGACTAGAGAGCTGCAGATCGAACACTCGCCAGGATGGTCGCGGCACAGACTGCCCGCAGAGATGGTCTGATGAGCGTATACTCAGAACGCGGCGCGCAGCCGGCTCACCGTGGAAGTACTGCAAGGCGGGCTATTGGTCACTCACACGAAACGCAAGAGAACTTAGGTTGGACGTACGGAGACCAGGTTCGTGCGCCAGATGATGTCCATGGCAAAAGAAGGGCGCGGTCAAGGCGGATAGCTATTTCCTGCATCTGTGGGCCTTAAGTACCGCACATTCAATGGAGAACCAAGGCATCGCGGGGGGCTATGCACGGTGCTTCTCAGACACCCTCCAGTCTATCAAATGTGGGATTCATCTGCCGTTGCATCGTGATAGCATAGAATTCCAGGGCCATCTCTGATTGAGACAACAATACAGTTGCGGCCTGCATCCTGAGAGAGCGTGACAAAAGATGTCAAAGCTCGATGTATTGCGCGCAACGCCGCCGCCCTGCGTGATTAATCCCGGTGTACAGATACCAGCCTCTCCCCGATATATGCAAAGACAAGCCGCCGCTACTCACAATCACCATGCCTCGCTCTCAAAGCACTCGTGCAGAGCCGGCACCGTCAGAAGCTCTGTCCATGCGTCCTCCCACCACCCGATCTCCTCCCGAAACAGCCCACCCTTCTTGCCCTTCCTCTTCTTCAGCACTTTCCGGATGCTGTCGCGCGTTTGCACCCCGTTGAAGACGTCGAAGGGCTTGACGGACGTGTAGTGCACGACGCGCAGCTCGTCGCGGATCGCGGTCCACATGGCCGGATTGCGCAGCTTGATGGCGAGGTTCCCGTTGTAGACGTACGGGAGCCTGACCGCGTCCGCGGCGAAGAAGACGTTCAGGAACGCCTGCTCCGCCTCGAACGGCGGGAAGACCGCGCGGTCGAGGTTGTCGAGCATCTGCCAGAGCGTCGCGTTGCTCGGGCGGAGGAAGAGCACGCCCGCGTTGAAGCCGAGCTTGAAGCCGCCGCGGCGGTCCGCGACGAACACGTCCGGCACGGCGGCGAAGTCGAACGGGAGCGCGAACAGCTCCTCGAACGGCCGGCGCACGAGGGTGTCCGCGTCGAGGTACACGGCGGCCTTGACGCCGATCTGGTCGAGCCCCCAGAGGTTCAGCTTCGTGTACTGGTCGCCGAAGCGGTAGCCCGTGCCGGCGCCGCCGTGGGGCGGCTGGATGAAGGGCACGGGGTTGAGCTCCCAGCCGCCCGCGCGGGCGATGCAGAGCGCCTCGGCGGAGACTTTGTTCGGGAGGTACATGAGGATTTTGCGCGCGGTCGTGTTGGTGAGGGCGAGGGAGTGCCCGAGGGTCGCGACGGGGAAGGCGAAGGCGTCTGTGTACATTGAGGAGACAATGGCATGTTCGCTGCGATCAGACGGGCGTGACTCGACGAGGTCCAGTCGCCCGACGGTGACCACTTTTCTGTTGTTGATGCAGTGAGCAATGTATAGGCTGGAGGGATCAATCAAAGACAGAGCACAAAAGAGTGAGACTGGATCTGTCACTGCAGTCACTCTGCCTTGTCGGCGATCCATCTCCTGACTCCAGGCCATGTCTTTCGCCCCTCCACCCCTCGCCCCCCATACACGTTCGGCTTGAGACAGCGAACGAGGAGAGACTCACAGTCGCTGGTAGTCATCTATCAACGACGACGGATCTGGCGGCCAAATCCACGTTGTCGCGATAAAATATAGGTTCAAGAAGGCGAGAACGGCGCAGAGGACATAGAGCCACTGTTGACGGCTTTGCGGGTAGGAGAGGGCGGTGGGGTTGAAGAGAGGGAGATAGCCGTATTTGGAACGGTTCATCCAGTTGATCAGATTCATGGCGACGGCGTTTTCTCGACGCCTTGAGGCTTCCGCGCACCAGGGTCGCGACACGCGAAGCCGTAGCCGACAGAATTTCTCGAGAGTTGGTTTCTGCAGTCGTTTGCGCCAACGACCGCCGGGTTAGCGCTCTCGGCCAGCACCCAGCTGATATACTGTGCTCGTCTAAGCTTTGGGCAGGCTGCTGCGCTCCGGCGCCGGCTGAGGCGCCGAAGCGCAGTACGTTCAGTGCTGACATTCTTTCGCAATTATCAGAAAAAAACAGGGCTTGTAGCCACGAGAAGGGCCTCGTTCGAAACGAATCGTAGACTAGGTGGATGGAGAGATAGAGTAAAATGATGCGCTGCGAAATAGTCATAGAGTGCAGAGAACGTGTCCTTCCACTGCAACCTTACATAGTAAGGAGAGGATCCGTGAGGGCAGCCCTTGGGAACACCCTGAGTCATCGGGCAAACGGGAACGCGGGCTATCGGCGACATCGACTTTCATACAACGATAAATTGAATCGGCATTAAAACCCATCCGACAAACCGCAGGTCGATTATACAGAGCCAGTACATTAGACGGGATCCAGCCTGTCTCAGGATAGCTGGAGAGTTCTGTGATGATACCTTCGTGAGTGTTTAGCCGGTGCATCGATGAGGGTCTCCTCGACTCCCATGCGTGGTCGGTCCCATAAAGGCACGTTGTCGAGGAGCTTGTATAAAAGGGTGCCATATGCACAGATGTCCTGCTGCAAACAACGAGACTATTATGAGTATGAGCGGGTGGTCGAGAGTCAAGGGAGAGCGACGGTGTGACGGCGGGTGACGGGTGACAAGCGCTGGTGGACATCGCCTTGGCCGAGCGTGCGGGCGCTTGAGCTCACCGCCTCCACCAAGGTATGTCTTACTTATATCTCTCCGCAGCACTTCCTCGCTCACGACAGCAATTCTCTGACCCCCCTCCTCTAAAGCTTAGACTCGAATTGTGCTACCACGACCTATCATGTCTCACTACCCAGATGTAAGTCCTCGTCTCTTACCGACGGAGCTGTATTGACGGAGTGTTCACTGTACAGCCCGACGAGGCCCAGCGCGGGCGGTACAACGACGGCTACTCGAACTACAATCCATACGAGCAGCAACAGCAGCAACAGCAGCAGCCGTATCAGTCGGGTTTGCAAGACCCGTACATCACCCACTCTCCCCCGCCGCCGCCAAACCTGTACCCTCCACCTAACCAGAACCAGTACCAGCCCATCACCCACGACCCCTACGCGTCCCGCATGTCTTATCATCCTCAGTCACCCCCACCGGTCACCCTCCACGACCCATATTCTTCCGCACCGGTCCCCGTCCACTCTCCGCCTCTCCCTCTCCCGGTCCATTCCCCACCTCCCATGCAGGCGCTCCCACAACAAGACTATCTTTCCACGCCTTACAACCCCCAGCCCCTGCAGACCCCGAGCTCTCATTATCCGTCGACGTATGAGGTGTACGACGATCACGAGAATGACCTCGGCGACGCCGGCGATCTCCCGCTGCTCAGAGCGCCCTCGCAACACTCCCAGGTCTCTCTCGACCCTGCGTTCCCCGGTGGCTTTGCTGAGCCGGTAGATGACGATCAGGACACGAATATCCGCTACGGCCGCATCCCGCAGCGCGTGCCACGGCGGTACAAGACGATCAAGAAAGTCGAGTACGTCGCCGCTCTCCTCACAGCTCTTCCGCGCGCAGTGCATTGACCAGACGCGCCGCGCGCAAACAGGCTCTTTCACGGGAACTTTGTGCTCGACTCGGCCGTGCCGACGAAGCTGCTCAACATGTGCGCGCAGCGCGACGAGCGCGAGTTCACGCACATGCGCTACTCGGCGGCGACGTGCGACCCGAACGACTTCAAGGACGCGGGGTTCACGCTGCGGCAAGTGCACTACGACCCGCCGCGGCGGACGGAGCTGTTCATCGTGATGACGATGTACAACGAGGACGACGGGCTGTTCACGCGCACGATGCACGGCGTGATGAAGAACATCGCCCACCTGTGCAAGCGCGACCGCAGCAAGACGTGGGGCAAGGACGGGTGGAAGAAGGTCGTGGTGTGCATCGTCAGCGATGGGCGGCAGAAGGTCAACTCGCGCACGCTGAGCGTCGTCGCGGCCATGGGCGCGTACCAGGAGGGCATCGCGAAGAACATCGTCAACAACAAGCCCGTCGCGGCGCACATCTACGAGTACACCACGCAAAGTCAGTGCTCGTGTATCCTTCAGCGCTTGTTCTTGATTTTGGCTGACGCGTGACTGGGCAGTCTCCGTCACGCCGTCGAACAAGATCGAAGGCGCGGAGAAGGGGATCGTGCCGGTGCAGATCATCTTCTGCCTCAAGGAGAAGAACCAGAAGAAGATCAACTCGCATCGGTGGTTCTTCAACGCGTTCGGGCCCATCCTGCAGCCCAACGTCTGCGTGCTGCTCGATGTGGGCACCATGCCCGGGCCGACGTCGATCTATCACCTGTGGAAGGCGTTCGACATCAACTCCAATGTGGGCGGGGCATGCGGCGAGATCGTCGCGTTGAAGGGCCGGTACGGAGAAAAACTGCTGAACCCGCTGGGTAGGTGGAACGATCGCTATAAACCGGAACATGCCCTCACACGGCTGTAGTGGCTGCCCAGAACTTCGAGTACAAAATGTCCAATATCCTGGACAAGCCTCTGTACGTCCCACGCGAAAGGACCACGAGTCCTCCAACTGCTAACACCTGTGTTAGCGAATCGGTCTTCGGGTACATCACGGTGCTCCCAGGTGCATTCAGTGCATACCGATACATCGCACTGCAAAACGATGTGACAGGGGAAGGGCCGTTGCAAAAATACTTCCTTGGAGAAACGATGGTTCGTGACGCGTGACCAAGAATCCCTGTTATCTCACTAATTTCATGCTTAGCACGGAGCCGGGGCGGATATCTTCACGGCCAATATGTATCTCGCCGAGGATCGTGTAAGCCATAAGGTCTTACCCGCGAATCCGGTGTTAATGTGCGGATCCGCAGATTCTTTGCTGGGAGCTTGTGTCCAAGCGTGGCGGAGCGTGGATCCTGCACTACGTCAAGTCCGCATACGGCGTCACGGACACGCCCGATCAGGCCAGCTCTTTGCTAATCTTTGACGTCTGCGCCGCCGATCTGATGCCGGTGGTCCAGGTTCCGGAGCTTGTGTCGCAGCGGCGCCGGTGGCTCAACGGCTCCTTCTTCGCTGCGATCCACAGTACCGTTCACTTTCACTACATTTATCGCTCGTCGCACTCCTTCATCCGCAAGTTCTGGATCCACGTCGAGCTCGTCTACCAGACCTTCAACTTGATCTTCTCGTGGTTCGGCCTTGTGCGTTCTCATTTACTGTTTCTGTCTCGTGAAGCTGTGATTGATTCATGATGATGATGGCGTCGTCATCCAGGGAAATTTCTTCATCTCCTTCTTCATCCTGAGCAACGCCCTGGAAGACCCCGCCATCATCGGTGGCAAGGGCATCAAAGTCATCAACACCATCCTCCAATATGCCTACGTCGGCCTCCTCCTCATGTGCTTCATGCTCTCGCTCGGAAATCGCCCCCAGGGCTCAAAGTGGGGATACACCCTCGCCTTCGTCGGCTTCGCGTTCTTCACGATATATATGACGGTGAGCGGTCACTGTGCCCTCTACTCTGCTCCACGCTGATCGTGGTTGGGGTATAGTTTTCCGCCTTCTTTTTGGCCGTAAAAGGGATCCAGGGCGTCGCCAGCGACGCGGGGCGGTCGATCAAGTTCAGCGATCTATTCAGCAGTGCTATATTTAGGGACATCGTCATTTCGCTCGCTGCGACTATGGGCCTCTACATTGTCGCGTCACTCATCCACGTGTGTATCCGAGAAGAACCCTTCTCTCTGACGTCTGACAATGATGCTTTGTATAGTTCGACCCGTGGCACATGCTCACGTCGTTCATCCAGTATCTGTTACTGGCCCCGTCGTATATCAATGTCCTGAACGTCTACGCTGTGAGTTTTAGCATGTATGATCTACATCATCGCTAAATGCAAACTATACCCGTCTTCCCCACAGTTCGCTAATGTCCAGTAAGAGATGATCTGTTTGTCTTACATGACGCGATCGCTGACCCTTCCTCTCTACCAGCGATGTTTCGTGGGGTACGAAGGGCGACAACAAGGTCAACACAGATCTTGGCGTCGTTAAGACGGGCAAGAACACGAACGAAGTCGAGGTGGCCGTGCCGACCGCCGAGACGGACATCAACGCCGCGTATGAAGACGCGATCCACGTGCTGTCGACCAAACCGCCAAAAGAGGAACCCAAGTCGGATCCTGCGACGGAGCAGGAGGATTACTACAGGAACTTTAGAACAAAGTGTGTCGCCTCGGTTTGACATTCTTCTGCGTTCGATTGCGTGCTGACGTGCGACCTTGTAGCGTGAGTGTTGATAGCGGCGACAATGAAAGCTGCGCGCAGGTTGTTGATCACTTTTGTCTTGCAGGTCCTGATGGCATGGGTGTTGTCGAACGTGAGTCTTCGTTGGGCATCTAACCATGCATCAATTTACTGATTGCACCCATTCACAGTGCCTCCTGATTGCCATCATCCTGTGAGCACTACTGTCACGCATTGATCGCAGTTTGACTCATACGCTTTCCATCTGAACAGGACAGCGACAGGGAGCGCGGCGACCAGCGGTGCAAGCAGTACCGTCAACGGATACATGATCTTCATCTTGTATTCTGTGACTCTTCTTGCCTGTGAGCCTTATATCTCGTCAAGAGAATTTCGATGCTGAGTCCCTTTTAGTTGTTCGTTTTGTTGGCTCCTCTGCATATATGATCATTCGGTTGTTCGCTGGAGAGTAGAAGCCTATGCCTGCGAGCCCCGCATCATTGTATCCTGCTGTGGTGTTCACATTGGACTATACATAACGGACTGCGCTGTCGTGTCCTTATACTCTAGCCTCGTCTCTTGTATACCCTGCTTCAAGTTTTGCTCTACGATTATGTATTGCTCCATAACTATTCATGCTCACGCTCTACGACACGATACTTATTTAACTAAACCAGAAATTATCAGTGACGCATCCTTGCACGGCCAATATCGACATTGCTCTGCCGGAGCGTTGTTGACTTCGGACGGTGATCAAAACGCCCATTCCTAATCCGTGAGCTCCTTGGCCCACGCACTGGGCATACCGACATCCTCGGCACTGAGATCGATCAGCCGATTCATCTCTTCTTCCCAATCGCTGTCGAACTCCCACAGCGATCTCACAGAAATGGTGATGATGAGCGTCGACGTCTCTCCCCGGCTCACGCGGCTCTCGACCAGGGTGTATTTCCCCTCGCTCGCGCGCACCTTCGCGATCAGGCTCAGGCCGCGCGCCTCGAGCGTGCGCTCCGCCGTCGGGTCGGCGAGCCGCTCAAGCGTGTAGTTCTCGAGCGCAAACACGCCGAACGTGGGCGGCACCTTGAGGTAGTCGCACGACACCCCAAGGCCGGCGTACGGCACGCCTGGGTGGTCGCGTGCCGCGATCTCACGGAGGTTGACGATGTTGTCCCGCGCGTTGCGGATGGCGAGGTGGTGCATGAACACGCGGTCTTGTCGGTTGATCGTGTCGGCTTGGAGGGCTGGGTGGGCTCGTGAATGAGTGATACAGGAGACGCCGCGACAGATGAGGTGCGTACCGGTGCGTTCCAGGCTCTTCAGTTCGCATTCTGTTTTGTGGCCCTTTTTCCAGCCAAGGACTTGGCATGACTTTGAGCAGTACATGGTCGTTTGGCATCGGGCGCACTGCTTAAACGTGTCCTTGGCTCCCTGCTTTTGACACTGGCGAGGTCATCAGTAATATTATCTACGCGACGAAGACGACGCACATTGTCGCAATAGCCGACTTGTTTTCGCATGACACTCCACTCGGTCTTGATCGACATGCGCTCCTCTGTGAGGTGCTTCAGCTTCAGCCATGGCTCCTTCAACGGAGAGCGCGCAATCTTTGCCAAGTGCTGATTGTCCAACTTAGTCATGGCAGCGCTCGCTGCAACGATCACAGAACGATAGACGAAATACCGCGGCAGGCGGTCGGAAAGCATCGCGAGCACCAGCGTGCACACGTCGCCATCAAGCAGACGGAACGATGGGCTTATGTTGACGAGGGCGAGGAGGAGCCCCTCGTGCAGCACTTGCTGGACCCAAGTGACTCCATCCGTGAACTCGATGAGGTTGCTAGTGCAGCCAATGCACGCCATGACGGCGTCGCGGACGCTCAGGTCCGCGAGAGAGGCCCGCGACAGTCTGACGAACGCTCGCGTGACGAGACCGATCGTGCCTTTCTTCAGGAGCGCATCGCGCAGCGGGTGGTCCCTGCGCGTGAGCGAGATGATCACGTCGATGTAGGAGTGGACGACGTCGGGCTCAAGCACCTGGGAGCCCTTGACCGCCGAGTTCAGCCGGGTGAGCGCGAGCGTCGCGAGGCGGTCGGCGTCGGTCCCGCTGCTTTCGACGACCTCGTCTAGCAGCTCTTTGCTCGCGTCGGATAGCACGCGATGCAGTGCTGCCGAGCCCATGGGAATGGCAAGCTTACGTGCGGCCGAGCCCTCGTCCTCCCTTTGCCACAGTATGGTGGTAAGGCGGATGGCTCCCGGGGTAGCCTGTACAGCCTTTTTCAGACCGATAGAGCTTGCGATGGAATACATCGCATAGGAAATCATCTCGAACGCGCCCTGACGCTGGACGTCGTTCTCCGGTCTTTGTGATTGGAGGGTATAAAATAAATCCATCCACCGATATATCCCTGGCCAGGTTTTCTCTACAGGATCGAGGAGCTTCCTGTCTTCGTCTTCGTCGGAAAAAAAAGGCGCAAAGTTTCCGAGCGCTTGGAGTGACAGCAGGGCGCGCTTTGCGCTGTCGGCCGCTGGTGAATTGTGAGCGGCGAGCCGCTTCGCGCTGGGGCACTTGTTGTGATCGAGATGGCTGCAGAACATGGCGACGACTTCTGGGGTCTGGAGCTTTTGCATCGACTGAATATTGCTGGCGACGGCCATGATGTCTGCGAAGGATCCGGCGGACGCAGCGCGGATGATCTGAAATAGTCATCTCTGGTGAACGAGTCGGCACTCGGATCGACAGGATGAAGAACACGGACTTGGCTAGGATTCGTCTGGAGGATGCGTGTGGAGCGCTCACACTCTGCGTTTAGGTTCATGGTAGCGTTGTCGTGCACCGAGACACTCGCAGTGGCGTCTCTTCTTTTCGAGTGAACTTGATGACCGTCGGTACTCAAGATTCTGAGATTAGATCATCTGCATGATAGCGACTCAAAGAACACGGCGTGAGAGCTTTGGTTCCTTCTGAAAGTGAATTGCCGTTACATCCCCAGGGGCCAGCACCGTCTAGATGGACGGGTATCAGAAGGTATCAGATGGTTTCGAGGACGTCCGACAAGTCCAAGCAGGGACCTAACTTTTTGGTGCGGTGTTTCGACTCAGATTGAGTATGATCTGTGCAAAAACTGGCTAAAATCGGAATTTTTTGGTTGTTTTTATCTTGGGCGGCTGTAAATGGCCGATTGTCGCGACAACCGGAGCTTGTTTGTCCCTTGCCCCAAAAGCATGCTTCGACAAAAATTTTGAAAAAGGAAGAGCATCGCTGCCTGCTTCTCCAAAGGTAAGATAGAGAAATATCAAGACATTCTTCCACAATTCCAGATATCATCTAGGAGCCTCCACGTATATACTGTGCAATCTATCATTTCACCATTTACGCTGACTGCTCACACCGTTTCCCATCCTATACCAGCGCTTTCTTGGCTCAGCCTCCATTTTCCTTGACCTCCATCGTCTTCTAATTTCCAAACAAAGTGATGGGATCCATACCACACCATAAACACCCGTAAGGTGGGGCAGTATATCCGTAGCTCTGATGCCAAGACACGCTGCAATGGTGGTGCTGGCTGCGGAACCCAGCCTCGAGTGAGGTCGACTTCAAGAGACTCCAACATAGCGAAGGAGATTAACTGCGAATGAAGCTCTGTGCGCTGCGCAGAGGGCGTCAATGACAAAGCTAAGGATTCACGTCGTGCAAGAGGGTGCATACATGTGTCGCCGGCAGGGAGAGCACCCCAATATGTCGAATGTCAGGACAGTATCTCCCGATGTGTCCCACGGTCTCTGCGACTCGATTCTCCGGCACGTAATGCAAGCTCAAGGAGCGTAAAGACTTGCGAAGACATCTAAGCTTCGGGATAAAGGCAATCAAGTCGGATTCGTTGTGTTGAAACGTCTGCATATGCGTGAGGGGACTCGTGAGCAGCTGCGAGGCAATGGCCATGGGGCCATCAAATACCCGGAGGTCAGGGAACGTGGGGCTCTCTTGGCCATCCACATCCTGCGAATGGTCAACAGGGAGTAGATTCTCGCGCGTCAGGGAAGACGCTACTTCTGCGGTGTGAAGCGTGCGCAGTTTGCGCTGGCGCGCCACAAACGCGGCAATGTGGGCATCATACGGGAACATTATCTGCGCGTCGCGCAACGTGAAAGGCACTTCCAGTGGGAATACCCACGAGAAGGAAGTAGCGCTCGCAAGCGGACTAGCATCGCCACCGTATGGGTCTGGAAAGACAAGTGATTGGAGACTGGGGAGTTTTGTCAGCACGTCGTGTAGTGTCTCCCAGAAATGGCGTGGGAGATTTGCAAGAGGAGACGCCGAACGCCGTGGCGTAAGCGCAAGGGTGTGAACATAGGCAGCGAGCCTCGGGGCGTCGAGAAGGGTGAGGCAAGCGCGATATGCAGTCTGCGGATTGCTGAAGACGAGGGATCGATACAATGCACGCTCGGCGATCGGACTGAGAGATTTGTTCGTATAGATGAGAGAAATCAGATCGAAAGAGCGCGAGTGGGATACAATGAGAGCTGCGATGGCAGGGTTTTGGAGTGAGGTGGAAGCTGAGTTGGACATGATGTGAGAGGCCTGGGCGATCCTTGGACAGACAAAAAAATTCGATGGTGATCAAAAGGTCGCGTAGAAGACACACCTAGGGCTCAAAATCTCTGTGTAGAGCCTTGAATTGGGTTGGCTGATTCAGAGAGCCCGAGGCAAACTTTCGAGATAGTGGGGAACGGTCAAGCTACCTCGTAAGACAGAAGCAGATGTGCTAAGTGATGGCAACCACCTGCCGCGCCTCATAAGCTGAGTATGACACCGAGAATTTCCTACAAAATGTTCCCTCTAGTCACTATGAGAGCTGTCAGTAGTTGCAAGACCGCCGTGCGACGGACAAACGGAAATATTTCTGTTTTGGAAGGAGGACCCCGAAGATGATATACATACGAACACTGCCAAGACCCCAGAATACAACTCAACAAAACATCACTCGAAAAGTTGGGACGCAACAGCGATCATTGCAGATAGATCTAATAGGATCTCATACATAGCTGGTGAATGCTGGTACATCTCTAGAGTTTAGATATAAATCGGTTCAGGTCGTCGCTCGACCACTATTTGCCCATTCACAACAACCTGCTCTCTAGCTTTCTGACTAGAACCATCAGAATGATGATTGAGAGAGACTGGTACACCATACTCAGGAAAAGCATGCGCCGTTGAATGACCTTGGTCTACGCAGCGACCCATAGCACGGATCGCTGGTCGCTTGCGCGATATAATTATTGTCAATCGAAAGATTGCCAAGGGTGATGAAGAGTGTGCAGTATAGTCATAGATCCTCCCACGACGTACCTCGCCACAATAGATAACTCCAGAAAGTGCGGACAGATTGCGCGCTGTAGTCAGAAGCTCGCATTGCCATAGCGTGCGAACTGTGCGAGAAGTTCTGTCGGGGACATCTTACTGGCTGGTTCCCAACGTCGCTAGCTCACGTAGTCGACGGTTATCGCTTTCTGTGTTGGCTGTCGAAATTGATGCGCCTATGCAGGCCTATGCTTGGGAAGTGTGGCGCGGGAGGGTAGGATACAGACTGAGCGCACAATATATCCGTAAATAAGTGTGAGGCTTCTAGGCGGAATGGCTGACATACCGCTGCAGGGCAGCAACCTGATGGGCCTATGGTGTTCTCTAATTCTGACATCACCAACCGTCGTAATGTGAGATTAGATCGTATCCGAAGTGCACTTTTCTCTACACTTAAATCTTCAGTAAATTTCTCTTGCCCAGGAACAGCGCGGAAGCACTGCGGAAGATGCCATGACTAAGCTCCTCCGTAACCTCACTTAAACTCGGGTGCCGTCCTGCATCATCCTCTCCAGATGTATAGCTCGAGCATTCTATTATCAACTGCCTGCTCTCGTTGGCTGCAATGTGACCTTATTGAAGACACGCCCGCCGATCAGATTACTTGGTTGATTGGTGCATGGCCTGAACTTGTAATGAGGCTTTCTGTAGCGTTTTCGCCTATCGAGTTGGGTAGGAAGCCTTGGAGTAACAGAGTTTCGGATTGTGAAGATGAATTGGGGCGGGAACTCATGGGAAGGGCAAGAAAAGGAAATTTCTTGTTTATGAGTCTGCCTCAAGCCACTGCTGAAGCTCATGGTTGTTGCTCATGTCATTCATGACACAGACAAGCTTTGGGCTGGGTCAGTCAGTGTTTTACAGAGCACATCAAATACCGCAGTGCGCAAGCAACCATACCATATAGGCCTTAGAGCCTGCATCGTAGCACTCGAGATTTTCACTTATTCAGGGGTACAATTTCACAACTAAGTGCGAAAAAACCCGTTTCGGATACGGTCTATTATCGTCCTTAGCCTTTCGCTCTGGATGCAGAGGTCATGAAATTCGACACGAGAGAGCGTTCGTCGGCCTTACGCCGCGCGGGATATAGATGACTTGATTTAAAAAATAAAAATAAAAGAGAGAGAGCGTTTGTCATGATTAAACACATATTGCGGGTGTGTTCAATGAAGTGGATTGTGATATTGTGAGCTCTTACACACATGCGTATGTACTACAATAACGATTCGGACCATTGCTAAAGCTAAAGGTTGATTGGAGATCGCTCAGTTTGAATGTCACCTAGCACACTCACTATCCCGATGATCCAAGCGCTTCTGGACTTTGTAACTATCTGATCTTCGCGAATTTTGCAGAGTCGCAAACAGTGTTCAATCAGTAGATTCGAGCGAGCTCGTGGTGGTCTGTGTACGAGACAAGAAGACGAACAACCGGTGACGCCCGAAAGGATGAACATATATGAGGTTAGGGTTCGCTCTCTCTTGCTCTACTCCGCTCACTCATCCACGACCATCCACGTTTCCTCCCCTAAAAAGCTATGGGTGAATCGCGATCCGAGCTTATCGCATGGCTGAACGAGCTATTGCAACTCAATTATACAAAGATTGAGCAGTGTGGTACCGGCGCGGCCTACTGTCAAATCATTGACTCCATTTACGGTGCGTTCCGAATCGACCTCCATCCTTACAGAACCAAGATGCTGACTTGTTTGGGGGTGGTGAATTACCAGGTGATGTGCCCATGGTACGGGTCAAAATGAACGCGAAGCATGAGTACGAGTTCATCGCCAACTTCAAAGTCATGCAAAATATTTTCAAAGCAAAGCGTATCGACAAGGTATCTGCTCTCAGTTCTACCTAAGTTGGGCTGCATCCTGACTCTTTTCGCATCGTGCAGCCTATACCAGTTGAAAGACTCGTGAAATGCAAGATGCAGTACGTTCTTCGTTGCCCACGCTTTCGATGACAACTCAATCGATTCCGTGTGCAGGGACAATCTCGAATTCCTTCAATGGCTAAAGCGTTTCTGGGATTCTAACTATGGTGGACAGCCATACGATGCTGTTGCTCGACGGCGCGGTCAATCAACTGATACCCCTGCTACAATTGCACCACTTGCACCCGCGCGTGGTGGTGGCGGTGGCGGGCTTTCTGCCGGAGCGAGAAGCGGTGGCAAGACGCCTGTTGGTGGCCATAGAGCGGGAAGCTCTGCAGCAGTGCATCAAGAACAAGTTCACAATCTTCAAGCGCAATTGAAGGAGGTGTCGGCGCATCTAGAGGGTTTGGAGAAGGAAAGAGACTTCTATTTTGCGAAGGTGCGTGACTTGATGAGCTTCTTTAAGTTCGGCTTCTCAGTGAGAGACGTCCTTTACAGCTCCGAGATATCGAAATATTAGCTCAACAACAGCTAGAGGTTCTGGAAGGCGAAGGAAAGGATGACGAGACGCTGCGCGAAATACAAAAGATTCTATATTCGACCGAGGTGCGCTACCTTCCTATGCGTTATGATTGGTCTCACCGGCCCTCTTATACCTCGCTTCTACCCTTTGAATCTTGCACAGGATGGCTTTGAGGTTCCCGAGGGAGACGCTCACGCGCAACTTGTCGACGAAGAGGAGACGTTCTAAGCGTGACTCCTTGCGACATGGCGGATCTTGCATTTTTCGGTCCGCAAACATGCGCGGCTAAGGTCTGTATTTATACCAGTCCCACCCCTACATCATACCTATCATCTCTTGCCACTTCCCTTATCCCACGTAATGCGCGTACTGCCTCCTACGGTCCGTTTTATTCTCGCTTTGTTCTGTCGTCGTACTCATATACAAGCCAACTGAATTGAATGAATGGAAATAGTGTGTTGTCCTCTTCAATTGTTGGAAGAATGTTTGATGACCCATCCTCGCGGTGGATGTTCTATGTCCGGGAGATTGACTGGAGCCATCTACTGCGATAGAATACTCAGTAGGCATCAATGGCCTACAAGGATGAATGGTTAAATTTCTTGTATTCATGCCTTGTCCCTGCTTCATAGATGTCTCGTCGGGTTGAAAGACTGTCCGCTACTCGGGCTTGTGTGATGTTGCCACTCGGAACTATCCGGCGGACGAGGACTAATACCCGAAGCAGTCCGGCTCGGTTCGCCCTTGCCATGTCGTGCTTCTCCTGGAATTCCCCACACCTCTATCAGCCTATTGTGCATACTGCACAATGTCACCCAATTTCTCGCCGTATCATTCAGGAAGTCATCGGGCACGGGTTCCATGCGCTGACTGTTGATCACGAAACGACTGATAGATTTAGCTGATCTTATCGAAAAACAATGAGTCGGAAATTGGAATGGCCCACATTCTCCAATGCTTACCACGATGAGCTTCTGGGACTTGTCCAGAGCTGCGCTTCCAGTCAGGCGAACCATTCTTGTCTAACCTGGAAGGTTGTCGAAGCCGTTCATGCGAGGAGTTCGTTCATCTTCATGCAGTTGTTTGCCACCGGGCGTGCAGCGAGGCCTTCGGGACTCACATTGGACGATCCGAGCTTCCCATATGTTGGTGCTGGAGATATCTCGCTCGCCGATCGGAACCATGAACGGCCTCGCTCAATGACTGTGCTTGAGATCAAAGAGTATATACAGCTCTTCGCGACAGCCGCGTCGAATGCTGTCAACGAAGCAGGCTTTGACAGTGTCGAGATTCAAGGCGCGGATGGGTACCTGGCCGACCAATTCTTGCAGACGACGGCGAATAATCGCCCGGATGATATGGAGGGTCCGTAAATAATAGAATCAAATTTGCCCTAGAAGTCGTTGACGCTGTGGCTTCCGCTGTCGGTCCGCAGAGGGTGGGCTTCTGAATCAGTCCATGGTCGGATTTTCAGGGTCAGTGGGCATGTCGCTTTCGAACAGATGACCAACGTGTTTTGATTGTTTTAATATTAGATATGCGCATGCTAGACCCCTTGCCGACGTTCCGCTCATTGGTATCACGTCTTCGCGATACCTATCCTGACCTCAGCTGCCTTCATGTCGTCGAGCCCCGCATAGCTGGAGCCGCGGAAAGAGAATCTAAGGTAGATGAGAGTAATGACGATCTGCGCAAGATTTGGGGTTCGAGGCCATATCTTGCAGCAGGCGGCTTTACGAGGGAGGATGCCATACAGACTGCAGAAGAGAAAGGTGGTTTGGTGGTCTTTGGCAGACACTTTATATCCAATGTGTGTTACCTCCATCTTCTTATCCCTTCGACCAACTTATCTTGTCATGCCCAGCCTGATCTTCCGACACGATTGCTGAAGGGGCTACCATTGACACCATATGACCGAGTGATGTTCTATATCCAGGACGGAGTAAAGGGCTACACGGAACATCCATTTTCTCAGGTAGATATCAAGGTCGCCGCTTGACGGCACAAAGTCATTGTAATTCTAGAAAAGATCTTTGAAGCAGAATTAGGCTGTCGGCATGCTGACTGTCAGACACGTATATCCGGAGGCCACGTTGGAGGTTGAGGGAGAATTGCCTAGGTTGCTGCCTTTCGGAGACTACGCTGATTTAGAATCAATGACTGTCTTGTTAGAGCTCACGCGAGGCATCTCGTGCATCGTTTCATGCGCTGACATACGGCCAAACACCCACGGACTAGCTCATGTATATTTTCCATGCGCTGTATCTAGGATCATGCGTGACCTTCGACACAGAGGTACGAGCGATTTTATTTATTGAACCCACGATCAGGGACTGACTCTACCTGAAACCGACAAGCGTATTTTGCTCAGTAAGCTCCAGAGCTAATCTGACCTATCCAGTAGCGTGATTTTATCAGCGTTGACGTTCAGCTTCCGTCTCGTTGATTGGTAACGCTTCCTTCCTCGAATGCTTACTAACTTCACGAGTCTCTGAGCTTGACTCGATGGTCCTATATAAAGCGAATGGAATGAGGGTTTGCTTCACAACCTTGTACAATCATGCCGTCGTCCCAGCTAGCACAACTTTTCCAGCCTATCAAGATTGGCTCCATCACTCTCCAACATCGTGTCGTACTGGCTCCCCTCACGCGCTTGAGAGTCAACTCCCGGCATGAACTTGGCGTTACCGCAGAGGAATACTATTCTCAACGTGCGAGTGTCCCAGGAACATTGCTTATCAGTGAAGGGACAGCGATAGCCCCCAAGGCCGGCGGCTTCCCAAACATTCCTGGTATATGGAGTGACGAGCAGATCACAAGATGGAAGAAAGTAAGACTACAGTGTCGAAATCTGTTTTGCATGACCTGACTTCTATGGCTTTTCGTCGGATCCGACAGGTCGTTGAAGCAGTTCACGCGAAGGGTTCATTCATCTTTATTCAAGTCGCCGCCTTGGGGCGTGGAGCTGATTATTCGGTATTGAAGTCAGACGACCTGAGCTTCCCATATATCAGCGCTGGCGATGTACCACTCAAAGGTCGCGACCACGAACCGCCCCGCCCTTTGACTGTGCCCGAAATCAAGGAATACGTCCAGATTTTTGCGAAAGCCTCTTCCGACGCCGTTCACAGGGCTGGCTTCGATGGCGTTGAAATTCACGGCGCGAATGGGTATTTGATCGACCAATTCTTGCAGACAAATGCGAATAACCGCACGGATGAATACGGCGGCTCTGTAGAAAACCGAATCAGGTTTTCTCTCGAAATTGTGGAGGCTGTCGCTGCAGTCATCGGCCAAGAGAAGGTTGGTTTCCGAATCAGCCCATGGTCAGATTTCCAAGGTCAGTAGGCTCGCCCTTTGAGTCGAGTCTGTTTGTGTGTTAAGCTCTTGTCCGATGCTACTAGAGATGCGCATGCCAGACCCGATCCCGACGTTCAGCGCGCTGGCCACCCGCCTTCGCGATTCTTATCCTGATCTCGCCTTCCTTCATGTCGTTGAACCTCGCATAGCGGGCGGTCTGGATTCGACGGCACCAGTAGATGATGAAGAGAGCAACGACTTCCTGCGCGAGATCTGGGGCACAAAACCGTATCTTGCGGCGGGCGGTTTTACCAGGGACACGGCCATCGAGACGGTCGAACAGAAGGGTGGTCTGGTGGTCTTCGGAAGACACTTCATCTCCAATGTGCGTTTCAACCTTTTTGTTCCCACATTCGCTCGAGCTGACGATCTCGCGCATCTATGCACAGCCTGATCTTCCAACTCGGCTGTTGAAGGGGATACCCTTAACACCATACGATCGCTCAACGTTCTATACGCCGGACGGTGTCAAGGGCTACACGGATTATCCCTTTGCGGCGGAACCACTCGAAGCAGCGAAAGTTGCCGCTTGATTTTGCTGTATTTATAGATCGTATGAAGGATATATCTATTTTGCATTTGTCAGGACCCGGAAGAAATGCGAGCAGCGTCTGTACAGCATCTCCCGAGCTGAGTACTCGGAAATAGTACGCGATGTTCAAGCCTGTACCTCCCAGGACCATGTATGGCGACATTCCTTGGCATCGCCCCCAAAGGCGATACGTATCGCCGGAAGTGGTAAATGAAGAAGCAAGCCTCGAATGGAATAAGGTGTGATACCTCTCGATCGCGGTAACGAAAGTAGTTTGAAATCGCCGGACATGCCACTCATCAAATCACCTTGACTCACTGCTCAGGACGTTGCGGCTCTCGACGCTACATGAGCTTCATACTTGCTGCTTGTCATTCAAGTAGACGGTCATGTAAATGCTGCTTGATGGAGGTTTGGCATGGGTATAGCGTTTGGCTGCTATTATGATCGATTTATGATCGTGGTCTAGGAGATGGGAACGGATTAGCACATGGGACAGCCATATATCAGGGTATATGCGCTCGACAATAGAGGATAGATGGTAATGACATAAATAATCGTGGTAGATACTAGGAATTGAAGGCGAGTGGATGGTGTGGAAAGTTCGATTGGGTATGGAATAACAAGGGGAAAATGTCCTGCCTTTACTTACCACCAACGTCAACTTCTATTGATGTCATCTTTATCCCAATCTATGTCATTTGTACAACTACACCTTCTCCCATAGTTGCCTGTTGACAGTGAAACGAGAGCCCAAGATGAACAAAGAGCCGGCGACCATCGCAGAGCCCGCCACCACGATCATGTCGGCATATGAGCCGTGATCGTGTGCAAGAAGCGCGCCAGCAGCAGGGCCGCCTAGTAGAGAGCTGCAGGGGCAGGCACGATCCGGTCCGATTCAACAGCAATCAAAAGAGAGAACAATAAACTGGATGTAAAGGGGCCACGCAAAGCAAAATGATTTTACGCACGGAATAGATATCACGGTGTACAACATCCCCATTCTTGTGCCGATGAGAGTCACGTCCGATATTCGCGCAACACACGGGGGTACGACGGCGATGACGCCTCCGCTGAAAAAGCCATACAACACAGTGAACGCAATCACTAGTGGCTGAAACCCTGCGCCCTGCTGCGCTGGAAGCCAGAGGACGAAGCAGAAGAGGCCGGAGAGAAACGCGCAAGGGAAAAGTGTATTGTACGGCCCTAGAATATCGGCGATGAGAGGGGGGATGGTGCGTCCGAGAACAGAAGCGGCATTTAGAACGGCCAGTGGAGTCGAGATGGATGCGTGGGGAGGTGAGGCGCGGTTGACGGCAGGGCCGAGGTCATCGGAGAACGATTCAGCGTAAGATGATATGTAGAAGTATGGAATAAAAAGACCTGTAAACATGTGTGTGTTAACTACCACGTTCTATGCTCCTCGCACACTGAACCTAAGCCTTACCAAAACAGACAAGCGCTGAGCCTACGGCGAGCAACACAAATCGTATGTCTCGGAGAGCAGGATAGTCGAGCCAACTATCAGACGTGCGAAAAGGCCGTGGATCGGGCGCTCGACGTGTGATGAGTAGAAGTGAAAGGACACAGCAGGCGAGCGTGATGAATCCTATGACCCGCACTGTCCATGCGAATCCAAGAGAATGGAAGAGACGGGGAAGGATGATTGGGAAGACTGTGCCGCCTATTTCGGATTCGCAGAGAGTGCGGAGTCAAGTGACATGAGAGCAAAACAACACGTGAGTCTCACCGACACCTGAGCCGGCAGAAGCAACTCCTATCGCAGTCGCTCGATATTTTGTAAAATGGGTCGCAATGGATGCTAAGGATACATAAAACCTGAACTTGCCTCAATGGAACGCCAAAGATTTTGATGCTGGCAATGACTTACATCATGCCTACTCCCAAGCTAAGCAGAATACCCTGACCTAGCATGTACTGATAATATTGCGTGGATAGACTAGTCATCATGATGCTGAAGACAAGGACGATCGAGCCCACGATGAGGACAGGACGTGGGCCGTGTTTGTCGAATGCGTGTCCTACAAATGTTCCCTAAGAAGATGTGAGAAGTGCAGACAAGACATCGAAGGAAGGACACACACGGAGAAAAAGAACACCCAAAGTTGTAGAGATCCTATCCAAGAGATAGTAGATGGATGAAGATGGCTCAGTTGGTGCGTGGCGTACCACGCCTGAAACGTGCCAAACGCGTTCAGCTGTCCGAAAGAGCAGAAAAGCGCGATGAAACCGCCCAATACAGTCAACCACGCTCGCACCCCACCATCCACAGAATCGGAGTGTTCGTGCTGGTCAAGACTCCTTTTCAAAGAGGGATCAATTCGAGGCGATGCGGGAGCTGGCTCAGCAACAGGACCCTTCTCGGGCTCGGGGTATTCCTGAAGCGTTGCCTCGCTGTACCTGTTCATGGTGTGGGCACCAGGGGTGTCAGTGCGTAGGGGCAGGACACAACTAGCGCTGAACGTCACAAGGAGGGGCGCAGCTTAAAAGGAGAATGAAGAAGGGTAGATTAAAAGATCAAGATATCTAGGAAATTTTGCTTTATACTTGGAAGTGATCAGGCATGACATGCCGCGATGCACGTAAACGCTTGAGCTCCGCTGGTGCCGGTGGGTATCATCGAAAGTTTGACGTGGTGACGGCTAAATCAATCTAAGAATGTTGCGCACTTATAGTTTTTGTAGGATCATTACACTCAGCGCTACTGAGATGATTGACAGATCAGAGTCAGTGGTGCCATTTGAGGAGGAAAACCGAGGACAGAAGCGTCGTCGTGCTGAGAGATGCAGAGAAGCAGAAGGGTAGGGCCGCACATGGCGGTGATTAGAAGTCAAACAAGCTGCAGGGGAGTCGTGATGTCGGGGTCGCTACATAACGTGTGCAGTGCCGCAATTCTGCGTGGGATGCACAGGCTAGTAGTAAGGAACAGCCGCAGAAGACAGCAGTATTTCCTTTCCAGACGACGGAACAGGACCGTGGAAATATGGAGACGCCGCTGCTCTCGCTCCAAGATGTCACCGTGCGCTCAGCAGGTGAAGTAAGTATAAATTACATTTCAAAGGAGAAAACGAAGAAATCATACGGATCTAGACCATTGATGTACTTGTACTGCGGCTGTTACTTGTCACTCAAGTGTTAAGTAGTGAGGGGACGATCTACGATGAAGCAGAAGCCATAGTAAAGGGAGAGTGGGAGAGTGGGGGAGCAGTGATTCAAAAGATATATGCATTTTTTTGCAGCTGGATGTGGCCTGGAAAAGCAAGTATTGACTAGGGTTCCATGAGTAATTCACAGAGCATTTCTAACATTTGTTAATAACAAAACCTCCCCAGAGGATTTATTAACATGTGTTAATAATAAATCAAAAAAATTATGAATCATGAATTTAAAAATATGTAAAAAAGCGATTTATTTACATGTAAGAAATTAAAGTGATGTTAATAATTCAGAATCACCAATCCCAGTTAATTTGTAAGGCAGGGATGGAAGGAGGAATAACTAGGGGGGAAGGGGAAGTTGCCAATGATAAATCTCTTGGGGTGTTAGAGAGAAGATCAATGAATACCTCCTCATGAATGTCAAACTCCTTTACAATCTTGAGCATGGATACCCAGCACAGAAATGCTGCCTTTGGGCTATTAGCATTGTCAGTTTCTAAGTCATTCATTAGGGAAAAGCTCTATATTTAATTAACCATAGTTAAACATAAATATAGCTAGATTTCTACCAATTACTATCAAGGATTTTTAGCTTACCCCCCCTCTAATCCTAAAATTATAAGATCTAATTAGAGCTGATTAAAGCTAATTTATTATATGGATTTTTGGAAAAATATCAACCAACACACTTCTATGGTTTCTCTACTACTACTACACCTTCAATCATAGAGTATTTATAGAGCTTACTAATCAAACTAAAGTCACACCTTATGGTAAACTTGCCCATCACTAGAATTAAACCAACAACCTCATGCTTGCATACCCCAGACTAGTGCTCTAAACTACTAAGCCACAAGGTCTAAATTATATACCTGGTAACCTAAATATAACGATATAAATAAGGCAATCTCAATATTTCTGATTTTCTTACACATTCATCTTTCATCTATTTAATATATAAAGGGGTCAATAAATACCTTAAAAATCAGGGCTTTTGACATTTGAATTTAGACACTAGGTAATAATATGGTAAACTAATTGAAAATAAAGAATACAGTAAAAAAAAGATTGTAGCACTTACACAATTTGGATTTGAAATGTGTAAAATTATAATTGGATTGTAGATTCCAATGGGACTATAGTAGTATAGACAATGTCACCTTTACTTGCAGATTTGATTATAAAGTTGATTATGGATAACATATTTTGATTAGCTCAGATTAGTATTTTAAATTATTAGATCTAATCAAAAGAGGAGGTTCTTCCAGATGTTGTCAGTGTCAGAGTTATTGAGTGGTAGAGCACCATGATTGAAGCACAAGCAAGGGACATACCTACATATATATGCTATACCACTATTCTATGACAGTCATATCTATTAGCTGCTATGCTCACTGCCTTCCTCTCAGTGCCAAGTTAAATCATGTGAACTTTGAGCCTGTTTACTTATTTGGCATTAAGTTTATAAGAATTAAGAAGATTCTTTTGGTGAATACCTAGAAATAAGAAGGAAGAAGTTAGTGAATAAGCAAAGCCAAAGACAAGCTATAATGCACTATAAAAACATTGGCTTCCAAGTCCACAAGAAACTGCTGCTACTAGCCCAATATGTTGCCGTCCTATATAGGCTTGGCCTTATTGAAAGGGGCTTTCTTATACTAGTAAGAGTCTAGTTGCAAGTGGAATTTTATAATGGCAAGCATAGTGCCATGCTTCTTGAGGATAGAATAAGTGGATTCTAGATTGGTATATATCCAATCTACTATAGGTTTGAGCATTTTGTTATGGAGGAATATCTTTATATGGTTGAATAGTCAAGGACAGGACATCATGAGATCCGAGCTTGTTACAGCTTTATAAGGGCCATAATAAAGCTGGCATTATTGGGCTTAGTGAATATGGTATGCCCTGGTATACTGGTAAGTTGTCAAAGGATGCCTTGGATATATCAAACTAATTGGCATGACAATCTGAAGCTGTTTGTTAGTTCCTCTCCTCTAAGTAAACTACTCTTAGACAAAACTTGATATTTTTAGACATATTGCAATTAACCACTAATTTTTCAATCTTATATCTTGTTTCTTGATGTCTTGACTCTCTTGTGTATATACTCTTTTGTCTGTTTCATTCCATTTATACCTTTTATACCCATTTACAATTTCTTATATTTCTTACATACATTTTTGGACCCCCTGAAGAGACCATGTTAATAACATCATTTATTTATATGTAAGTTAATTTGATATTACCTATGAAACCCTAGTATTGACTAGTCTACATCCAAACCACAAAACCTTGTAGATAGTAGGCATTTAAGCTGGAATTTGATATCTTTTGAAACTCAGCTTGTTCATGTGCAAGGTAGCTCATGTACCAGTCAAGAGAAAGCTCAAAATATAATTTATGGGTAGTCCTGATATGCAAGAACAGATTAAATATCTTTAGAAAGGTAAAAGAGACCCAAAACAATAGTGAAATCAAAAATTTGAGCACAATAGATGTTGTTTTTGGCAGGACTTGAGCCAAAAACCAGAGCAAAATAATAGCATCTGCACCAACTCACCTATCACACCAAACAAAAGCTTGCTCAGTAGGCACTATTCATGTAGTTGGTAAGCTTTACCCACCTATGAGTCAGGTTGGGTGACACATGACCCGCAAAATCCATCATTTTAGAGTGGCTAAAGCCGAAATGCGGACTACCCGCAAGGATTCATCATTTGGAAGCAGACCTTAACATAGAAAGACTGTAATCTTCTGTGTTGGTCGGCCACGGAGACTAAGTATTGACGACATGACCGCACCGGCAGGAGCTGCAGACGGGAAAGGAATACAGTTCCCACGATGACGAACTTGAACCTCACGGCTCCGCTGCTTTATCTCTGTCACTGTGCGTCGAGAATAGCGCACGAAAGTGCCCTCGCAAGGATGGCATTTCTAATCCTTAAGATACAATACCAACAGGGCAGCCTACTGGAGACTCTCTCAGCTGGAGGATGGTCGGGAATCAGAATGTAAACGATTCGCAGCCTTCTAATGTCGAGTTGCTGAATTTACAGGAAGAACGACACAAGACCGACTTGGACCACCCTCACTGTGGCGGCCGAAGGAAGGCGACTTGATGAGTCTTCACTGCTATCAAGCTTTGACAGGTGCCTGAAGTATGCTCCCATCTCAATAAAGTCAAGCACGAGTGCTACGCATCGGAGACTCACTTGTTGATTCTTCCTCTTCTTTTTGACACCCTTTCCCGCGCCGCTGTATCCAGTCAGCTGTGCAAGCCCAGTGACACTAATCGAGCAATGGAGTCAGTTACCGCTTCTTGTGAGATAGTGGCCACCTTCATACTTCGGCGCTCACCTAACCTATGATACTTCGTGACAGGATTTGGTGTTGAACGCGATTTCTTTTTTCCTAACTGGTGATGTCACTTGATGGTTCAAAGTGCTATTGTCATATCAAGGTTCTGCCGGCACAGTGGACCATGGGACGCTCAACTCGGTCGAAACCTCGTTATAATTGACTCATGAGTTTCATTGCGTACGAAGTGCTTGAGTTAGGCTGCAGCAAGCAAGGGACCTAGGGCTCCGCCTGCACGTGCGCCATCCAATATGACTTCCGGTCTGCTACTCCCCTGTCCACTCGTCCACGCTTGATGTGTGACCGCAGATAGCTTTGATCACAAGACGCTTAGGTTTCGGGGACCCATACAAGAAGCTGTTTCCACCATAGTGGGGTCGTTCACACTGCTCGAGCAGGCATTCAATAGTTTGTGGATTGGTTCAAAGGATCAGCCGATGTGTACATCTCTATTTTCAGTTTCGCCTGTGAGCCCTATTCAACTGTCTTGTCCGAGCGTTCACACTCGATGGAAACCTCCAAAGCCCCCTTACAATAGTCCCAGCCGCTGCGGTGGAAAACAAAACAGAATGCGGGACGCTACATGGTACTACTCAAATGAAACACTCCCTTTGTCCTTTTGATCCAAGTCAGCCACAACGAGAGTGGTTGTCGCCAAACATGCACCTTATTTGTCAAGAGATGTGTCGAAAAAGCGCTCCGCCAGTTGCCATCTCCGCATGACGAAGGTCAGGTGGCCTCTCATCCAGTCATATCTATTGCCTGTTCCTCTCACAGCAACCTTTTTGTACATCTATGCCCAATTAGCTCGGAGCTAGTAACAGCTAGATAAGCCTGGCGACGGTTCGCGATCGGTGGGAGTGCAAGAAGTCGCGTACAGGAGCACCGGGATGCATACGGGGTTTCAATTATCGTCATTCACGCGATGGAGCTTATGGATGTTCTGGCGTAATTTTTATTCCTGTATACAAATCCATATCCAACTACATATGTACGAAAGTATGATCAGGCTACATCAGTTGAGGCGTGTTGTCCTTATCCGAACGTATGATAATACATAGGTACGTACTGTTTAGTAGACTTCTGCCTAATACAAGCAAACCTTCTCCACGGCTATGACAACATTCCACGGAAGTGAACAAATTCGACGATTATACGTGGCTTTGACCATATCAGTCAGTGCCAGAGTTACTTCTCGGAAGCAGCAATGCAAAGGGAAGCTGAGCTATCCTAGGACCTCAGGAGCGAGCTAGATACACCGTCTAACATATGGTGTGAACCTGTATGCAAAAGATAAGAAAGATGGCATGCCACAACGGTTCAATCCATCGCGAAAAGTGATTGACGACCCTTACCCTACTATTTCGGCTATGATCACAGTCACTTACACCAGCCTTGACACAGCGGTGGGAACGACTCCGAAATCATAACGAATAGCAGAGTAAGTGACGTGAGAGTCCTGATCACTAAAGAGGAAACATATTAGCGACAGGTGTCACTGTGAAGGTGGGGACATGGGGGAGCGGTTGCACCGAACGGTGTGCCTTCAACTCTCTAACCACGACATCTTTTATACCGGAGGCTCGTACAAGAGCGCCTGTTGAACTCGCCAAGGACGGGCAAGAGACAGTGATGAACTGTCCGGATTGTCGGAGCCTGTTTAGGATCACAAAGCTAACGGGCCGTAAGATTCGTCACCGCACAGAAGCCCCACAAGCCAATCGGAGGCTGTTCTAAGGGAGGGGCTGTACGGGAAAACACACCTATTTGTTTTTCAGGTTGTGCCACAAGTGAGTAAGGACTTGTTACATTAGCATATCGCACAATAATCATCCATCGATCGATAGCGGCGCAAAGGCGCATATCATCTCAACACGCCTTCATCCCAGGCACTGGAGTGGCAAAGCCGAGGCATTGTAGATGATCCATCTAGCAATTGGACTTCTCGGAGGCTTAAAACAGAACAACTCTCTTTGTGTAAGGCTAGCAACGGAGACTAGTCTCGGAGCATAAATGAGCTTGGATGAATACGAAACAGAGGGTGCTCACAGATCCGGTTGCGGCGTGATAAGAAAACGTGATCCGCCTTCTCATCATGATGATATTAGAATATAAGCCTTGACATTGGGCGATTGGATTTGTAGGCGCAGCCATATCACCTGCTCTCACTCATGACCTTCATTTTGGAGAGAGGTATGGAATGTATCATCGGTCTAGAGGGAACGACTTTCACATCACACGTGTATGTGTGTTGGTTATGCACTATATTAACCTAGAGGCATGGAGCTGAAAAAGAATTATCAGTGTTTGCGAAATTGTAGTAAGTCCTGAGGAATGCGTTACCTCGAGGCCGGAACACCGATCCGAATGGATCGAGCAATAAAGTATACACAGTCATCATACAAAAAGAACATGCGGGCTGCATAACATGTCGCATTGGTGGCCGCGAAGATCTGCGATGCTTGTTCGAAGCTTCACCTGTGGGTGATCGTGATATATAGTGATATACACGGCGAAGCGCTGGAAAAACGTGCTTCCTCGCGGGATGTTGCCTTCTCCATTGGCATGCCACCAGTGGGAAGACATCTCAGAAACGGACCACTGGAGTGATGTGGTTACATTTTCGATCTATATCAAGCCATCAAAAAGTGGATCGAGTGATTCTGTAGCGGGGCCATGACCCACATCGTGTAGGTGCTTGATTTTGTGAGGGCAACGGAAGAAGGCTGAAGATATAGTTTGACCTTGTGCCCTATCTGGCTGTTCATCGGCAGCGGAGAGCATAGTCAGCATACTATCGGATCAACGCTCGTGTGGCACGTACCAGATCTCCAATACCTTACACGGTGTATGAGAGAACGGAAGTGATACTCATAGACCAAAAGAAATCAAATGACATATGACACGTACCACGGAGAGGGGATCTCCCGCTCAATTTTCATCCGAACGTACTTCACCTCGTCCTTCCAAAACTCTGCGCCAAACGGCACCAAACCCCTCTTGCTGTACCAATCTAAAGCTGTTACTCTCACATCATACCATACGAATCGGGCATCCAGTTTGGACCATGCGTACTGTATCGAGTGCTCCAATAGCGCAGTTCCTATTCCGCGACCTTGATAAGAGTTATCGCAAGCGAGCTTGCGGATCCGTATTGCGGATTCATCTGCGCCACTGTTCTCCTCCAGCGAAGGAACATTCTCTTTGAACAAAGAGATCACGGCAGTCGGGGCGGACTCCTCATCCAAAAATGCGCCGAAATGAAAACCTCCGTCATCCTCCGGCGGACGGACATGAGCCAGGGGGGCATTAGGCCACAAAATGGTATGACGCAAGGCGATTGTATGGTCTGGCGAAATGAACCGAATATCCACGGGCGTGTCTATAATGAAGATTCGTCAGTTGAGAGTCGAGTACAGTTGGTGCGGACGTACTGTCGTCGATAACCATCAGTACCAAAGCTGAATGTGCTGATGAACGGCACAAACTTTGGAGATCACACGAGTTGGCCGTGGAGCCGACGTTACGGATGGCAGTACTTGTGGTGCTCCGAGGACGACGGTGTGATGGCTGCGATGGGCAAGTCACTTGCACGGTGCTGGCAGGCGCCGGCTGAAGCGCTGATGTTCAAGGCAATCTGATTAGATTTCACATTTCGGTAGCTTTACTTCTCGTGCAGGCACCAGATAATACCAGACTGACTGCATTGAGTGTGAAACCCGACAATTCAGTATAATTACCGTTGTTACGGCAGAACTCCCTAGAATAAAGAGGAATGGCGCTGAAGTGCAAGGTCTCGCACACGTTTCCGCCTCCTCTCAGCCAGCACTGCGTGCACCGCAGGGTTTTTCCCAGGATAAACCGTGGATAAAACCCTAGATATGAATAGAGTTTTTGTTAGCATTTATCCACGGAAACTACCGGAACACAAACTTAAGGTTTGTTCAATATTTTATTATGGAATGTGAATAAATATCAGATAAACCTTAAGTTTTTGTTTCAGTGGGTAAACCAGAACAAAAACTTTATCTATATCCAGGGTTCATCCCGGGAAAACTCCTGCGGTGTACGCAGTGCGGTCTATTTGAACGATCTGATCACGTGGTTATTGAATGCATGTCGTCACAGTGCGTGAATGTGAACAATCTACCGGGATTTGTAGAACACGCCCAACGCAGATGTACCTCGGTTGGCTCTGTTGAGAAATTGTCAGTGCCATTCAGCTGATTTGATGGTTTATGCGATTACAAAGAAGCAGGCAACGTGCGAAGGTATAAGAATTGTAGGAGTGGATGGAGAAGCCTCGGAACGCACCTGTATTAGATCTAGGTTGTCCCCATCGCTTCGGAGATTGGCGTCGTGGTAGGGTTCACAAAAGGGCATCACAGAAGATGAATATAATAGTGCAATCAATGGAATCTGTTCCACGAGGAACGGGTCGGCATGCTTTGGCGTCGACGCACCCATGGCGCATGGAGACTTGGCAGGTTCATGCGTGCACAAACCTTTACCACGATTTTCATCATACGGAATGAAGCATGATGAAGCATGGCCCGATAGAAACAGCAGAGATAGATGGAATTGGAAATGTGAAGGATGCTAATGCTACATGGTTCGCAGCCGAAATTCGAAGCTGCCTTGCCGGGCCCAAACCAAACGTTAATACTATTTCTAGAAGCCTCGAACAGATCACTCACAACTCACAGGGATATTAAGTATCTCTCCATAGGGTATCGAAATTGATCTCTTCATCAGCGACTTGCCATACACCGTCGGCCGCTCGCATGGCCATGGGGTCGAATTCGTGAATAAACACGACAGTCGTAATCGTGGGGCAGTAAAGATTCAACTCTCGAGCGAGCGCCCGCTGAGAAAGAGGTGTAACCGGTGGCGGACTCCAGTCAGATACTTCGAGTTCAACACACTCCAACAAGGACAGACGCCGAAGCTGGCCATAGAATTTGAGCCGCTGTTGAAACGAGTAGAACCGGGGAACGACGGTGGAAACGAAGGGTGAGAATTATGAGGCAATAAACAATAATAGAAATCGCAAACCTCGCGACCGTCTACGGGTAGGACGAACGTCCCCAAATAGCGTATGCTGGGGTTAGGAGAGATCGCATTGACCAATTTGGTCAAAAAATCAAGTGAAAATTGCTCTGTATACGAAGAGTCGGAGATGTTGAGGGAGAGGAGTGATCGTGTAGATAGGCGTAAGTTGGAGATTAGAAGTGACATCTCGGCTCGCCTTGCAGAGAGATCTGAGCGAGAAAAACATGACTTTATATGCGTGATAGGACGACCTGGAGCAAGCACGCCGACAGCTTCCGTAAAGGTACACTCGAGGAACGATAATTTAGGGAGAGTCTCGGCCTGACGAAGAGACCTGGGGGCGAGAGAGAGGTTCGCTGGGGTATCCTCGTTAAAATCTGCGATGTATAGGTCGGTGAGATCGTCTTGAGAAGAAAGAAAGTTGATGAGGTTGTCGTCCCATGCGAGATCGCAATGAAATGACTGAAGTTGAGAGTTACATCCGTTAAGAATCCAAGAATTGCTCGTACTGGTGCCGTTGTCAATATGGATATTAAGGAAGCGCAGGCGTGTGAGTTTTCGGAGAGCGCGCGCCACGGATTCCCAGTAATGATGAGGCAGGGAAGACAAGTCTGAACCTCCACTGCCATTCTCGTCCCGAGCGAAGACGGTGATCGCGATGACCAAGCGCGACAACCGAGGCTGGCCTGCAAGCAGTGCACAGATGGTCATCGTCGAGCTAGGCTCGGACAACTGCAGCGTGTTATACAATGCTCTTTCAGCGGCCGCTTGAAAGCTTTTGGATACCCTGCACAGAGTGCATAGGTCGCGTCTGTTTCCCACATAGCTGGCAATCATGAGATACGCCTCCGGATATAGTTCCATCACCTGGAATGCATAGCACAGGTACTTTGGGAAGCATTCAATATGAAGGGTTTATTAGAGCCAGAGTGAGGGTACTCACAGCGCCAACTGACAACGTCAAAACGTATGAGAATACGTGGGATCGTTTTGGGTGGAGCTGCAACAGGTATATCTTGAGAGCGTATGAGTCGTCAGCAGCAATAGTGCCAACGGAACGACTCACGGATCTGACAATTTATTGGGTTTTGGAGAACAGGTGAAATGAGTGGGAGATGGTGCAATAGCACAAGTGGAGCAGAACGAGGAGCGGTGGAAAGATAGACGGTCCCGTCCATTCTGACATCAGAGCTTTGAGGATTTAGAAAAGACTCCGTCGCGACGGCTACTTTTCGGGTATCAGGAGGATCTCCGGGCAGGGTTCCCATTGCCTTTGATTCTCTCTAAATGAAGGACCAGGAACGGTCGTCAGAGTTTGAAAAGTAGCCTGAAGAAGACATTTCTGACATGGCAGACGCTCAGGAAGACCTTCGCAGTCGCCCACGCGAGCGAGGCGTGGAAAACACGTGGCAACCGGTCTCCTCGGATGCGACTGGACTTGACGACAGAACATTCAAGTTCCAGTATCTACGGCTGTCATCATGTCCTTGTACTTTCTTATGCTTTGCATTTGTACACCTTCAGTTGGTTGCTCTCTACTAACTAGTGAGTATAATAGCGAAAGAGGATTCGGCTGTATTGAGTAACTCACTCGAACAGGCTCCGATCACCGTGCAGCTCTTCATGATTTCGTCCGAGGCCTCTGCATACACATTCCTCGAAGTCGCAGTAACCACAATGTTGATAGTCTCAGTGTATATTTCCTCTCCGGATGGCGTACACATCCCGTGAATTCATACTAGACGAATAACATCGACTAAGTAGACAACCCTGGTAGCCAGAATGTGGAGATATACTTTGACAACACTGCAATGAATCATCGCCAGACTGTTTGGATGTGTAAGTGAACCAGTCTGACGCCTCGGTGTTGATCCGAAGACTGCACTATATTTATGTGAGCGTGAGCAAATATTGCCCCCGCTAGCATACTCTTCGTCACCCTTGTGTAAAATGAGCACTGCATGCACATATGTTCTGTGATAGAACAGACGCAATCAGCGTCTTGTAGAGGAGGTAGAAAAATCATGACGCACCAATGTTCCCAAGCATGTGTCGACGTGAGACGTTGGAGAATTGTTTACATGGCTCGGAGCTCCTACATAGTCGTCCTCGTGCTCGCATTGAAAGGATCAAAGAGTCGGCTATAACTCAACCAGTGCTAGTCGTCGTCATTGACCCCCGAGCTTTCTCCGCTCCCACCAGAGAATGGCGGCAAATCTGTTCTTTGAGGTGAGATATGTTAAATTAGACAGCGATCGAATAGTCCTACCAATGTCCATGGGCTTGGCAATTGTGATTAGTCAGTGGGTCATGTTCATACCAGATTGTCGGGTAGGACATAGTTAGCAGCTTAATATTAGCAATATGAGAGTAGGGGCATGGGTGAACGGATATATAGAAACGCACTCGAAACATAAATTACTGCGATACTGCATACTCAGATTCGGGGTTTCTGCTGGAATTTCTACCGAAGGATTGAGGGGCTTTGCGCCCCCAGTCGATGACGCTGACATTGAAGCACGAGACTACCATCATGAAGATCTATGGTGCTGTCAAACCAATTCTGCATAAAGATCCCCGACCCACCGGCATACTCTCTGCATTGGACCGTGGCTGCTGGTATGAAAGCGGAATACGCAGAATCCTAAATGGCTAGGACGATACTTTTGCAGGAACATCCCACAGTCAGAACGACACCAGATCCGCGGTGGGCTCGCGTGCGAAGAACAGTAGGCTCCTAGAGCCTGTGTGGAATGTATCGTCACTGTAGATAAGGCTCAAGGTACTGGCCGAGTGGGCGGAAGGACCTCGGCGGCGGCGGATAGGTGGGTGAGGGAAGAACTTCGAGGGCTAGAGCCTGCTTCATCCTTATTCAAAGCCGAGGCCGATGGCACAGGTTTCATCGGCGGGATCTAACATCAAGGTTTCATCCGCGTTCATTGTTGCGTACTGATGATTACTTGGCAGCCCCTTCAGTGACAGAAAGTATGAGTTCCTCGCTTTCACAAAAACCTGCGGGAGTTCGTTATCATCGAAGTAGACCGAAAACATTCGTAGACACAGACCTGATTTGACATTGAGACCACCGTCAGCATACGAAAGACAATGTTGGGGGCGGGTCACATTTATTACATGACAGGACTTCTGTACGACGTAATATAATCACGCTATTACCCCACAATGAATCAAAGTACGACCTCTTCCCGGATCGTAGCTTGAACACGATACTTGGCGACAGAGTTCAGATCTGCACGATATACAACCATTCGCAATAGTACATCACAGCGCAGTTGGCTATATGCGACAGCAGGCCGGGCCTAGAAACTTCGATAATTGAAAGGATTGGTGATGTCCTAACCTTGTTCACCTTCGTGGCGCTGCTCATGAATTCACCTTCTTGTAGGTGTTCATTCAAACAAGCCTATGCCCCATGTCGGCCATACAAAATGTGTGTATGACGTAGGCACTGAGGCTCGCAAGTTGCCCTGTCGAATGGAGGAAGTCACTGACGCCGACGGAGTGAATAATTGTGGAGGAGATGTATATAGGGGAGGTATGAGGTGCCGTGAAGTGTCGACAATCGGAGGATGACAGCGACAGCCTTGCTGATATGCTAGTTATGAGTGAGACCTGAATAATTGTGACGCACAGTGACTATGAAGAAAAGAGATGTCCTACAAGTACAACGACAATAATGGATAGCAAAGATACGCCGGGTCGGGACCGGATCGTTTACCAGTTGGTCTCATTCAAGCTTTTCTAGCTCCTCAAGTCGAGACAATACGACGTCCTTGCTTGTTTCCTCGATTTCTCCAGCCAGGAATATCTCGTCGAGAATAGCGTAAACCTGCGGTGGATGCATCTGATGGTCGGCTGACGAGATGAACAGAGGTCATACCTTGTAGAAGTTGAATACAAGATCCAGTTCGCACACGTTGTCAAAAAACGTGTCTGCGATGAATAAGATACATAGCGTCGGAACAGGACGAGGAAATACGCACCGAGTATTTCCACGAACAAGTGAATTGCCTCCAGATATGCAAGCTCATTGTCATTCGCGTCAACGCAGACGCAAAAGAAGAGGCCAGCGTATCTCCGATATACCACCTTATAGTTTCTGAACTATCCGTTTCAAGTATCAGCACAGATAGTCAGTAGAAGGCGAAGGTGATGCATACCTCAACGAAGTTGGACTGATATTTCTGATCTCGCGGCGCGACTAGTCTGTGCACCTCCCCGCGAAGTTTGACCTGTAGCATATAGCGTTAAACGTGAGGCTTCAACTCGACAGTACGCGAGAGCGTATAAGCTCACTTTCTCATCGTCATCATATGGAACGTACCATTTCGACAAGCGTGTCTTCCCTTGGCGGTTCTGCATTTCCAACCATCGGAATCATAGTTCAGAAAGAATCCATAGTCCGAAGAATGAGTACTAGCCTGGACTAAGATGAATCTGATCATGACGGGGAGAAGGGATAGAGAGTACTGTAGTAGATGTGAGCTCGAGGCGGCTCGAAGGGTAGCGGACAGAGAGAGTAAGCAGAAATGCGTAAGCAAATGGCAAGCTTGTTTATTTCAGAGGCTGTTGCCAAACAACACTGGCGGATTTTGGATCCGTCTCAATGTTCCTGATCTCAAAGCGAATGAAACTGATTTATCAGACCTCCGAAGGGCGGTATAAACAGTCGCGAGATCTTCCCATCGATATTCACAGTAGGAGGGCCGAGATTTGGATGCATAAAAACCCGACAAAGCTACGGAAGAACGAATAGAAAGAGAAGAGACTAGACATAAACAAGAACCACAAACGCCGATGTTCTCGTGTATACAGAACCTATAGACAAGGGTGTCATCTTTCAAGACAAGGACATCAGCGCTCGGACATTTGGGCAAGGTAATCAGAGAGCTGTCAACCGTAACCTGTTAGCCCGCCGCGAGACGATTGGGTGCAAAGCAATAACACAGACCTTCAGCGCGTTCGTCCTTATACTCTCTCCGAGGTTCTGAACATCCGGGTTCGCCATGACCCTCGCGAGGGCCTCCTTCGCAGCCGTCTCCAGGCCAGCCAGGCTTCCATCCCCGAGGAGACCACCATCGGCATTGCCCGCGACGAGGTCGTCCTCCTCCTCTCGTCCAAAGTACTGGTTCGACGAGATGGAAGTAGCGCCCTGAAACTGTGAGAGGCGAGCCCGGCTCTCACTCAGTGCGGAGGCGTCGTAATCATTCCTCCCGAAGAACATGTCAGACGATATCGCTTTCTGGCCTCCGAATCGGTCCCGGGCCGTGGTGGGCGCATCGTCTGCTACCATGGACGTGCTGGCATCCCCCATGAATAGCACGTCAGGTATATGGAAGAGGTACATAGTTACGAAATGGACGAACCTGGCCTTGGAAGACGCCGCCGCCGCCGCAGGCACACCACCGAAACCCAACCTTTTCATCCCCATCCCCAGCCGCTCCATATCCTGGCTGCTACCATTCGGCTTTGGTGCAACCTTAGCCACTTCAACTGTCTTCGTCTTCACGCCCACGGTCGCAGCCTTGCTCTTCAGCTCCAGCGCCTCCTTTTCCTTCTTCACCCGTTCCTCCTGTTCCTCTCGTTCCTGGTCATACCCCAGCTGCTTAATCCGCTCAGCCTCCTCCGTCGCTTTCCGCTCGGCTTCAGCAAAATCCACAGGCGCCGCTTTCTTCGCTCCGAGCCCTCCGAGTTTCGATTTCTTCGGCGCAGCGGTCGAGGCGGCGCTAGTGGTGGAGGCAGACGAAGAGAGACGCGAGGCGCCTAGCCTTGCGGGACGACCGACTGAGCTGCCGGTGGAGGTGGAGCGGAGTGAAGAAGAGGTTACGGTGCGTGGTGCGGAGGATGCGGATGCAGCGCGGCCAATGACGGACGGTGCGGCGGGTTTCGAGCTGTTTGCTGCTGGCTTGGGCGATGTTGGTTTATCCCAGGAGGAGAAGAAGTCGTCGTCGCCTCCAGCAGTGCTTTCTGTTGGCGGAGATTTCGCGGTCTCTGCGCCTTCGACCACGATACCCTCTGGATACCTATGAGAAGTCGATGACGTGTTCAGACGGCAGAGAATGATGACCACGTACTTTGCTGCGTCTTCCCGCACTCTCTTAGCTAGCTCCTCTTTGTAGAGGTCGGCGACACGGCTGGTATACTTCTTCTTGACGTCGGATTCACCGAGGAGAGTAGACCCGCCATGGCGGGTAAAGAAGTCTGTTGCCGAGCCGTTCCCGCCTATTTTCATCGTGCGCAGTTGAATGAGCTGCCAGCTATCCAAGTTGGTTGACCTATGCGATAATTGCTTCATATTGAGAGAAATCTGAAACTAGCAATGTCTGCGCTACGTACCTGACGAAACTTATATGAACGCCCATATTCCGATGCACACTGGAGCAGTCGAGACATATGTACACGCCGAACGTAACACTGGACCAAGTCGGGTTACGAGCCTGACAATCAAAGCACATCTTGGCATGCCCGAGGGGTTTAGTATTCGACGCTCGTGGCTGACGATAACGATAGATGTAGAACTCACCTTGTTGCCCTTGCCCGACTTCAACACCTTGAAGACCTGCTCGGTCTCCGCCTTGCTGGGTTCTGCCATTTTTGAGCCAAATTTGTTAGGGTTGTGGCCAGTGAGTTCTGGGATTTATGTCCGTGAAATACTTTGAGAGGCGAATGGGCAGCGGAGAGTGGATGAGACGGATGGGTTGAACAGGCGATGCTGGCAACTGCAGAGTCTACTGGAAATCATGAGCATAATTACATAGAGGGTTTCGGGGGCAAACGTCAACGCATCAGGGGTGGTCGGAGTCTCGATACCATATGGCTTGATGACGGATCGCTCAGTGCAACATGCTCCGTTCCTCGATTCAGTCTGTCGCTGAAAACCGAAAACTTGTTTCATGGTTCATTGATTTTCTTGTTGAACTGTCCACTCCCTTCAACCGGTTGATCTGCAAACTTTCCAGATTTCCCCCACCGGACCCGTTGTTCGGACGTCCAGGTTCGATTAAGAATTACGGATCGTGACGTGAGTACTGTTTCTCTCGATCGACTATTCTACAAGGCTATCGTGTATCTCTTCGCCATTACATCGACCGCATCACCGTTCCAGCTTCATGATATGTTCGATCATTGCGGTTGGGCAGGCCAATTTTGTTCTTAGGCGGTCTTCCCGATGTCATGTTTTGCATTTCCTACAGTCGACAATCTTCCATGACAGCACTTTCATTCATAGGAGAAAATCACGCACCTGATATTTCACGTTGACGGTCTCCCGTTACTGCACCGACGACGGCGTCGATCTTCCCTTCCGCGCGATCGGCCATACCCTGAGCGAATGCTTGCGCTTGCGCCTCGTTGATTTCACGCTCGCCCGCCAAATGTTCCTGCTGCCCGGAAGTCTTCCACGCTGTGGCGCCGGTGTAATTGCCGACCAACTCGACGATGTTGCCCTTGATAGAGTGATATTGGCCTGTCACTTTACTATCGTAAAGAAGTCAATTTCTGGACTAGAAGCGACAATGAGCAATGAGGCTGAGATGATCTCGACTGAGGCTGGGGTGTACTGTCACTGGCGTTATTGCCAGCGGCGTTTGTGCTCTGTTTATCGGAAGGCATGATGGTATGTGTGAGATGGGAGTGAGTTTTTTTAACAGGCTCTGAGTCTCTTGAGAAATAATTCTTGACATCTTGTTCTGTCGTAGTGCCTTTCACTTTATACTGCTCGATTTTGGATATGACATCAGACTTGGTATCATTGCGCGCCTCAACAGTCTCCCTTTGATCAATCCACCTCAGTTATGTGGTGCGCACCAGTGCGCCCCGCGTGCCTCGAGGTCCTGCCCTTCTTTTTATGAAGACTGGCGACGTCATCAGGCCTGTTTACCTTTATTAGGGTCGAAGGCCATCAGTCTCGAATCTTATGACTGTCGTTTCAACATTCGACGTTGAACGTTGAACGTCGGTTGTAAGACTGTTGTAAGTGGCGTGTGCTTAGCATATGGCTGTTGACCACATGTGCATATATGTTATGCATGGTCCAATCATGAACCAATGGTTGAATTGTATTCAGCATGCTCTTCAGACGCCTTCCTTTTCCTAGACTTCTTCGTCAGCGATCCTTCGGCATCAGCTGGTGAGAACAATTCTCAATCTGTTACAGATTTTATTGCCAAGGTGAGAACTACATCCATAGGCCCATCACCGAATCCTGATCAATTCGGCGCCCGTGCGGTATAAATAGACCGCCATATGGACAAGGCCCTAAGATAAGTTGTCTGTGTGGGTTTCTCTTCCTGCCTGAGCTTATGGGGACAGCATCCGTTTCTGTTCGTGTGTTCATGTGTATAGATTGTCTATACAGACCGTGTATGCACTCCGGCTTCATCGTCGTCATTGCTGCCGCGGTTCTCATGAGTACTCCTCTTCAGCGGACAACAGGACAGGCGGCGGCGGCGGCCCGCGAGACTATTACTACGCAGGACCCAAACGACGTACTTCGTAGCTGCGACCAATGCAGCGCGGGCGATAACGACCTCAATGCAGCGCGGGTGATAACAACCTCAATGCAACTATTACGAGAACTTCGCTTTTCGAGTCTCATCTTCACAACTAGTTTCTTTTTTCATTTAAGGCTTCATTCCCACCTGCGAACCCCCACACTCGCTGTCTATTAACCCGACTGTAGCATTGGCGACACGATGCGCTCCTGGTTCTTTCTGTTCGCCCTTTGCTGTGTGCCAGTGTTCGCAGTACCCGCGGCCCGCGACAATCATGTCGTCCACGAACGCCGCGCCGCAGAGCCCAACGAAGACTGGACGCGCACACGCAGGCTGGAAACCAACCGTATCCTACCTCTGCGCATCGGACTAGCCCAGAGCAATCTACACAAACTGGAAGAACTCTTGATGGACGTCTCCCACCCTCACTCTCCTTCGTACGGCAAACACTGGTCGCCCATAGACGTTGTGGATTACTTCGCGCCGAGCAACGAGACGATATCTGCGGTCAAGAACTGGCTGACGAGCTCGGGATTCGAGGACGAGCGTCTGAAATTGTCGCCTAGCAAGAGTTGGGTCACAGTCGATGCGAGCGTTGCCGAAATCGAAGAACTACTCAAGACCGAGTATCATGTCTACACGCACTCTTCTGGAATGGAACAGATCGGTAGATATCCTCATCCTCCCAAGAAGCATGCAAGGAAGCTCACTGAACGCTATCGAATGCAGGATGTCGTTCTTACTCCGTCCCAATTCATGTTCGCGAGCACGTCGATCTCATCAAGCCAACAGTACACTTCACTCAGCATCTCCCACGGGAGTCTGTAACACGCAAACGTGCCAATTCAAGGCTGGGGATGCCTTCGACAAGTACGGGCCCCAAGACGAACGGCGCTAAAGTCACTATCACGCCAGCGTTGGAGAACTGTGACGAGCTGATCACGCCCGACTGCTTGAGAGCCCTTTACTCCGTCGATTATACCCCTGTGGCCACTGCGAAGAACAGTTATGGCATCGGTAAGTATCCATGGTGAAACCACATATTCTGCGGCTGAAATGAGAATAATGGCTTCTAGTTGAATTCACCCCTCAAGCCTTCTTGGCCGGTGATCTGGATTTATTCTTTGCGTCAGTATATTGTGTGCTTCGTTTGCTCCGGGGTTGCACTTACAGGGTCGTCTAGCAACTTTTCCCCGAGTCAAGTCGGAGTGAGGCCGACGCTGATTTCCATCGATGGGGGTACATCTCTTCCTCTTCTCAAATCACAAGCGTGCACTGAACTTTCTTTCTATAGGAGTCGCCCAGACGACAGATCAGAGCTTCGACTTCAACGGAGAGAGCGACCTTGATCTGCAATATGCCATGTCTCTGACGAACCCACAGCCTATCACATTATTACAGACGGGAGATCTGGTGGAAGGTAAGTTGAAGTCATTTGATCTGTAATCGAACACGCTACAATACCGTATGAATAGGTGCATCTTTCAACAACTGGCTGGATGCCGTCGATGGGTCATTTTGCACATTTGAGGGTGGAGATGATCCTACACAGGTCTGCTATTTATTTCTCATACTGCGTGGGTTCACCCTAATCTATGCTCTAGGATGGTATCTACCCGGATCGACTGCGCGGTGGCTTCAAAGGTAGACGGATGACGAAGCAATTTTAGCCAGCCCCTGTCTTGATAATTTTGTGCCTTCCTTCAGGGCCTGAATCCTGTGGGATAATTGCACCTCCCAATGTGGTGTCTGTGTCGTATGGTCAGGACGAAGCAAGCGTCACTGCGGCCTACGCAAACCGTCAGTGTACCGAGTACGGAAAGCTCGGTATGATGGGTACAACAGTGCTCTACAGTTCCGGGGACGACGGCGTCGCTGGAAACAGCGGCCTCTGTCTCAATGCTGCAGGTAACGAGCTACGCCCCTGTCAATTCAAATTAAAGTGTCAATTGAATCATTTTTGCAGGTAAAGCAACGGAAAATGGAAAAAGATTCAATCCGGGCTTCCCGGTCACCTGTCCCTTCATAACGGCGGTCGGTGCTACGCAGGTGAATCCGGGCGCGACCGTAAACGACCCGGAGAGCGCCTGCGAGCAGGTTATTTTCAGCGGGGGAGGCTTCAGCAATATCTTCCCCATGCCGTCGTACCAGGCTGCCGCGGTGACAAGCTTTTTCTCGAATACACCTCCCCCTTTCACATCTGCGCAATTTAACAATAGCAAGAATGTACGGGGATTCCCTGATCTGTCTGCGAACGGGTTTGTCTTTACTGCGGATCCTTCCTGACCTTCATTAACAGCCTCACGCATTTGATAGCGCCAACTACGTGATAGGCAAGTATTCCTGCATTTCTTGAGTTTTCCCAGCCTCTTTGCTTAAGTAGATCATGAATAGGCATCGATGGGGAGTTCGAACTCGTCTTCGGAACGTCGGCGTCTTCTCCCGTAGTTGGATCGTTGATCACTCTCATCAATGATGCGCGGATCGCTGCAGGAAAAGGCCCAGTCGGTGAGCTTTGAAATCGCAATCCCAGTAATCAACCTGCAATCTTACGCGTTGACTGCAGGCTTCATTAACCCTGCGGCATGTTGACCGTCTTGCTCCGAGTGTGCTATCAACTGATTGTCAAATACAGATATACTCCGACAGTTTCGCGAGTGGTTTCAACGATATCACCACAGGCGGTAACCAAGGCTGTGGTGCGTCCTGCGCTGCCTATCCTGTGATTTTCTATCTAATACATCTCATAAGGCACTCCTGGGTTCAATTCGTGAGCCTAATCCCTGTTACCTAAGATGCATCGCTGACAGAACTCACAGCACCCTTGGATGGGACCCTGTCACTGGTTAGTGTTTCTATCATTCATCCGCAAATTTTCCAAGCTGACGTATCTTAGGCGTTGGCACACCCAACCTCACGGCGCTCATGCCGCTTTTCATGGCACTACCATGAACATCTGTTGCGAGTCATAATAAGGTCAATGTGCATTCCCCTTAGGACTGAGAGTCACCCGTGTACATTCTGTATTCTGGGTCCTTTGATATATAAATTCAAGTGTAGAGGATCTTATGATCAATGCGCATTTGTCCGAATGTTTCCAGGAGAATGGGTCTCATCATGGAACGGAATGGTGTATTCTATCACACTATCTCAGTCTTACGCGAGTGTGAAACTCCGTCAGATGGATCCTTCTCTCCAAGCTTGTTACCCTCGTTTTCCTTCTTGCTCTCTATTGACTCTTCTGTAACCGGCAGATGTGACTCCTTCCGCCATGCTGTCCCGCCCTCGTATCCGAACCAGGTATACTGCTTGCAATGCGGTCCACGGACGACCAAGATCAGCAGTTGCAAACCAGTCCAGGCTAGGGAAAGACCTGCGGCTGCACGCCAGCCGTGTTCATTGAACACCTTTGTGCCAACAGCGGTTCCCATGATCTGACCGAGGAAAATCTATGCGCGCGAGATTGTCACGGTTCAAATGAGAATGAGGAGTGTCAGGGCCAGCTACGGCGGGTACGCACAGCGACGAGAAGAACGCCATTAAGTCGTGCTGTAGCGTTGGATGATATTCTGAGGGGAAGTGTCTCAAGGTTGCGCTGATCCTAATATGAGATCGGCTCTTACCTATATACTGATGTCGTCAACGATACTTGCTGCATCTGACGGAATACATCTAGCCCCAAACAAACTACGATGACCGCCCCAACATTCAGTCCTACAGCGCCAGTGTTTATGGACTGGACTCCAAGCAGGCATATCGTAGATATGAGCGAGGCGTACCACGGGACCAAGCGGTCTATCACACGTCCGAGTATTGGACTCATCAGCACACCTGCCATACCTACCAGGCCAAACAATCCAATAACCAACCTTGACGACATATCAGTCCCCGGATACATGAAAATAAAGGGATGGAGATACAGAAGCCGCTCACGTCGAGTAGTTGTACGGGGCTTCCCCCAAGAGAAATGTGAGCGTGACCCAGAAATTTGTGAAGCACGCCATCGATGCCATGTTGATCAGACACGCCTGGATAAGCACAGGCTCTGTGACCGCCAAATTTGCCATCGACCAGAGGATACTCCAATACGTGAGCTCCTCGCCGACATTCTTCGCAGGGTAGTCCGGCAGCACGGCCCACAGCGCTACAAGCACGACATACTGCACGCCGATCGCCATATAGTATACGACGCGCCACGATGCAAACTGCGCAATGATACCAGCGATAACGCGCGCGATCAGAATGCCGAGAAGCAGACCGGACATAACGATGGATATAGCAGTCGCGCGTTTTTCAGGCGGGGCGAGGTCGGCAGCGAGTGGCATGAGAATCTGGGGTGCGACGCTGAAAACGCCGATAAGGAAGGAGAGGGCTTCAAAGGCGACCAAGGACTGTGTGAGAGCGAGCCCGATGGTAAGAGTCGATGAAATGAATACAACGACTAGCAGGAGCGAGCGGCGCCGGACGAGGTCACCCAACGGAGATATGAGCAAAAGACCGCCGGCATAACTGAACAAAGTTAGTAAAGGCTATGTGCAGATGTGACGCTCGGCGCGCACCCTGCTTGAACCAATGTTGGGATTCTGAAAATTGGAAGCTTATCAGTGACTGCGAAGCCTCTAGGGATTGCAGTCGATCTTACCTCGATACTTCATCGAAAGATGCATTGAAGGAGTCAGCCAACTGGACTGTTGATTCAGTGTAAGCGTTTTGACACATGACTTGTTGATGAGGGGACAATTTACTCAGGATTGGTTGGCAATAATACAGATTCGTGACGACTGTTCATTGGCACAAGGTGAGGTCAAAACGATGTCGTTCAAGCACAATATCGAATGGAAGGAAGCTCACTGAAAGTACCCGCGATGCCCAAAACAATGTTTAACGCAAGCCCGAAATGTATTGGATTGTCGGGATCCCAGCGAAGTCTCTTTGGAATCGGTATAAATCCAAGGTCCCATGATTGCAACTCAATTAGGTTTTTAGCATCGCCTCCTAGAATGTCTCTATTATTAGACAGAGTATCTGCAGACGCTCTCCCAGGTGGAGTGTCGTCAACAATCTGAACCATGAAACGGACGTCAGAGTAACAGGTGAGGTGGGTTCGCTGCTACGGCCCGCGCTTTTATACCAGCTTAGAGCCCTATAATTATATCATGACGCATTTGGAAGAAGATATCTGGGAGAAAAGGGCTCATGAGGGTTGCTCTGTCAGAGATGCCGACGGCAAGCGATTGGGTTACTAACTGGTTACTAAATTTGGCTCCGGAGCGTTGAGGTGGATCGCGGCGGTGGGTCTGAAGTCATGATATCATTCCACAAGCCAGTTCGAAGAATTTCTGTGATTCACGGATGGCAGAAGGATCAAAAGCATGCATATCACATCCTTCGGCATGATACATGAGCTTATCGTTGCAAAATTTGAGATCCTGTCATTTGTACGGAAGAGACATCCGTGAGTAAAACATACCACATTTGGATTGCTCCCTTGTGGGCGTCCCGGATGTCGCTACTGTGACCAATGATGATGTCGGTGGCTTGCCGCCATAAAAATGAACGACATCCCAGTTGTATCCACCTTGTCCCGCTGCTCCAGCCATGGCAGAGGAACGACAGATCAATGGCCCGCTCTCTGCCTCACCGACCACTGCAGCTACCGACTCGTTTTCTGTGGATCCTACCGCTTCCCCCAACGTCACTGACAGCTCGTATATCCATGAGGCGAAATCTGAAGAGAACAAAGACTCATCTAGACGATCAGAGCGTAGAAGGGACTTTGGTCTGGTGCCAATCCCAAAAAGCCTCAGATACAACAGTGAGAAGCCAGCGCATTTTGGACTATTGATGAACATTGTCTTCGGACTCGCAAGCACATTCGGTGCGTGTTCTCCCCATATCTGTGGGTAGCCGTCAACGGAGTTCATTCCCGATCTCTGCAGTCGTGGCAAACCTGTACTATTGCCAGCCGCTACTGAGTGAGTCCCATGTACCGGCTATAAGTCATAATATTTGAGCGGCGAACGTATGCAAGACATTGTCTGAACCTACCCTCCTTCAGTTCAATTCTCCATCTCGTTCGATGTCAGTTATGATGAAGTATCTAGGTGAGCTTCCGTTACATCATGGGAACTCATCCCCATGTCACTCTTTGTTCTCACATCTTGAATAGAATTCCTACGCTAGTTCAAGCCGGGTGAGTTATCCTACGGATCAGAGCTTCCTGGGACCACAGTGGGCTAAATGAGCCAATAGATATGCTACGGGTCTTTTGCTCATCACACCGCTAGGCGACCTCGTTCGCCGACGCCCACTCCTTCTTCTCACCATAATCCTCGCCATCGCCGTCACTATCGGTCTTTCCATCACACGATCCCTTGCTGTTTTTGAAGCACTTTGCTACCTTGTCGGCGCCTTTTCCGTGGCCCCTCAAATCCTGATTCCTCTTGCAGCCGATCTTGCTCCCCCAGATCGTCGTGCGTCATCCATCTCTATCGTCCTCTCCGGCCTCCTCTTCGGTGTCCTTATCGCTCGCGTTATTGCTGGCGTCATTGCGCAATTCGTCACATGGCGTGTCGTCTATTACTTGGCTATCGGGGCACAGGTCGCGGTACTGATAGCGTTGTGGGCGGTGTTGCCGGACTACCCTCCGAAAAATAAAGGCATCACCTATATTGGGATCCTGCTTTCAATGGCAAAGTTGGCGGTGACGGAGCCACAATTGATCCAAGCTTGTTTGATCAGTCTAGCGTCCAGCGCTTGCTTCACGAACTTTTGGGTCACGCTCACGTTCCTCCTCGGTGGGCCTCCATACCACTACTCTACGTGCGTATTGTTCTATACGAAATAATCCAAGTTTAGGGCTGATATTTTTCGCAGACTTGTTATTGGTTTGTTCGGCCTGGTTGGCATGTTCGGGGTCATGATGAGTCCGCTCGTCGGTCGTACGATCGACAAGCTGATTCCGTGGTACGCAACGCTGTTCGCGACAGGTTGCTTGCTCGTTATGCAAGGGGTTTACACGGCTGCTGCTGGACTCAATATTTCCGCTGTGATCATCGTGTGCTTGGGGATCGATGTAGGGAGGCAGATGCAGCAAGTGTCGCTCACGACGGCAGTGTATGGGTGCGTTGATCACCTCTGAACTTGTCAGCAAATAGGGCGCGTCTGATTTCATGGGTCTATTCAGAATATCCGAATTGATGCGCGCTCGACTCAATGCCGTGCTGATTCTTTCGGTAAGTTGCGTTTTTAGTTTCACTAATTCGGATATATAACGTGTGGACAGCTCTTCATCGGTCAAGTCATGGGCACGGCTGTTGGAACGAAGGTGTTCATTGAACACGGGTGGCGGGCTTCAGCTGCATTATCTCTCGGCTGGACAGGTTGGCAGATGATCATTCTCCTTCTGCGTGGGCCGCATTGTCAGCGGTACACCTGGTTCGGCTATCAAGGAGGAACAGAGTGGAGGAAGGACGTAGTGATGGAGGGTGCACGACAGGCGGCAGAGGAAGAGGGAAGAAAGGATACCGAGCAAGGGGATGCGGAGAAAGGAGACGAGGGTCCTCGATCGAGTAATCTCAGCGATGAGAAGAGAGTCACTCCAGAAACGGTATGATAATACCTCCTCAGTGGTTTCCCCCGCGTGGAAGTGAAGGGCGGCTAGGCTTGCATCTTTCTCTGCGCATTCATCCATCTGCATATCAAACCGAGGGTCAAAGTTGAACTTTGTTCACGAGTCTCACTATCTTGTTGTATCTTCCTCCGCAGGCAGAACTTTGACTAGAAAAGCTCCTTCATTCAGAACATTCTTCAACTCTCTACATGTCATGTGAAGTCGTACACCAATTGTAACGCACAGCAAGTCAGCGCCCAGGCCTGCGCACAAACTGAATGAGGAAGTTTCACCTTCTATGAGACTCCGATCAGACATTGTATATATGGACGAGCTTCCTTGTCTATGGACTATGCAGCTGCGCACGGTGAGCCTTACGATTATTCCCTCAGATCACTCGCACTAAGTCATGGAGTGTCTCCGTCCCAGAACTGCCCATTGATCGCCATTTTAGGCCACGATCGACCCCAATCAGCTGTCTTTATCTGTCCATTTCTTACAGCAACAGGACCCCATGAACTTTCTCCGCAGCGCGTGATTGCGGTATATGGGTCCATCATTTGCATTGTTAACGAGTTGACATGCTTCCACTCGCGCAGGTATGACGCTGCGAAGATCACGCGCTTTTTTCCATCCCGGGGAGCTGAGCGCTCCGGCAGCAGCTGTGCAGTGAGAAATTTCCTGCGTCGCAGGACGAGACGACGTTCGGAGACTGATATAACCTGGGATGTCGAGCGGTAGTCTCATCGCTCCTCTCAAACATGTCTTCTGACGATGCAAATGCTCCTCATGTTCGCAGTCGTGGCCCACGTCACGCTGCGGCTCCTGGCGCACGCTTCTACAGACCTCGGTTTCATGGACGCGATGTCAAAGCTGGATTATACTTCGAGGATCCAGTTGCAACTATTCTAGTACCGTCCCTAGAGGGAGCACCCAGTACTACGAAGCAAGAGGTCGATGTCAAAAATGTGGAGTATGTCGCGTCGTATAACTGGACGAATGCTTCGAAGGCTACCATGATTGTTCCAGGTACGATATCGTCGTTGTTGTCTTATCAGTCTCTTTCTGGTATGTTTGACACTATACCTACACCAACCTGTGCATAGGTTCTCCTCCGGTCTGGAGTGAGCCATCAGAAGCGCTCACACTGTCCCCAGATGAAGGCTATCGTTACGTCGATCAAGATGCTTTTAGGATGAAGGCAAATCCACTCCTCCCAATCATGGTGGCCGCCGATGTCGTGGGAAAGAAAATCGACTGGCGGGACATCGACTTCATCGGCGATCGAACTTCACTGCTCACGCTCCTTGGGTGGATCCAGGGCGAAGACCATCCAAAGTATTTCAGGATAGACATGGAGTTGGCTGGGGACCACACGATCATGCTGAACAGATGGGAGTCGAGGGATAAGCAGAAAATGAGTGGCAAGACCTATGGCTTCCACTTCGAACGTGCTACCACGAGGCCAATGGTCCAATGCGAAGACAGCGCAGCCCATCTCCGTGTGGTTCGATATGTAAGCTCCCTTTCAGTGTTCTTCGCCTTAAACTGTTAAAGAATCTTTCTTTTCAGGCTTTCTGCGGATTCAAAATTATGGTGCGCTTTGAGGTGGATGCTTGTCTCCCGTCTGCGTCGAAGACCGCAAAACCTTCTTCTGTGGAGGGGCTAGCCGACGCGATCGCGGACCTCACGACAAAGGAGACCCAGTCAGGGATGAAGAGTCCATCGGCACTCATTGAAGTCATCCACGGCGGCATTGAAACATCGCAGGGCGCTCTCGTAGAACTGACTTCGCGGTCCCAGAAGACAATGCAGAGAATCAACTGGATGAAGCTCTTTTCCCAGCTCTACCTCAGTGGCACCCCTCATCTGTTCATCGGCGTTCACAGTGGCGGTGTATTTGAACAGACCATCAATAAGCACAGTCTAAACGATACGGAGATGACTTCGCACAAAAAGAATGCTGAGGAAAGTTTGCGGAAGCTGGGGTCACTTCTGGAAACCATAAAAGGTGTGGTTCTCGAACATGGAAAACAAGGACGCCTGAGCTTGGTAGGCATGGCCAAAGACGTGAAAATTTATAAACGAAAAAGTAAGGACAGTTGTCTTCCAGCGGAGGTGATGAAGCGATTTCAGGTAGAGCAAAAATGATTCTTCACTCCTGGGTATTCTACGAAGTGTTTCACAATCTGCATAGCATTGTACCAACTTCAATACTCATTTCTCACCCTGAGCTCCACGTACTACGTGCCAGAGTCGATACCCAAACGTGAAACCAAAAAGGAGTGATTTTTGACCCGAGTCGCTCAGATTCGCAGCCAATATCCCGAAATGTATATTTCATATTTCTGCACATGCAAGCTCTACCGCCAACGACTCATCAACGCTGGCGATGTGTAACATCAGAATCCTGCCTATCCATGCGAAAGGCCGGCTTATCCGCTTATCACCCTTTCAGTGACTGTGCAGGATCACTCAAGATGGAACGCCGGGTTGGAGTTTCGGCGGCTATCTCAATCCCGTCTCCAACAGGCTCAAAGTGCTCAATTGAACCCCACAACTAGCAGAAAATGCAGCCAGATGACATGAAGTAGGCTATCCGCTACCACCTGCATATTTCATCTCATTAATTTTCCTCATGATTGTAGGACATTCTCGGCAGCATCTGCTAGGCTCGAGCGACCGCCTCTCGTCACTACCTGAAGATGAGCAGCCTTGGATTGAGACTAGACGTTCTGGTGCCATTATGGAATACATGACGCAAAGTCGAAGCCTTTACAGACTCCTGCGCGCATAGGCTAACAATAGACATCGTGACGCTGTGACGCAGCGCTATACTGATATAGGTATGGTGTAGCAGGACCGTAAGTGCCAAATTCCAGCTCTCCAACTCCAGACTATGGCTTACTCTCATCCCCGTTCAAGATTTTCTTGGAAATCCGCAAGAAACACGTCTTCTCATGGTCTTCCTTCAGATTGTGATATCAAGGATGGATTGAGATGCTCCATCAACGACCTATCCATCCCTTCTGCCTCGAACCAGAGATCAACAGCGATTGTGTCTACGGCTGTGGAACATACCGAGTATTTGGGATCTTACAACTGGACAGACGCCGAGGCTGCTGAGATGATAGTTCCTGGTAGAACCATTCTATATATGTATCACTTAAATCACTTACAGTTATGTTTGCTTTACAAAGGCTCGGCACCAGAGTGGATTAATCGCTCGCTCCCCATCCAAATGAAGGCAGATAAAGGCACGTACTACGTAGATCAAAACGCCTTCAAAAGTCCCACATCCGTCCTATTGCCGCTATTTCGCTCAGTAGACGTACTCAACAAGGAGGTCGATTGCAATCGATTTTGTGACTGATCGAAATGGGCTGAGAAAACTTTTGAGGTAGATAAACGGCATTGACGTCAAGGGCTTCAGGATCGACATGGAGCTTGCTGGGGAGCAGACCGTCTTGTTCAGCAGATGGGAATTTCGGAATGGGGAGAATCTGCTGGGTAGAACATATGGGCTTCATTTCGAGGAGGCTATGACGTCTGTTGTTCCTGGGTGCGAGAGGAGCACCAGTCACCACCGAATCGTCAAATATGTACGTATTTGGTTTTCTTTGTCCATGAATTTCGTATCTTACCTTCTCTCCAGGACTTCTTTGGCTTGAAGTTGGTGGTCCGATGTGAGGTCGATGCTTGCCTTCTGTCCGTAACTCCGAATAGAGGGACTTCGCCAGTAACACAATCTTCGGACCCAGATGATTTGACTGAGGCCTTGGCTGGCCTCAATATCACAACCAACCCTCCCGCAACTCCGGCAGGTGTATTGTCTTCACCGTCCATGGCATTTTTAGAAGGCTCCCTTCCGCTTCGCATTATTCGTGCGGGCGCTGCACAACTTCAAGAATCCATCATCGAGCTCACCACGCGCTCCGAAGACTATACTCAAAATCTCGATTGGGCCGAAGTATTTCCACAGCTTTATTTATCACAAACGCCTCATCTATATGTTGGAGTCCACTCTGTAGGCAGGTTCTTCGATGTACGGAAGCAGAGCTTAGATAGTCTAGAGATGATCTCCCAAAGAGAGAAGGCCGAAACGAGTCTCAGGAAATTGGGGAATGCGCTGCGGATGATTCAGAAGATTGTGGTGAAGCATGGAAGAGCGGGCAGGCTCAGTCTGGTGTGTGAGAAGGGGACGCTGCGGGCCTATGAACGCGTTAGCACGCAGAGCTGTCTACCGGCGGAGGTGATACAGCGGTTCGAGAAGTAAAGGACAGTGCGTCGCGCGGAGCGAACCTTTCATACGGTGTACGAGTAGTCTCCAGTGAGTGCCGTTTTGTACGTACTGGAGAGCTTTTCCCAGATGACTGCGCAGGATTGCGCATGATCAAACGCAGACCGACCAACTTTGGATTGAAGTTTCGGCAGCCATCTCAACATTGTCACTTTACGATAGGCTCGTCTCTACTTCTTGAACATTCTATTTTATTGGATGGCCTCAAGTGTTTTGTGGATTCAACGAACTTGATATTTGCTACTGTTCCGCAGCTAGTCGATGTTCTGCTTTCCAGCATCATCGGTCACCACGTCACGTCATCAAAGCCTTGATAGGTCCCTGCGCGCAGAACCTCCCAAAACGACTCTGCAAACGCGACACCACACTTGTGTGATACAAAAGCTGGAACGCAAAGATCCAGCCGCACATCTCCACACATCATGGCTTACTCTTATCCCCACTCAAGGTCCTCTCGCGATCCGCGACAGTCATCCTGGCACTTCCGACGAGATACGACTTTGGATGGACTTCCCCCAGATCGCGATATCAAGGACGGCTTGAACAAGTCTAATCCTGTCGACACTTTGTCCATCCATTCTGCCATCAATCAGAGATCAACTACAACTTCATCCACGGATTTAGAACACCTCGAATATATAGGATCTTACAACTGGACAAATGCATCTGACGCTGCCGAGATCATAGTTCCAGGTAAGATCTTTTTGACATACTCATCACTCGTCTCACCATCTTCCGACACAAAAGGCTCAGCACCAGAGTGGACTGATCGCTCGCTCCCTATCAAGCTGAGTCCGGACAGGGGTGTGCGTTTCTCGCATCAGAATGGCTTCAAAAGCCCTTCGTCTATCCTGTTGCCACTATTTAAATCGGTAGACGTGCTCAACAAGGAGGTCGATTGGCCATCCGTCGATTTTGTTACTGACCGGAGCGGGCTACGAAAGATCATGAGGTGGGTCAGTGCGGGTGACGTCTGGGATTTCAGGATCGATATGGAGCTTGCCGGGAAGCAGACCGTTTTGTTCAATAGGTGGGATGCCCGAACGAGGGAAATTATGCCAGGGTATACATATGGGTTTAATTTCGAGAAGGCCATGACTGTCGCTGTTCCTGGGTGCGAGAAGGGCACCGGCCACCATCGGATAGTCAAATATGCACGTGCTCACGTTTTGTGGGGTCGGTGACGTTCGTGACTTACCTGCTTTCAGGACTTCTGTGGCTTGAAGTTGGTGGTCCGATTTGAGGTCGATGCATGCCTCCCATCTGCAACTCCGAAGAGAAGCGCTTTTCCAGTAAAGCAATCCTCAAATCCAGATGACTTGGCCGACATCTTGGCTGGCATCAATATCACACCTCAAGATCCCGCAAGTCCGTCAGTTCCATCGTCCTCGTCTTACACGGCATCCGAAGCAGGTTCATCCTCCCAACTTCGCATCCTCCGCGCAGGCGTCGAACAGCCGCAAGCATCCATCATCGAACTCACCACGCGCTCCGAGAATAGGATTAACCAGCTTGTTTGGACCGAAATATTTCCACAGCTCTATTTGTCGCAAACACTGCATTTCTATGTCGGCATCCACTCTCGGGGGAGGTTCTATGAAATCCGAAAGCAGAGATTGGATAGCTTGGAGATGGTCTCGCAAAGGGAACAGGCCGAAACAAGTTTTAAAAAGCTGGGGATGGCATTACGAATGATTCAAAAACTCGTCATCAAGCATGGACAAGCAGCAAGACTGAGCCTAGTGTGTGAGAGGGGGAAGCTGATGGTCTACGAACGCGTTAGCACGCAGAGCTGTCTACCGGCGGAGGTGATGCGGCGGTTTGAGAAGTAAAGGACAGTGCATCGCACAGGGCGAATTTTCTAATACCTGCAGAGTGTGTGCAGTTTCACGTGAGTGTCGTTTTGTACGACTAGTTATTGGAGAGCTCCTCGGGCAGAAAAGAACCCATCCGCTGTTTGTCTCTCAGGTAACTGCACAAGATTGCGCAGGATGGAGGATTGCGCAGGATCGAGGGTTGCGCAGGAGCAAGGATTGCGCAGGATCAAGGATTGCGCAGGAGCAAGGATTGCGCAGGATCAAGGATTGCGCAGGATCAAGGATTGCTCAGGAGCAAGGATTGCGCAGGATCAAGGATTGCGCAGGATCGGACGCAGACCAACCGACTTTGGATTGAAGTTTAGGCGGCCATCTCTATTTTGCCACCTTGCGACAGGCTCGTCTCTGCCGCTTAACCATTTTTTAAATCGAACCCTCTTCTGATCGCATGGTATCCTCCTAAGCTGCAAGACGTAGGCGGGTTCTGGTTGAAGCCGAAAAGCTTATCTCATTAGATGTCCTCATGCCTATTGTGGACTCAACGAGCTTGTTTAGGTTGGCCACTTCCGCAGCGGCTGCCTCATAGAATATCGATGTTCTACTTTCCAACAGTATGGTCCCCACGTCATATCTTTCCAAGGCCCTGCGCGCAGAGCCTCGCATAATAATAACCGTGAACGTGACACCACATAAGTGTGGTACAAAAGCTGAAATGCGAAGATTCAGTCGCACATCTCCAAATCCCATGGCTTACTCTCATCCCCTCATTGCTTCGGATGGACTCCCTGCAGAGCGCGATATCATGGAAGGCTTGAAAAAGTCTCATCCTGTCGACACTTTGTCCATCCATCCTGTGACTAATGAGAGACCGACTGCAACTACGTCCACAGCTGTGCGAAACCTCGAATATATAGGATCTTACAACTGGACAAATGCATCTGACGCTGCCGAGATCATAGTTCCAGGTAAGATCTTTTTGACATACTCATCACTCGTCTCACCATCTTCCGACACAAAAGGCTCAGCACCAGAGTGGACTGATCGCTCGCTCCCTATCAAGCTGAGTCCGGACAGGGGTGTGCGTTTCTCGCATCAGAATGGCTTCAAAAGCCCTTCGTCTATCCTGTTGCCACTATTTAAATCGGTAGACGTGCTCAACAAGGAGGTCGACTGGCCATCTGTAGATTTTGTTGTTGACCGAAGTGGACTGAGAAAGATAATGAGGTGGATCAGTGTCGACGACGTCAAGGATTTCAGGATCGATATGGAGCTCGCTGGGAAGCAGACCGTTTTGCTTAATAGATGGGAGGCCCGAACGAGGGAAATTATGCCAGGGTATACATATGGGTTTAATTTCGAGAAGGCCATGACTGCCGCTGTTCCTGGGTGCGAGAAGGCCACTAGCCATCATCGGATAGTTAAATATGCATGTGCTCACTTTTCGTGGAGTCAAGATGTCCATGGCTTACCTCCCTTGCAGGACTTCTGTGGCTTGAAGTTGGTGGTCCGATTTGAGGTCGATGCATGCCTCCCACCCGCAACTCCGAAGAGAAGCGCCTCCCGAGCAAATATGTCCTCAAACCCAGAGGATTTGGCTGATGCCTTGGTCGGCCTCAAGATTACACCCAGCAAACCCGTAACTCCGTCGGTTGCATCACGCTCGTCTCCCGCCGCATCCGAAGCAGGGTCATCCTTACAACTTCGCATTCTTCGTGCGGGCGTTGAACAGCCGCAATCATCGATCATAGAACTCACAACACGCTCTGAGAAAACGATTCACAATGTCAATTCGACTGACCAATTCCTACAACTTTATTTATCACAAACACCCCATTTATACGTTGGCGTTCATTTTAAGGGAAGGTTCTTCGACGTTAGGAAGCAGGGGCTAGAGAGTTCAGAGTTAGTCTCCCAGAGAGAAAAGGCGGAATCGAGTTTGAGGCAGTTGGGAAACACGCTGCGGATGATTCAGAAGATCGTAGTAAAGCATGGAAGAACAGGCAGGCTTAGTCTGGTGTGTGAGAAGGGGACGCTGCGGGTTTACGAACGTGTTAGCACACAGAGCTGTCTACCGGCGGAGGTGATGCAGCGGTTTGAGACGTAAAAGGAACTGTGTCGCGCGGTGCGATGATATTTCTACCTCGAATGTATGATTAGTTCCACGTGAGTGTTGTTGTGTATGATTAGGTACTGGAGAGCACGCACAAAGCCAAAGTTCTGTAATCGAGCGCTCGAATCCATACGCCCATCGTGGTGAGTGTCCCATGATGACGAAGCAAGGTCAGGCCACTCGCTGTGGAGTAAACCACAGAAGTCCTTCTCTCGATCCATGCTGTTACGACGAGCTGTCCCTCAATACGTATAGCAAAAATAGACCCATGCGTGAGGCCCAAGAGCGAGGCATGATGAAACGCAGTCTAACATGGTTCGAGCTCATTCGGTGCAAGTGTTTACACCTTGGCGTTCACACTGCGTGTGAGCGCGATTGGGAAGCGGGTGGCGAGCGGGGATTGATCGTACGTACAGTGTCCCAACCATGATCAAATCCTGATGGTCGCGACTCAAGCACTTAGATGGGGAAATGGACGCACGAGAGACGAGGGACGACCCGGCACTAAAAGGCACAGATTCGGCACGACCATTCTGCGAAGCGTCCCACATCGCGAGGCGTGGAAGACGTCGAAGGCTCCGGGGATGACAGCACGCAGCCGAGATGCTGAGTGATGGTGTAATCTAGGCGCGTCGCATCTGTACGCGAGCCAAAGTGGGCGGAGTAGTCTCGGGACACAACGTACAGGGTCCCACTGCTTGAGGAAGCGGGCCATCCAAGTTGGTGTGTGAGCATCCCCATGAGTGCCGGCGAAAGCAGAATCAGGATATGCGTATCACATAGGGGCCACAGAAGGCGGCGCGAAGCTATTGAAGTCGATGATGCGACCGTATCACAGTGAGGATAAAAACAGGCCAAATCTTTGAATGAAAGATAAAAACAGGGAATGTCACGCGATCGTGCACCATGTCTGACCGTGAGGATGAAGAGGTATGTTTACGTGCCAAGCCTGACGAGACTGTGTATTCAGAGGCCACGCCTAGTCAATGTGTGCCGCAATCTCAAAATAACACTGCATTGGATCTAGCGCACATATCGGGATGCTCGAACCCCGTCGCGGGGTATCAAGTAATAGATTCAGAAGCGCCACATGGCCGCCGTAGGAAATAACAGCCAGCGTTCTAGGCATTCGGGGTGTGCCAAAGGACGCGCTGTATAGCAAGCGAAGAGGGTGACGATGAGCATACGTCTATATGCATGTCGTCACCAGGCTTCGAGGTCGAGAGACAGTCTATACGCCACGGTGGGATAGAGGTTCTGGACCAAGGGTGGGGATCATGTCACTTTTCACCAAGAATAGCGAATAGATCGACAATCGAGGCATGACTGGGCGACACAGATGTTGAGGACAAAGAGATACCGCGAGCTGCCGAGGAAATAAGGGTCTTGTGAGCTGAACAACCACAGACAGATTGTAGATAATCCAACAATGGGCATGTTACGACCTCGAGGCAGACGCATGGTAAACATGTACACGCAAAGGCGGTGTTTCGGAGTGTTGCTGGAGTCTGCCACCACGAATAACGAACTAGTTCTGCACATCAATTCATCTAGATTCGTCCTGAGAGTGAGGCACTGCGCGTCGAACGGAGGATAAAGATAAGGGGGCCAGTAGCTTCTGTTCAGCAAGGCACGGCGCCAATTGGATGCAGAGTCCCGAAATAGGAAACGGAAACGGAGGATGGAAGAACGATGACGGCAACATACATTGAGGGCGTTGGGAGATGAAGCAATATTGACCAACACGCAAACGAGCGCTTCTCAGCAGTATGACGCCGATGATATGTCGAGAGAGGCGACTATAACGCGGTCCCAGCCGTTGCACGCTTTGGAAACGTGCTCCGGTTATTATATATGCTCGCGATCGTATCTTCATGCATGATCGAGAAAGAGACGCGGTAGCGCTAAAAAAAATTGCGAATGCACCGGTCCGAGGTCGGCCAGTACCTCAAAAAGCCGGCGCAGCAAAAGCGGTGAGACAGAGATAGACTTGTGAGAAAACAGGCACATCCAGCACGTTTAGACAGGAGGCCACGATGATCTCGTGCAAGCTTGTGAGAGTGCAGATACCAGTTCAGCGCGTGCCGTCCGCTAAGCCTGAGAGATATTCTCGAATTTGTAACACGTTGACCTCTGTGGGAGTGGCTGCGAGAGATATTGTACCGAGGCGGAAAAGAGCATGACTATCGCGCTATGGATGATTTTTGAGATGGTTAGAACGTGGATACGATAGATCAGACGTAACTAACGTGCGTAGAGAAGTAACGCAGGCCTACATGTGCGACATGAAAAACAGGGTATTCTCCTTCAGGAGATGGAGTTCACAGATGCCGAAGAGGTTCAAGACGGCGCAAACGCCGCGAGATAAGATCAGCCTGCAATGGGCAAATCTGCAACATCTACAGATGAGGTTCTGTTCGCTGGAAGATATGGAAGTCGCTTGAGACAGTTCGAGAGATAAGATGTGGAAGAATGGAGAGATTGCGCGTTCGCTTGGGCGCCTGAGCAATGCGGGGATTCGTCGGGAGGATTATAGAATGGACTGGGACATTCACTAAGGAGACAAGATGAACGGAATTCAGGCAAAGGCGAAGATGGTGGAGCCCAATCAGGCAGGAAACTCGGAGTATCTGATTTCAATATCCGCTCCCGCCAGCTTCCCGGTCCAGCCTCCCAGACAAGTGACGCGGCCACCTTCATCGTCCTCGTATATCTACTCCTGCCCTTTCCTCCGTCTCTCTCCACCAATTCTTGGCATACACCCTCCCCTTTGTAACCGTTCTTCTGTTGTACTTTCATCTTCGCCAATGCCCGACATGGCCTCCGTCTCACACCCCCAGCAGCGACAATTCAACCCTTATTCATCAAATGGTGGAACAATCCTCGCCATCGCAGGCGCAGACTTCACTGTCATCGCAGGAGACACCAGGCAGAGCGAGGGATACAGCATCCAGACGCGTTACGCGCCGAAAGTCTTCCGATTGTAAGTGCACGCTCGATCACAATCCCACTATGGGTTGACGCGTACTCCAGGACGGATCGTGCGGTGCTCGCGGTCAACGGCTTCGCTGCTGATGGCAACATGTTTGTCAAGAAAGTCAAACAACGCTTGGAGGTTAGTCGTGCTTTTTTATTCATCCTCTTTGGTTTCTGAGCGAACTTTAGTGGTATCGCCATGCCCATGCCAAAGACATGCCCCTTCGAGCAATCGCACGCTTGATTCAGACAATGCTCTACGCTCAGCGATTTTTCCCTTACTACGTTTACAACATTCTTGGAGGTATTGAAGACGATGGTACGTGATTCGCTACTTTTCTGGGGTACTTCTTTCTCAATCTTCGCGATACGCGTCGTAGGTACGGGGGCGGTGTACTCCTTCGATCCGGTCGGATCCTATGAGCGCGAAGCGTGTCGTGCTGCCGGAGCTGCACAATCGCTTGTACAGCCATTCCTTGACAATCAGGCGAGTGTCCATGAGTGTCGTTTCGGAGGGTTGCGGCAGCTAACGCCCGTCGCCTTGTGTCTTGCGCGCCCCGATCCTCTTCCGACTTTTTCCCGCGCCCCGCTTCCCCATTCGGGCATATCAGATTTACTTTAAGAATCAGACCGCGGCCCCCGGGACGACGCATCCTTCACATCTTCCGTTGCAAGATGTGGTATCCATCGTCATTGACTCGTTTACAAGCGCAACGGAGCGTCACATCGAAGTACGTCTATGCTTCTGTTTCGGCTCTCCGGACCAGACTGAGCCTTTACCGCCCTTCAGGTTGGTGATGGACTCGAGATGTACATTGTGCTTGCCAAGGGTCGTGGGGTGCAAGGCTTGGAAGGCGTCCTCGGCGCACAAGAGCTGAGCACAAAGACGGACGGTGAGCGGGTCTTTGTGGTGAGACGAGACCTGAAGAAAGACTAGACCCTGTAATACATGCACCTGGACCTTTAGCAATGGACATCCCATCCATCATGATATTTGTTTCATTAATGCAGCCTTTGTCGTTCGCTAGGTCGCTCGAGTACTTTTTAGACATTGGTAGTCAGAGTAGAGTACGTCACTGACAACGGAATCAGCCACGTGTCATCCACGCGATCGGACCTCGGAGGTCCAACTCCTCTTTCTTGTGCACTATGTTCGACTTGTGTTCGCCGTTCTGGGTGCTTTCTCTCTTGTAAAATTGGCTGGTGTTTGTATGGTTATGGAATGTAATTTGTTTTTTTAAACGATCTCCCATTTGTACGATCATTTTTGAACCTGTCTGAGTGAGAGGCCGAAGATGCACAATAGTACACATGTCACAGGAGTACGTCGCGCAATGGCCCTGGAATTTCGGCCCACTCCCCGCCCCGCCAGTCCAGGAGAAAAATGGAACGTCGGACGACGAGCGGGCAGGCGCTGGGCACAAGAGGGAGATGAGACCGATCAGGAAATTTATTTCGGGTGGCTGGGTAACTACGGCAGGGACCAAACAAGGCAAAAGCAACGCTCTCCACCGACGGTCATCGCTCAGTGCGCAAGCTCCGCATTGTTCTCCCTCTCCCTTCTCATCCCTCTCATCCCTCTTCTCGTCGCTCTGCTTGCTCCACGGCCTCACCCATTAATCTCGACATTGCCCGTATATCATGATGATTCTTGTCCATCTATTTGCGCTGGTGCTCGCGTCGACTCCCGCGCTTGGTCAAATAGTCTACGACAGTATCCACAACGCTACATCGCTCGTCGGCACCTGGAGCTCAGGTAGCAAAGGGGTCGTCACTGGATCGGTGCGTTCAAGTGCTCTCAATGCTCATTAGGGGAGAAATCATATAATTGATTGGGCTGCGGATAGGGCTTCGCAGATCCTGCGAACAAATCTTTCACGTATGCAAAGACGACGGGAGTCTCTTATTCCTTGTGAGCCCATCCATCTCGATCAAATGTGAAGGTCATCTGATTCATCGTCTTACAGCACTGGTGATGGTTTCTATGAAATTGCACGGTATCGGTTTAAGGGCAATGGTCCGTCTCCTATGATTGTCTTACCCGAGTCAAACCTCATCCAATCCACCCGCAGCGTCACAACCCAACTGCATTACCGGCATCATCAACTGGTCTCATGGAACGTACGACCTCGTCAGCAATGGGTCCATCGTCATGACGCCTTTCGGCGATGGCTACCAGCAAATCCAGGACACCTGCGCAGCCGTCTCAAATTTCATCGAGGACTACAACTATACCGAGCTGTACCAGTCCTGGCGTATATTCACGGACCCGACTGATGGTTACAAGCTTCACCTCTTCGAATTCGACGGCTCCCCCGTCGCGCCCCAGTTCCAAGTGTCTGCATCACCGAACATGCTCCCGACCCGCAATCTGCGCAACACCACCACGTCGAACTCAACAATCACGACCCAGAGCGCGATCGCGATGAACACTGCTGCGCGCAGATGGGAGGCCGCGGGCGCGGGTGGCGTTCTCACGGCGCTGCTCGGGATCGGCTTGCTTTCTGTTCTCCTATAGAGGCTCAGAGCGCGTGAGAGGCGGGTGCAGTCCGGCGGCGGCATACATACACATGCGAGGGGCACGGAGACTGTTTGGTGCACTGATTGGACCCACACGCTAGCCAGAGAACGGACTCTTCTGCACCCACATTTTTTATTACCGTCTTACCCAGCTTCTCCTGAACATCTCCTCTGCTCGTATCGTCGCCACCCTGCCTTTCTACCGCTTACGTATTATACTTTTCTTTGTTCGATCGATACCCTCAACATCGAACGTACGCTCGTTTGACCCTTGACTCCCTGTTTGGCCCGGCCCGTCATGTTTCGATTCTGTCCGCTTTCCCCTTCTTCTTTAACGTGTTCAAGTACGACGATCAGATGCTAGTCATCATATACGCGCAGTGTTCGATCCGCTCTATTGTCCAGAGGTAGGCGTTTCCAGGGGTTTCTCCGGGGTTTGAGCGGCTCAAGATATCCACGGCCACCCATATATCTGCATGGAGCCGTTGTGTCATTCCTACGAAGAAGTTGAGCTCCGTTGGTTCTTTTGCACTGCTGTGTGCAAGGTCTACTTCTGAATCACCAGCTTTTCTGCGCACTGCGGAACCCTGTTTTTCGATTTGTGGACACGGACTGCGACCTGAGTGAGACAATTTCAGGAAAGACCGAGCCCGAGTTACACGTGACAGACGCGTCGCGTCCGCGTCCCGTTCGCCATTTTCCAGCCACTGTCATGTCAACACCACAGCCAACAGACCAAGCTGCCTTCAACTTGGATGCAGCCAAAGTACTGCAATCAAAATTGGAAGGATTGGGATTGCACATCTCGAATATCCGGGACGGCTTCAACTCCAAACCTGTCGATGGCCTTGAGGATTGGCTAGGGGAGGGTTTAGGGAGCAAGATCCCATCAGCCATCGCCGCGGATGTGGCATCGCAAATGGTACGTGGCTTTAGCATGAACTGCAGTCAGAATGACTGACTCCGAGTGTGCCATCTAGTCCTTTCTGCGCAAACTCAAGTTCCAGTACCTGGAACAGAATGCTAAGCATCAGTACATCAAGACCATCGTTAATGATGAGGCACCGATGATCACTGCAGACGACAACGAGGCACTCATGATCAGCAATCAACGTAAAAAGGAGGGCCTGAAGGCGGCAAAGTTGAAGCTTGCGGAGAAATATCAGGACGTACGGCGGTTGGCGCCTTTGGTTGAGCATGGTGAGAACGACACGGCCGTATATGCACACGAGTCCCCTGACACAAGCTCTGATGAATAGACTATAACAGGGCGAAGGAATTGGGCAACGAGGCTGTGGCGTTGGCGCAAAGCATCATCGATGCGCGACTAGCCATCACGCGGCTCCGGCAGGCGCATCCCCAGCCGCGGTTGACCATTCCCACCGCGGAGGAGTACTTGGCCGCGCAGATCACGGAGATGCAGGAGCTGGAGGACAAGCTTCGAGACGCGAGCGATCAGGTGGCGGGGGTCAGGGAGAGCGTGAAGGAGGGCTCGAAGGAGATGGAGAGGCTGAGCGTCGAGCGGGCGGAGATTGGCTGGGATGTGAAGGCGCGAGGATACGGGGCGGACGATCGAAGAGCGGCCTCGCTCTGTGAACAGTACGTTGCCCTCATGCCGTCTTCATAGCTGAGATGATTTTTTGACAACGCCTCGCGTTTAGATACAGCGCCGCGTTGACTCTTCATCGCGGGTTAGTTTCCATGGGCTCGTCTCAGTCTGTGGCTGAGAATGAGCTCAGGCTCACTTATCTCCTCGAGCCCGACGGGGCACGATCTCGGACGCTAGAACCGAGGAAGGTTCACGTCGTACTATTATTTCAGCCCACCGCGCGTCAGCTGGTTGAGGCACGGGTCGAGGGCGTGGACACTGGGGATATCTCGAGCATTATCGACGCGTACGTAGAAGCAAACGACGTGCCGGGTGTGGTAGGTGCTATATTAGCAAGATGTCGAGCGGTATCGGCTATCTGAGCCTTGTATATTGTGTGTAATTCTGATATCCACATCTGAATTATTCTATGTTTCTTGTGTTGGGCTAGTGACTCGTAGTAGGACGCAATCATATAGGGATTGTAAGAATTTTTTATCTCACGGAAAGCAGGAAAAATAAAATACATATCGAGAAGGAGTGACCGGGATGGAAACGGCCCGGGATGTACAACTACAACACCTGCCGAATCGGACGCGCCCGCCTACTAAAACGCATGAACGTATCAATCTCGCCATCGGGGCTACGAACTGCGGGGCAGCGGGAGAGAAGTCTATAGATGCGTAAAGGCGTCACAGACGCAGCTTCTGACGGTTGCATGCTGCAGACTTGGCGCCGTGTTTTCGCCGAAGAGGGTAGAGGGTGGGCTCTGTGTGTCTGCGAGATTTCTCCTGGGTGGGCGCAGGCTACTCATATGTGTGGGGAGAGCGGCGTAGAGGTTCTATACAGATGGACAGACGGGGTGCCTTGGATACTGTAGCGCTGTGGATAAAGCGATGTGGTGTCTTCGAAGCTAGAGGGGCTGTCATATCAGCAATGGGCGCAAGTCGGAGGAGCACTTTCAAGGTGTCGTCCTTATCATAACCCCGACGGGTAGATACGTCGGCGCTTGCTGGTGGTGGTCAACTATGTTTGCGAATGCTAGACTCGGCGGATGACGAAGACTCGCGTCCTACCTGTAGTTGTTCTATTGGCGTCGATAACCCGCTTCGGGCGGGTGAGGTGGGAGGCCGAAGAGCCGTGATACTGGGAGACGACCTCTTGTATATCTATGTTAGGAAATGCAGCAGGGCCGTCCGAGGAGTCATGGGTGATAGAAGGGAGAAGCGAGCACACCGTCAAGGGGCGTCGTCTGACGCCCACACGTCGTGGGGGATGCGTGTGCGCCGTGAACAGTCACGCGAGGCATCGATCGATGGGAGTGAGCGCCTCAATGGGCAGCAAAGCCGTCATCTGTGCCCGAGATGAGCGTGGAAGCACGCATGAAGGCTCGAGATGAAAGACTGGACCAGGGCTGGATGCAAAGGGGAGTTTTCGGCGGGAACGTGGTGCGATGATCGCGGGCTAAATATCTCGTGAGGGGTAGTTGTAGGCGGGGAGAAAGGGGCGGTTCATTTGTGGGGAAATTGAAACGCGGGGAAATAGGCTCGGCAATAGCTGGAAGTCGTTCGGGTCTCCAGGTGCCTGAGGCTGGCCAGGCTCGTTTTAATATAAGCAAATTGAGGGAATAGAGGGGCTATTAGAGCGTGATCTGTTTATGTGGATGTGAAGGGTGGAAGAAGTGCCAGAAAGTGAAGGGGAATGTGTCGACGAAGGGCAATGTGAGCGTCGCATGCGGTCGAACGAATCTATCACCTGCAGCACGGTGAAGCGAAAAAGTGAAGTACATCATCACATGGTGGTGTCCTAGGACACCAGTGAACAATCATCAGATATTCGAAGATGGAAAAAGGCAATCCAGTACTGGGAGGCCCTAGGAAGCTCATATCCGATGGCCTCCCGTAGGGTCACAAGCACACAGGTACAGCTGCAGATCCCCATAGATATGCGGGAAATATTTGTGACATACTGATCAAATCTGAACCAATTCAAACTTTAGAAGAAGAATATAGAATTCAAGCGGTGAACGTACAGGGGCAGGCACAGAGCTCTTCCTGTGGACCTTGCTAATAAAAAGGTATGCAGATATGATTAGTGTGGACGTATCCAAGACTGTACGGCCCATTGATCGCTTGAAGTGTTACTTCCTCCAGCCTGTCATTATTCGCCTTGAGCTCCTTCAGTGATTCACATTCAGTTTTTGTCCGGGTCCAGATGTCATCAAAAGCAGGAGGAAAAAGCCTCAACGAACAACATGTCGCCTTGAAGTGGCAACTTGCGTTCTACTTGCGTTGTATGTTGTCCCTGAACGATGAGCAATTAAGCGCGTTGACTGCCTCTGTGGATTGAACTGACCGGGACAGGAGTCCGGAGCATGCCGGGGGTATGCCGGGACACCCGGAATTGCGTATTATGTAACTAGGCACTCCGGACGGATCAGGAGCTGCCCCGCATCGCTTTCTTCTTCCCCTACCACAACCACTGCAGACACCCCTGTATACCATAACTTTACTTTCTTTCCATCCAACGTTCACAACAGCGCCCTATATCCCATCGAAAGCAATTTGAGTCTGCGATACGTGAATTTCGCTACCGAACAGTTTTTCAAAGCGACAGCAATAGTTGGTGAGAGCGCTTTTTGCTGAGAAGCCGCAATAATCTTTGCCAGGAGCAAAGCATTGAACGTGATATCTCGCACTCTATCAGGTGAGCTATCTTCATATCTAAGGTTGCTCGGGACATCAGGACTTCTCACAGTCTGATTCTATGAATTATTCTGGGGCATCACTCCATCGCCATCTCATTCATGACGCCGTTGTTCCCATCACTTTCCGAGGGATTTTATTTCGTTATTAATATTTCTGATATCCTTTCTAGCCGAAAACACAATAAGAATCATTTTTTTTTGAAAATAAAGTAACGAGAAACAAGCCCCGTAACAGAATTCGACTGATCTTCACTTTGGGTGAGCATTTATGTCGGTCTATTTATGTCCAGCATAATTGGCTCATCGAGCTTAGATAGTTGGTATCGTGTCATTTCACTCTCATGATATCAGAAATTAATCGACCCAATTCCGGCAACCTCTCGCACCTTGACGGATTTTCGACCCTTTCGACCCGACCCAGAATATCCACTCTACTCTCACACGCCCACGACGAGCATGCATCAAATCAGTTTGTCGACCGGGACCAGATCGTCTCTGAAGAGCTCCTCTCGGAGGAAGAATCAGAGTCACATTTGACCGCAGCTTCGGCCCCTGTCTATGATGCCTTACCTTCCTTGCCCACCTCTCTATCTCAGGACATTGATATGTCTATGTCTCCCGCTGCTATGTTTCTGTCTGCCTTCAGTCCCGCCACGTCACTAGCACCTCTACCCGATGACGAAGGAGAAGAGATCGATGGTTATAAACTTGGTGGCATCATTGGCTACGGGGGCTTCTCTTCTATCAGGCGCGCTAACGATTCATCAGGCAGCACAGTTGCTGTCAAGATTGTTAGACGCTCTGACCTTTCGAAGTCCAACAACCCCTCTTTGGCCCGGAAGAGGCTGAACAATGAAGCTGCCATCTGGGAAACTTTGTCGCACGAGCATATCCTTCCGCTCTTCCATTCGGCACACACGCCGTATGCTGACTTCTTTGTCATGCTCTATTGCCCTGCAGGTTCTCTTTATGATATCCTGAAGCGTGACGGGCGGCCGGCGCTCCCTCACGACGACGCGGGAATGATGTTCAGACAGGTAGTGCGAGGGTTACGGTACTTGCACGATGTGATGGGACTTGTGCATGGCGACATCAAATTAGAGAATGTGCTCGTCGATGAAATGGGTGTATGCAGAATAGGAGATTTCGGAATGGCGAGGAAGATTGGCGAGGTGGATGAGAATGAGCAGGAGCTTGTGCGTCGACAGCGATCGGTCAATAGAGAACGGAGCCCTGCACGGATCATTCATTCAAAGCGACAGCTCAAGACTACCTTGCCTGTTCATCTCTCGCTTATGCGCCATCACAGCGGTCCTCGTCATCGTAACTCATCCCCGCTTCCTTCTTCGCAAACTGTTCCTCCTTCGCATGCCGCCTACGAATTTCAACCAGGTTCTCTGCCGTATGCATCACCTGAATTGTTACTCCCATCATCGGTTTCTCATCCCTACGAACCGCACCCCGCGCAAGATATTTGGGCATTGGGTGTGATGCTTTTTGCGCTTTTCACCGGGCGCCTGCCATTCATGGATTCTTTCGAACCGAGGTTGCAAATGAAGATCTTACATGGTAAGCCCACGCAGCTACATGATGTTTACCACCTTAGCGTTTACGTACTTGTCGTGATATAAGGGGTGTTCGATATGCCTGCAGGCATTGGCCGCGGAGCTGAGCTTGTCCTGCAAGGTTGCCTCGAACGTTCTGTAGCACACCGTTGGGATATCGCCGCTGTCGATGAAGTGGGGTGGAGTGTCGGCTCCGGGCCGCAAGAAGAAGAATCAGCGGCAGACAAAGAGATCACTTTAATGGTTCGCGAAGCGCAGCAGAGCCGCCCTGCGTCAGGCTCGAGAAGCGCACTTGCGTCGGTGTCACGTTCGCGATCTCGCGCACGCACCACCGAAGATGACGCGGAATCAAGCCATCTGCGTGCACGTTCGTCATCCCGTCACACAACGAGTGCCATTAGCCGGTCGACATCTTCCAGGAGTGACGGCACGCCTCCGCTGTCCATTCCATCCTTCTCCGCCCTCACCCACTCCATCTTCAGCACCTTTTCTTCTTCGTCATTATCTGGTGGACACGGCTCTTCATCGTCCAGCATTCCGCGACAGCCTGTTGAGCGCGGGCGTAACCCTGCCAAAGATCAGGTCCGAGCGCGCTTGTCCTCGCGCTCGCCAAGTCCTAGCATGGCGCCCATGACGCCGACTGATTCGTTGCTCGCCGTGGATGCCAAGAAGCATATCCCATTCATCCTCTCTCCCGAACGCAACACATCGCGGGGCCGCAGGAGCTTCCGTGTACGCTCCGAAGACTGTCAACATCCACTACTACGATCCCACGGCGTTGACTCTGAGCTCGACGTACTGGACGAGACAAGTCGATGGACGTTGTCCCCCGATGCGCGTAGCGGAAGTGGAAGGGCCGACTCCGTAGGTGGCTCGCATTCTCGCAGCCGCAACTATATAGTGGACGAGGATACAGAGGGGCTAGAGTCGCAACCGGCAAAGGGAAAGCGGGCGGGAAGCACACCGCCTGCTCGAACGATGCCGTGGAATGTTCCGCGATCGCGCGCGAGCGTCGAATTGTCTCCGGCGATGTCTATGGCTCATTCGTCTCCGCACCTTGATGGCTTGCACGGCTTAACCTCCGGGACGACCCCCATTGCTATCCCACCGAGCGGGGGAAGGAGCAGGAGTGTCGATATGGATGCGCGCGGGAGGCGGCACTTGCTGTTGTGAGTGTCCCGTCCGTCTGACCCTCGGCCAACATCAGGGATCTGTACAAAAGTAGGGAGTCTTTCACTGTGCATACGTTGATGCATCCCTTGCGTTCATATTTATTGTTGCCCGACACCTGTTGACATCTCTCCACATCTGACACCAATATGGCGTGTTGTTTTATATGATCGCGACATAGTACGTACATATATTTAACTCCCTCTCTCCCGTGTAGCTCTCCGGTCGTCTTGCATAACTTTATGGCTACCCACCATCGGGATCTTCCACTTGCTCTCTGTAATACTCGGTAATCGTCTTTTGACTGTTTGTGTCTTCCATGTGTACGTTAGGTTCATACCGTACATATACCCATCTACTTGACTTTTCTGGTATCTCTTTTCTATATCTTGATTTCCTCCCTATGCAATTCAAAGATAATTTCGAAAATTTGCCGTGAGTGCAGTGTGTTCTAGATTATACATCGCGGCAGTGCCCTTTTACACATCGGAGAGTATCGTTAGGACACCTTGCTCCTCACACGAATGCTGCCTAGCAATATTTCAGCTTAGAAATGAGGTGCTGGCGCTTTTCAATGTTATGATTTTACGATACGTTTGGCAACGTTGGACATCAAAGACCGCAGGGAATGTTGAATTTACACTCTACAGTTATCCAAGTTGAATATTAAGATATCCTCCGCACCGATCTCGACTAGCTTGTCCATCGTCGTGGCCATCGCAGACTTGATCACCATCGCACTGACCGCGACCCAATCAGTGTCCTCGAGCGGGCTGACCGTCGGGGCGCGGCGACCAGGGGTGACGATTGCAGCGTCGTGAAGCTTGGACCGGGGGATATTGTACTCGCAGACGACGTACTTGCTGGCGGCGATGACGCCGGCGATGCGGGACGTGATCAGGTTGATGAGGGGGGTGAGGGTGGGGTGTTTTGGGACGCTGGACTTGATGAGGACGGCTTCGGATTGGAGGACAGTGGCGATGGCGTGCAGGCCGGCTGCACGCATCGTTTCGCCCGATTCTGGGTGCGGGTCAGAGTGGGTGCGAGAACAAAGGCGGTGCCATCCACATACCAACGAGATCAACTATAAGGAGAATCTGTCAGCGAGACAGGGCGGACAGACAGACAAAAGGCGTACCGATTCCATCTGCCAGGCCCAACGCGCAGGCCGCCTCGACGCTCCCGCCGACATACTCGATTTTTGTGCGCTCCCCATCCGCCTTTTGCAGCCGATCGTCGATCGCGCCGAAATAGCTCCCGGAGAGCACCTCGAAGCTGGTCACGACGCGCTTGCCCGCGAGGTCCTCGACGGTCTGAATGGGGCCAGCCTCGGGGACCTGCACCTGCAGCGCGCACTTGCCGAAGCCCAGGCGGAGCGCCTCGGTGACGTGGTGCTCCATTTTGGCTTCGAGAATAACGTCGTGGCCTGTGATGCCGAGGTCGACGTTGCCCTGGCCTACGAAGGATGGGATATCGGATGCGGGAAGGAAGACCCTGTGCATGTGTGTGTTTAGCTATAGATTAGATAATGGACCATCCTATTTTTGATGTGCCTTACAATGCGATGGGGTGGTTCAAAACCAGGGCGACATCTAGTCTATTGTGTCTCCGGAATTGTATGTCGGCTCCTACAACCCATTCAACGACAGATCACGAATACAAGAGGGTCAGACTCACTCACCGGACAGGAGCTCGAGACATTTTTCGTGAAGACGGCCTATAAATCGCGTCAGGGTCGTGACCAACGTTCCCGAAACTTGATTCTACATACCCTTCTTGGGGATTGCGAAGAGAAGACGGCCGTTGAGCGCGTCTGGATCTAGTAACGGCTCAATCATGTCAGTGGTTGTTATCAGGAAGCTGTACGCTGAAATCTCCCGCACTCATGGTCAAAGAAGCCATTCAAATAACCAATTCGAGATCTGTACGCGGTTGGCACGCTTGTGCAGGGAGGAACGTTTAGCGGGTGTGCTCATCTCGAGTCACTGCGCCGGGAAATTTCGTGCCATGCTCGCTCCAAAAGGAAATCGATGACAAATGTGAGTCCGCTGGCATTTCCACTTACGGTAAAGACCATCGCCGCCAGTCGCCACTCGCCCATAATCTCGTATAAATTGCTCGCCATCGATGTTTGACTCAATGTCTTTTCTGCTGGAGCTCTCTCCTCATGACATTTCAAAGCGCTGCCATTCTTGACGGACTGCACCCGGAGTCGTTTCGACAGCTTGGCATCCTAGACAGCGACGTCAGAGAATCTGTCGATACTGCCTTGACGAACACTTCGTGCATCGGATCTTACAACTGGTCAGAATCGGAACAATATGCGAAGCCCGTGATCGTGGTGCCGGGTACGCTCACGACGTCCAAACTTTGGCACTCGACGAGTTAACGTGTTATTCCCGCGTGTTAGGAGCACCCCGTCGGTGGTTGAACCTCTCAGCTCCGTTTGAGGTGGCAAGTGGACCGGCGGCGTATATGAACGAAAATGCCTTTCGTCTTCCGGACATGCCTCTCCTGCCGCTCATCGCGGCCGTGGATGCTAGCGGCTCACAAGTGGATTGGCCTGCCCTTGACTTCGTTACAGATCGGGGCAACCTCCGAAGGTTGCTTCAATGGGTCTCGGGAGGCTTCAATTCTAAGCCTGAACGCATCGACCTTCAGCTCGTGGGAGACCATACCGTTCTCATGAACCGCTGGGACCCCAAGGCCATCTGTCACACACAGTCGGTCAACTTTGGTCGTGGCTTTGAGTCAACGGCGAGCGCCCCAGCCAAAAAAGGGTATTCTTCGTACTATCAGATCTTGAAATACGTGAGCTCCGACATTATTCTGGCGCCTGCTTCGGCACTTACGCGTTCGCTCTATTCTCAGGAACTTGGTGGACTGCGCATGGTAGTCCGATGTGAAGCCGACGCATATCTCCCCGCACCCTCTGACGAGGAACACCCTGCTGGTGCCGCAGACACCAGAGCCGCGTCTGTCGATACCTCTTCACCGTTTCCTGCTCCGAACTGCGCGCCTCTCCATATTCTGCAGAGCAGCGGCTCCCCGGTTCCCGCCTCCTCTTTAATCGAGCTGAAGGTCGTCTCCAGTCGCAAAAGGTTGTGCGCCATCGAAAGCTACTCGTTCCCTCAGCTATATCTATCTCTGGTCTCAAACCTCTTCGTGGGTATTCACACTGACAGCAAGGTCATGAGGATCCGGGAGTATAGGCACACACTGGAGCGCATCGACGTGCTGAAAGACAGGGCGGAATCCCAATTCCGGAAGCTTGTGCACATCCTGAGGCTCATTCAGCGGATGATGATAGAGCGCGGCCCGCGATCCAAATTAAGCCTGACTTTCAAGAAGAGCAACGCGGCTGCTGGTATTATTGTGTATGCGATGAAGGACGACACTAACTTTCTTCCCGAAGAAGTCCTTGCTCGCTTTTCAATCTAGATGATACGGCCGTTCCTTCGGAACACGGTCCTGCGCTGCTCATGGGTCGCTCTAATTGTTCGGTGGATATACTCTCGCTCTCTATCGACGACGATGGTGAAGCTCAGAACATTCGATGTCCCATGCTTCGAGGCACTATTACCTCCTAGGTATAGCTAAATTACTGCATATGTTTGGTCTCGCGATTCTTTGGAATGAAATATGAATTGCGGATCTGGTCTCCGATGATCCATTCAATTCGGATATATTTCTCGATTGGTTAAACTTCTCGAGGGCTGCTCTTGGAACGTAGGAAACCTGCCTCGAGGAGATTGGATGTTGCATGTCTTCAACAGCTCGCTAACACTTCGTGAAGCAAGCATTGTCGTTATAAGCGAAAGTATTGTTCACTTTAACCACTCTGGTTTGACAAGGATAATTACTGTGAAACATGGCAGCTTTGGAATGGTCTATCTGTCCTCTCTGTTAACACTAAGGTAATATGATTACATCTCAGGCATAATTTGCATAGTATCACTGCCCGGTGTGCCCTCAGCTAGGTCCTGAGCTACAGGTGTAGGGATTCTTGACATCTCTACCATTGTGCTATCAATAGTGACCAATATTACTATTGAGGTTGGATAAATGCCCTAATATTTTTTGAGTACCATACTCAATAAGTAAACATGGTTTACTTACTGCAAGATGCATACTGCTAGCTATAATAAAGTTGTAATTGTCAGGAGCATTAAAATTCAAGGCAATAAGTATAATCTTTCAAAATGAGCTGTTAGTATTATAAAACTGTATTTGAATAAGGTTGTGATTACCCATAATCCACAGTATATAAAACCTGATTCAATTAGCAGAGCTAGAATTCTTTCAACTCTAGTTTTTTTATGTTTTGAAAGATGAGCTTTGATAGATTGCCTATATGCCCTAGAAAAAATATTCAGAGATTGCCCCTTGTATAAGAAAAAAAAATTCTATAATACCAAGCTTGATATGCTATAAGCAAAGTTGAGCTAAGATTTATCATAAGCTCTAAACCCCACACTGTTACTTGAGTGATGCCAAAAATATTAAGCAGCTGTGGTGATTGTTGAAGAAGGGATACAGTGATGAGCACAAGAGAGGCAATGGAAGTTACTGACAGAAATATGAGTGCAAATTCAGGGAAGCATGTGACAGCTTACTAGCAGAAATCAATAAAAGACTCAAAGGAAGAGCCATGACTTTTCTCTTCTGCCATAATGTCCATGCTCTCCAAACCACAATTCCATCTCCTAGAAAGAACTATCAAGGAATTAATTAATTTTGAATGAGCATCCATGACAATATCCAAGTTTGGATGCCACATACATTGATTTGCTGCATAAATGATTCTATGATGTTAACATTCATGTTGTCTTTATTGATTTTGAAGACCTTATTCTGGAACAGTTGGTTTGAATGAAGAATGAACAGTTCTTGTGTTGATTCGATGATGATCATGAAAACAAGTGCCCAAGCAAGAGTCGATGCTAGGAATATTGATAAAGTAATGATCAACATTGCTAGATTGACCCGTGAAGTCAGTTTTTTTTGGCTGCATGAATCATCGAGTTAGCTATTGCCAAACATGAGAAAAATCGAGATGTACCATAGAAGATATGTCGAGCAGCATATGAGGATAGTAAAAATGCCTACAGTGGTCGACAAGATATCAGCGATACGGTTGAATCAAACGACAAAGATGGTTGACCATAGAAGAATGTGCTCGTGATCGTGACAATAAAAGAGTCCAGGTATATTATGCCGATGACGTGAAGGAATTCAGGTGATTGATCAACCATGTTGGCAACGCAAAAGCTCTCAGGATATTTGGATACAGGGATTGGATGGGTGTAAGCAGAAGGGATGAGGAAGACTGAGGAAAAGGGTCGCTTATAAGACAGACCGGATGAATTGCATTGGCACCATCACGAGCGCACTTTGACAGCCTCGCACGCATGTTGTCAATAGTGTCCGTTGAGATCTGATGCAGCTGATCGTGTTGATATGACCCAGGTGTCCTCTCATCCAGGGCTCGTTGACTGAACTTGACGAATACTCAACTGGATACGGCGCGCGCCGCACAGCATAGAACATATGTCCACGAGAAAGAAACGGCGTAAATTGCAGGAGGTTGTAAAGCAGACATGGTTGCAGTGCCATGAGTGTATTTACAGCGAGAAAACAGGTTGGCAGTACGGTGGGTGATAACATTGCCGTATCGGATCCGCATCTAGACACCAAAGACTGTTGCAGCGACAAAAGCTCTATAGAGCTCGCTGCTCGCAAGAAGTAAAACCCCGTGATCAATGGCAACTAGCATCGAGAGATCATGATTCGGCGCCCACGAGAGTACAAGGTTGAATGTGGGGCAATCAACGAATGGTGACGCGAGATGTCTATCGAGTCAAGGCAGCCTATAGCCATTTCAATCGTCCTTCAGCTTCAATGAGGGCGATGTAGATCAAGGCGCCGGAGAATATAGACCGAGCTCACGCACAACGTTGAACGTGGTGTGTGACCGACCAAAACGAGGCCTGCATAGCTCGATCAACACCGCATGCTGCAAATTTTCACTCACCCAACACATCTCCTCGTTTCATTGCCTCGTGACCTTCCCTTCTTCCTCACAACGAGATCTGAGTGGGTGCGAAAGGCATGATACACGCGCCTGATAAGCGCATCTGAGATGTCGTTCATCCATCCGTTCCACGCAGTCATCGGTGCGTCACGGTGCTGGCGTCAAATCATCCGCGTGTGAGCATTGAGTGAGAATGTCTAGTTCTAGGGATCAAGCAGGGGAGGATATGCGGTGGATCCCAGGATATTGATATGGTTAGAGCGACGGAGGAGTTAGAGAGTTGGGCTAGTGCCATCCAGCGGAACGAGGACATGACGTCGCTCAAGACGGGCAGACGGGAGCACCATAGTACGGTTCTACACGATTCCATGCGTGCCATACGGACGATCTTTTCCTACGAGTGGGCTGCGAATGAAAGTTCTGCAGAGCGTTCAGAAGACGAGAGGAGTCCTGACGAGTCGCTAACGAGTCGCATTCATGACGGCTAAAAGCGTGAGAATCTGAATACAGCCTGGCTTGCCACCATACTTCGAAACGGCAACTCTCGATTTATTTTGCCCTCACGGCAACATCTATTGATGCTGGCATGAAGCAAGAGCTTGAGAGGATCAGACTCCTGCCGTGGGGGATTTTGCGTGCGCGATGCGATGGTGATGATAGGGCTGCGGCTCGAACCTCTTCTTTGCAGGCCCGTCTCACTTCCGGCGCGCAACTAAGGACATATACTGTCTTTTCAGACGTGGCGAAAGCTGCACGTAAGGGCAGGTCAGACAGCCGGCGCCTTCAGGTCGCCCTTCTCCACATCGGCCCCAGCCTCAACCACCTCCGCCTCCGCCTTCCGCTCTCTGTCCGTCTCAGCACGTGTACTGACTCCTACGCGACTGTCGGCGCCAGCGTCCCTGCGCCACGCCCACCCGCCCTCGTACCCGACCCACGTGTACCGCGCACAGTGCGGCCCGCGGGCGAGCAGCATGCCGACCTGGAGCGCCGTCCACCCGAGCGACAGCGCGGCCGCCGCGCGCCAGCCGTAGCGCACGAACACGCGCGTGCCGACCGCGGTACCCATGACCTGCCCGACGAAGATCTAGCGGGGGCGTGTGTACATGCGTGAGCGAGCCGCGGTTTATTGAAGACGGTGAAGGAGCGAGGACTCACGGAGAGGATGAGGACAGCGTTGAGGCGCGCGCGCATCGCGTGCGATATCCTGACCGCATGACATTAACCGCACAGCCGTCAGACGTCAGATTTGACACTCGAGCCGACCGATGCCGCGAGAGAGCACGCACGCAAAGACGGCCGTCGTGAGCGACACCTGCTGCACCTGGTCCGCGAGGTCGAGCCCGAGGCAGACGACGACGACAGCAGCGATGTGGACGCCCGCCGCACCGGTGTAGATAGCGTGCATCGCGAGCAGGCCCATGGTTGCGGCGAGCGTCGCATGCCACGGCACGACCGCGTCGATCGTGCGCCCGACGAGCGGGCCTAGCGCGGCGCCGAACAACCCCACGAGGCCAAACAGTCCAATCCCGAGCCTGCGAAGCATATTGCGTCTCAGCAGGGCATCGACACGTCTGAGGGAGGCGCACGTACGTGGAGAAGTTGTACGGCGGCCCGCCGAGGAGGAAGGTGAGTGTGACCCAGAAATTCGCAAAGCACGCGCTCGACGCTAGCATGACGATGCATGCCTGCACAAGCCTTGGCTCCGTCACCGCGAGCCGCACCGTCGACGCTAACACCCCGAAATACCCCACCCCGGCGTCCTTCCGCGGGCAGTCGGGCAGCGCCGCCCACAACGCGACGAGCACGGCCGCCTGTGCGCCCGCAGCGAGGTAGTACACTGCGTGCCAAGTCGTGAATTGTGCGATGACGCCGGCGAGGACGCGCGCGAGGAGGACGCCGACAAGGAGGCCGGAGAAGACGGTCGCGATGGCTTGGGCGCGGCGGTGCGGCGGTGCGAGGTCGGCGGCGAGTGGGATGAGGACCTGCGGTGCGACGGAGGCGAGGCCAGTGAGGAAGGAGAGTGCGGCGAAGGCGGAGAAGGAGCGCGTTAGGGCGAGGCCAAGGGTGAGCAAGGTGGAGGAGGCGACGAGGAGGAGGAGGAGCGGGCGGCGGCGGACGAGGTCGCCCGTGGGGGAGATGAGGAGGAGGCCCGTTGCATAGCTAGGTGCGTGCGTGCGGGTTTCAGTAGATGAGCGAGGTCATATCAGGGCGGCTTACCCGGCTTGGATGAGCGTTGGGACTCTGCGAGATGAGCTTCAAGTCGTGGAGACAAGGGGCAGATACTCACCTCGATACTTCGCTATGGGACACGCCAAAAGAGTCGGAAAGCTGGACTAAAACAGGCACACGTTAGAAATCGAGGGCTGTGCGTGCGAACCCTCACTCACTCAGCAAAGGCTGGCAATAGTACAAGTTTGCCGCCGCTACCACCCGCGAAGCGTCTCAGCAACCGTCCTCCCTATAAAAAAGAATGCACGCACTAAAAGTGCTCGCGACCGCAAAGACGAGGTTCAGCAATATGCCGAATTGGATCAGTTTCGCGCTGTCGTACCGCAGCCATGGCGGGATTGGGAGGAAGTAAAAGTCCATGGGAGGCCCGTGCGTGCGGGGTGCAGACTGTGTGGGGATGTCGTCGTCTATGATTTTTGATTCTGGAGCGACATACGGCTCGACGAAGGCAGGAGGGCTGCTGGACGCAGGGCCAGTCGCTACATCGAGCGCAATTTGTTGAGGGACAGGTGCCGGCGTTGATGGCGGGGCACGCGCGCGCTCAGCGACTTTTCTGTGCTCCTCAGCCATGTCCTAGTCTCTGGGGGTGAGACGAGGAGAGGCAGACAGACGGTCTGCATCTGGTCATCAGAGTGCGGGTTCTGTGCATGGTGCGGTGCCGGGAAGAGTCAGTCGATGGTGATATCGCGCGCCTAACATGTAATTTCAATACCTAGACTGTAGACTGCAGTGACCTGGCGCACGCGTTTGCTTTGCCTCTGACCACTTCCCTCAACATCTCTGAACCCTGCTGCTTCATCGACGAAATCTTATGCTGTATTCTTTTGCCATATTCTGCCTTCCTAATGAGCTTATTGAAGACTAAGATCTTTACGTTTGTCCAAATGGCAAGAGCTTCTCATCGAGCCTCACAAGCCTCAATTTGAGAATATTACATTCGTCCTACACTGTCTTACTATTGATCTGACTGGTGGTGACTTTCAGTATCCATGGTGGGCCCGAAGGTACGTTTACCATTTAGATTGCTGTGAATAAGTACTCATTATGTTAGGTTGTCACGACAAATGCCCTGACCGCATCCGGTCACCTCTCTTGGACGGATATACCGCGTTTTCAGCACCTGACCTCTATGCATGGTGACTGGATTTACCAACGCATTGAACGCCTCGCCTCTCGCCTCTCTTTCTGCAGCCATCTTCCCCCTCGGATAAGTCACTCGCGTAGACAGGGTCGCAAGAATAGCAGATACGGCACATCGTTTGGCTCTGTGGACGGACTTACCGCAGATTGAATCAATTTGCTTTCTTCACATGGGTCTAATATCTTCGCTCATCATCACAGACGCACGCACGGTGCACCAACACGTCTAGATAATGCCCATATCCTATGTCTAGTTGTGATCTGCACGTTCGCTCGATGCGTCGCAAAGCTCCTATTGCACTTGGGTATCGATGCTCGCACGGAATGCTCGTAAGGTAGTTTACGTCGCCTGGACTAGATTCGGGAGATCCGCAAGAGGCAAAAATTTCGCTCATTCTGCCTATGCAGATGAAAGCGCGATCTGCAGATCATATCCAGACAAGCCTCTGAGAGGACGAGGGGGGATGTGCATCCCATCGCAGAGAAACGAAAGGAGGTACATGTCTTATAAAACTAGGATGGTATGTACTATTTTGTTCCTTTCGAAACTGAACATCGTAAATTGACCCACATGCGCACGCTAGCCCCGCGGTTGTCTGCCTACACCATTGTCTAATACCGCGCGGTGTCCTCGAGACTCCCGCGGCTCTTCATAATGCTTCGTGACCTACATGTCCTAGGAGGGTCATTCGGCTTAGAAACGCATGACAAGGACTGCAGGGTTGACTTGAAGAGTGAGTACGGGGGATCGTGTGTTATTGAGGATGTCGAGGTATCTGACCTCATGCTCGCAGCGCAGCGCGTCTTCTTCCTGCGTCGCATACTCCCGCCATTCCGACCCTCATTTCTCGTTGTATCGCGGCAGGTGCTTTGCTTCCTTGCATTGAGTGCCCTGATTCAGGCCTAGCACTCGTTTTTATCGATGCACTCTGGCCTCCCGCATAGCATGAGTGAGCACAGACTCTATTTCCGCCTCGCCTCGCGGTGAGTCTTCCCTTAATCAACCTATCTCGTGCTCATGTTCGATGAAATCAGCCTTCATACTCATATATATATATATATAACATTGTTGACGATCCGCGATGCGACATCTGGCATCTTCTCCCATCTCCTCCTGACACGTGAAGTGTGAACACCGAGCTCGTTTTGTTCTAGGATGACAGTGAGCAGGCAGGGAAGCGAGATGTGGTGCCTTCAGATAAAAGAGGTCGCGGTGACTTGCATACAGTGAGTGAAAATGATCTACGAAATTATCTCGGATGATCTTAGGTGCGATCCGATGTCAGATAGTGTGTGGCATTCAACGCATTCGGCCACCTATATACCCAATGACCTCGCGACCAGTTCCGCTAGATAGTCCGTGCTAGCGGTGGTTGGGTTGGAGAGGCACTGAAACCGAGCGTGGGGCTAGATCGCAAGTAACCTCATTCATCCACACACGCATCCGGGGGTAGGTTAGACCTAGAGTCGCAAATGGCATCCCACGATGTTGGGCTGGATAGCGCGAATATTGAACGGATACCATCTGTCACAACTTCACCCCACTCGAACATATATAAGAACCCGCTGGTGCGACTCTCCTCATCAGTATCTCAGAAAACACTCTCACCCTTCAGCAATAACTCCAGTGTCAATGGCTGATGAATCTATGAGCCCCGTCATCGCCAAATTCTGTTCCACCTATTTTCGAGTAGCCGACGCCGTCAATTACGTCGAGCCTCAGACCCCCCATGTGCGCCTCACCCATGCTGTTCAAGGTACTCCGTTGATACTTTCGTGACGCTGGACGCAGTTGCTCTTTATTGGTTGTTCTGACTCACGAGTCCCGGAGTCCGCCGTCTTCTCTTCCGAACCGGGTGATGTTTTCGTTCACCGCAACATTGCCAAGTACGCCCTTCATACACTCTCTACTATCACACATTCTGACAAGCCTTTATTCTCTCTTTCTTATTGCCACAGCCAATTCCACACAGATGACGACAACGCGCTCTCCGTCCTGACTTACGGCTTGCAAACGCTCAAGATCCAAGACGGTGCATTCTCTCGTCATTTGCCCGAGTTCGGCCTCATTGACTTCCCCTCAGTCGTCGTCGTGGGCCATACTCATTGCGGAGGCGCCGAAGCCTCCTACAAGGCTGTGCGCGGGCTTCCCGTATCCCCTCTGATGCCGCTTCAGCGTTGGCTCGTGCCTCTGACCACCCTTGCCGGAAAAGTTACGGACCCCATCCCTCTTCCAAACACCCCCGAGTACGAGGAGCAGCTCCAGCTGCTCATTGAGGAAAACGTCAAGGCGCAGGTCGAGAATATCACCGCGGTCATCCGCGCGTTGAACCTGCTCGCGACCGTCCGGGTTCAGGGTATGGTGTATAATCTTGGGACGAACAGGTTGAATTGCGTTGGCCAGCAGGTTGATGTGAAGAGCATCGAGGTTTAGACGCCGTTTGAGGAATTGGGTGCTGACGATAACAAAGATGATGATGATTGTATGAATTGTTCTTGTTTCGTTTGTTACACCTCGGTTGTGAATGGCTCAATGTATGCAGATATAGGGTATGGGTATATGCTCGTCTCCACTCTGAGGGGTGCCCGCTCCTGTCCGCATCCCCATGAGATTTCTGAACACGGTCAGCTATCCAGTACATCTCACCCAGGCCCTTCGAGTGGGGTGGGGGTTTTAGACGCACGACTACTCATAAGCGAACTCACCAGTTCACAGCGCGTCGCGTCTTGAGTCACTCCCATTATCGTGTCACGGCGAGTTCTGGCCTCTTTGCGTTCTGCGCTCTTATTTTAGCTCATAACGCATATTTATAGGTGCACTCTGCCCCGCGCAGCAGGTGACGACAGTTCCTATCTCCGCATCGCCTTGCGGCGAGTCATCCTGCCTTCTCCCAATCTCGTGCTCATCTGTACGAACTCAGCCTTCGAACTTGCGTATGGAGACTCGTTCGGTACCGGCTAATCAACGCCTGGCTACAAGCTCTCCTCTTCCTGGCGCGACGAGCGAGCACATCGGGTCTACACCATCCTAGTAGACCGCCGAACAGGCGAGCAACGAGGTGCGATGTCTTCAGATAATCTGGGAGATACCGCGATGCCTCGCGCACGATTCAGAAAACGCGGTCTGCGAATCTATTTCGGGCGGGCCTGGGTGCGTCCAAAGCGATATCCGATATCATGATCTAGTGTCTGGCATCCTGCTCATCCGCTGGGTGCACACCCTTGCACACCGCACCTGTGACTGGACGGAATGCAAGAGGAGGGTTCGGGAAAGACGGGCTCTGGCATCGCATCCTCGGGAAGGGATAGGTTGAATCCGATGGCCTGCCGCAAGACTGGTCAAGGGTGCCAAACACTGAAGGTATACCGAGCGTCGGACCGTTCCTCGAGGCCTTTCCCCATCTTCTCACTCAATCCTATCTATATATATCTATATAAGCCCCTGCTTCCTCGACTCGCCATCCGCCCTTCGTCCACACTCGCCCACCATGGCCAGCCTCGGCGTACCCACCATGCACCCCGACATCGACAATATCATCAAGGCCAACACCCACTGGGCCGACACGTACAACGACGCCGATCCCCGGCCGTTCCGCGAGGACGCGCCGCCGCAGCATCCCAGGGTGCGTCCGAGCCCCCGCCCTCCTCCCGCGTCCGTTTTTGTCCTTTGCGCGCGCCGCCGACGCGTCCTTCTCTCGTGATACCTCGAACTTGTATCTGTGTGTGTGCGCGCAGTTGTTATGGATCGGCTGCGCCGACTCGCGCGTCCCCGAATCGGTCGTACCAAACTCTGCGACGGGCGACATATTCGTCTACCGCAACATCGCAAAGTAAGCCTTGCGCGTCTTTTTTGTCTGATCCGCACACTTTTTCCCTCTCATCTCATCGCACTTAGCCAATTTCACGCGGACGACGATGGCGCGCTCTCCGTCCTCGACTACGCAATTCAGGAGCTCAAAGTTCACCACGGCGCGTCCTTTCTCTCCTCTCGTTCCCAATCGACTCACAGTTCGCCCCCCGCACAGTCGTCGTCGCGGGCCACACCGACTGCGGCGGCGTGAAAGCAAGCTACAAAGCCGCACAAGCGGGCCTTGCGGACCCCACGACGCCGCTCGAGCGCTGGCTCGCGCCGCTCATCGCGCTCGCCGCCGCGCTCCCCCCGGTGCGCTCCACTGTTGACCACGACCACGACCACGACCACGACCACGACCACGATTACGCGCACGCGCGGGCACGGGCGCTGCTGACCGAGCAGAACGTCGCGGCGCAGGTCGCGGGCGTCGCGCGCGCGCTCGAGGCGCTGCGGCCGCTGGAACGACCTGTGCGCGTGCACGGGCTGGTGTACGACATCGTCTCGCGCAAGCTGCGGAACCTCCACGTATCGGTCACAGTAGACGAGGCTGGGTCGACAGCGTGAAGGGGGTAGGCATCGGGCAAAGGCAGGCGATGGAATTATACGACTGCTGTAAATCACATACTTTGTTCGTTGTTCACGCGTCGCGTACTGTACTGGGTGCGGATACTGATTATGTTGATACGTTGCTGTCTCATCGAGGGAGGGCACATGAACGCCGACCTTCCATATGAGGTAAATCATCGTCGACCTGGGCATCCGTCCCTCGCCCACATTCGCCCTCCATGGCCGACAGCATCATCACCAAGGTCAACTCCTACTGGGACGACAAGTACGACGACGACAACGATGACGAAGGCTACTGTGACTGTGATGATCCCCGGCCCTCTCGCAGAGACGCGGCGGCGCAGCCTCCCAAAGTGCGTCCGAGCCCCCGCCCTCCTCTCGCGTCCGTCTCTGTCCTTTGCCCGTGGTGCCAACGCGTCCTGCTTTCGTGATGCGCCGTGCGCGCGCCCGTGCAGGTGCTCTGGACTGCCTGCGCCGACTCGCCCTTCCCCAAGTCGGTCGACCCACACCCCGCGACGGGCAACGTCTTCGTCTACCGCAACATGGCAAAGTACGCCTTGCGCTTTCTCTCCGCCCGATCCACGCTCATGTTTATTGTTATCTCATTTTCCTTAGCCAGTTCCGCGCGGACGACTCCAGCGCGCTCGCCGTCCTCGAGCATGCCGTCCACACGCTCAAAGTCTACCACGGTGCGTCTCCTCTCGCTCTCTTTCATCGCCTCACAGCGCGCTGACACTGGCCCCCTTTCTAGTCGTCGTAGAAGGCTACACCGACTGTGCCTGCATCCAAGCAAGCATCGAGGCCGCACACACAGCACGAGCGGCACACACGGACCCCGCCGCGCCCACGACGCCGCTCGCGCGCTGGCTCGCGCCGCTCACCGTGCTCGCCGCCGGCTTCCCCCCGCCGTGCCGCTTCAACCACGGCATCAACTCCGCCATCACCGCCCAGCGCTGAAGGGATAGCTTGCGCAAGCGTGCGCTGCTGCTGGTCGAGCAGGGCGTCGCGGTGCAGGTCGCGGGCGTCGTGCGCGCGCTCGGCGCGCTGCAGCCGCTGGACAGGCCCGTGCATGTGCATGGGCTGGTGTATGACCTCGAGCAGCGCGAGCTGGACCTCGACGTGTCAGTCACGGTGGGCGGTGGCGGTGACGAGGCTGGGGCAGCTGGGGCGGCCGCCTAAGAAGGTAAGCAAGAGCGGGCGAAGGCAGGCCAGGGCGATCGCGCTCGTGATCGTGCTCGTGAAAATCAGTTTCTTTTGCTTTGAGGTTCCCTCATACAGCACATCCGGGATGCGGATGTATATACTAATCGTGTGAATACGACGCTTTCTCGTCGGATTTCCTCCTCATTCAATGCGTATCGATCCCACAGTCTGAAGTCCACTCCGTCCCTCCTCTGTCCCCTTCGATCATGCCATGTCGCATGCGCATATATATCACTGGTGCGTTCGGAACAGAAACCATGTCGAGGAAGGAGGAACCCCGAGCCACGGAGCTCAGGAAGGTTGAGAGAGGGAGACTCGCGCCGTACGTGTCATTGCCGCCTCCACTCTCTCTTTCACGTGCAGTCTGATACAGTATCCGTGTGTCGTTATATCCTCGTCCATTCTGCTTGCTTTTCGACGATCGCAGCAATTCAGTAGCTCTTCCAACCTCTAAGCCCTCTCCGAAAGACATATCTCCTCCCTCCCGTTGCGATTGCGTTCGTACAGGACAAAGCACCGCATCGTCAAGTAGTGCGATGGATCCGCTTCGATCAGAGGCTTGAATGGCAGATAGGGGCCTGTAGCTGTAACGAGCTTCATTAGAAGGTGAGCATTGCATGCGTGCTATAGAGGTACATCCAGACCAAACTCACACTGTGCGCCCTCCATGTCTCGACATGTACATATGATGTGCGTACTGCGCAGGCTTCAAAATACAGCGCATTCACGTAAAGAAAGTGTTCTTCCCCTCGTTCCTCGACGAGTGTCGGTATGAAGGTATAGACCATCGTATCGTAGAGTCGTACCCATGGACGTCGTCACTGTCCTGGCTTCCTCGCTGCCTTCCTATCCGGTAAACGCAAGCCTGCGAGCGGCTTGCATGCGTGAGTCTTGATTCTCCACAGAGCGCAAGGTGCATGTACACTGCGACGAGCGTCTCTGGCCTGATCTTTCCTCTCAGGTCTCAGGTCGTTCATCTCCACATCCAACGCTGTGCGCAAAGACATCTGAATGTGAGTCTGGTGTCCAGGCGTTTTTCGGGTGAGTTCCGGCGCATCGCTGATCAAGGAGTTACATTCTCAAGCACTGCGGTGGACTCCTTCCATCAGGCTGTCCATCGAGCGTCGCGGACGCAGTACCCTCCTCTCCCGAAACCACGCTTCCAGCCGCCTATCACCGCGCTGCGTTCATTCTTGCATCAGTCCCTCCGAATGCTTCTGGGCTTGCGCCTCGAGACTCAAGAGACACAGCTTCAAAGGTCCATTCATACGAGGTCCGCCCCACAATTTTAAGAGTCGTCACGGCTCTTGGTCCGATTCGCTTTCTAAGTTCTTGGACACACTTTGCTGTTCTTCATGGCAGAAACGAAGCGGTATCATACTGCGATTGAACCCTGACGCGAAGCTGAAATCTCAGCTGCTCGTCAGTTGGACGCGGATAGGAAGGATACACAAGTTGCCCGGTGCACAACGGATTGTGTATCTATCTTCGAAGCACAAAGGTGCACTTTAAGTTCGGACCACGAGCACCGGGGAGAGGTGAGAAGCGAGAGCATGCGAGGCTTGTTGATATTGTGTCTCAGTTCATGAAATCTATTGTATGAGGTGTTGCCACCACGTGAATTGATCTGTACAGACCGAGCTGCGGTAGCATGCAGCATTCCAAGAGTTGACATTAGAGTGTGAACGATTGGCGGTGAGGTTATCGCAGGGCCCTGATCTCGGATACCTAGACATAAAAGTGTGCCCTTGTTCTCTTTGTGATGCTCAACATCTCAGCTGCATGATATTGGGTTGCCTTCTTCTGCTCAACTTCCGAGCTGTGAGAGCAATCATATCGAGCTGCTAGCTCTGCAGAGTCTTTGATGTCTTGTATGCCCTGTTTGAGCATGACAACATGCATCTTGGATATCTTTGTTGCCTTTGGTGGAAAATTGAGTATTCATGGAACAGATATGGGTAAGGAAGAAGAGGATGATTCTTTTGATGTATGAGAGTGTGTGATCTTGAGTATCTATGCCACTGATAATAGATCCATTGGTCATACTAGATCTTTCTTTGATTTGTACCTCCTCCATTTGTCCACTGGTAAGATATAAATTGCCATGCTTCATGATACAGATTACTTTATACCCCCTTCATTCACATCTACAATCTTGACATTTGCCCTTACCAGTGGTCTACACCATGAATATATCTGAAAGCTCTGAAATTATTCAGCATGTTGGTATCATCTTTCTACAAGACATTTTTGAAACAATCATTGCAGCTTTCTTCTCTGGTTTGTTAACATGAACTATATTTCATTTGAAAAAGAATTTAAGTTCAAATATCTAGGAATCCATTCTATGCTGGTTTTGTATTTGACACACCTTTTTTAGCAAGTTTTTTTATATTTGTTTAATTTTTATTTGAAATATTTTAACTCTATGCAGCCAGGAAATGATTGTATCCAGGGCCAAGCTATATATGTTTGCTGCTACTTGGCTGATGTTTATAGCAGCAGCAATGATATCATTGCTTGATATAATCAGAGTTATTCAAACTGTCCAAGATGTGCTTATTTTAACAGATAATCAGCCATTGGAAAACAAGTTTTCCAAAAGTAATCAAGAAATTGGCACACTCAATATTATAGACTTTATTTGCCAAGCAGTTATTGTATGTGAATCTTTTTACTCTAATATTTAAAGATAACTAAGATAAGTTTCAGGTATTTTTAGGAAACATTATTATAATATGGAGGGCCCAGATGCTAAGAACAAACTATTATATTATGGTCTTTCTCAAAGGAATTTTTATTATAACCATGAGTGAATTTTGTTTAGCTCTTTTTTTATTCACAATACTAAATTTATCTTTAGTTACAACAATCTTCAATGTTGTAATAGGTTATATTGGATATTTACACCTGCAAGATTAGGAATTCTTTTTTGAAGGATATATTCAAATAGCACAATGGGGACTAGAATTGTTAACAAACTTGGTAGTCACAATCTTAATGGCATATAAAACATGGTTTGTGTTTTTTCTCAAAAAAGTTTCACTAGTACAGCTGATTTGATCAATTAAAAGGGAATATCGCCAATCTATCAAGGATTATTTAGCAAAAAATAAAAACACTCAAGTTCAAAAGATTCTTGCTCTGCTTGTGGAATCTGGCATTTTGTACTGTGGTTCATGGGTAATAATCTTATAGATTTTCATATATTAGGCTAACTTATTTTCATAGATTTTCCTTATAGGTTCAGAGTTTATATCTATTGATGGTAGCAAAGGTGGTATAGTTGGTATTATTAGTATATTTTTGAATGTAAGTGATCTTTCTAATATCACAACTTTACTAACTGATTGATTTTAGGGAATATATCCAACAATCATTATGATTGTAGTCAGTTCAAATAACACAGTTGAGGAAATGTCAGGGATTTCAATTCCAACAGTTCATACCTCTATTCAGCAAGAGCTAGGAGATGCTCAAAATATAGTAGAAGCAGAAATTTATCAGTTACAGGATATTCATGAGCATGACACTACACTTTATACAGAGATTATTGAAGAAACTAGGGAATAATCAGCCTGGTGAGCACTTTTTTGTGCTCTCATGATATAGCATCACTGATTTGAGACCTCTAGATATTCTCTTCAAAGTACTAGACAAACACTTTTTTTGTGAAATTCTCTTTCTTGACTACATAGGCTCATTTCTTGATTTGTTTTCAATACTTCTTGGTCCAGGTACTTGTCCTGACCTGTTGCAGTCCATAGATCCTTGTAGCTTTGTTTATAGATATACCAAGTACTTATGAAAATCATCCTTTGTCTCATTGAGCTATGAGCATGGCACTCCATACCAGCCTGTACTATTACAATATACAAGGGAGGGCTAATGCCCTTGCTTATGCTTTGAATTTATTCACAATACCTATCCTATACATTGTGCCTGGCATCCTCACTATTGGTGTCATGCAGTAAGACACTTTGAAGTTGGAGGGTGGGAAATAGTCTAATTGACACGCCAACCAATTTCAAAGAATTTTCACCTAGACTGACTCAGGTTTTCCTTCATTCCCAGAGCAGCCTAATTGTTCATTGTTGAGGGTAATTTCTCTGTTTATATAGTGGTACTAGTTTATCTTACTATACAAAAGCTGTGTGCCTGTGTTAGGAGGTGTATGGATCCTAAGGAAGTGATTACTAGCATGCTATGAAGTGGGTGGTTCCTATCAAGGTACTGTGCATTAGGATTGGTAGAGTAGCATAAGAAATACTTTCCTGAATTTAGACTCTTTCCATTTGAAAGAATCCAGAGAATGAGTGTAATGAAGAGACAAGACTAGGATATTAGACTAATAGGTGTTGAACTTGGTGTTTTCAGAGCTTCCTTACTGATGCAGGTTCAGATGTTTTCTGACCAGATCAGACTTAGAACTAACTTAATGTCCCATTTGGACTAACATAGCTTAAGACTTATTAAAAGATACTTGGTGCTGACTTCGGAGATTTCAGTGATTAGTGAAGACTACCTTACAAAGTAAAGATCACTTTACAGGGCAAGAGCAACTCCAACAACATAGGCAACAAACTGCTTGTATTTCAGGGCACATGCACTCCTCTTTTATGTGTTTTTGGAGAGGCTGTGCATGAGACCTGGATTTGGGTATTTACAGATGTATCTAGGTGCTAAAGATTCTAGAATGAAGTGTCTGGTTTAAACTAGAATAGAGTAGGCTTTCCTAGATTCCTTCAGAGCATGACCTGGAATTATTTTAGATTCTCTATTAGTTACCTGAGCAGCTCTAGGTTCTCTAGCCTCTTGATTTCTTATCCGTTTACCAAGCCATTACAAAGCCTCTCAGTGCATTAGAAAGTGCACAAGGTCCATGCAATTCTATAAGAGTCTGGATCAGTTTGGCTCCACTCTGGTCCCTTCTATGCTTCATCTAGTCTGTTAAAATAGCACCAAGGCAGCTTTGTTAATAAATATAGATATTTTGAGTCCCTGATAAGTCAAGGTTTAATGAAAGACAGCTGCATATATTCACAAATATAGATCAAAATGTCCATCCACATCCTAAGCATGTAACTGGAGCCAAGTGAGAGTATGGTTAACATGTAAAGACTGTATGAATTTTAGGGAGAGAAATAAACAAGAAACACTGGACTAAAGGAATAAGAACTTAATGAATCATGAATGGGTGAAGTGTTCATGGCCTAGCAAATCAACAAAAGATCATGCCTCCCACTCCTGCTAATGCTTGCCTCACAATCTCTAAGACATTGCCATTAGATGTGGGAACACGTTCGTGGTCAGAGCTGAAGAGAGCTTAAATATACTCACATCTGGAAAACCACCCCTTTGTATTAAGCTCTAATTAATTCTATTTATGCATAATTAAAAATGATTAGGATTAGACATTTTTAGCTTACCCCCTCTCTAAACCTGTTCTAATTAGACATAATTTTCCTCAATTAAGAATTATTAGGATTCATTATAACTTGAGATTTCGGAAAAATCATAATAAATCAAGCATCAGTGTTTTCATAGCCTTCTTATAGAGTCATGTCTATTAGTGCACTAGTTCAATACCTAAACACAGAATATACCTTATAACAAAATTGCCTTGTGCCAGAGTTGAACCAACAACCTCATGTATGCAAGCACCCAGGACAGATGCTCTAAGCCACTAAGCCACAAGGTCTAAGATATAAACTTGGTAATCTAAATAAGTAGACATAATATAGGCAACCTCAACATCTCTGATTTTATTCAACATTTATCTTTCCTCTATCTTATAAATAAATAGTTCAATAAATACCTAAAAAGTCAGGTCTTTCAGGATTTAGTTTAAACACCAGCTAAGAAGATAATAAACCAATGGAAAATCGAGAATACACTTTATATAGGATAAAAATAAATTATGGCACTTATACAATTTGGACTGAGAATGTGTAAAACTATGATTGAGTGTAATATTCAATGGGACTCTACTAGTATAGACAATGCTACCTGAATTTGCAAATTTGATCAAAAACATGATTATGAATAATCAAGATCAATAAAAGAGAGGGGTTTTCCAAATAGCCACTAGTGAGGTAGAGGGTGGGGACAAGGGTATATGTATGGCATGCCTATATATAAATAAGCACAAGATTGTTGGAGGTGATCTTAATATGCTTAATGCATATATTTCCTATATGACAGGCAAATATATCATTCTGGCACCACATACCAATATGACTGTCTTTTCCACAGCCCAATAGCTAGAGGAAAACACCAAGTTTGAGCATCTTTTGTATAACAAGGCAATGGACAGTGTGGATGGCACTGAGAATTATAATATCAATAGTAGTGATGATTATGTGCTACACAAGACAGTATTAACCATTGCACTAATAGACAAGGTCTGCAAGGCTGCATATAGCATATCCCTAAGTCCAACCCACATGTTGTGTCCTATAATGACCAGTAGCAGGCATTGGCTAACAATAACAACTTTAATGATCTTGTGTGCAAGGACAAGGTACCTAGGTCTTCATAGCCTCTTGTGGCAGCTGCCAAGCTGTCAACAAAGTGGCTGGGGGCATCAATGCACATTTCTCTCTTTCTATGTCCCTTGTAAAAGCAGCTGGAAAGTCAGCAAAAGAGCTACAAGATAATGGTATTGTTATGATCACGTTCTGTCGGGCCTTAACGGCGGTCTATACCGACACGATTATAACAAATATCAAGCGGCCTCACAAGGAGAGGCGTACAACAAGGTACAGATAGTAACCTTGGTCATCCACTCCCAATGGATCACCTTATCGTTGGTCGAGTATCACGGGCCTATTGCGTAGCGGGCATGGAACGCCACCTTACAAACTACTCACACATCGGGCATTGAGCTCCTAGTCTTTCCTAGCCGGAAGGAGACTAACAGAGAAGCACAAGAGTAGTCGTTATTGAGAGAGACGACTTATAGAATACCTACGGATACATATACGGTATTCTCACGCCCTACTTCCTAAAGTAGTATAAAAGGCCCATAGAGTAGGCTGAGGTTCTTCAGTCTATTCTCTTCGTTCTCCTGTATCTTCACATACAGGAACCTTCATTCTGGTACTGTCTTCCTACAGTATCCTTCATTGCTACATCGCAATACATCTTTGGCTCCTGTGCTACACGTACAGTCAAGACCACCGTTCTACACATCCCCCACGAGTGACCTAGGGAAGAACCTCCTACTCTCGGGGTTACCGAACAAGCAGTTCATAACACTAGAATAGACTCTTCTGCCCCTACCTTGCTCGCACTAGCTTGCTGCCACACTCTCTCTCACAACCTTTCTTGGTGGGGATAATAGACCCCCATTAAGAGAGCGTTATTACACACACTCTGGAGCAAGACCTAGGCCAGGAATATCCACCCGGCACTAGACGTATCAATAACCAACTCCGTCACAACAATCGCCCTATCCGGCGTGAAGGGGACTTCTGGGTCTACGAAGACAACAACAGATATGCCCCTCCGAATTACGATAACTGCTCATACTGAAACGGGCGTTATTACTTCACCCTTGAAGACGGAACAGAAGAAGAGGATATTTGGAACGAAACAGAAGCTCAGTGGGAACTAGCCCCACAATACAAGGAACCGGCGCCGGTAATCCCCGAAGACTCGGAGCAAGAGGAAACAACCTCGGAATCAGACTCCGACTCACCAGACCAAACACCGATCAACACCCGAAACGAACCACTCGCCGACATGTAGGGACAAGCTTCGACTTCTACAGACCCCCCTTCCGCGACAGTACAACCTGGAAGAGGAAAAGTCAAACTCCCAGACAACTACACAGGCAACCGCATTGAATCCCAGAAATTCATGCTCCAATGCCTTCTTCTTTTCGCAGCAGAATCCGATCGGTACAAGACCGATCAAGACAAGATATCCCTCGTGCTCTCATGCATGAGATATGGCACGGCAGGAGCTTGGGCCGAGAACTTCCTCCTCAAATCAGTAGGAGCGGACCCTCCCACTGATCTAGGAACCTGGAGGGACTTTTTAACAAAGTTCAAACTCCAATTTAGGGAGACAGGCAAGACCGATAAAGCATGAAGCGCACTCATGGCCTTCTCCCAAGGACGAATGACGGTTGATGAATACTCCAACCAATTCATTCTCATTGCTGCCGATGCCGACATCTCCGACAAGGAGCAAGTCCCCTACTTCCAACGCGGGTTAGACCTGCGTGTCATGGATAAAATATATGACAAGGAAGTTCAACCAAAGGACACCATTTAGGATTGGATTAACACAGCCTGCGAAATAGATGGACGACTCAGAGCCAGATCCGCTCAAAAGGCCATCCTTGCCAACTCCACCTCCTTTCGCAGCGATTATCTGAATCGTTTCCATACCCAACCAGCCGTCCGTTATAACTCCACAACTGCCCCTCGCAGAATGAACAACCAGGTGGTCGACATGGACATTGACGCTACCAGAAAGCATAACACCGAAAGTCAAAAGAGAAAATTTGACGGCAAGCGAACCACCTCCTGTTCTAACTGTGGAAAGCCAGGGCACTCTAGTGCTGACTGTTGGTCACCACGTAGAGGCATTAGCCCAGTTCGAGGAAACTCAAAAAGACGCATGGGTACGACAGGGAGAAGAAACCGCGCAACTGATTTGGAGGGAGAAGACAACGCACCCGCTATGGGAGACCAAGCGGGAATATATCGAGGAATGGAGACAGAGGATGGTCCTCGCAACGACCAGCGGGTACCACAACCTGGTCCTTCGATGGAACGTTGATGAGCGCGCCACCCCTCTAAGCGCCGGGACCCCGTTTTTCGCAGTTCTACGAGCACGAGCATGCTGACCTCAGGAGATACCCCAGAGACCGCCGGGTGGCCCCGCCGGGTGGCCCCGCCGCCCAGAGCGATCCCTCCGATGCCCACTACGACCTCAGCATTACGGTATCGGGCCGACGCGGTCTTGTCTCACACCCCCCCAGTCATCGCCTCGCATCATCTCACTCAGCCCCCACGCGTATCGCACGACGACCTCGAGCCTGCTACACCCGCAAAGACCTCGCCAAGCTCTCGCCATACGCCTCGCAAGCATCGACCGCACGGACTGCACCACGAGCAGCTCCACGACGCGATATCGCAGAGAGCTTTATCGCGTGCGCTTATTGGGTAGTACAGGTCCCGTGATCCATTGCCCCTCCACCTTCCTAGAGTTTACCTCGTCTCACCGCTACACCTCTTTACTAAATATCGCTTTGTCTTGCGACCGCGGCACGACAGAACCTCGCGGTCTGCAAGCACCTCTGCGCGTGGTCTTCTCTTTATCTTTCTATGTTACGGTCTTGGCGCGATATCGATTTACTTTACCTTACGAGTTCGCGTTTACTATACTCACTTCGACTTACTATAAATATCTGCCTACGACACTGCAATATACCAGTTTCGAACACCCCTCTGTTCAGAGCTCAACCTCACACGGAGATCTCGCTCATATCGCATCGCATCGACATCGCACTCGCTCGATTTAGCACTCGTCGCCTTCATCGCCGCTATCCACAGGGCCCTCGTCGCTGCCCTTGAAGTTGCCTCGGTCACTCGCGCCTTGGCCCACGGTCCGCCACTTCACACGAGAGTATTCTCGCGTGACCTTGCATCACCTCGCTAGCTATCTCGATATCTCGTAGTACGTATATCGCGCCCCGTCTCGCAACTTACAAGAGTCCCTCGATATTTGTAGTAAAAGTCAGCTCCCCGCCTACCCTGTGTTTAGTGGTGTGTTTTGTGTTGTGTTTTTCGCACGCAGAGCCATCGCAAGCGCATCATTTTGGAGCCCACCGCGAGGGGTTGACTTTCAAAATTCCACCGAGGGACCTCCGACGATCTTCCCGACCCACCGCCGAACGCAACGAGATCCAAGAACTTATCGCCAGCTTCAGTAACCTCGGACTCGACGCCGATCTCAGCCTATTCACAGACGCTGACATCGTGCCTTACCACCTCTCACACCATCATCTTCTTGACTCAGATAACTCGCCGACTCCTTTATCGCCTTCACCCCCACTCGAAACTTCATTCTTCCTAACACCTCCTTCATCCCCAAATCGTACTCAACTTACACCCATCTCCCCATCGCTCGATCTGGCCCAGCTAGAATCCACTCCGCCATCCCCGATCTTATCCCGCCATCACTCGATATCTTCATCGCTTAGTCACACCCCCGAGAACTCCACCCCGACTTTTCCCACGCCCACTTCTACTCCACTCTCAATCCCACGCCCACTCGTAACCTCTTCACACCCGCCTCACATTAGCGCTATGACTACCCCTTCCATGCCAGCCCGCGGCGATAGAACCGCACCCACTTTTGACCCTCGCCAACCTCGGGAACTCCGGCGATACTTCTCGGACCTCGAATTCCACTTCAATCGATCTACGGTCGTCGACACTACAGAACGCAAAAAACACGCCTGCCGATTCCTCGATGTCGACACCTGCGAGCTCTGGGAAACCCTGGCCGAGTACACCAACGCCACAACGTCCTACGAAGATTTTTGCAAGGCAGTTTATCGCCTCTACCCAGGATCAGAAGAAGAGAGGAAATGGTCAGTGGCGGATATGGACAAGTTGGTCGGAGAAAGTAGCAGGATAGGGATTTTATCGCTCAGCGATCTAGGCGAGTACTACCGCCAGTTCCTCGCGATCACCTCTTTCCTCCTCAGCAAGGACCGCATCTCCACCGCCGAACAAGGTCGCGCCTTTACCCGCGGATTTCAGCCCGAATTATGGGGCTGCATCTCGCAACGCCTCCAGCTCAAGTTCCCAGATCACTTTCCTGACAACCCGTACCAGTTACAAGACATTCACGACGCCGCGAGATTTATCTTACATGGCACCTCGTCGACATTTCAACTTGCCTCCTCCGACAGTTCTCGCGCGACTCGCGGAACGAAGACCGAACCATCGATAAAAACCGAGGACCTCGCCACCATGTTCGAACGCATCGCTGAAACCTTCGTCAAAGCACTCGCAAACCAGCCCGCACAAGTCTCGACAATATCACAGCCACCACGCGCGCGTCGCAATCCCAGTAGCTCGGACCGCTGCATGTTTTGTGGAGGACCCGATCATTTCGTACGTGAATGCGGTGAGGTTGCTGAATATATCAGGGTTGGGAAGTGCAAGAAGAACACGGAAGGAAGGATCGTACTATCGACAGGCGCATTTGTACCGTGAGAAATCCCGGGTAACAACCTCAAGGATCGCGTCGATGAATGGCACCGTCGCAACCCCGGCCAGATCGCCACCGGCTCGATGATGTTCACCGTCAACGCCCCACCAGCACCATCGGTCAGCATCGCCTCCCAACACGATTCTCCCTCGCTCCTCGACGCAATGGCCATGTACCAGTTAACGGACGTCGAGAGGATTCAAAGCCTTGAACGCGAGCTTTTCGCGCTACGCACCCGAGGAGGCGTCAGGACGCGAGCCCAGGCCCAGGTCGACCGCGACAGTCGGGAAGATATGCCCAAGGTCGACAACCACCACTCGATGTCTCCTACCCCGGCGGTACCTCGAGAAGCGCCAGCCCACCAAGCCGCAGCCTCGACAAGACCTCGCACACCGGCGCCGGCAGAACCTCTAGTACACCCATTCGCCAACGCCCCCGACGCCACCTACGCGCCGCCTCGCGATCGCAACATCGGGGCCCTACCCAATGGTTCCGCATTCAAGAAAGACGGTCCGGCATACAAGACGACGGCACCCATCTATGATGAGAAAGTCGCCTCGGAGGTCTATAACCGGGCAATGTCGACACAAGTGACGCTTACGCAGCGCGAACTCCTCTCGCTCGCCCCGGAGGTAAGATCTCAAGTTCGCGAGGCAACATCGGCAAGGAGGACACCTCCCAAAGACCCGAATCAAGTCAGGACGTTATACCAAGACGCGGAACTTCCCTACGCGATCGACGACCTCGACCCACCGACATCAACAGTCTCCTCCTTCGCGCACATAATCCACCAACCAGAGACACCTCCGCCGGGATCTCTTGTGGTGCCCGATTGTTACGAACAATATCTCAGCTCTCTCTCACCCGGTCAGATTCCCCAACCGCTCGTCGTCGCTAAAGAATCTTCTGCTTTAAGATCGATCATACCCCTCGTCGACCACCAGCAACTTGTCGAGTGCGTCATCGACCCAGGCTCACAAGTCATAGCAATGTCGGATGGTATCTGCAACGAGCTCGCCCTCATCTACGATCCAGAGGTCGTCCTCAATATGCAGTCGGCTAACGGAGAGATCGACAAATCCCTCGGTCTCGCGCGTAACGTCCCCTTCTTAATAGGCGATATCACTCTTTACCTCCAGGTACACATCATTCGCAACCCCGCCTACGATGTGCTCCTCGGTCGACCTTTCGACATTCTCACCGAGAGCGTCGTCAAGAATTTCGCCAATGAAGATCAGACGATCACAATAAGCGACCCGAACACCGGACGGAAGGCAACGATCCCAATGGTTCGACGAGGCCCACCAAGAATTCTCTACCGCGACAACTCGGGTTTTCGGGACTCGAGGAATTGATCGACGATCAAGGAGAGGCCGCGTTGGTTATTGCTGAAGACCCATATACCCAGAACTCCTTTCATATCGAAGCCATTTCTCCATTCTCGCGCTCACCTCGTCTCCTCGATATTAGTCTCGCCTATCTCTCAGCCTGTGATCCGCGGCACGAAGCCCTCAAAAACATCTCTCCATCTCTCCTCTACAAGTCTCTCCGCGCTACGTCTCCCGGTTTTATTTTGTCCCCCACTTCTCTCCCGCCCCCGTCTACATCTCTATCTCGTATTGCTTCTCGCCGCTCGGTTCCCATTTTGCCTCGCTCGACGTCACCACTGAATCTCTCTAGCCCAGTCGCGATTTTTGCGGCCAAAAGAAAATACAAGCCTGTCGCTTTAAAAGTCCGACCGGTACTAGCCGACCTTCCCGACAAATTTCGCATCGTCCGCAACATTCGAGGCGACCCCCTTGCAGACCTACCAACACTCACGCCCAACCCCCCTCCATTCAAACCGACTGGACGATATACCTCCGAACGACGCGACCTGATCAACCAAGTACACTCCTCCGACTTCCTCTGGCCGGCAGAGCGCGAGCTTATGCACCACTTCATGTGTCTTCAACATCTCGGGTTTGCCTGGGACGACTCAGAACACGGACGTTTCCGCGAGGATTTCTTTCCCCCAGTTAGCATGCCTGTTATCGAGCACAAACCGTGGGTCCAGCGCAATATGCCAATCCCGCCAGGAATCTATGATGAGGTCTGCCGGTTAATCAAAACCAAGATCGCGGCCGGCGTTTACGAGCCCTCAAACTCCTTGTACCGATCTCGTTGGTTCACGGTTGTGAAGAAGACCAACAGCACCGCGACCGGGACCAAACTCCGTATCGTCCACAGCCTCGAACCGCTCAACGCGGTCACCATACAGCACTCAGGTGTGCCTCCGTATACTGATCAAATCGCTGAGCAGTTTGCAGGTCGCGCTTGTGGAGGGATTCTCGATCTCTACGTTGGGTACGACGAACGAGGTCTCGACGAGAAATCACGCGATTACACGACATTCCAGACCCCGTTCGGAGCACATCGCCTCGTCACCCTTCCGATGGGATGGACAAACTCGGTGCCTATTTTCCATGACGATGTTACTCACATTTTGCAGCCCGAGATTCCCAACACAACAATACCCTTCATCGACGACGTTCCCCTCTGAGGTCCAGCCACGCGATACGAGACACCTGACGGCGGTTACGAGACGCACCCCAACAATCCGGGCATCAGGCGATTTGTTTGGGAACACTTCCAAGGCGTCAATCGAGTCGTCCAGCGCATGAAATACTGCGGCGGGACATTTTCGGGTCATAAGGCGACGCTATGCGCGCCCGAGATCATCGTCGTCGGGCACCGCTGCACCTACGAGGGTCGACTTCCCGAGGAATCTCGAGTTGAGAAGATAGTCAACTGGGGACCTTGCCGCGATCTCTCGGAAGTACGGGCATTCCTTGGAACGATCGGCGTCGTCCGCATCTTCATTCGTAACTTTGCACATCGAGCACACCCTTTAACAATGCTCACTCGAAAAGACTTCCCTTTTATCTTCGGACCTGAACAGATCGCGGCGCAAGACGATCTCAAATCAGCACTCCTTTCCTCGCCCGCCCTCCGCCCAATCGACTATTCCTCACCAGCCAATGTCATCCTCGCCGTCGACACCTCGCACCTCGCGGTCGGATTCCACCTCTGCCAGTGCGACCTCGACAATCCGCGAATCCGGTACTACGCCAGATTCGGCTCCATCACCCTGAACGACCGCGAGTCAAGATTCTCACAGCCAAAGCTAGAGCTTTACGGCCTGTTTCGCGCTCTCCGAGCTCTCAAGATGTACCTCATCGGGATCCGTAACTTGGTCATCGAGGTGGACGCGAGATATATAAAAGGAATGCTAACGAATCCAGATCTCGAACCAAGCGCGAGCATTAATCGCTGGATCATCGCCATCCTCACATTCCATTTTACCCTCGTCCACGTTCCCGGCGCCTCGCATGGGCCCGATGGTCTCTCGCGTCGACCGCCGCAGCCAGGCGACCATCCCGAGGCTGACGATGACTTCGAAGACTGGATCGACAACCTCTACAGCTTTATGCACCAAATAAACAACCCTCAACCACCGCCATCAGCGCGCCAGTGCCTCACCATTCTCGCGAACACCATCACCGACATCGACGATAACATCCCTCCACCTCTCAACTACTCTGACATTCCTCGCACCAGCACAGCGGTATCGGCGGACGACCGGATCGTAGCAGTTAGGAAATGGCATTCCGACCTCACACGCCCGAGCGGTCTATCCGACGCTGAGTACACAACATTCCTCCGATACTGCGCTGAATTCTTCCTCGCCTCGGACAAGCTATGGAAGAAAGATGCTCAAGGCCGACACAAGCTCGTCGCGCCGCCCAACCACCGTGTTTCCATTCTCGCCTCGGCCCACGACGACGTCGCGCACAAGGGCTTCTTCGCCACTCGTGTCCTCATCGCGGAAAGATTCTGGTGGCCGCTTATGAGGCAAGACATCGCTTGGTTCATTCGCTCATGTCATCTCTGCCAGATTCGACAAACACGCAACGTCTTGATCCCTCCAGTCGTCGCATCGCCGGCGCCTCTCTTCGCGAAAATGTATATGGACACGATGCACATGCCGACGGCAGGAGGCTTCCGATACCTCGTTCAAGGTCGATGCTCGATATCGCACTATCCCGAGTTCCGCATGCTCCGCAACGAGACCAGCGCCGCCCTCGCTGACTGGATCTTCGAGGATATTCTCTGTCGCTGGGGCACCCTCGTCGAGATCGTTTCCGATAACGGGCCAGCCTTCGTCAAAGCTCTCACCCATCTTGCCAAGAAGTATCACATTTCGCACATTCGAATATCGGGGTACAATTCTCGCACCAACGGCATTGTCGAAAGGCCGCATTTCGATGTCCGACAAGCTCTCTTCAAGGCGGTCGATGGGGATCAGTCGAAGTGGAATAGAGCGGCACCGTTTGTTTTCTGGGCCGATCGCATCACTGTCCGACGTCGCATGGGTTGCTCACCATACTTCGCCGCGACAGGAACTCATCCCCTCCTGCCCCTCGATATAGCGGAAGCAACGTACCTCCTTCCACCACCATCCGAGACAATGTCGACCACCGACCTCATCGCCCGCCGAGCAATCGCACTCCAAAAGCGTCGCTCTGACCTCGCCCGCCTCCGCACTGCAGTCATCGCAGCACGAGTTAAAGCCGCCATCCAATTCGAGACCGACCACCAGGCGACAATTCGAGCATTTCATTTCGATCTCGGAGACCTCGTCCTCATCCGCAACACAGCCATCGAGAAGGCCCTAAACCGCAAAATGCGACCTCGCTACTTGGGACCCCTTCTCGTTATATCTCAGAATCGCGGCGGTGCTTACATTCTCGCAGAATTAGACGGCTCGGTACTTGACCGACCGATCGCGGCCTTCCGCGTCATCCCCTACTTTGCTCGCAAGAAGCTCGACATACCCGACCTCGACGCACTCCTCGACATCTCTGCACAACGACTGCGCGAGATGAAGGCCACCGTGGACGAGGATCCTGAAGAGGAGGGCCTCCGCGGCGACGAGATGGACGACTCGGAGGACGAAGCTTCGCAGCGGGATATCGACACAGTATCCGATACCGACGAGCCCACCCACCCTGCCTTCTCGCGCTGGGCGATGTGACTGAGGACAGCGCACATTTCAGTAGGGAGGAGAAAGACCAGCTATGATACCCTAAATTTTCGCATCCCGATCTTTCTCGCAGCAAAGCTTACGACTATTTTTACACTTCAGACTCGGACTAGCGAATATCGCACAGTTACTTCGACGTTTCTCGCACCCGGCATTTCCACTTCATTTCAAAAGTCGCATTAACGAACCTTATCGGATTTGTGCAAAACCGAAGGGTTTTACGCCTGTGATGATCTACTGAGGCTTTCCCTAAATTCTATATTCTCTCAAATTCCAGTTTAGAACGTTATCGCTTACCATCGAGACATCTACAACAGATCCCTATTATACGACGACTTCAACCCCGCACGCGATACGTCTTAATCTATCTCCGACATTTCTCGCTCACCAAACAACCTTTAGACTCTAGCGAGACTTTACTCGAGTGTTTCTTCCCGATTTTATCACAAATATTGCTAAAACCAAGAAAGAAGTACTTTTACATTTTGCATCGAAACTTATATATTACATCTAAAAGCGTCCGAGGTGCTAGTCGAGCACCAACTCCACGCTACCCTCGCCATCCTCGTCCTCGTCCTCCGACCCCTCCGGCAATGACGCGCGAACGCGCTCCAGCTCGGCGAGCTCAGTTCCGCGCGCCTCGTGCTCGGACAACAAATAGCGGACCTCGCTCTCGGTCCGAGCCATCCGCCAACGAAGGATTTCGATGTCGCGGTCCACCGTCCGACGAGTCCGGAGTTCACCGCGCGCCGCGCGCGCCAAGCGACGAGCAGGCCGACGAAGGTCGTCGGGAAGGAAGCGGGCGGAAGAGGAAGAAGCGATGGGCGGAGGAGGAGAGGAAGGGAGAGGAAGAGGGACGGTGTCCGAAGGGGTCGAAAGGAGCTTCGTCCATCGACGGGGCCCGTCGCACGACTTGCGATCGCGACGACACTTGAGGCAGTGCGTCGCATCGCCCGGGACGCGGAAACAGACGAAGGGGGTGACGAAGTGGGAACAATAGGTGCAGGGAGGTTCGGCCTAGGAAAGTCTGAGGAACAGGAGGAGAGGAAAGGAGAGGGAAAGGAGCTCACCTGCTGCGCGCCGGGAGGCAACTGACCAGGGACGATAGGACGCCCATCCGTCTTTCGCTGACGTTTCGCAGCACGCTCCTCTGCTTCTCTATCAGCTTCGGCCTTCTGCTGCGCCGGGGACTTCACAGACATCCGCGCAGGCGGGGCGCGACGCTTGCCCTTCCGCTCTTCATCCACGACCTCGCGCCGCTTCCCTTTCCGATCCACTTCCATGACCTCCTCCTCGCCATCGGGAAGGAAGAGCCCAGTCCCGGAAGGCACAGGACCCTCCCCTCGCACGGACAGCGCAGTGGTCGACGCCCGCAAGGAGTCAATGGCGTCGCCCGTCCGTAAAACGGGCGCCGCCATCTCGACATCGCCATCACGCCCCACTACCCGATCCTTGGCACTCACCACGCTAGGTCCCGACTCCGTCTCCAGCGGCTCGGCCAGACGATGCTCACTCTCCTCTCGCGAGATGGAACCACGCACATATAAGCCCATGATCTCCCGATCACGAGCCCTCCGACGCGCCTCTTCAGCGACTCCGCGCGCAGTGCGCTCTTCATCGGCCAACCGGCGAGCTTCCGCCTCGGCGACACGAGCAACCTCGGCCTGAGCAGTAGCGGCGGCGGCGACCTCAGCCTGGATGCGCTCGTCACAACGCGTCGCACGCGTCTGCAGGATGCATGCCCCCCACGCTAACCAGTCATCGGTCGCGTAGGTCTCGAGAGTGTCCTCGGCGCTATCAAGCCAGAGCGCGAGCTGCGGGGAAGGCGCAAACGAGGGAATCGCCTCCAGGCTGGCCTAGGAGAGAGGGGTTAGCACGAGAAAAAGAGAAGAAAGAGAGGACGCACCAGGGTACGGGCAAAGTTTTGACCCTAGATCATGAAGTCCTCCAACTCGGCGGGATGCTCGGGAGACACGTCGATAAGGTCGGACAGGGCGGAGACGAGGAGATCGACGAGGGACGATGGCATCGGGAGAGACTTGTCACGGAAGCAGAATACGATCGAGAAAGGCCGGATTGGGAGGGAGCAAGGGACGCTAGGAAAACGGGAGCAGATGGTGCGTTGAACTTGGGTGACGCGTACCCTGACCAAACAGGAACGAGTCCCAGCCACATCGGCAACTCGGGCCCCGCGCCGACCGGCTACCTCGACAGCCACAGCGTGTTTTTTTTCCACGCCACTGGCATCTGTCCGACATCGCTTACTGTATCCGCCACCGAGTCACGCCTCCGCTCCCACGACCTGCGACATCCCGTTCAGGCCAGTCCCACCATCATTTACCAACCATCCCCATGCCACCACATCGATCCCATGCCACACCTTGATGCCACCGAGCACAGCCGACTGCTGCAGCCCACGTGCATCTCAGCCACTCGGTCACATGGCACGGGACTGACTGAGGACAGTCAGGATTTCAGTAGGGAAGAGATAATGAGCGCGCCACCCCTCTAAGCGCCGGGACCCCGTTTTTCGCAGTTCTACGAGCACGAGCATGCTGACCTCAGGAGATACCCCAGAGACCGCCGGGTGGCCCCGCCGGGTGGCCCTGCCGCCCAGAGCGATCCCTCCGATGCCCACTACGACCTCAGCATTACGGTATCGGGCCGACGCGGTCTTGTCTCACACCCCCCCAGTCATCGCCTCGCATCATCTCACTCAGCCCCCACGCGTATCGCACGACGACCTCGAGCCTGCTACACCCGCAAAGACCTCGCCAAGCTCTCGCCATACGCCTCGCAAGCATCGACCGCACGGACTGCACCACGAGCAGCTCCGCGACGCGATATCGCAGAGAGCTTTATCGCGTGCGCTTATTGGGTAGTACAGGTCCCGTGATCCATTGCCCCTCCACCTTCCTAGAGTTTACCTCGTCTCACCGCTACACCTCTTTACTAAATATCGCTTTGTCTCGCGACTGCGGCACGACAGAACCTCGCGGTCTGCAAGCACCTCTGCGCGTGGTCTTCTCTTTATCTTTCTATGTTACGGTCTTGGCGCGATATCGATTTACTTTACCTTACGAGTTCGCGTTTACTATACTCACTTCGACTTACTATAAATATCTGCCTACGACACTGCAATATACCAGTTTCGAACACCCCTCTGTTCAGAGCTCAACCTCACACGGAGATCTCGCTCATATCGCATCGCATCGACATCGCACTCGCTCGATTTAGCACTCGTCGCCTTCATCGCCGCTATCCACAGGGCCCTCGTCGCTGCCCTTGAAGTTGCCTCGGTCACTCGCGCCTTGGCCCACGGTCCGCCACTTCACACGAGAGTATTCTCGCGTGACCTTGCATCACCTCGCTAGCTATCTCGATATCTCGTAGTACGTATATCGCGCCCCGTCTCGCAACTTACAAGAGTCCCTCGATATTTGTAGTAAAAGTCAGCTCCCCGCCTACCCTGTGTTTAGTGGTGTGTTTTGTGTTGTGTTTTTCGCACGCAGAGCCATCGCAAGCGCATCAACGTCCTCACTCTGCCCCATCCGGACGACCCCAAACGAACCATGGGCAACGCGCTATGTTACCTAACGGACGACGGGGAAACGGAAGTGTCAGTCATTCTGCTCGAATCGGAGCAGTGCTCGGAGAATTAGGAGAAGATGAAGCAAGAGAAGTAATCTTGGGACACGCAGAGCGTTTTTCTTGACCTCTCCCTCACCAGCGAAGGAGAGAGGTCAAGGACGACCCGAGTTCGATGCCCGCACTTGTATTCATATTGGAGCAATGAACGACCGTATCATCACCCCCATACGCCTGAACGTGAAGGTATCAAACAGGAGTCAATACGCTGGAGCAAAGGCAACCATCGACTCGGCATGCGAAGGGGTTATAGTAAACAAAACTTGGGTCAGGAGACATCGTTTCCCCACCTATACACTCAACAACCCCATTCGCGTCCGGAACGTCGATGACACCATTAACAAAGCGGGTCTCATCCAGTCCGCATTGGATGTAAACCTCACCATTCGGGACATCCGTGGACGAACGCATACTGAGCGTGTCCAGATGTTTATCTCCAATCTAGGAAAGGACGACCTTATCCTAGGAACAGATTGGTTGAAATACCACGATCCCTCCATCGAGTAGAGGCGACGTGAAGTGCACTTTGATCGGTGCCCCCAGAAATACCAGCAACCACATGGGTTTACTAGGGCAAGGGAAGAACCGCAAAACAATAAGCGGTTATCAGACGTAGAGCCACGGCACAAACCACGCATTAACGAGCGCGAAAAACAGCGCCTAGAACATCTCCGAAGATTATCGGAAGATGTAGGACTCCGCGATCATAGCGGAACGTTTGGTGTCCAACTACGAGCATACCTCAAAAGGAAATGGCTCCTACAGGACATAAGGAAATACGCAGAAGAGAAACGAAAGGCTCAAGCCAAACCATCTCTTTCACCAAACGAGGGAGAACCTGATCTCCCACATAAAACCTCAGGAAAACAGGCCACAGAGGAACCAGTTATTCGGAAACTGGCTCCCGAACCGTCAGGATTCGCCAGCTTCGACCAGGACTTGGAGGACGAAATTGTCGTCACCAATCTAAAGGAAAGAGTCCCCAAGGCGCATCACGAATTTTTGGACATTTTCAGCGAACGAAAGTCGCAGCGACTCCCAGAGCATACTTATTGGGACCACGCCATAGATCTGAAACCGACCTTCAAACCTCAAGTACCAAAAATCTACGCCTTGAGCCCAGAGAAACATGATGAACTAGGGAAATTCATCAAGGAACATCTTACTCGGGGGACCATCCGTCGATCCACCTCACAAATGGCAGCCCCATTTTTCTTTATAGGAAAGAAAGATGGAAAACTGCATCCGGTACAGGACTACCGCCATTTAAACTCGTACACCATCCCAAATGTGTGCCCCCTTCCACTAATCCAAGAGCTATTGGACGTGATCAAAGGGGCCACCATTTTCAGCAAATTGGATGTACGGTGGGGATACAACAATATACGAATCAAGAAGGGCGACAAGTGGAAGGCAGCTTTCATCACTCCGCTGGGCTCTTACGAACCCACGGTGATGTTCTTCGGCCTTACCAACTCACCAGCCACCTTCCAGGCCATGATGAACATGATCTTTAGAGAACTCATCACAGCCCGGAAAATAACTGTATACATGGACGATATCCTCATCTTTTCCAAAAATATGGCGAAACACATCCAAGTCCTGAACCAAGTTTTCCAGATCTTGCGCGACAACGACCTCTATTTGAAGCCAGAAAAGTGCGAGTTTTATAAAGAAAAACTCCAATATCTGGGATACACAATTTTAAAAGACCATGTCGCAATGGAAGACTCGAAGGTGGACGCTATACAAGATTGGCCAGTCCCACGCACCGTCCGAGACATTCGCTCCTTTTTAGGTCTCGGAAATTTCTACAGGCGTTTCATCAATAAGTTCTCCCTTATCGCATGCCCTCTGCACAACCTCACCAAAAAGGACACAAAATGGAACTGGACTTCGAAGTGCCAGGAAGCCTTTGAACGATTAAAAAGGGCGTTCATCAGTAAACCCGTTCTAAATTACCCGGACCCCATGCATCCATATCGACTAGTAACGGATGCCTCACTAATTGCTTACGGAGCTACCCTCCTGCAAGAAGGAAAAGATGGCGACTGGCACCCAGTTGCATTCCTTTCCGGGTCATTTTCACCAGCAGAACGGAATTACGATGTCCACAATCGCGAACTCCTGGCCATCATAAAGGCGTTGGAACACTGGAACCATTACCTCAAAGGCGCACGACACCCATTCGAGATCTGGACAGATCACAAGAACCTGGAACACTTCCAAACGGCGCGCGACCTGTCACGACGACACGCCCGTTGGAGCCTCTATTTGAGCAGATTCGATTTCACACTCAGCTACAAAGCCGGGTCAACAAATCATTCCGATGCTCTGTCCAGGCGTCCAGACCTAAGTGAGGGGGTGGAATCTGACAACAAAGCTCAAATTTTGCTCCCGGCCAACCTTTTTAACAAATCCGACGAAACACTGGTAGAACCATCCCCAACACGGCATATTAAATCCACGGAAATCGTGTCCTCAGACCTCATCTCCCTCATCCGACTCTCAAAATCGGAACATGATGCCCTGACAAGGGTAGCCCTCGCTAAACTCTTGCGAGTAGGGCCACAAGGAATGAGAGGATTACTGGGACATTGGACACACAAAGACGGAATCACCAGACGAAACGGCCATATATGCGTCCCAAAAGATGATACCATACAAAGACTAATTGTCAAAACACATCACGACACACCCGCAGTAGGACACCCGGGGAGAGCCAAAATGCTGGAAATGGTACAACGACACTATTGGTGGCAAAACATGACAAAGTTTGTTCACGACTACGTGGACGGATGCGCGGTATGTCAATCGACCAAGAATTTGACACACAAGACGCACCCTCCTATCCATCCTTTGGAAACTACCAACGTCCCCTGGCGATTCATCTCGACAGACTTCGTCACGGATCTACCCGAAAGCAAGGGTTTCGACTCAATCAATGTGGTAGTGGACCAAGGTCTGTCCAAAGGCATAGTCATCACCCCATGCAAGAAAATGATCACGGTAGAAGAAACAACCGTGCTTTTCCAGAATAACGTTTTCAATCGACATGGGTTGCCGACCAAAATTGTATCCGATCGCGGCCCTCAATTTGCGGCCAAGTTTACCCGAGAACTCTGGAGACGGCTAGGAATCACCGCGGCTCTCAGCACGGCTTATCATCCCCAGACAGATGGAGAGACAGAACGAGTAAACCAGGAAATTGAACAGTTCCTGAGAACGTTCTGCAATTACCACCAAGATAACTGGGTGGACCTTCTGCCGTTTGCCGAATTCTCGCACAATACGCGAAAACATTCGGCCACCGGAAAATCTCCCTTCGAGGTGCTATACGGGTTCAATCCCCCTTATTCAGCCGATACGGCGCTGGAGACAAAGGTACCCGTGGTAGCTGAATGCATTAAGATGATCACAGAAGTCCAGGAAGAAGCCGCAGCCAGCCTACAAATAGCCAGCAATTACGCCAAAGACCGGGATCTCCACAGGAAACTTCCCCAGTGGAAAGAAGGAGACCAAGTATGGCTAGAAGGAACCCATATCCGGACAACCCATCCAAAGTTCAAGCTCGCCCCTAGAAGATATGGACCCTTCAAAATAATGGCAAAAATAGGGACCCTGGCGTACAGACTTCAAATTCCCCAACAATGGAAGATCCATCTGGTGTTCCATGCCGCAACACTCACCAAGTATAGAGAAACCGAGGCACACGGGGAAAACTTCGCAAGACCACTACCGGAGGTATTAAACGATGAAGAACATTACGAGGTGGAAATGATCGTGGATTCAAAAAGACAAGGACGGGGAACCAAGTACTTGGTCAAGTGGGCGGGATACCCCGAGGCAGACAACACCTGGGAACCCTACACTCTCCTAAAAGGGACAGCGGAAGAAACTATGAAAGAGTTTCATGACCAGTACCCTGACAAACCTCGTCCGAGAACACCCTGAAAAGCAGAGGCAAATCCTATAAAAGAGCGACCAGAGAGCTCCAAACGGACCATCTTCCCCCACTTTTTTTTCTCTCAAGTTCCTTTCCTTTCACTCAATGCTCCTCCACGAAGACCACGATGCTTCATCACCATCCAGAAACTCCTCCCCTGATGTCGTCCTTATGGTGTCCAATCCAGACATCGGACGAATGGACAGAGGAACCAGTCCTCACCCAGGCAATGCTGGACGAATTGATAGAGGAACCAGTCCTCACCGCCCAGAGCCCGCTGTCGTCGCCCTCACTCCACACCTCAATAACTTCTCAGATGACGATGCCGAGGACTATGCCAAGTTCAAAGAAAGAGAAAGAACTCGCCGACCGTCACCCCAGGGGGCCCCACAAGATGCATCACGGAATGAAAACCCTGATGACAGAAACCTACCGGGCTCTGACGAAGTACCAGTGGGAGTTCCACCTCCTGTTACAATCGCGGCGAGCATTGGAGCTGCAGGTCCCTCGGGACTACGAGCAAGAACAGCAGCTCAACTCCCAAGCCATGGAGAAACTGAATCGATACCAGTTATACAGGGAGCTGCACCTCCGCCAGTACCAACTGGTGGACAGATTCCCCGCTCCATGGGAAGAACTACCCTTGGTACAGATCCTCACGCCAGAGAATTGGAGCGACACGCGGACGCGCTCCTCCAACGAAGCACTATCTCCGCGGTAATACAAATGGCCACAGCCATGGCCCTACAACGACTCGCTAACTTCGCTGCAGGGCAACCCAGGAATGAGCATAGCGACATACCTCGACGACTGGCTAGTGCCAGTCTCCAGATCAGAGGACTTGCCCTCCAAACAGACCCTGACACCGCCTCTTGGTATAAACACAACGACGGACGACCACAAGCTCTCCTCATCCATCCCGACGAATTCTCCCAGTATGTCAACAGAGAGCTCCTTCCAGCTCTCCTCTTCCCCGGAGAACTGGGCACCGTCCAACCAAGTAGAACCGACCCTTTCCGCGTTGTCGTCTGGAATGTACCACGTCCCGGAGAACGTCCCACGCCTGTACCAAATCCAAGAAGGACTCCGCACACGGTCATGGAACGCCCTTCACCGAGGCCACGGGAAAGTCGTACAGCACATAGCAATCCCACGACATCCTCCTCTCACTGGGTACGAAATTTTCCCTTATCCCATGGGGGTACTGACGAGGAGGAACCACCCATCTATCGAAGAAACGAGGGAAGAAGGAGTCGAGGAACCCAGGCAACCCTCCGCCGTGGAACAACTACTGGCGGGAGTGTTCGACACCGGCCTGGAACGCCTCCTCCTAGTGCTCGATTTCGTACAGACAAGGGACAGAATAACCAAAGTAGCCGCAGAACTCGCCGCGCTGATTCGGAGGCTAGAAGTAATCGCTCTTGGACTCGATCCGAGCTCGATGCGTGGGACGCTTTAGACGACCCCGGAAATTATGACGACGCCGATCCTTATTATCGGCCTGATGAAGGAGGCGATGGGTACCAAGGACCCTACGACTATTAGAGAGGGCCAGTTGCGGAGCGAAAAAAGGGGGTAAGGAAGTTAAGGAACTCCTTCCCCACTAGGGTCCGAAATGACCTTAAACTATCGATCGTCCGCAACGACGTAAAACTAGGATTGTCCCTCAAGACGTTAAACTGTACGACCTCATCCGAAAGAGACGTTAAACTACCCCACGTCCGGAATGACGTCTAAACTATCGGACCTGCATGTCTTAAAACTGTGAAAAGATAAGAAGGCAGGGGAAGTACCTGACCATTAGTCCTAGGTTCAAATGATGGTACGAATCAAGGACAATAGCGGGCATAATTCCACGTACGACCTACGGCGGAACCTTTCACATCCTCGCTGTCAAGGAGTTAATCTGACAGATGCATCGAGCGTCCCATTTGGATCCTCAGTTTTACAGGGTTTTTCCGCATTAGGGAACCCTCTACATGACATATACTCTACTCGTAGGTGTCGACAAGCCGGCTCTTCGCCTTGGTACAGCGAAGTGCCCATACATAACCGGTTGCAAGTCCGAGTCAAGAAATTATGATGCATAACTCGTTAAGTGAACCCTCACAGTCAAGGTCTGACTGGTGTTTTGGGACATCCCACTTTGGATCTCCTGTTTTACAGGATCGTTTCCGCATTAGGGGATCCTACAGCTGGCGCATGAGATGATGTAGAGACCGGGCCACCTCTACTTCACAAGTCTTCCTACAAATGATGCAAGGCCATAAAATAACATCCAGAATGATGTAAAACTACCAAAGGCTTGGTCCGCAATGACTATAAACTACTAGGGTCCGCAATGACGTTAAACTAGTCTTCGTCCGAAATGACGGAAAACTACCCTCGTCCGAGATGACGTAAAACTACCATTGATCCAAGGAGCGTGGTTGTATTCTGGTGAAGCGCGGATTTTCGGGAGGATCCGCGTCGCAGAACCCTGCCTGTAAGAGGTCGAAGCGCTTCCGATATTCACTCGCTTTTCGGTAAAAGAATATCGGGTCGACTTGGTTCAATTCCAAGCGAGGGGTCTGGGGACATGGAAGAGCAAGCATCTCTTCATGGAGTGCTCAGTCTAGTCCTGGAGTCGAAGTACAAGAAATTCCGCTCCAAGACCTAGTCAGGAGGCAACTAGGACACGTGCCTCGAGTCGAAGATCTAGTAGGAAGGGACTAGATCATGCGACTCTTGTCTGGCCCACATAGCGGAAGAATGACAAGAGCGGGCCACTCATACAGAGAAGTCTATTCCGCCAGTTCGTCCGCAACGACGATAAACTACGATGCGTCCGAAACGACGTTAAACTACCGTCCCTTGACCCTAGGGATTGTTCGAGGCCATTTTTGCAATGGAAATGGCATCGACGTCCGCAACGACAGTAAACTACGGACATCCGAAACAATGTAAAACTACTGTCCCTTGTTCTAGGGATCATGGGCTGTGCCTGAATGTGGCGACACCCATAGTCCGAGATGACTCTAAACTACTTGCTTCTCATCAAGAAGAGGAGTCGTGATTGTTGACCATGACCTTGGTCGCCAATCAGTCCGAAATGACGGAAAACTATTTGTCCCTTCAAGCATAGGGATCGTGCGTGGTGATCTTGACAAGATACCATGCGTCCGAAACGACGATAAACTATTGTCCTCTCAAGAATGAGGATTGTGCGTGGTGGAAACCAAGGTTATCCTCACGCGTCCGCGATGACGTTAAACTAGTGCCCCTGGACCTAGGGGCTGTCATTGACGTCCAATCCCTTGGACACCAATGCGTCCGTAATGACGGAAAACTATTTGCTCCTTACCGCATAGGAGTTGTGGATTGACCGCCATGCTGTCAATCATCCGCAATGACATCAAACTACGTGCTCCTTACCGAATAGGAGTTGTGGTTGTTGACCAAGACCGTGGTCACCAACCGTCCAAGATGACGTTAAACTACTCGTCCCTTGTAGGATAGGGATCATCGGTCGACATCATTCTTGACGAGAATGTGTCGACAACGTCCGAAAAGACGGTAAACTACCTTCATCCTCGGAAGGAAAAGCCTATCGTGACTCGAGGGACACAGTCAGACGATAGCTCACCTAAAGCACAGCGTTAAACTGCAAGTCGCCTACCTCACGGCGTTAAACTGAGCGGTCTCCTAATATTGAGACGTTATAAGTTATCCGGTTTGATATAGTATAAACCGTTCCCATCATGCCTCAGTGGCAATCTGCGGGATAAAGTCTGGTCTAGGGCCCTATGCACACAACCGATGGAAATTCCGGCGTGCAGAAACATCTTTCCCCACAGATATTCCATGTTGATGATGAAGAAGGTCCGCAAATGACCTAGAAGTAAACTACTGTCGTTCGCAATGACGTAAAACTAGGTATCATCCGCAACGACATAAAACTAGGTATCGTCCGCAATGACGATAAACTACGGAACGTCCGGCAAGACGTTTAAACTGTATCGTGGATATATCTCGCAACCCGACAAATATATTAGCTATGGTCTTAATGTCCATTCATGCAAGCAAACGAGCCGATCCGGAGAAGGAGTCAGACTCCTCCTTACTCCTCACGGCACCCTTCAAGTCTAATTCTCTTCATATCCTTGCCTCAAACCCAATACGCATAGTGAATCAAACAAACTCTGGACGTCGAACTAACTCACTGGAGATGAGCCCACCATATGGGGGCAATACTGCTTGGGATTTATGGCTGCAACCTCACCGGAGATGAGCTCACCGTATGGGAGCGATACTGCTTGGGACGTTAAGATGGTATTCTGGGGAAGTAGGCCTAAGCCTTTGTAAAGCGATCAACCTACTTGCCCATGGACGCCATCCTCTGAACGCCAAGAGGAACAACAGAAATCACGAGGATAACGACTATCCTGGAAACACTGAGGTTTGGCCCTTGGAGAAGGAAGAAGAAGAACCTGATGACACGAATTGGAACCCACATGCTAGAGTTTCTATTCATCCACACACCACTCGCATTCATACGCCTTTCTTGACACTTGTCCGGAGACCGACCGGACTGACATCCTGGCTTGAGAATCCAGGAAAGATCACAACAACCGAGGGGTGAAGGAAGAACATCCTACAGAGCGGAGGTTTGGTACCCTCACGACTCGACAAACAAACAGCTCAACGGAGATGGAAAACTCCTAGAGGATCAAACGACGTAAGTCGATCTTCCTCCCAGAAAACGAAGTCATGTCCTGGAAGTCGCATCCGGAGACCGATTTTTGGATCAAGAAAGCAAATCGTATATGGAGTGGCGATGAAGCGCAAAAGCATTGTCCTACCAGGCGAATAGGATGTAGAAAGGGGGTATTGTTATGATCACGTTCTGTCGGGCCTTAACGGCGGTCTATACCGACACAATCATAACAAATATCAAGCGGCCTCACAAGGAGAGGCGTACAACAAGGTACAGATAGTAACCTTGGTCATCCACTCCCAATGGATCACCTTATCGTTGGTCGAGTATCACGGGCCTATTGCGTAGCGGGCATGGAACGCCGCCTTACAAACTACTCACACATCGGGCATTGAGCTCCTAGTCTTTCCTGGCCGGAAGGAGACTAACGGAGAAGCACAAGAGTAGTCGTTATTGAGAGAGACGACTTATAGAATACCTACGGATACATATACGGTATTCTCACGCCCTACTTCCTAAAGTAGTATAAAAGGCCCATAGAGTAGGCTGAGGTTCTTCAGTCTATTCTCTTCGTTCTCCTGTATCTTCACATACAGGAACCTTCATTCTGGTACTGTCTTCCTACAGTATCCTTCATTGCTACATCGCAATACATCTTTGGCTCCTGTGCTACACGTACAGTCAAGACCACCGTTCTACACATCCCCCACGAGTGACCTAGGGAAGAACCTCCTACTCTCGGGGTTACCGAACGAGCAGTTCGTAACAGGTATAGGCATATATGAAGGAGAGTAATATGCTGAAATAGCATAGAATGTGCCACATCTTTACCTTCCCACTGATAAAGCAGTAGTACTTACTATTTCCTACTGCTAATTAAAGGCTTCTTAGTATAGAATTAGTGCTAATATCATGAAATTAGAAACCAATCCAATGCTCACAATGTGTTGCTCCTAATTAGGAAATTAGACACTTTTAGATACTATTGACACTTTTAGATACTTTTAAACACTATTAGATATAATCCGGAGCTAATACAAGTAGGTGTTTTTCCAGATGATGTCATGGCTTTCACATTGGATCCTCATTTGTGCCTTTTTCCTGATTCAATTGAATAGATTCTCATGTTGCATTTATTTTTGGTGACAGGATACCCACGGTCGGACTTCTTGATCAACTCTGCAACTGCTAATCCTGTCATTGTGATTCCCAAACAGGGATCTGACCTCAATATTCCACATCCTCGTCTATTTAACTGCATGAAAGCATTCCTTCGGGATGAGATGCTCAAGCCAATGGTGGAGCATATGGATACCCATCCGGAAGGCATGCACCCTGTACTCAAAAGGCTTGGCAGTGCCATGGCCATCGCAAAATTCCAGTTGCAGCTTGATGCATATTGGTGGGAGAAGGCCCCCTTTGACAGGGCCAAGCCCATCCAAGATGGTGATGTTCTGGGCTGGTGGTGGCAATTCACAAACAATCCAGAAGCAGACATTCTTGCAGTGCACTGCAGCTCCTCACTTCCTTCTGCATACAACTAACCCTTCCTATTCATTTTTAGATGCTTGCTGAGAAAGTCTTCTCCATTCTCGTGAACTCAATGCTGGATGAGCGGACCAGTTCAAGATTCACTTGGTTCAATTCAGCACTGCGGGGACACCTGTGCGCACAGTTGCTCATGGATATGACTGTTATTGGACAATGGTATGGCACCCATGTGGTATGTACATCCCTCTCTTTCCCATGCTGTGGCTCATCTGTTCTATAGACCGAAGACAAAGTGCCAAAAAAGCGCCCGACCATCAAGTTCCGCAATCTTGAAGACAATCTCAAGGCTGCGTCTCTCGTTCATCACCCGAGGGCACTACTGACATGGCGGACACTGCCACCTTTACCTTGGATGGCTCTGATTCTGATGACAACCCAGACAACTCGGACCATGACACAGATGGCCGACAGAGAAGACCCCCGTGCCGGGCTTCTGCACTCAATATCATGCAGGAGTTTGCAATCTGTGAGGAGGCCTTCGTGGATCTGCTATCTGATACTCCAAGGTACACTGCCACAAGTCCCCCACCCCCCCCCTGAAGCCCCCCCTTCCATTCCCAGCTCCGATATTGACTGGAGCTGGTGACTTCTTGTTAATAACACCACTTTCTTTATTAACATTTAAATAAATCGATTTTTAACATGTTAATAACAATTTATATACAATTGTTATTAATCTGTTATTAACTTATGTTAGAAATTCCTCAGAGGGGCAAATGTTATTAACATTTGTTAATAACTGTCTGTGAATTACTCACGGAACCCTATCGCATTGCCCACAAGGTCTATAGTGGCTGACAATGCAGAGCCCAAGAGGACCTTAATAAAGTCACCAACCTGGGGGTCCTGGGGCATCTACAGCAATATAGACAATGCAAGGGAGGTGGAGGTGGAATGTGATGATGTAGGGGTCTCAGAGTGGGAGAATACAAGATGGAATGTGATATAATGGTGGGCTAGGGAGGTGACATCCATGGGCTGAACATGGGGATGGAGGTGGAGGTGGAGGTGGTAGGGATAGAGTGTGGGAAGGTTGAGGGTAATAGCAGGGGCAGGATGATCTGAGGATAAGTTAGATCCTAGGGTTAGCAAAGTGTTCATCTGGAAAATCACTCTCTTGTATTATGCTCTGATTAGTTCTATTGATGCATAATTAAGAATGATTAGGATTAGAGATTATTTGCTTACCCCCCCTAAAACTGTTCTAATTAGACATAATTTTCCTAAATTAGGAATTATTAGGATTGATTATAGCTTGAAATTTCGGAATAATAATAATAAATCAAGCATCATAGTTCTCATAGCCTTCTTATAGAGTCATGTTTATTTAAACACTAGTTGAATACCTAAACACAGAATATACCTTATAACAAACTTGCCTTTTGCCAAAGTTGAACCAACAACCTTGTGTATACAAGCACCTGGGACAGATGCTCTAAGCCACTAAGCCACAAGGTCTAATATATAAACTTGGTAATCTAAATAAGTAGACATAATATAGGCAACCTTAATATCTCAAATTTATTCAATATTTATCTTTCCTCTATCTAATAAATAAACAGGTCAATAAATACCCAAAAAGTCAGGTCTTTCAGGATTTAGTTTAAACACTAGCTAAGAAGATAAGAAACCATTGGAAAATAAATAACACACTTTATATAGGGTAAAAACAAATTATAGTACTTACACAATTTGGATTTAGAATATGTAAAACTATGATTAAGTATAATATTCAATGGGACTCTACTAGTATAGACAATGCTATCTTAATTTGCAAAAAGTGATCAAAAATATGATTATGAATAATTAGCCATAATTAGCTCAAATTAGTATTATTAATGATTATCAATAATTGAGATCCAATAAGAGAAAGGGGTTATCCAAATGGCCACTAGTAAGATGGAGGGTAGGGACAAGGGTATATATATGGCATGTTTATGTATAAATAAGCATAAGATTGTTAGAGATGATCTAAATATGCTTAGTGCACATATTTCCTACATGGCAAGCAAATATATTATTCTGGCACTACATACCAACATGACTGTCTTTTCCACAGCCCAATAGCTAGAGAAAAACACCAAGTTTGAGCATCTTCTGTATAACAAGGCAATAGATAATGTGGATAGCACTGAGAATTGTAATATCAATGGTAGTGATGATTATATGCTGCACAAGACAGTATTAACCACTACACTAATAGACAAGGTCTGCAAGGCTGCATATAGCATATCCCTAAGCCTAACCTGCATGTTGTGTCCTGTAATGACCAGTAGCAGGCATTGGCTGACAATGACAACTTCAATAATCTTGTGTGCAAGGCCAAGATACCTAGGTCTTCATAGCCTCTTGTGGCAGCTGCCAAGCTGCCAACAAAGTGGCTGGGGGCATCAATGCACATTTCTCTCTTTCTATGTCCCTTGTAAAAGCAGCTGGAAAGTCAGCAAAAGAGCTACAAGATAATGGTATAGGCATATATGAAGGAGAGTAATGTGCTGAAACAGTATAGAATATGCCACATCTTTACATTCTCACTGGTAGAGCAGTAGTACTTACTATTTCCTACTGCTAATTAAAGACTTCTTAATATAGAATTAGTACTAATATCATGAAATTAGAAACCAATCCAATGCTCACAATGTGTTGCTCCCAATTATGAAATTAGACGCTTTTAGATGCTATTAACACTTTTAGATGCTATTAACACTTTTAGATACTTTTAGACACTATTAGATATAATCCAGAGCTAATACAAGGAGGTGGTTTTCTAGATGCTAGGGGCTTAACAGCCTTATATATCTATACTAACCAAGATATCATACTAATAGTTGATGTTTATGGTTGTAGTTCTTACCAATTTGTGCTTAAGGTTTCTTAGCCACTTGTAAATACCATCAAGCTCCTCTAAAATATCTACTAACACTCATTTTCTATAGGAGGCATGTATATGTGATGCTAGAAGAGAGGTGTGACAGTTTGCTGTACCTATAAGCGGGAGTATGGCTGGTAGGAGTATACATAGAGGGGAGACTAAAGTAGGTTCATCTAGAGTAGAATACTAAGCTTGTGATTTATTAAGTGGTATAAGCTAGCACTGAAGGGCATATGATATTAGGGCTCCTACAAAGATAGTAGTAGTAATACTAGGAGACTTATCTAAAGAGAGAACCTAAAAGAACCGAGATTTTCCCATAGCCTATAACAAAGCAGCTAGAGAGGTAGAGACAATACTAGTAAACAGTAGTCTTGTGAGTTACTTATCTAATGATCTAATAGACTCCTTATATAATGCGATCTATTAGAAGTATACACAATGTCATCAGTAACAAGAAATGACTAAAAGAAAGAACAAACTGACTCCAAGATTGTTTTTGCAGCCTTCCAAGCCATTTTGCAAGAAAACCCTATCTTTCTGCTTGGAATGGTGAAGCTACCACAAGATAGAATGATTTTTCTTACAAAAGCAAGTTAATTGAGCAGTATCATGTTTGGAGTTTGATATAGAGGTATTGAAGATAGTGGAGGTGGAGGTTATGAGGGTGTAGGCATGGTAACTATATGAAAACTTAGTAGAGTATAGAGGGTTAGCAATTTATGACCTCTACCTAAAGTGTGAGGCCATAACTATATGGTATCTCCTTATAAAAACAGACTATGCACTTATAGATCAATTCCACAAAACACTATAGTAGGAAAGTATACTTGTTATACTAATAAATAAAGCTAAAAGTATCTTTTGTCTATAGACTACGACAACCTTCAGAAAAAGCATCTGGGTCAAGAAGTATTTATAACAAATCAAGAAATGAGCCTATGTACTCAAAAAAAAGAATTCCACAAAATAGTGTTTGTCTAGTACTATGAAAAAAAAATCTAAAAATATTAAATCAGTAATACTATATTATATAACACAAAAAAATACTTACCAAGTCATTTCTTCCCTAGTTTCTTCAATGATCTCTATATTGAGTATAGTGTCATAATTATCAATAAACTGTAGCTGATTAACTTCTGCTTCCACTAAATTTTCAACATCTCTAAGCTCTTGCTGAATAGAGGTATGGACTTTTGAAATTGAAATTCCTGACATTTCCTCAACTGTATTGTTTAAACTGACTGCAATCATAATTATTGTTGGATATATTCCCTAAAATTAACTAGTTAGAGCAGTTATAATAGTAGAAAGATCACTTACAGTAAAGAATAAGCTCATAACATCAAATTGATTGGTAAAGCTATCAATACTTATAAATTGTGAACCAATAAGAAAAATCTGTTTGAATAAGTTAACCTGGTAAAAAAATATTTATAAAATCATTACCCATAGACCACAGTAAACAATGCCAGATTCTACTAGCAAAGCTAGCATTATTTCAATTTGAGTTTTTTTGTTCTTTATCAAATAAGCCTTGATAGATTGGCGATATTCCCTTTAGATAAAATAAATTAGTTATACAAGTAAAGCTTTTGTTTTGGAAAATATACAAACCATGCTTTATATGCAATCAAGATTGTGGCCACCAAGTTTAGTATTAATTCTAGCCCCCATTGTGCTATTTGAATCCATACTCCAGAAAAAAATTCCCAGCTTTGTAATCTCTCATCTCCAATACTACTAGTTATAGAATTCAAAATTAATATCACTAACAATAAATCAATACTGTAAATATAAATAAGAGTTAAAGAAAAAATTACCTGTAGTTATTATAAAAGTCCCTTTAAGAAAAACCATGATATAATGGGTTTTCCATAGTGTTTGGGCTCTCCATACTATGATAATGTTTCCTAAAAGTGCCTAAAACTTATTTAAGTCCTTTATTCATATCATAATATTAAAAATAACAAACAACAACTTCTTGGATAATTACTTGTATAACACTGAGGATACTAGTTTCTTGATTAATCTTGGGAAACTTGTTTTCTAATAGCTGATTATCTGTCAAAAGAAGCACATCTTGGATGCTTTGAATAACTATAATCATAGAAAGCAACCATATGATTGCTGCTCCTGTAAACATTAGCAAAGTGGCAGCAAACATATATGATTTGGCCCTTGATATAATTGTTCCTTGGCTATATGACTTTAGAACATTTCAAATTGAAATAGATATAAAAAACTTGCTGAAAAACATATATCAAACATAGAACCAAAACGGCATAAATTCCTAAATATTTGAATTTTAGATTAGTTTTCTACCAAGATAAAGACAATTATAACAAACCAAAGAAAAGGGATATAATGACTAGCTGCAAGATATCTCTCAGAAGGACAGTGCCAACATCCTGAATAATTTCAGGGCTTTCAGATATATTCATGGTATAGACCACTGGTAAGAGTAGATGCTGAGATTTTGGATATGAATAGAAGGAGTGTGAAGTAGTCTATACCATGAATCATGGTGATTTATATATCACCAAACTCTGGAGGACAAAGATACTGATTAAATAATTATCTAGCATGACTCATGAACTCATCATATTGATACTTGTCAGTTGCATAGATACTGAAGATCACACTCTCATGCATCAGAAGAATCATCCTGATCTACCTGCCCATATGTGTTTCATGAATACTCAATTCTACACCCAAGGCAACAAGGAGATCCAAGATGCATGTTGTCAGGCTCAAACAGGTGTGTGAGGCATTGGGGACTCTGCTGAGCTGGCAGCTCACGATGATCACTCTCATAGCCCGGGAGTAGAGCAGAAGATATCATGCAACTGAGATGTTTGGCATCACAGAGAGAAAGAGGGCAGATCTTTATGTCCAGGTTTCTGAAATCAGGGCCCTGCTATCGACCTCACCACCAATTGTGCCACAGCTCGGTCTGTACAGATCAATCCATGCAGCGGCGACACCTCGCACATAGTAAGCTGAGACATACTATCGACAGGCCCCACATGCTCTCACTTGCTACCTCACGCCGATGCTTGTGTTCCGAGCTAAAAGCGCACTTCTGTGCTTCGAAGATGGATACACGATGCATCACACACCAAGCATCTCGTTTGCTTTTCCTATCCATGTCTGACTGATAAGCAGTTGAGATTTTAGCTTCGCGTCAGGGCTTGATCGCGGTACGATACTGCTTCATTTCTACTCTAGAGAAGTGCAATGCCAATAAGTTACTTTGTACTTACAAATTGGCAGAGTCGTGACAACCGACTGTGAGAGACATTCAGAAATGCACCTCGGGGGCATGAATCGGACACACTTGGTGTCTCTTATGTTCAGAGGCAGAAGCTCAGAAGCATTCAGAGGCACTGACATGGGCATGAAGATGGTGTAATGATAGGCCATCAGAGGTATTGATTCCCAAGAGAAGGGCACTGCGCCTGCGACACTCAATGGACAACCTGATGAAAGTAGCGAGCCACAGTGCTCAACAATCTGATTCCTCAATCAGTATCCGCTTGTGATGCACCGGAACTCACATCCCCCCCCCCCCCCCAAAAAAAAAAAACATGGACATCCAACTCACGTATAGAGGCCATTTTGCACAGTGTTGGATGTGGAGGAGATGGACGAGACCTGGGAACTAGGGAAGGATCAGGTGAGATGCGCGCACCGCAGTATGTGTGCGCCTTTCACTATGAGGACAATCAAAATGCATGCGTGCATGACACCCAGAGGCTTGCTTGTTCCACACACGAAGGCTGCAAGGAAGCGAGGATGGTAACGGCGACCACGGGTCAATCACTGCACGCCGACACTCATTAACGCACCACGTAACTACTCGGTCCTCAGACAGACGGACGATCGTTGAATGAACGCACTCCTTCATTACACGAATGCGCTTCTAGCATTCAACCTGTCTCTGAGGCACATCATAGATGCTTGTCGAGACATAGAGGTCACACGGACACCAAGCGGCCATCTACCACATGTGTGTAAGCTCCGTCTGGATGTACCTCGATAGCAGAGGTGCAATGCTCACCGTCATTTGATCAAGATCGCCAGTCTCCCGTGAGACCCCTGCAACAGGCCCCGATATGCCATATGGGCCTGCATTCGATATGGATCCATCGCATGAATTAACGGTGTAGTACTGTCATGTATGAAGTCAATCGCAATGGGAGGGCGGAGGGGTGGATGTCGGAGGGAGGGGGGGGGAGGCTTTGAGAGTGGAAGAGCCATGACAAGGCCGTGGGTATCAGAGGGCGAGCAGCACCGCACATTGCCCCCAAATATCCCCAAGGGATATTCGGGGTATATTAGCAATATACCTGGAATATACCTGGAATATACTCGTCAGGGAATATCCCTCAAATATCCCCCAGTCAATCCCAACTGGGAGATGACTCATCCATTTCGACGGTCACCTGATGAGTGCGCGTCGTCGGACAGCGTCGAGATTTCTCTTAAGTGCTCCCTTCGTCTTACTCTCTAGGAGCCTCCAGTGTGCACATATTTTGGTGAGTCTTTCTCCCACTGAAACATGTTTCCATATGCTCTATAGTTCCGGTTTTCTCATATAATCAGATCTAATGCCTGAAAATGCGGGATCAGAGCGCATATATGCGTCCATTTAGGGCGGGCCGGGGTGGGACTGAAGGAGATTGCAAGCACAGCCTACGACGTGTGTGCGGCAAGAATTGTCAGAACGGTGGGTATTGCGGGTGTGAGCGTGAACGTTGGATGGATGAGATCAAGGGTAAGCACAGGCTGAGCTTGGTGGCGTTGGCGTGGGTGCTAGCATCTGTGTTTCTCATGCGCATGGTGGCTCGGATTAGCCTCAGAGTCTGTGGTGCGCGCGCAAGTGCCAATGTCGTCGGGGCAGCAGCAGCAGCAGCAACATCAGTGAGGCCAGTGTTCATCTGGGCTCTCCGTGTCACAGTGCTAACCCCCCGCACGGCAGTACTGACCCCCGCACTACACCGCATTCTTTCCATTCCCCTCGCTCCCTGCACTCGCCAACCTTATCAAGCTGCAACCCTTCCTGGTGACCTTGTCTCTTCCCGCACTGATCTTCTCAGCCTTGACACGCATGCTCACCCCGCTTCTCCGCAGGATGCGCCTCTACGTTGCCGGCACCGATGCACTCGCCAGCGGCTGCGTTTGTGCGCGTGGCGTGCTACCAGATGTGCTCGTGTTCGACAGCGCGGTGCCGCAGCCCGACGCACCCCCCAAAATGTACTCCTCGAATTCGAGGCCACGCGCGGACGCACCGCTCCCGCCACCGCAATAGATTCTTGCGTCAAGGTGCTGGTCGTCCCATCCCTGATGCGCGCCGTGGCTGCTTGCGTATGCGGGGGAACATCTAGCCGGGATTCGCACCTCTCGCCTCTTCAAGTATATTTTGTAGATCTTTCAAGCCTTAGAATTGTCGTGTAGCCTTCAATAGCATGTATTAGTTTTATGATTTGTTAATATATTTATTTCTCTATCTATGGAGCGCATATAAAGTGATTGGAATGATATCGAGCTCGAATAAACCCACAATATACTGTGAATATACTCGGTACCCAGGTATATTCACGGTATATTCAAGACATTACCTTGAATCGACCGTGAATATCCCCGGAGGGGAGGTGGGTATATTCGCGGTTGATTCCGGGTATATTGCTAATATACCACAGATATCCCCTGGGGATTATTAGGGACGATGTGCGGTGCAGTATCGATAACGATACAACGACACACAAGTATTGTATTTTAGGAAAGAGGGTAGAAGTAACAATGGCACATACGGTGTCCAATATCTCTCTCTCAGCCTTTCTGAGCTCCGGCTCAGGTTTCCTTCTCCTTTATATGGTTTCCATTCCGAGGCATCAGCGATATGCATGTAATTTTGACATGGGGATCGACGGGGACATAGGAGGCACGAAGTGGACTGGGGAGTGGAGTATCTATAGGTCGAAGGCTACGCCCCGCACAACTGTAGAGGATGATGATGGCGGCGGTGGTGCACGAGATTGTCCACGTCGCTGGGCGTGGTTGGATGCTGGTAAGTTGCTGGTAAGTTAGCGAGTATATCAGTCATACTCAGATGAACGGGACGGTGTCTCACATGGCGTCCAGTTCAGCAGAGGCGGCTTGGTACGAGCCCCGCATCGCGGCTGCTGACGCGGGGTGGGACTGTAGCACATGCGGCATGCAGAAGCGCAAGCTCGCTCACATGCCAGAAGTGTGCCAGACGAGGCGGACTGACGGCGGGAGGACTTGCACGTCCACGCACTATTGAGTGTGGAAGCTGCAACAGAGGAACATCGCACACTCTCACGACGGAGCCCACTCTGCCTCCACCTGCACCTCTGCCCTCGTCTCCTCCACAAACGCCTGCGACGCCCGCTCCACACCCCCTGACACGATCGCTTCGTGTGCCATGAGCACACCCGCCCTGTAGTCCGGTGTGGCACCGACGACGACCATAAGTGCGGCCGCATTCGTCAGCACGAAGTCCAGCACGCGCGCAGGCGCGCCGGCACCACCTCCTCGTCGTCAGCATCGCGGGCAGTGTGTCCGCGTTATCGGCTGGCATGCCGCCCGCGACGCTGGGTCCTTCCCCAGCTAATTTTACAACGCTGATGAGTTCAATGCGCTGCAGGCGCTGGACAGGGCTGTACGCGTGCACGGGCTATTGTACGACCTCGTCTCCAGGCTGCGGGACCTTCACGTATTAGTCACAGTCGGCGAGGCTGGGGCGACAGTGTGAGGGGGGCGGGAATCAGGCAAAGGCGGGCGATGGAATGGTATGTATTCTGTTTTGTTCATTGCAGCGTTCACGCATACATCCAGAATGCTAATATGTTTCTGTCTTGTCGAGGGAGGGCGCAGTCTCACACGCACTTTTCATGACACCCATGCCGTGCGTCGGGTGGGCAACTCTCCATCCGCCACTCGCCCTCCATGGCCGGCCCCAGTGCACCCACGCACCCCGACATCAACAACATCGCCACCAAGGCCGACTCCTACTGGGACGATAAGTACGACGACGACGGCGAAGGCGATGACGACAATCCCCGGTCCTTCTGCGAGGCCGCGGCATCGCGACATTACAAAGTGCGTCCGAGACCCCACCCTCCCCCGCGTCCGCTTGTGTTTACTCGCACGCCGCCGACACGTCCTGCTCTCGTCATTCGTGCACGCAGCTGCTCTGGATGGGCTCCACCGACTCGCCCCTCCCCAAGTCAGCTGTCCCCAACTCCGCGACGGACACTCGCTTGTCGCAGCCCATAGATGGTAGAATCCTTGCAGTTTTGTTTATTGATGTACTTATTTATGGGAATTATCTTTTGTCTTGTTGACCGTGACACTCCATACCGGCTTGCACTATCAAAATATACAAGGGAGGGTGCGTGCCCTTGCCCGCACTTTGAATTTTTCACGACACCTGTCCCATGCATCGTGTCTGGCGTCCGTACTGCCGGTCTATGATAGCTGCAGAGGAAGCGTTGATTCATGACTCATGCACATACGCGCCGGTGTCGCGTTCACGTCCGAGCTGCGTGCAGCGTGCGCCATGCTCAGCTATACCGTGCTCGGGTATGCTCTGCCTCACTACGCCGTTTACACCACGCCCGCCCGTGAGTGTCCGCCTATCCAACCATTTATCTATCCAGCAAGCCAGCGAGCCACCATCACGCGCCCATCGACAGACACGCGTCGAGCGCGTCGCGCGCGGCGTTCACGTCCGAGCACCACGCGCCATGCTTAGCTATATTCACACCCAAACACCGCGTTCAACACTCACATCCGACGCGGTACGCTCGAGCGGGCTGGGGACGCCCCGGTGGGATCAGTTTGTTCTGCCTCGTCATGCCGTTCACAAAACGCCTGCCGCCGAATCGCGTGAACGCCTAGCCAGCCACGGTCACGCGCCCATCGACAGACACGCGTCGGGCGCGGCGGAGACAGGGTAGTGCACAACACGGCACGGCACGGCACAGCACGGTCGCACTCGCACGCACGCACGCACGAACACATGCTCAGGCGCAAGTCCAGTCTAGCCGAACAGCGATGCATTATGCATTCAACGACGAAAAAAAGGGAAAAAAAAGCTCGAAATAGAGAGAAAGAGAGAAAGAGGGACAACAAGCGAAACGGAACGTGCGCGAGAAAAGTGGATCCCGGCTCGACTCGACTCTGCGCGGGTGCAGGTGCGCGGGGATGGCGGGGCGGAGGCCACAAGAAGGCCACGGGGCGGCTGCGCGGCTAGTTCTTGAGCAGCTCCTCGACGACTCTATCCTCCGTAATCTTGGCGACGTTCGCGCCGCGGTAATTCAGCCGCCGGAGCACGTCAATCTGCGCGCAGACACGGGCGTCAGCCGCTGGCCCCATTCCCGCGGGCGCACTACATGCGCGCGCGCGCGCGACGCAGATAGAACGGGCGAAAAAATAAAGAGGGGGCATGGCACGCACCACCTTGTTGCGCTCGAAGCCGAGCGTCGTGAACTGGTCGACGTGCGCGCGCTCAAGGCCGGCGATGGCGATCTCGTCGCGGGCCCCCGCGGCCGTGGCGGCGGCCTCCGCCGCCGCCTTGTTCCCGCCCGCATACACCATCGTCCAATAGCGCGCAGTATCGTCAAAGCTGCCGCGGCTGGTCATGTAGTGCTTCGCGACCTCCGCGTCCTGGGGGTCGTTCGGCTCTGGGGAGCAGAGGAGGGACTGGAGGGAGATGAGGGTGGATTTGAGGGTGAGCACGGGGGACCAGGCGTCTTTGAGGATGTCGAGGCAGATGGCGCCCGAGGCGGAGGAGACGTTCGGGTGGTAGACTTTTGTGAGGAACTTCATTTTGACGGGCTGGAAGGGGTAGGCGTCGGGGATGACGATATCCTGCAGGGCGGGGGGAGGTGGTATCGCGGTGGCATTGCGGTGGGGGAGACAGGGTGAGCGAAGGTTAATGTGGAAGGAGGTAGGAGGGGGGACGGGACGTACGACTTGGAAGGTGCCCTTTTCGTAGGGGGTGCCGTCTGGGCCGGGGAAGGAGCCGATGAGGTGGAAGGGCGAGCTGTCGACGAGGTCGATGGATACATTTGAGGACTTGTCGTTCTTGCAGTCTGCGCAGGCGGGTGGGGATCAGATGCGGATGCGGATGCGATGGGATGGATCGCCGGGGCCGCGTGGGCGCGTGCGTGCGTACCTGCGATCTCCTTGTTCACGCGGCGCAGGCGGGCGTCCATGGCGATGGGACTCGAGGATGGTGCGTGTGTGTGCGAGGAAGGCTCGGAGCTGGGGACGAGGAGCGGGAGGACGAGAACGAGGATCCCGCAGGCAAGCACGCGCCCGACTAATCCAGGATCATCACGTGACAGACACAGATGGCCATCGCCTGCCCAGCCCTCTCGTCGTCGTCGTCGTCGTCGTCGTCGCTGCCGCGGACGTAGAGTGAATGAGGATCACGCGCAGAAAAACATCAGGCGACGAGCGCGGTGGTGGTACGATGCGTGCAGTCTCGACGCTGGGGCTCGGCGCCGTCGAGATCTGATGCGGCTGCACCGTGGGACCGCACAGAGGCTCATAAGCCTGAGCCCGCGCTGTGCTCCTCGCACCAGCACCAGCACGCGCACGGCCATGTCGACGTCCCCTCCGCCGATGCGCGACCGCGTCGCCGCCTACATCACCACCCTCCAAGACAAGATCGTCTCCGCCCTCGAGCACCTCGACCCCGCCGCCCCGCCCTTCCTCCGCGACGCCTGGCAGCGCCCCGAGGGCGGCCACGGCATCTCTTGCGTCTTCCAGGTCCCCTACCCCACCGACCCCGCCGCACCCCCTCCCACCACGCTCCTCGAAAAGGCCGGCGTGAATGTGTCCGTGATCCATGGCTCTCTGCCGCCCGCCGCGATCAAGCAGATGCGCGCGGACCATGCGTCGGTGCCGTACGACCCCGACTCGACCGCCTCCCTCCCCTTCTTCGCAGCCGGCATCTCCCTCATCATCCACCCCCGCAGCGCCCACGCCCCCACCGTGCACGCCAACTACCGATACTTTGAGATCACAGACAAGCCCACCACCGCCAACACCAGTACCGACGCCGACGCCGACGCCCCGCCGAAGGTGCTCGCCTGGTGGTTCGGCGGCGGGTCGGACCTGACGCCGTCGTACCTGTACGACGCGGACGCGGCGCACTTCCACGCGACACTCAAGCAAGCGTGCGACGCGCACGGCGCCGCGCTCTACCCCGCCTTCAAGCGCTGGTGCGACGAGTACTTCTACCTCCCGCACCGCGGCGAGACGCGCGGCGTCGGCGGGCTCTTCTTCGACGACCTCACCGACGCGCCGCACAAGCGCCTCCCAGACCCTACCGATCCCGCGCCCCCCGCCAAGCCCGACACGAGGGCGCAGCGCCCGTTCTCGCAAGAGGCGATCTTCGCGTTCGTGCGCAGCGCCGGCGACGCGCTGATCCCGTCGTACCTCCCGCTGCTCGAGCGCCGCGCCCGCGCACCGACGTCCGCGGCCGAGCGCCGCTGGCAGCTGCTGCGCCGCGGGCGGTACGTCGAGTTCAACCTCGTGTACGACCGCGGGACCAAGTTCGGGCTGATGACGCCCGGCGCGCGCATCGAGAGCATCCTCGTGAGCCTCCCCGAGGTCGCGCGATGGGAGTACCGCACGGAGGTGGGCGAGCTCGAGGGGAGCGAGGAGGCGCGCCTGATGGGGGTGCTGAAGAAGCCGAAGGAGTGGGCGTACGCGAGGGCGGATGCGTATGTGTTATAAAATGGGCGCCTGCTTCGTTGTGATCTGCTGTACGATACGATGAACAAATCAAAATCTTATCTTATCTTATCGCGCGCGATGGGAAAACTGATCGCATCTCCAACCGGCCTTGAAATATCTCGACTGGCTCGCACTCTCAGTCTCTCACCATCCATTCATCCGCCATGGCAGACCCCTCCCCATCCCCGGCCACCTTCAAGCCCCTCCTCGCAAAGCTCGTCCACACCCCGGACGCCTTCACCCCCGCCGACCTCCACCGCGCCCTCGAGCACCTCTTCACCCCAGATGCCGCTCTCCCAGAGCAGACCGGCGCCTTCCTCGCCGCGCTGCACATCGCCCGCGTCGAACACCGCCCCGACATGCTCGCCGCTGCAGCCGCATCCCTCCGCGCGCGAGCCCGCGCGGTGCGCATCGACGCACCCGATGGCGCCGTGCTCGTCGATATCGTCGGCACGGGCGGAGACGGGCACAATACGTTCAACGTTAGCACTACGGCGGCCATCGTCGCCGCGGGCACCGGCGCCGTGAACGTCGTCAAGGTGAGCACACCGCCCCACATTGCATCGCGTCGCATCCCCATCTGCATCTGTAACTGATCGCGCGCGCGCGGCAGCACGGCAGCAGAGCCTCCACCTCCTCCTCAGGCTCCGCCGACCTCCTCCAATCCCTCGGCTGCATCTTCACTCCCCCACCCACTCCCCCTTCCCCAACCACCACGCCCGCCCCACCGCACGTTCTCCGCACGCTCCCCTTCCGCTTCCTCCTCGCCCCACACTACCATCCCGCCCTCGCCCTCCTCGCCCCCGCCCGGCGCGCCCTCTCCTTCCGCACGCTCTTCAACCTCCTCGGGCCCCTCCTCAACCCCGCCTCCCCGCCATACACCCTCATCGGCGTCGCCGACCCCGCCCTCGGCGCACCCTTCGCCGCCGCCCTCGCCGCCGCCGGCGCGCGCCGCGCGCTCATCGTGTGCGGCGCGGAGGGCCTCGACGAGATCAGCTGCGCGGGGCCGACGCGCACGTGGGAGATGACGCGCGACTCCGCGACGGGGGACGCGGTCGTCGTCGAGCGCACGCTCGAGCCCGGCGCGACGTTCGGCCTGCCGACGCACGCGCTCGCGAGCGTCGCGGGCGGCGCGCCGGCGGACAACGCGGACACGCTGCGCGCGCTGCTCGCGTTGCGGCGCGGCGCGGCAGGCGATGGCGGTGACGGTGAGGGGGAGGTGGTGGTGCCCGCGCGCCTGGCGCCCGTGCTGGACTTTGTGCTGATGAACGCGGCCGCGCTGCTGGTCGTTGCGGGCGCCGCGCCGGACTATAAGGCCGGCGTGCGCATGGCACGGGAGGCGATCGTGTCGGGGGGCGCGGAGCGGGCGTTGGCGGCGTTTGTGGAGGAGACGAGGGCAGAGGCGCAGGTGGCGGCGGCGGCGGAGGGGGCTTCGTCGTGAGAGGGCGTATGTGCGTGGGTTGAGGCCTTGAGGTGTGCGATATCTGGGTGATGCGGTGTAGGCTCTCGGATTAGATTAAATTAAATTATGCTGTGAGGCTCCTCCTTATGCAGTGCGCGGATGTGCGAGTGCTCCCGCCGTCCCATGCATGCTCGTCTGGCACATGCGCGAGCTGCTGTGGTAGAGCCCTGCTGCGAGTGAGTTAGTACTCACAACTACTCATAGTCAGCTGCGATGGGCTCGTGACAAGCTGCCTCGATGCTGGACGCTATGAGAGACATGGTCCAGTGCGACTGACGGCATACTGACATCAGCTGACTTCAATAAACAAGTGTCCCATGATTATGAAGACTATTTCTATTGTGAAGTGGCAGAGAGTACGACGAAAATACCAGAGGGGTCCGCTGCAGAGGAGAAAGCCAAAGAAGATGAGGAAACAGATATGTTTGAAACATCATGAGTATCAACCTCGTGCCCCTTATGATTGCTTTATCTCGAGTCCATTTACTTTATAAAGTGTCGCAAAGACTGTTGAAGTATAGACATATGCAAAACGAGTATCAAATTCTCATCGAAAAGGAGGGGTTATTCTAATATTTCTACAGCTGGGGTATGCACTAACTGGCTGACGTCAGAGACATCTTGTTTTCCCTAACAAATGAGATACGTCTTTGAAAATTTCGACAAGCTCAGCAGTATGGCGTTGGATTCTGAGAAAGGTGTTGATCAAGTGAACGCGATGCAGTGGGTCGACGTCGTCGGTGGTCCAGGGATTATGTGCCTCGTAGCAACAGAATCCCCACTCCACCCGCCCGGAGGATGTGACTTCATAGCGCGGGAAGAAAGTGTAGATGATGCATTCGGTTTGGGAGTAATTCATGCCGAAGAAAAAATATTTCTCCGGAACATGAGGTCTCGAACATGCAGGATCTTTCTTGCCAATGATTGGCTGGTACGGCATGTTAGTTGATTGCTTCCTTGAACAGCGTGGGCGATTACTTACATTCCAGTCGGAGCGCCATTGATAATCATCGATTCGATATTTCTTCGTCAAGTGCATGACAAGCAATTGTAACGAAGGCTGAAAAACCTTGGCTAGCTTCACGAGGCCCGGCCTTCTGTCTGGCATGAGCTCCGGTGGTCCCGGACGAACGTATGAGATCTCTGATAGTTCGAATGCGTGGAGGGTATCGACATGATGGGCGGCAAATAGGATCGGCACATATCCATCAGGGAGATCATTGAGAAGAGCGTTCATTGATGGTTTACAGACAAAGTCAAGGCAGACAGAAGAGCCATAATCGGCGGAATAAGATGGAAAGACGACGGGAGTTGACCTGAAGATGACATCGTAAGGTTGTGTTCATAAAATGCACACGCAACAGACCTGGATACTCTGCAACCTCGAATCTGATGGCAGATAGCAGGTAATAGGGCATCATAGAATATCTTTGGACCGAGCGCGCTGTATCCAGTCACGCCACCATCTCCCTTGCACAAAATCTTGAAGATGGTCCACTCAACACTGTACAAAGTCATGTGAGGATCCCACAACTCGTGCAGAGTTAGATTTGGTTTTGGATAAGGTATAGTCGCAAAATGAGACCTCGGCCTATACAATATCACAGGGATGCTGGGCCATGCACTGTGCAAATTGTCTATATAGTGGCGCAGCGATGTCTGTAACAGCGCAGTAGTGGTGTTCATAGACTCGTTTGAGATAGCATCCTGCAGGAGCAATCACATGATTATCTCCAACCTGGGAGGTTTTATATGTACTTGCCTTCCAATCCTCCGGAACCTCGAGAGGTTGTATCTCGTGCATGCTGTGTGATTGTATCACCTTAACCACGCTGTTAATGCTTTGGCCAGCTCTTCCGTCATATCCAACCTCGCATTGTCGTTCAAAGAGCCAGCGGTGAGGTCCATCCGAAAGGGGTCTGTGGTGTCTATGTGAATCCTTTCTGTGAAAAGACGAAGATGGAAAATCGCTACGTACTGGAGTGTTGGTGGTACTTTATCGAATGCACGGACGCTATTAGGCTTAATGGGGCTCATTCCATAAAGATCAAGCCACTCCTCGATATTCCGACAAAGTACGCGGTATGTGTCACTTGGATTTGAGTGGATCGGGACAGGCATCACAGCTGATGGGAGGGATGTAATAGTCGGGCCACTGCAGGATAGCGCTGGATCCCACTGGATCTGTAAGACTACAATTACATGATCGCATATGATGCTCGCGCCAGAACTGGCAATAGAATTCTCTCCCTCTTCTTCTTGACAAACGTCCATGGCGACTGCTTGCACAGAAACTCATGAATCATATCATGTCAGCTTAGAAGAGCTATGTGCTCGAGCCGGGGTGGCTCAGTTCGGTGATATCGAATCGTACCTCTTTTTCCTTGTGGCCCCTTCCATTTAAACTGATGATGAACGTGTCCTTTTTTCTAAATAGGGCATGGGATTATGTTGAAGGAAGGGACCTATTGGATTTGGATGTTGCGGCTTCATGCTCGGCTCAACTGGATTTCATTGCAAAGTTCAAATTGCATTGGGCATCTGCCTTGCCTCATTCACTGGGCATACCGGAGGAATGGAAGGTGTGTCGCATCGTCGAAAGATTATTATCATTTTTTGGATAAAGTGACATCATTCCAAGCAAATCGGAAGGCCAACTGCGTGGAATCTGCAAACATGGATGCACTCAGCCGCTCTGATGTCTTGGTTGCAGCCCATCGATGAACACACGACCACCCTCTCAGAGGCACAACTTGCCACCAATCATGATGACCTTTCTTCATTCGCTCCAGATTTCTCACTTCGCGCACCCCAATCCTCTGTTCCTCGATCTGAAGACGACCAACCATTCTCAAAAAATTCTTTGTACACTCTACCATTCTTCTTCGAAATCGTTACATATCCAGGAGACGAGGATAATGCTACATTTTCAATCCCAAGTTTTTTTTTGTCGACTCCAGGCTGTGTGCTGGTTCCGTGAGTTTTTTCTCGTGTGAAATTTTATTTCAACTAATTATGTGCAGTAAGCTTCAATTGGACTTCCCGCCGCCACTCCAGGGAGCCAGTGAATGCCCATCGGAGACATTCGGGCTTCTGATGGATTCTTACAATCCGTTTCCCTCTTCCATAGATCTCATGAAGGCAACCCTTCTTGAGCCTGCACTTCTCGTAGGAATGAAGGGGCCTTCTCCGTGGCCTTCGCACATATCTTCTCATCCGGTGTCTTCCACAATCCCTCCAACGTCGATGGATTTGAAAGTTCGTGATCTCTCTCAAGTTATTCAACCGAGCTTGGACACGCATTTATTAAATTGGTGTCTCCGTTGCGAGCAAAATGTTCAGGCCAAAGTTCCTCTCCCGTTTGTTTCTTCTTCCTCCCTACCCCCATGCTTCATGATATTTGGAATACTGTACGATGCCGACGGTCTGGTCATCGTTGCTCACATTCCATATCCAGCTGCATCTCCAGCTATGGCAACTACGTCCGATTGCACCCTGTCCTATGCGTATCTGTCGTGTATAGTCGATCGCATACCTATGACCGGCGCGGATCGACCTAGCTCACTGGATGCAAGCACAGAATCTCTGATCCTTGCCAATTTCAGGGCTGCTTTGGCTCTCTCCTCCCTACAAAGACATGCCTTCATGATGCTTACGCTATGGGAAAGGGTTGAATGGCCCACCGCTATTGTCGATGTTTTTGCTGCCCTCAGTGGGAGCGGAAAAAGCGAAGACGGGAGTGGAAGCCAGTATTATGATTACAGTGAAGATAACGACAGCTGCACTGACGACAGGATCGACGAGGAAGAAGAAGACGATAGATCACGCAAAAGCGCGGATATCGACCACGACCACGACCATGACCACGACTATGATGATGATGGCGATGGCGATCCGATTGAGAACAAGAGCAAGAGTAACAAAGGCGGGGCCCGCGACGACTATGTTGGCGACGAAGATGGAAGCAGAGAAAACGAAGACGGGGGTGGAATCCAGGACTATGGTTACAGTGAAGATCATGGTAATATCACTGATGGCAGGAATGAGGAGGAAGAAGACGGCAGATCACACAAAAGTGTGGATATCGACCATGACCATGATGTGACTATTGGTCTTTACCATGAATATATCTGAAACCCCTGAAATCATTCAGCATATTGGCACTATCTTTCTGAACAATGTCATGCAGCTAGTTATCACAAATTTTACCTTTGGTTTGTTATCATTGTCTTTATCTTAGCACAGAACTAATCTAAAATTCAAAATATCTAGGGATTTATTCTATTTTGGTTCCATATCTAATATACCTTTTTTAGCAAGTTTTTTATATTTCTTTAAATTGAACTATTCTAAACTCATATAGCCAAGGAATAATTATATCAAGGGCCAAATCTTATATGTTTGCTGCCACTTTACTAATGTTCATAGGAGCAGCAATCATATGGTTGCTTGATATAATCAGAGTTATTCAAAGTGTCCAAGATGTGCTTATTTTAACAGATAATCAGCCATTGGAAAACAAGTTTTCCAAAAGTGATCAAGAAGCTGACATCTTCAATGCTATACACTCTATTTGCTAAGCAGTCATTGTTTGTTGTTTTTAATACTCTAATATAAAGAGATAACTTACATATATTTTAGGCATTCTTAGAAAACATTATTATAGTATGGAAAGCTCAAACACTATTGAAAAATCATTATATTATGGTTTTTCTCAATGGGGTTTTTATTGTAACCATAGGTAAAAATATTTTGACTTTGATTTTTATTTTTAGTATTAATTCATTATCATTAGTTATAATAATTTTAAATTGTGCAATCAGTATTATTAGAGATCAAAAGTTACAAAGCTGGAAATTTTTCTTTGGAGGATATTTTCAAACTACACAATGTGGACTAGAACTCATAACAAACTTAGTGGTCACAATCTTGATAGCATATAGAGCATGGTTTGTTTGTTTTTTCTAAAAAAAACTTTAGTAGTATAACTAATAAACTCTTCCTAAAAGGAATATTGTCAATCTGTCAAGGCTTATTTGGCAAAAAAATTAAAATTAAAATTAAAAAAATTGCTTTGTTATAGAATCTGGTATTTTGTATTGTGGTTTATAGGTAATACTTTGTTAAACATTTTTTTACTAGATTAACTTATTCTAACAGATTTTTCTTGTGAGTTTAGACTTTATAAATACTAGGTTTAATATATTTTCCAATATTGGCTTACTCTTAACTGTGGGTAATCTTTTTAATATTTTAACATCTCTGACCAGTTTATTTTAGGGAATATATCCAACAATTATTATGATTGAAGTCAGTTCAAACAATACAGTTGAGGAAATGTCAAGGATCTCAATTCCAACAGTCCATACTTTCATTCAGCAGGAGCTTAGAGATGCTCATAACTTAATAGAAGCAGAAGTTTATCAGTTATAGTCTATCCATGAGCATGGCAGTATACCCAATATAGAGATTGTTAAAGAAACTGGGAAAGAATTGACTTGGTAAGCAATTTTTTGTGCTCTTATAATATAGCAATACTAATCAGATACTTTTAGATATTCTTTCATAGTAATAAACAAACATATGGAATTCTTTCTTGATTCAACTACATAAATACTTCTTAATTTAGGTGCCTCTTCTAAAGGTTGTCACAGCTCATAGACAAAAGAATGCTTTTGGCTTTATTTATCAGTGTAACAAGTATATATATGCAGGCATTATACTTTGTCCTTTCTTACACAATGCTCATGCACTAGTGCATATAGAGCATTACCTCCCTAACAAAATGGATATCCAGGCAGATGTATGTGCCAAGTATAGTACTATCTACTAGCCAAGCATGGTTTGTAACAACACCTGCTTTAAGGTTAGGGTTAAGTACATCAGTGTATATATTGTAAATTAGGCAATAGCAACAGTGTACTATCGTTGCACCAGAGTTGCAAGCAGGATAAGAGGTTCAAAATCGAGCTCCTCGTAGCATTTTCTGACGGCACCTTTCGAAAAAATTCACAGTTATTTATTTAAGTACTCTTCAAGTATGCTAGTTTTTTTAAGAACAAAAACTGGGTGCAGCAGCGAGGAAGCAATGGATAATGGTTTTTAGGACAAAGTCCTCTCAAAGATGCTCAAGATCCCTCAGATCCTTGGGTTCAATTTCAAGAAAAATAAAATAAAGAAGATAATCAGGTACCACTGAGGACATATAGAGCATTCAATTTAACTTTAAAGACTTCAATGCTCTTCACCAAATTGTTTTTGACGGGCAATGTCCGGTGGCAGGCAGAGTGACAAGGAGCCTCGGGCCGCGTGATGCTTGGTCATCTTTTTGAAACGCCGCTTCGCAAGTCGCCCCGCAACCAGAGTTCAAATTTGCATGTGACGACGTGTGACCCGATCGTCAGAAAGATTTGCAACTCTCAAGTTTTGCTCGTTTTCGGACTCTCCTTCCCAAACATTTTATAACAATTTTGTCCATGGCCTCAAAAATCCGAAAAAACGACAGGACATATTTTAAGATGTTTCCGCATGTGTAATAAAAATTTTGAGCGAAAAAAAGTATAATCCACGATGCCATGAATTTTTTTTTTTTTTGCAACTCCGGTGCAATGATAGTACCTAGCCCAAGGTACCTCACACTGTCATTCGAATGTCTATATCCAGGCTATCTTTAGCTGTTGTCAGAACAGATGGGTATGGGCGCAGCCCATCACATGGCACCCCAGTTCTCAATAGCATATACTTTCTTTGCGTGTGAGAAGGCACATACCAAAAACCAAATAATTTCTCGACAGCATGTGTCAAAGAGGTGCAACAAGACTTGTGTGGAGGTCAGACTCACTGCGGCAGACCCGCTCTATATATACTGAGTGAAGGAACTTTGCCAAGGCACAGATGGCAGTATATACAGAGCCCTTCTTCTGGCAGAGTCTTGAAACCATCTGCCTGCCCGGATCTTATACGGGAATGCCTCCTCATGGGCCAATGAATTGCGGCAAAGAAGATACTGATACATGCGACAGCCGATCATAGAAAATGAAGAACATACACAGTTGCAGAATCACGTCACGAGCATATCCCCCCCGTCTGATGGCGGCGCATCGACGGAGAACGAGACGTCCGCAGATGCCATGCTCATGTCCCGGTCCGGTGTTTTAGCTTCGGCTTGCAAGGCGCGACGCGCCGCCGCCTTCGCGCGAAGCTGCTCGATCTCGGCCGCGAGCTTAGACTGTATGGGCCGTGGGGTCATTCGTTGCAGTTCGAGCTAGAGGGAAAAAAAGACGCAAGACTCACGGCATCGTCTTCAAGTTTGGTCTTGTCGAATATCGAGTACGGGGGCGGGGGTTTTTCTGTGTGCTTGTCGCCTGCGACGCATCAGACCGAGGTTGGCCGGATACTTAAAACGTGAGAAATGCGGACCGAATGCGGCGAACATGAACACCTCGTTCATCAGCTCGTGGTTTCTCTTGTAGCGCGTCATGGCGAGCGTGCGCGTCGAGATATGCTCGAGGTCGTCCGCGGGATCCTCCTCGTCCCGCGCGTGCGGGGGCGCCTGCCGCTGCGCCTTCCAAAACATCCGCCATGAACAACGCCTGCGTAATCAAACATAGAGACACACCTGTTGCATCTGGGTCACCTGGGTCGTGCTCAAGCTGCGCTCGCGCATGCTCCGGCGCTCGAGCGCCTCCATCTCCCTGTTCTGGTGCGCGAGCATCGCCTGCGGGTCGCCGCGCACGCCAAACGACATCGGCTGCTGCTGCGCCGGAGACGGCATGGGCGCGCCGCTCTGCCGCACGGCGGGGCCCTTGTCGCCGAACACGTTCACCGGGGGCTCGTTCAGCGTGCGTAGTGGGTAGGCGCGGGTCGGCTGGTTCACGAGATGGGGCGGAATGGCTGCGAGAGACAACATGTGATGTGTGTGTGCGTGTGTGCGCGAGGATTGATGGGTGGATGATGGAGTGGAGCGAGCGTGAGGGGCTCGTGTGGGCGTTTGGAGATGCGGGTGATGAACTTACCCAATGATTGTCCGCGCGAGTAGTGCACGAGGACGAGCTGCGGGTGACCGCCCTTGTGTAAGCGGTACCGGCGACGAACGCGGGACGCGGTCGTCTCGCCCGAGTTGGGGAGAAACCCGAAGCGCGCTTCGATGACTTCCAATTCCTGTTTTATTTATAACCAGCAAAAAAAGCAAAAAAAGCGCGCCGCGAAGCGATCGCCATGCATGAGCGCACGCCCATAGTTATTGGCACATGTCTGGGAAACTGGACGAGTTTGGAAGGTGGGAGATGGGAGGGAAGTAGATACGCACGCGGTTGTTGCCGAGGGGGATGTTATAGCGCTGTTCTTGGTCCAAGTACCGCAGGCCGTCTATTGGGAAAGGAAGCTGAGGCACCATGAAAAGGAGGATGAGTTGGCCATCTAACGAAGGCGAACGGCACTGGCTGGTCAACGAGCGCCCCAAGGGTGATGAGGATCAAAGCCTAAGGGTTTCGCCTACCTGTCGGCTTGTCTATAAATTGCCAGGTGAACGCGACCTGCATCGAGAGCTGGATAGCACGGAGCAGCATCTGAGCCGCGACTTCATGCGAGAACGTCGGATGCGGCGGGAAGTCGTCCGGGAAGCGCAGACAAACGCCCTCGTTTTGTGGTTGTCGGAGCGACATGGCGAAGAGTGGAAGCGAGACGCAGGGCGAGACGCGCTTGGTCGATTTGCGAGTTTCGCGTATTGCAGGGAAGGGAGAGAAGCAGGTGGCTGGGACCGCAGGCGTTTGTTAGGAACAGACGCTGTTGCCAAATAGCCCTCGGCACCCCGGCATTCTCGGCTACCCCCGAACCTTCCCCTCAATGAGCTGACTCCAACTCACTGCACTGCGTGTTGCCAGCCGTAAACAGATCGCGTGTATTCACCACCTCGTACTTGCTCAAGCCTATCGAACACTTATCTGCGCGGAGAGATGGCATCATCTGCAAGGTCCATCTCACACATCGTGTCCATGAGGAGGATACTGATAGAAATAGGAACCTGGCTAGCTGCATATTCTGCAAGATCATCAAAGGTACGTTGTACCCAAGCTGCATGAATAGCTCTTAAACATCGCCCGGCACGCGACAAGGCGAGATCCCGAGCTACAAACTCGTCGAGACCGACCTCTCGTTCTCCTTCCTCGACATTGGGCCCCTCTCCAAAGGCCATGCCCTGATCATCCCCAAATGTCCGTATCTCTCTCGTCGTCGATCGCAGTCCCGCAGATCAATTCCCCCTCGCTTTGAGTTCTCATCTCTCTCACTTCCAGATCACGCCGCAAAGCTGCATGAGATGCCTGACGAGTACCTCGCTGACGCGCTCCCCATCGCGAAGAAGATCGTCAACGCGCTCGGGGCCGAGAATTACAATATCCTCCAGGTGCGGCCTCTTTCTGGTCTATTCGTGATAACCCGAAGAACACACACGTCTATTGCCATTGCTTATCCACCGCGAACCCATCCCCCGGATTAGAACAACGGCCGCATCGCGCATCAGGTCCGTACCGCGCCTTCTCTGCCTGATTCGGAACTGCTCCCGAGCTTATATGCCTGCGGTGGTCTACAACACTCTAGGTCGTCGATCACGTCCATTTCCATGTCATTCCCAAGCCTTCCGAGAGCGACGCGGAGGGTCTGGTCATCGGCTGGCCCACAAGCTCGCCCCCGAAGGAGGAGGTCGCGAAGCTGCACGAGGAGCTCCTGTCAAAGTTGTGAGCGGGACCGTCGAGCGCTGGTGTACCAAACAGGAGAAGCGTGTACGAGTACATACGTGAGTGCAATCAGGCTTGTTTCTTTTGTGTGTCGTGGCGCCGATGATGCGTCGATGAGATAAGTATACCGCTTTGAGACGCCCTCGGTCTTTCCAACCCGGCATTGTACAGACTCCAGGCAGTCCGCGCACCTCATATCCATCCATGTTACTCCTTCATCACGCGCCCACGATCGGCCACGAGTACTCCACAAGTCAGGAGCGATGTCGACTTTGCATCCGGGGATCACGATCTTATCGCGCAAGCGTCGACGTTCCTGTGTGTTGCGGCAGTCGCGGCAGACCCTCGCAGGAAGCGTGTGCGTTCCGTGCCTGGTTCAATTTACGCGGTCTTTGACGGATGCCCGATCTCCTTCATCGCGGCGTGTGCATGTGGGGAGCAAATAAGCGGTGTGCATATGTGTCTGGTCAATGTCAGTATCTGTACGCGGTTTGACAGGTGCAGACGCATGGCCGGGCTCCATCATATGCGCGAAATGCAGTCAGACGCCCGGTTGTGCTCAGGTGTTGGATCCGCTGCGAGGTATATTGCTCCTGACGCGATATGGATGGCGTTCGCCGACGTGAGTGACAGGCGGCGCAAAGTCTCATGCTACTGTTTCGCAAGATCCAGAACAGTGTGAGACTGCACCTGCAGTTCACCTGCCTTGTCTGTACATCAGAAATGTCCTATGTCACGAATACAGTCATTGCAGGTCATGGCATCCTAGGGCGTCCTCCACACCCGGCTATCCCGAAACCTCGACTGAAACTACCGGTGTCCTCGGACACGCCGCTTCTCAGCGCTTCTCCCGCTCCGCGTAGCGGGGCATATCGGAACCAGGGAATTTTACCCGGATTGGTAGTATACACTTGGGAAACCGAGGAGGCAAACTGACGGACATGCAGAGCAGCCGCTACTACCAGATGAGAGCAGATGGTGCAATCGGTAACTCGTGCACCGCGTTCAGCTGCGTTCGCAACGTGTAGTTGGCACACGACCTGCAAATTGAGTAGCTCGGTCCCCATAACGAAAGGGAGGAGAAAAGAGGCTAGCTGGCGTATTTGCAAAGGGGGCGGAGAGAAGCGAGGAGAAGTGTGGAGGCGAGCAGATGCCGCTGCTCTGGACCCTGGAGCGGGCGGCGATGGGCTCGGGGGTCGTCGCACCTCGCGGAGACGCTGTCACGCGCACCGCCCGCGAGACAATGTGCCATTTTCCGTGTGCAAGACGTCGACCAGCCAGCATGGCACCCGTCGCCCGCGCTACCCTGAACACCATGTGCTTATCGCTCCACCGTCCGTCATCGCATCTCGCTTTTTCTTTTTCTTTTTCTTTTTTTTTTTGTGCATCCATCATCCATCAAGGGGCGGGTCGTCGGTCGGGATGGACCAAGGGCGCATCGAGGCAGGTTCAAATTAAGAACATCAGCGTGCAAGCATGGACTAACGATGTACCTCTTGGCAGGTTCCTGTAGGTTCCTGTGCTGTCCGTGCTCCAGCTGATCAGGAAAGAAAGAACCATGTGGTGCTTCTCATGCTAGAGATAAGGCGTAATTCCTTGCAAGAATAAAACCTCCTCGTGCCCGTAGCTTTCTGCCATCCTCCCTTCCCGAGGCTCCCGTCCGCGTTATGGCCACTGTCAACAGTCCTCCAGCCCTCGCCTCGACGCGCGCGTCGTCCTACGACGACGAGAAGCTTCCCTTTGACAAGGAGCGGGGTGACATCAAGTCCATCTCCTCCAAGGAGATCGCAGAGGTCGGCGACGTCTCTGCCGATGTGCGCGACATCGACATTGGCGAGAACGGAAAGGAGAGACCCATCGGTATGTATTTATTCCCGTCGCTGATCTCGTCCAAGTCGCTCACATCTTCTCGAACGACAGAAACCGACGTCGATGTCACGACCAGACTGATTTCGCTCGACGACGACCCCACGCTACCAGTCTACACCTTCCGTATGTGGTTCTTGGGCCTTGGCCTTGCCTGCTTCGGTTCCGTCCTCGGCCAGATTTTCGTGAGTAGCTTTGGCTTCGTCGGGTTTCTCTCCAGCTCACGGAACGAAACTAGTACTTCCGCCCGCAAACGGTGTTCGTCAGTCAGCTCTTCCTCCAGATCATCGCATACATCCTTGGCCGTGTGCTGGAAGAAATCATCCCCGGTCCCAATTCTCCCCTGATCAAGACTCCTGACAATGCATTCTGGCGCTTCATGAACCCAGGCACCTTCAGTATGCGTCTTCCCTCGCGTCTCCATAATGTCTAGCTTACACGCTTCGAACAGACTTGAAGGAGCACGTCGCCATCCTGATCATGTCCAGCACCGCTGCGGAGTCGGCTTTGGCTATCAGCGTGTTCGCCGCAGACGACCTGTACTACCACATCGAGCCCAACGTCGGTGTGGGTATCTTTACGCTTATCGGCTCTCAGCTCATCGGTTACGGCTTGGGTGGTATGTTTGATCTGTCCATATTCGCTTGACGAAAGCGACACGCTCATAGTCGTTTTCAACCATAGGTCTGATGCGATCTTTCCTGGTCTACCCAACGTACATTGTCTTCCCCAACTTGCTGCCCACCGTCCAGCTCTTCGACGCCCTCCACCGTGGCAAGGGAATTTTCACGCAGAAGAAGCGTGTCCGCTTCTTCTGGGCTATCTTCGTCGGCATCTTCGTCTGGGAATGGTTCCCCGAGTTTATCGCTCCGTACGTCCTATCTCTCTGACAGGTCCACGACATTTTCGCATGGTGATTGACCGGTATTCGCTGCTTTTTCTGCCCCTGATAGGACTCTCACGGGTATCAGCATCTTTTGCTTGGCTGACCGCCACAGCGCGTGGGTCACTCGCATCTTCGGTGCGCATTCTAACCGGTAATCTTTAAAGGCATTGGCATTGACCGTTTTGCGACTCGACAGGTGGTGCGGCTGGAAATGAAGGTCTTGGGATGTTCGCGCTCTCTTTGGACTGGAACTACGTCGGCTCTGGCGGTCAGTACCCTTCGCATATGAACAGGCCCTTGATTTTGCTCACGACCCTGTTCTGTGTTGCACGACAGGTGGTTCCATGGGCGCCCTCTTTACTCCTCTTTCGACCCAGTTGACGCTCTACTTCGGCACAATGGTCTGTATCATTGCCTTCTGTGCAGCCTACGCACGCAACGTGTGGCAGGGCCAGAACTTCCCTTGGCTCTCGCAATCCCTCTTTTACGAAAACGGCACGCTTTACGACCAGCTTTCTGTCTTGGACGACAACTTCAGGCTCGACGAGTCGAAACTCGCAGTGCAGGGTCTTCCCTGGTTCGCGAGCTCGCAGGTCTTGACCAAGATCGGCTCCAACCTGGCTATCGGAGCTACGATCACCCATGTTATTATTTGGTACGGAAAGGACATCATCCAGATGATCAAAAATGAGCGGAATGGCGAGCGAGTCGACCCTCATTATATCAAGATGCAAGTGTACAAGGAGGTGCCTGCGTGGTGGTACCGTGCGTCCTCATTTCGTTGCTCGTCATTAATCCGTACTCACCGTTTGGCGTCTTAGTGGCTGTGTTCCTCGCCTCGTTCGGCATGGCCATGGCCACCATCTACACCGGTCACTCTGACCTCCCGTGGTGGGGCCTCATCGTCGGCCTCATCATCTCCGCCATCTTCTTGCCCTTCGTCGTGACCGTCTACGCCATCACCGGTTTCTCCCCGGACATCCAGAGCTTGGTCCAGATGCTGGGCGCTGCGATGATTCCCGGCAGCCCCCAGGCCAACATGTACTTCACACTCTACGGCTACAACACGCTCAGCCAGGCCCGTGGTATCATCCGCGACCTGAAGATGGTCAGTCTTCCCTTGATATGCTGTAACCGAAGTTGTGCTGACACCGGGCGTTCTGACCAGGGTCAATATACCAAGCTTCCTCCACGTGTCACGTTCTGGGTGCAGTCCGTTGGTGCCGTCGTGGTAAGCATTCATCGACCACACCTCCTTTGACATCGGTATCCTTACCTAGTGTGTACAGGGTGGCCTGTTGAACTACATCATTATGAAAACCATCATCAGCGCGCGCCGCGACATCCTCCTTGATGTCCAAGGCAGCAACGTCTGGAGCGGTCAACAAGTGCAGTCGTTCAACGCGGATGCCATCTCATGGGGCGCTCTCGGTCAACAGGTTTGTGCTGCATCTTTTGTACCACGTGGACAGCCCGCTCACCTCTCCCTCACAGCTTTACTCCCCCAGCGGGCGATACGCCATCGTGCCGTTCTCCATCCTGATCGGCCTCGCCGTCCCCCTTCCCTTCTGGATCGTCCACCGGTACTTCCCCAAGCTCGGTGCCAACGTGAGTGCGCCCTCGGGCGTACCCCAAAACTGTCCGTTTGAAATACTAAACGCGGGTTCTTCTTGCTTTTGATATAGAACGTCGTCACGCCCATCCTGTGCTGGACGCTCGGCTACCTCTCTGTCGGTATTAACAGCTCCGTGTTCACCACGTTCCTGCTGGCCGTCTTCTCGCAGTACTATCTGCGCCGCTACAGGCCTGGGTGGTTCAGGAAGTACAACTTCCTCGCCTCTGGTGCGTCTTTCTATACCTCTACCCTTCTCATTGCATGGCTGACCCTCGTGTCTTCCCTCGTTTTAGCCGCGCTCGACGGTGGAACTCAGGTCATGGTCTTCGTCTACACGTTCGCCGTCGGAGGCGGCAGTGGAAAAGTCGTCGACATGCCATTATGGGGCCTTGTACGTCGTCTCGCCGTTCTATGCACCTCACGCGCACCTTCTGATCTCATGTCTTTGCCTATTTCGCAGAACCCAGCTGGGAACCCAGATTACTGTCTCCGCCTCACCTCATAGTGTATACCGGCTGTTGTCTAATATTTTTGGGGTCTCACGTATTACATATAGCATTGATGTGTCTCCTGTCTCTCGGTATTGATGTATAACAGCACTTATTATTTGCGTCTCGACGGCTGACGGCGGTCTGCGTAAGTTTATGCGGTTGTCACATTCTACGTGGCACTGGCGACTCTCAGGCGACGTTCACCGGAGCTGCCCATGTTAACAAGCACGAGCAGTCGGCTTCGTGTCTCGGCGACTGGTGAGACGAGACGCGAAAGAGCGAAGTGAGTGGTATTATCAATCTAGAACTAACTCCTGAGCATGTTAAACGTTGAATGCTGACTGTGTGGTCGCAGCATCCAAATAGCTCGCTGCACATTGCACAGCGTTGAAATCTCGTCCGATATCTGTTTAGCCGAGTCCCAATTCGGATCGTGGTCACCATAACCCAAGTCTTTGAGCACCTGTTCTATGCCCGGCAAAATGCTAACCTACGCTAACGTGCGCTTCCCCGGATTTTTGTATTTGCGGTACACAAAGACCTTAAACCGCTCGAAGTGTTTGAAAGGTGCTGAAAGGGGATACACGGATGTCGCGTCGGCCGGTGAGTTATCAAAATCATTTCGTTGACTCGCAACCGCTTGCTTGTTGTAACAAAGTTTGCTGATGGACCATCGGCTATCGTTCGCGCTCTCACAGAGGTTGAGTCCGGCGGCGGCGGCGCGAGAGCGGCATTGGAGCAGGACAGCAGGTCGACGGCATGCGTGGACGCAAAAGCATCTCCTGGCACTGCAAATTCAGATCTGCTGGATGGTGTATGATTTTCATGTTGGACCCGCAATGCGTACGATTCGCCATTCGACTCGTTTATTGGCCTGGTCACGCCATGCTGGTCGTACCTTTGTGGGTCCATTACGCCTGCCGTGCCACGCGCCAAACGCCGATTCTCGACAGCGCTCGAAAGGGAACCCAGGAGTGACTAAGTGCAATCAGTGGTCAGCAAATGAAAGATCATGCATTCAAATTTTCTCAAAGCTCCATGCTCATCGATTTTTCCCAGAAATATCATCAATAAATGGACACAGATCGAAGCTTTCTCATGAAAATCTCCATATAACTGGTAATTCAGTCAATTCACCAAGGTGAATTTATCGTGATCTCTCTATACGCTTAAAGAGGTTGAAATAGTTTTTAAAGGTAAATTTGAGATCGTGAGTACACACGTTAATTGACTGTTGATGCAATCGCTTAGGGCATCAAGCCCTCCGGTGGATCCAATAGTATATTCACGTCTTCGGCGGGGATTGCGACAAAATTATCATATATGTTCACCATCACTACCCTCCCACAATGTGTGTCTTTCCCCCGAGTTGAGGCGCGAGGGCAAAGGCGCCGTCTCCGTCATATTCCAAATTGTGACGACGAGGACACGGAAGGTCTGTTCCACAGGTGCGGTCGTGCATGCGAAACTACAGAGGGACAGCTGTGCTACGGCGTGCTCGTGAAGGCAGCGAGCTGCGTTGACGCACAAGACAAGTTGCATCGTTGGCTGAATGTTCAGCAAGCTCTAGCGATCGGCGAGTCTTTAACATTCTCTTCTACGGTGCGTTCGTTATATGTGGAGCTGGAGCACCGATAAATCTTACGATCGGACATCTCAGTCCCTGGATATTGTGTCAATGCCACAGGTCGGCAGTGTGTTTCAGTAGCAGAATCCTTGCTTCGCTAACATTTGTATCATCGCAAATCCAGCGTCTCTGTAAAAAAAGCCTTGTTCAGTACGAGATGTACTCACAAGAACACTGGCGTACGTTTCTATTATTAGGATGCCGTGCGGTGTGGAGAAGGCGCATCATTCTCTATCTCATGTCTCGTCTGTGGAATATCACGTACCCCCATCTCTCTCAGCCTGCCGGTAAGGAATATCGTTTCGCAAAGCCGAGAAGCGACCGGCAGCCACGTCCGCTGTCCCTGCTATCCCTGCGGCATGTTGCGTCTCCTCTTTCTACCTTGCCGAGCCAGCTAGTCTCAGGCTCCCCGAACAACGATACGCCGACGTTGCAGCTCAAGCAGATAACAGCAGTCCAGCGCGACCTGTTCTTCCAGGCCCCATCCCCGCACCGGCTGCTCCTCAACCCCCGTACGGCGAAACCATATCGCGAGTCTGCATCATCGACTCACAGAGGCCCGAGTACTCGCCGATGCAGCATTGGAACACCCTAGACAATCGCAACCGCATCGAGGCTCCGTAGGATCTTTCATCGCATCCCCAGTTGACCTGTCTTCTCATTCTGTGCGGGTCTGTCGATCTGATGCCATCTATACATGGCAGCGCCCGGACCTGCGAGGCGTGTACGGCCACGTTGGCGAGGAGATCCGAGAATCGTGCGGTTGACCGCGACCCTCGACTCTCCCTCGACCCTATCGGTGATCACATGGACGTCGTGTGTTCAGGCGGGATATCGCTCAGCCCTTGTGACTTTGTTCGATAGAGATAGTCCACTGGCCACGATCCATGTCAAACCGTGAGGAGGGCCTGATATTTCGGAGGACTGGGACACTCGCTGAGACTAGAGGGTGTATTATGGCATTCTAAAAAGATATAGAAGTTGGATTTCAAAATCTATCCTGTTGTCTCTACATAGTGAATACGAGAACTTGAAATCCAACAGATCCTGTGCGCAGACATCATGTTGTTTCGACGGATAACCGGCGCCCGGTACGTCCCGTGACCGTGAGCATGACATACCTCTTACAGCCGAAAAAGCGTCCGCACGGTACAATACAAATTTTTCGCCCTTCGGCGTTCTGGGCGAGTCTAGCAAGGTCTAGCAGGGAGACGGCGGGCTGGTGCAGATCACTTATGGATAGTTCGAGCGAGATCAACTGAGATAGATGGCCCTATGCAGGTACTTATGATGTCATGAAATGCGGGGAGGGAGTTAAAGCGCAGAAGAGGGCAAATTCAAAAGCTTCCACTGGAGCGGATCACGTTGAAAGGAGAGGAGACATATCCATATTCATATCTGTATCAAGCGATCCACGGAAGACGATCAAGGTGCAACAAGCAAAACAAAAACAACAATCGTACGATCATCAATGCGTTTGACGTTCAAGCGTCAGTGGCGCGAGCAGCAGGACCAGCCTCGACCGACTCGGGGCCCTTTGACACGCCGAGGTCCTTCAATGTGCCCTTCTCGACCTCGTACACCCAGCCGTGGACCCAGACGCGCTTCTGGGCGCGCCAGGCGTCGAGGAGCGGTACAGCCTTGACGACGTTCGCGACCTGCGCCTTGACGTTCTCCTCGACGAGCAGAGGGAGGGCGTACTCGGGCGGGGCGGTGCTCAGGCGGAGCGAGGCGGCGAGGGCGGTGAGGGGCGCGAGCCAGCGCTCGAGCGGCGTTGCAGGGGCGCTGGAGGACCCGGGGGCCGCGGCGCCCGCACAAGCGGCAGAGTAGCAGGCTTTAGCGCCGCCGCAGTGGGTATGACCCACAACGACGACTGGGGGTGGACGGTTGGGATGAGCTAATTGAGGAGGGAAAGAGGGAATGCACCGTGTTGGACGCCAAGCTCGTGTACGGCATAGGTCAGGACAGAGAGCGCGCTGTCATCATCCGGGTGGAATTGGCTGGGGCGATAAGGAAGAGGCGAGAAAAAAAGGTGAGGAAGAAGAAGGGAAGATAGGGCTGCATGGCGTACTTGGCGATGTTGCGGTGGACGAAGATGTCGCCCGGCTTGGAGGCGGTGACGACTGACTCTGGGACTCGCGAGTCGGCACAGCCGATCCAGAGCACCTGCGCGCATCATTGGAAAACGGCATGATTACGATACCGCTCGAAGAGTAGAGATAAGGACGACGTACCTTGGGTGACTGCCCCTTCGCAGAGGCTTGGAAGAATTGCGGCTCAGCGTCGCTGACGGCGTCGGCCCACTGGGAGTTGGCGGTGAAAATTCTGGCGATGGCGGGATCCATGAGTACACTGGCTGGGCTATTGACAGTGGAGCTGTTGCTGAACGGGTGAGTGTGGATGTGGAATGGGTGAGAGGGATCGCGGGAGCGGGGTCTTATATATGTGTTGGAAGTATGTGATGGAGGAGGAGAGGAACGTTGTGACGGACGGTATCCGCTCAGAATTCGCCATGGCATCCTTGACCAACCCGACCTTGTGGCACCAAAACCCCAGCTCGCCCCAAGCCCGGCTCCCAAGCCTTCCGCCCAGCCTCCCGCCCAGCACCTGCTTCCCTTTCTCGGACACCAGATCTCCCACATATGCTCCCTCTTTCTCCCACGCTCCCCGCCGCCAGCTGCCGAGTGTCGTCACTCGTCTCAGCTGAATTCGCTCGTCATTTTTTTCTCTCGTCCCATCGTCGTCGGGCTCATCCCTGAGCAGAACGTCCTCGCCTTCCCATATTCGTATCACTATGTTTAGAGGTCCCTTCGCATCTGCGCAGTAGGGATTGAACCGACACTATCATCATCACTCTCATAGACACAGTCCGGCATCACGCAGGCCTCGGTCCCTATCTTTCTCCCTCTTCTCGTCGACGCGCGGCGACGGTCACAATTGCTTATGCCCATGGAGGTTAGCTGCGTTATGTTATGCTGCTTGTACATACCTGCACCGTGCCGAATAGACACGACCAGGAACACCGGCCAGAACCGGCCTATCTCTGCGCGATCTGTAGCGCGTACTTACTTTTGAGTGTCCATCCACCCGTACGCCCGTCCATATGTGGTGCTCCACTGCCGTGGGGCCATGGAGGCCATGGTCTCCGACCAGCGCTGCGATGCTGGTTCGCATCAGCGCATCCTTGATTCCGTGCACGAGACTTCAAGAGCTCCTTCTGACCACCACCTGTATCTCGCGCGGGACCGCTTCGCGAGATTTGAGGTGCGGGTGCGCGCGATGCCCATTGGCCGCCCGGCATTCGGGGCGTGTAATATCTGGATGTCTCGCTATGCAATGTGCCTCGACGGATTCGAAACTCGCGCTTCTTCTCCACCTGGAGACATCTGGAGATTCAGAACACCGAACAGAACAGGGGGGGGGGGGCAGGCGGGATGGGCGGGAATGCCTCGATAAAGAGCGTCATGTGATGAACGCATTTCCTCCTGTGATCGCGACGCGACGCGATCCCTGCGCTCTTGCCTCTCTGTTCTGTACTCCCTCTCGCTTCATGGCCTCAGTTACTTGCATGGTGTTTTAATTCATAAGCTCGCCGCCCAAATATTAATAGAACCGTTGTGGCATCGGGATAAGCGATCACGGAGGGCTCCACTCTGATCCTATATTCCCCTCTGTCGCGGCATGTCCTTCTCTCATCATCTCACCTCGTGCTCATATTAATAGACACGTCTAGCTGGACGCTTCATGTTTTTGGACACCAACCATCGGCTGGGATCGGTTCGAGGTATGGCTATTTGCTCATCCCTCCCGGCATGATAAGTACATTGACCCTACTCTATCCCGAGTAGAAAGGCGAGGCCGTGTGGTGGGCGATCTGGGCACAATATGTGCGTCGGTCGCGACGAGCCCAAGGCTTGCAGATCCGCAAGACGCGAGATATCGACTGTGGTCTGGTTGCCTGCGCACTCAGTCATCAACCCGCCCGCGATCACTCACCCGCGGCTGGGTGAAACAGGGGAAGGAGGGGGAAACCATGCGCCGCCGTGCATACTCAGCCCCTGTGGTCCTCTTGACGTCGATACGGTGCCGTCAGCGGCACGAAAGGCCTCACTTCCGCGCCTCAAAGTAAGCAGGCTTGCCTACTCACGTTCGCACCCTTGCTCCCAGAAGCGACGGCGCATTGCGTGAATTGGTAGGTGGGAAGATTGGTTGGTTGGTCGGTCGGTCGTTTCAGCTGTTTGGGAGGGCAGAACTGCATTCGTGCAGACGCACCCCCGGTGTGTCGGTGTATCTGTATCTGGGACACCGCGCAGTAGCAAGTTGCAAACCGCTATGCCGGGTACGGTGCAGGATCAGAAGTCTCCTGAGGGCCCGGCCGCACACGGTAGTGCCCTGCTCCCTGCATCTTCGTACATGGATGCCATACCAGTATCGGCGACGGAAGCAGATCCACAGGGTTCAGCCACTCTTCAGGGAAGCAGCAGGGCGGAACACGACATACACGACACTCGACTCAGGGACTAGTTACGGACAGTTACCTGCAGTGTCAATCACTTACATGAGCAGGCAGTACTCAGCGGGAGATGAAGAATCGGGCATGAATTGAGCGCTCCCCACGATTATGAAGACTGTATGAACGGCTGCGCGCGGGATATGAAGGATCGGGTATTGAAAGGTCCATGACCAATACTTTGATGGTCAGCCTGGGTAAGCGACAGACTGCGGCATTGCCAGAGATGAAGACTGATTGCCGCTTCATCGAAGCTGGCTTCATCAAAGCCATGGAGGTTGGAGTGGAGATGGCTGTATGAAGGTATGCATGGAGGCGTATGACGATAAATGAAACGAAGATGCGTGCCGAGTCTGGAGAGGTCCTGCGCGGATCAGGTGTTCTATGGGATCACACCTTTGTTATTCAAGGCCTCGGGGTGGGATGGGCGATAGTTCAGGAGTGAACCTCCAGCATAGAGGAAGTTGTAGGGTAGCCTACAGATTACAAAGCCTTCGCCCACATGCGCACAGTGATGAGCCTATTCGCGACAAAACATCAGCTTACTTGTGACTTCTCAGTACTTATTCCGGATTAGCATCTGTCCATAACGCCCTATAACGCCCGCCGTCATATTAGTCCCAGCCACCATCACTGTGCGCATCAATTTCTAGTGCGCATTAACGCAACGACGACGGGTACCACATAGCACTCTTCCTGATACAGCACTCAGGTCAAGCATAGTCGAAAGCGATAATTAGCACGAAAAAGGCGAGAGACAAAAGCAAGTTGGCGCGGAGATCGAGAGGCCCCGAGACGTAAGGGAGTTTGAAGATTGTGACATGCAAGTGACTATAGCGATGCACTCTGCTTTGCCTCTGACCACTTCCTTCAAAATTGCTTGGCCGTTTGTTGACGTTTTTCGCTGCATGAACTCCTTGTTTTTGCCTTTCTGGTGACACTTCTATATCTCAGCCCCTCTTGTGACCAACAAAAGCTCAGAGGAATGTTGGCCATTGGGGGATTGCACCTTCACGTGTTGCAAATCTGCTCTCATCGAGCCTCACCAGGCTCGCTAATTAGTGAACGAGATTCCCGTCGACGACAGTCTCAGATGATCTAGCCTGATATGCTATTCCGAGGGGGTCTGGGCAAATTGAAGTGGTCGTCGTTGGGAAGGTATTTTTTTGGGTGCTCAGCCTGAAGGTTTGTTTCCCTTGTAGATTGCTGTGAATCCTCGTCCCGTTAGATTGCCATGCTGACTAGATTCGCACTCTCTATCTTTCGTAGACAGGTGTATCGCATGATCAACGCCTTGCCTCCTTTGATGATGATAGGAAGACCTACACTTCGAACACCTCGGCTCTCGGCTCTCGGCTCTCTCTTTCTGGGCAAATACCCCACTCGGTTAAGTCACTGGCGTAGACAGGTCGCCAAAATATAACATCAGATGCGGTTTATTGTTTGGTTTTGTGTACGGAGCTACCGCACACTCAATCAGTTTGCTTTCCTCATATGGGTTGTATATCTTCGCTCATCATCACAGACGCACGCATGATCCGCCAACGCGTCTAGATATTGCCCATATCCTATGTCTGACGGAGATTCGCACATTCACTCGATGCGTTCGTTATCGATGCTCGTACGGAACTCTCGCAGGATACTTTATGTCTCCTGCACTAGATTCGGAGGATCCGCACGAGTGCGGACCTCAGGAAGTGCGATCTGCAGAACATGTTCATACAAACCTTGAGAAGGACAAGACCAAATCCGCAGAGCGGATTCCACATCCCAACCACATCTCATCGCAGGGGCACAAATGCAGGTACACGTCTTTAAAATAAAATGGCACGTGCTACCTTGTTCAGCCCTGCGATTCTCCCGCACGCCGTATCCGCCTGCATACGCCATCGCTAATACCGCGCGGTATCATCGAGACTTCCGCGGCTCGCCTTGGTACTTCGTCACCTCCATGTCCTCGTTCGGCCTGGGAGACAATATAAGTGTTGCTGAGGATTGACTTGAGGATGAGTACAGAGGATCAGATGTCATCGAGAATACTGAAACTTCATGCTAGCAGCGCAGAACGCGTGACCCTCTTGGATCGCCGTGTTTCCGACATTCCGACTTCCATTCTCCGTTGGATCTCGCCAGGCGCTCACTTCTTTGCAGTGTGCGCTCTTATTCAGGCTTCACACTCGTGCACTTTGGGCCCCCGCACAGCTCGAGTGAGCACACATGCTCTTTGCGCATCGCCTAGCAGTGAGTCTTCCCTCGATCAACCAGTCTCGTGCTCATACGTTGTGAACTCAGCATTCATATCAAACACCATTTACGAACCGCTGTTCTACAGTCGGCCATGTGCCCATCTTCTCATATCTCCTCCCGGCACAATGAGCGCGTACATCGAACTTGTTTTGTTCCAGGCAGGGAAATGACATGGGATGCCTTCGAATAGAAGATGTCGCGATGCCTTCAGTACAGTGTGTCAAAGCGATGTGCGAATCTATCTTGGGCGAGTCTAGGTGTGTGCAATGTGATGTCAGATATCATCCTGTGTCTGGAGCTCTGCGCGTTTGGGTGTTAGTGCGCACAATGACCTCACGACTAGATATGATTGGATGGAACTTGTGAGGGGATATTATGTCTGGTCGCTAGTCAATCCCTTTTTGGAAAGACGGCTCTGCGTTCCGCCTCGCCCATACGAGAGGATTAGGTGAAGCCTCCACACGAAAATAGGCTGGCACAAGATCGGACTGGCCAAGGATAGGGCGTGATGTGGGTACCATTCATAATGTCACCCCGCTCAAGCATATATAAGAGGTCGTTCGCATCATTCTCAACTGTTCCTCCAGAACACACACTCACCCTTCAGCAATAGCTTTCATGTCAATGGCTAGTGAATCGCTGAGCCCCGTCATCGCCAACTTCTTTACGGCTAGCTCCCATGGGGCCGACGCCGTTAGTGACGTTGAGCTTCGGTCTTTCCAAGCCTCTGCGCAGGGCCAGACTCCCCATGTACGCCTCTTCCATGCCATTTCCATTATTCAAGATATTCGATTGATATTTCTGTGACTATGGACGCAGCTGCTCTTTATCGGCTGTTCCGACTCACGAGTCCCAGAGTCCACCGTCTTCTTCTCCGAACCGGGTGATATTTTCGTCCACCGCAACATCGCTAAGTACACACTGCACTCTCGCCTCACTATCCAGCATCCTGACTTTCCTCTGGTACGCTCCTTCTTGTCGCCCCAGCCAATTCCACACAGATGACGACAACGCGCTCTCCGTCCTGACCTATGGCTTGCAAGCTCTCCAAATCCCAAACGGTGCATTCCCTCGGTATCCCCCCAAATCACTCACCCTCAACCAACATCCCTTCAGTTATCGTCCTCGGCCATACTGACTGCGGCGGCGCAAAATTCAGCTACGAAGCTGCGAACGCGGACCCCGTGCCCCCCACAACGCCGCTTGAGCGCTGGCTCGCGCCCCTCACTACGCTCGCTGGCACCCTCCCTGGCGCTATCCCCAGACCTCCTCCGGGCACCTCCGAGTACGAACGCGAGTTCCGGCTGGTCATCGACGAGAACGTCAAGGCGCAGGTCGGCTATGTCGAGGAGATCGTCCGCGCGTTGGGCCTGCCCTCAACCGTCTGCATTCAGGGTGGGGTGTATGAGATTGAGACGGGCAAGTTGATCCGCGTCGGCAAGCAAATCGTTGTTATCGGTACTGAGGCTGAGACGGCCGTGTGAGCAAGTGCATGATGGATGATGGTTGTATAAGCGTTGTCCTTGTTTTATTTGTTGCACTCTGATCGTGGATGGCACGATGTAGGTATGGGTATAGATTTGTGATCGCCTCCGCTCTCAAATCTCATAGGAAGCGACCTTTCGTTCCCACCATCTTCACGACACAATGCTTGGACGCGGACCTGCATCCAGTTAATCTCACTCCCACCCTGCTCAAGGATCTGCACTAGGCCATTGTTTCCTGATGAGTTCACCGAGAGTGTCGGACACCACTTTCTCTGGAACGAGACTCGGCAGCTCACAGCCTACGTTTATATTAACATCACTACTAACAGGTGCGCGGTGATGTACCTAGAGTCCGCAACAATTCTCAGCTCAAGACTTTCCTTGTAGGTAGTTTGGTTCACTGTCATGAACGCCTCTTTGACAAGCCGGAAGGGATCGAGTTTGTGATGAAAATGTCCTGCGGAGAGCGGGCCACCATGTCACCTATAGATAAGATAGATTTGGAGACGATATAACATCCAGATGTCTAGTACACCCTAGTTCATCCGACAGCTACAAGTGATATAATCGTCCAAAGCGTGGATCGTACATCTCACTAGTCCTCTCGATCAAGCGCGTGTTGGTCTCTATTTTGCTCCTCCACTCAATCATGTCCTATCGACAAATCACAGACAATCCTGCTGGTAAGTAGAATTTGTGGTATTCTATCCTCACACGTCAGATGGACGCGTTGGGCCGCCCTTTCCACGCTCGCGCAGGCTGCGCAGCTCTTCACACGGTATATAGAGAGCCTAGGAGCTTGAGAGGCAAGTCTATCCTCGACGCTCTTCCTGCGATCTTATGCCTGTTCCTTCCTGCACTCATACTGCCGAGAAAACATTTATTTCTCCACCTACCGACAACATCAAGCGCGTGACAAAGAAGCATGATGCTCGCAACTTCGCACAGAAGAAACCGATGCCATTGGGTTACCGTGCACTGCTCGATGGGCTGCACACCGCACCTATCTATGAGATAGAAATCCCAGAAATGGCTGAAGACGGGCTGTGCCCGGATGTTCAGATAAATGATTTGAAGTTCCTCGGTTCCTACGACTGGACGGGGGCTGAATCGCCCACAATCGTGGTACCGGGTACGCTGTCCCCGTCATCTGATTTAACGCCAGATCAATGGTCTCTTTTTGATCAGGAATGCCTTGCCCATGGACGGGCCTGGAAACACCCTTCCAGCTTGCACCTGACTCTTCTATGGCGCACCCTCACGGAATATATCGCCCTGACTTCATGGCGCTGCCTGCGCTTTTGAGCGCCGTTGATGCCATGGGAACACACGTAGATTGGCCGGACGTCGACGTCGTTGCAAACCGCGGTAGCCTGAGAAGATTGGCAGACTGCATGGACGACTGCCCTGCGCTTGACAAGGAGTTCCGTGTGGACGTCCAGCTCGTCGGGGAGAAGACGCTCTCCTTGCACCAATGGACGGGCGTGGGGAGCATGGGATATGGGTTTGCGTTCGAGGCGGCGACGACGCATCGCGTGACCCACGCCTCGCTGCTAGCAACGAGCCACCATCGCGTGATCCAATATGTGCGCAAGTCTCCCTCATATACGTGTCGCCCTCCTAGAATGAAAGCATGTAATTAGAAACTTGGTGGGCTCAGCGTCGTCGTACAGTCCGAAGTAGACGCATGCCTTTTGGAATCGAATGCTGTACCCCACGGTGACATAGAGGTGCTTGAGGAGACTGCCACTGGCTTGACAAGCCATTCAACTCCATTTCCCGTCGCACCGACGCTCGAGTCGAGAGTCTTCGTGGGTAGAAAGTGCAAGCATCTGCGCGTCTTATCCAAGAGCGGCCCCGTGATCCCTCAAGGCTCCCTCGTGGAGCTAAAGACAGCCAAGTTGGGTCTGGGCAACACGCCAGGCCTTTCTCCAGCTCTATCTGTCCCAGACCCCGCATCTCTTCGTCGGCATTCACCTCCACGGGCTATTCGAAAAGATCGAGCGCATAGCATCTCAGGACATGGTCACCGAGCGCAAAAAGGCCACACGCAGCCTGCAGAGGCTCGTCCTCGTTCTTCGCGCTGTGCGTCAGCTGGCGATCGAGCGGCCCATGAGTCCTCTGAGCCTCGTGTTCCGGGATCGGCGGCTATGCATGTACGAGCGAAGGTCGAGAGAGGGTGATTTACAGGAAGAGATGGCGAGGCGGTTCTTTGCTTGGGATTAGTGTTACAGTGCTCTCGGATCGTGTCAAACCCATGTCTTGATATGAGTTGATACCTCCGAATACGCTTTGACTTGACTGTTCATGGGAAGGTTTGCGAGGCGAGAAGTAGCTATTATTGTAACATCATGGAGGAATTGTATATGAGCAGGGATTCTAAGAGATAGACCTGTCATGTAAATATATGCCAGATTAGTACCATAAATCCTTGGTAACGCACCCTAGAAAACAGATATCGATCGACTCTACGTCGACCGATGAATCGATGAAGGCGTGACAGTAACTCACTACTCAGTGTGCCGCAATACACGACAGCAAACCTTATCGACAAGAAGAAATATGATCTTCTGATGAGCTTGCAAGAATTATAGCGATTACGGTCGACGCGGGTGCCTTAGTACCGCCGAAAAAAATCGCGACCTCATCAGAATAGTGCACAATCAACGAGTGAAGGAGATCCGTACCCATAACAGTTCCACACTCGGCACCTTATACGAAGAAGTATGACGAGCTAGAGCCTCATGCCAATACACACCATGTAAACATATTACATAGTCCGAGCCATAAAATCGATCACGAGAAACAAGACCCATGATTTGACCACTGGGGCAACTTGTATGCACCTGGCGGAAGGTAGAGCCGCCTAAGGCTCTCAACAAGCTCTGAAGTATCACTCTAGCAGCCCATTGCGAGGTTGGGTACCTCGCAGCGGACTCGGCTATGTTAATCCCGTGAGATGAGGCGCAAGAAGAGAATGTCTGATGCTATGGTCGCGGTACGCCACAGCCACTGTTCCAGCGGAGTGGAGAATGCATCATGTTGTGTGATATATGCGGGGAGCCATCAGCACAAGATGTCTGCCCTCAAGTCCCGAGTCCCGATGCTCTGCAAGCCTGTGCAAGAGAAATAAAGGAAGACTTTAATCATGTTGACTATGGATTCAACTTGAGAACGGGTAAGGAGAGTTTCTAGAAGTAGATGTGAGTCAATGTCCACCGAAAGGTGAGTTGTAAGAGTCGCACCAGTCTGATTTTCGCAATACACGACAGAGGGATTGATCGAAATGGAAAACGTGGCCACGCAATGGCCTCGCGTACCCGACCACGTACACGATTGCAGCCATAAACACAGAGACTAAGGACACCTGTAAGGCAGGAAAGTTACACGTATCATCAATTGGCACGGCGCCAGTGAGCGAAGGAAACACATACAGCCGCAGCGTATTTGAACTGTTCAGGCTTATTCCAGCCGAGCGTTAGGCCGTAATGGGCGAGGTCAAAAACGTTTTGCAGCGAGAATTGTAAAGCCGTAAGCGTATTTTGGCGGGGATGGTGTGCAAGGGATTTTTGGAGTTGCGTGAGTTGCACAAGATCAAAAGACCACAGCCCGATGCGTGACAACGCCATGCCTGAGTTCAGAGTATACTTTGAGTATATCTCGGGTTCACGAATGTATAGATGAGATAAACAGACCACCAAACAGCATGGCAGAGTTCCATGCGAGCCTATGCCGCCCATTTGCCCCAAGGAAAAAACTGAGCACGACGGGAATAAGCGAGATGAATTCAGACCTGCAAGAAGCTCTGGTAAGAAGCCGATGGGAAAGAAATAATGAAAGGTGCATACCAGAGGGACCAAGACCCTGCGCGCACGAGGCTAATATCATGAGCGTTAACTTCGTCAGAATTTAGAGAATGTAGGCTTTACCCCATATAGCGTTCCATCCACGGCATAGCAAACGTGCCCATGAGCCCTGTTCAGAAAGCCCCGGTGTTTAATGCAGATTCCTGGAGTTTCGAAGAAGATTCACCTGTTACGACGCAGATGCCCCTCATACCAGCGATGAACGGGTCCGAAAAATCGGTCTCGCTTTTGAGATATACCAGTAATGTGGAGTCGAAAGAAAGTACTGTAAGGTATAACAGCGATATCGCAATCGAAGCTTTGAGTATATGTATTAGCTCGGCCGCCGCCACAAGGTTGACAAGCCTACTGATGAATATCGGATGCCTAGTGAATTCCTTCCAATCCTTTACTTGTTGTAAAACCCAGTCAACAGACGAAGTGAAAAAAAGAATCCGGCGCGAGCGAGCATGATCAGGTCCATCTATTCTGGCACGAGCGGGTCTTGGCCCACTAAGCGCAGGGAACCGCTTGTAGACTATCTTGACGAAAAGGAATTCACACGGCATAGAAAGTAGCCCAAAGCTAAGGAGGATGATCACCGAAGTCTTGTATTTCACCGTTGCGGTTAGTAAACTGACGAACAGTGGAGCGGTGAGCTTGCAGATGAGGTCGATTCGCCGCAATGCTGTATTCAGGCGAACAAGCGCGTAGTCATCGTCTCCAGCAACAGTCATGACCCAGTCGCGCTCTATGCAGACGTTCATGCCCACGGTGGCTAGTTTCAATACGCATCCGAAAATGACGATGGGAACAAAAAGTGGCCAGAAAAAATGATCCGCATTCGTTGATTGTCGAAGGAAGAGGGTTAGGAACAGGACGTAGCAAATGGACGCGGAAATTTTCTGAGTGACAATTGAAGTGCGGACGGCCAGAAGACGAGTGTTTGTGTCAATCAGCGATCCGACCGCTCTGAGCAAAACGGCATCAACATCCCACAATATCAAGAACAATGACGTTTAAACGTATACCCGGACAGGAAAATTCCGGCGCCCGTTACTATAAAGCCGTAGATTGAAGTAGGCAAGAGAGTGTTGGTAAACAGTTCGATCCTGAAATGCCTAGTCAATTTCGACGACATTTGGGTGAATCCTCATGCTAAGCCATCTTACAGATACAAAGGGAACGCAAACTCTGCCGTGCGATCTCCCCAAGCACTGCAAAGAACTGTGAGCTTGGAAGAACAGGGCTGTCGTTGGGTTCCGAGACCAACCTAGACAGATGCTGTAAAGCAAGCAGCCAGAACCCTACGCCATCAAGAGAGTTTGAAGCTAGATAGTTGGAATCTTGCTCTTGAGGTTCCGAAACGTTCTCTAAAGGCACTCTCGGAGTGAGAGAACAGCAAGTGAACGATCGCGAGGGAGACACACCACCGATCATAACGCTGTTCGTGCTGCTCAGCGTTTCCAGCTGAAGTGCTTGATCATGGTTTCGATTTCCGCTCTGCATCTGAGATTCATTGACACTCAGTGTAGGTGGTAAATGGCATGAGACATGAGTGAGACGATGACTGACGATGACGCCTGATGCAGGGGTTGAAACCGCCGTTCTCAATGCGGTCAGCGTATTCGCGCCGTGAGTTGAGCGCTCCCATAGGCTCCCATGCCATGCACGGAAATCACGATCTACGCCAAGTTGGCTATATATTGCAGTAGAGATGTCTCCCGTGGTACTTGAAATCCCTTCACTTCTCAAACCGCCTCATGACCTCCGCCGGTAGACAACTCTGCATACTGACTCGTTCGTAGACCTTCAGGGTCCCGTCTTCGCAGACCAGACTCAACCTTCCCGCTTTCCCATGCTTAACTACGATTTCCTGAATCATCTTCAGCACTTTTCCCAGTTTTCTAAGGCCGGTTTCGGCCTTCTCCCTTTGCGAGACCATCTCCAAACTATCCAATCTCTGCTCCCGAACCTCGAAGAACCTCCCTGCAGAGTGAACGCCGGTATAAAAATGAGGTGTTTGCGAGAGATAGAGTTGGGGAAATATCTCGGCCCAGTTGAGCTTGTGGATGTAGTTCTCGGAACGCGTGGTGAGTTCAATGATGGATTCTTGAGGCTGCTCAGCGCCTGCGCGAACGATGCGAAGTAGAGGGGGTAGGGCCGAGGACGCATGTGGAGACGGCGGCGAAGTGACCGCCAGAGTATTCGCGGGTTTGCTGGAGGTGATATTGAGGCCGGCCAAGGCATCAGCCAAATCATCTGGGTTCGAGGATTGACTTGCCCGAGAGGCAGGTATTTTCGGAGGTGCAGATGGGAGACAAGCATCGACCTCATATCGGACGACCATATTCAGGCCAAAAAACTTCTGCAAAGCAGGTGAGTCACGAATATCGTGAATGAAGGAAAATTGAATACGGACAAATTTGACTATTCGATGATGGCCGGTACTCTTCTCGCACCCCGGAACAGCAGCAGTCGTGGCCTGCTCGAAGCCAAACCCATAACTTTTGCCCAAAAAAGTGGTTCTGGTTTGAGCCTCCCACCTGTTCAGCAGGACGGTATGCTCCCCGGCAAGTTCCATATCAATTCTAAAATCCTTAACGTCGCCACCACTGATCCACCTGGAGAGCTTTCTCAACCCATTGCGGTCGGTGACAAAATCGATTGCGGGCCAGTCGACTGTCTTGCCGAGTGTGTCTACTGATCTGAACAGCGGCAGGAGGATGGAAGATGGGCATCTGAAGCCATTTTGGTCGACGAACTGTACACCCCTGTCGGGTGTCACCTTGATAGGGGGAGAACGGCCAGTCCATTCTGGTGCAGAGCCTATTGAACGTTGAAATGAGAGGATAGTCAGCAATTATATCGTAGAGGTGATGTAATGACGTTACCTGGAACGATGATTACGGCTGGGTAAGAAGTCTCTGTCCAATTGTAAGATCCTATATACTTGTAATGTTTTATATCCGTCGAGGTACTAGATGTAAGTGTAGGGACGGGAGGGACGAGCAAAGTGTGCAAGGGTCTGGTGACGTCCAGTCCTTCCTTGATATGACGATCTGGAGGAAGCCCAAGCGAAGACGAGTGCCGGAAAGCAGCAGGCCTTAGTGGACTTAAGTGTGGATGCTGGTAATACATGTTATCTGGAGATAAACAGCGGAGAGTTTGCCCACATGTCCCGCTTTTATACACACGATATCGCATGGAGTCGCAGCATCAGGCTCTGCGCGCAATGACTTTTGAGGAGTTCGTCTCAATAAGCTGCTGCGAAGAGTAGCCCTGTTCCAGTAAGTAGGCTCACGCAGGACGGATTTTACTGGAGATTGAGACAGATGGGCACTTGAAGGGCAAGTCACACCTGCTGATAAGTATCAATAAGGCTGATTGGATGCAGGAGAAACCTCGAAGCAGGACGCGACATGCCTCGGTGCTCAGCTGCGGAAACTATGCTGCGATCAGAGGGTTCTAGATGAAGTGAAATGCGCAGATACTAAACATAGCCTGGTGAAAATTGCGAGACGCCTGATAGTCAACTGTGGGCGAGCGAGCTGCGACTACTAAAATAGTAACGGCCTCTGGGACTCCCGCCTGCAGTCAGCCCGAGCTAATTTATATGCATTGATGCCTACACTCAGCCTGACGTATCAAAGAGTGTGGTGCAAATTCGACGGCATCTGGAGTAGCATTCTTCACGGGATAGATCCGGTTGTGCCTACATGTCTTCTCGTCAGTAAATTGGGTGAACCTTGATTACGATCGCTGTCTCGTCAAGCACTGAGTTTTCTTTTAGCAAATCAATATGGGGACAGCATCGCAGGTCAATTATCGGGCTAAACAGACAATCGCTACTTCACGACAACATATTTGCACAAAAGCGGGTGCGCATCATTTACTGACCCCTTTCTCTCTTCCTCAAGACGTTTGATCGAAGTCGATTCTGTGCACAAACGGCGCGGCCCGCCTGCGCAATCGACGTCAGTGTGGAGCGAATGGTGAAACAATCGGAGAGGAAATTGGTCGATTGAAGCAAGCTTACATGACTAAAAAGGTGCTCCCCGATGGGCTCTACGACGCCTTCGCACTCGTCGAGTGGCTTGGTCAACCCAAGAACCACAATAATGCGGATCATCAGCATCCACACAAAACTGTCAAGACGTCTCCAAGGACATATTCTGCCACCCATCCTTGGGTCAGGATGCCTACGCGCTTGGACGATGTGTACCAGCAAATAAACGGACCTCCGTCTGAACCCGAAGGACACTTGTCGTGGATCGGAGAATAGCCGCTTGAGCCACTCGGGGTGTACACTGAAAAATTTGGGCCACGCAATTTGTCGTAAAGACTAGCCCTAAATAGATTTGATCAAGGCTCCAAAGTGAATTGAGATCATGATGGTCAACTCACTGAATGTTCCTTCCATGAACCCCCTTGCGTACCCTGGAGGAGTATTAGTGCATTGGCCAAGCCTGCGCAAAAAGAATTCTTCAAACGATGACACCGGAGCACTTCGAACCGGATTTCTAAACGCTATCTGGCTCAAGTCACCGACAAAAAAAAAAGAAAGTGGATTTACAGATGTACAATTTGATAAGTGCGAACGTTATAGAGTCAACTGTGGCGACAATCATTCAAGGCCAAGCAAGTATGACTTGGATCTCTGGTTCGACACTGGCAAGCAGTTCTGCTTTTCCTTTCTTTGGCCTCCAGCCCAGAGCTCTGGACCTTTCTCCTCGAGCGCGGCAGTTCAATGCACCGAGGCGAGAGCCCTATTGGGGTCTTTCATTCGGAAACATGTCAGAGAGAGTAAAACTGACGACTCACCCCGAAGAAGTTCTTGAACTCCTGATCCGTCAAGCTGACAGGCTCTGGGCTGCGGCCTTTGCCATGCTCAAAAAGCGCCTTTGCAATCTCAAGGCATATCTCGTATTGCACATACTCGCCGTTCTCGGCAAAATAGTAGCCGGCGCGACCATGAGGGGTCAGTGGGTCCGCGCGAGCAGCATCAAATATAAGCTTGTACAGATCACCGACTACGAAGGCCGAGGACGATCAGCACATACAACATTGGATACTTCTGAGTTTGGACACGCCTTCATCAATGTCCACAAGGGGCCATACGTTCGTCCCAGATTCGAGTAAGCCGCCTTGACCCCTTTGAATACCATTTTTGATCATCCAGGGTATGAGGACAGAGTGCGGGTTCTGGATGCCGCTGTCGACGAGCGGGCCTGAAGCCATGTTGAATATCGTGGAGGGACACACAATGTATGCGCGAATATAGCCTAACAGTGCACGTTGATCTCAGGCATATTTTGAGAGATGATCCTGACCGTGAGTTACCTGCCGTGTCTGCAGCAACGATCGCAAGATCGACCTCGCGATGAATACGTGAAACCGGCAATGACTCCAATTGCTCAGGTTTTGAATCGTAGTACACGATGTCGGGATCGATGCTGGTGTCACCTTCCAAATTGACAAGGAAGCCTGAGCGCAAGTCGATCAGAAACAGCCAGACTTTCGTGTGAAGCGACGAAATAGCGCACCTGTCCCCGACTGATGGACAAGGGATGTCAATATGGGCAGATGCAGCAGCATATATGTGTACACCGACAGTGTGGATCAATATTCCTGCATCATCAGACTGCTCGTGCTTCTCCTTGAGCCCCGACAAGATCGCTTTGACGGCTGGCAAGTCGTCCGCATTAGCCTAGTCGTAGCCCCGTCATGTCAATACAGAGAGCAGCCGAAACGTATTGAGATAGACTTACAGCATGTATGACGATATCTGCCTGGGAAGCAAGCTGTGCGAGCTTTTCGGTGTCTTGAAGGGATCCAATTACGGGTGTGATGCCGAATTGGTGAAGCTTCTCTGCTTTCAAATAATCGCGGACCAGCACTGTGATGTCGAACGTAGCACGGTCTTCGTGGTCTAAGAGGTGTTGGAGAATCGTTCCCCCTATATAACCTATGCAGGAGCGCGAACTTGAGCTTGTCAAAGAAGTAACGAGACGTAGGATGTTGGATGTCGCTGACCTGTAGGACCAGTGAGCAGAATGCTGGTACGGGGTTTGCCAGAGGAGGGCATTGAATGGGCTGTTTAATGGGGCAATCGCAGAGTACGATGAATGGGCGACCACGGATCAGATTCCTAGATATATATCCCTTCAGCCGCTTACTGATGTTTGGCGGTCAACTGATGATGCCTTACATAGCTAGCTGACGGCTGACTAGATATGGACTCATATAATCTTGAACGTCGCAAGAAAGATATTTTCCGAATCGCCAGACAGAAAAAAAACCCTGCAGTCAATACAGCCACTCAGAGTCTCAACGTAGCCCAAGGTCCAGCGTTGTAGGTGACAGCATCATGGCGAAGAGCAAGGGATCCGACGACGCAATTCCCACGCGACGTCGCAAATGACGGTCATCTCGGCGACCCACCTTCGAGTCTGTTTGCCAATGTCGAGCCTCCTGCGGCGGGGTGGACTAGTGGTGGACCAAATCCACCGACTACATGTTGTGGAGACTTGCTTTCTAGAATCGTGTACTTCTCTCTGTAAGTCTGCCGATGAAGATGGCGGAATAGGTAGGTGCGCAACGCCGCAGCCTGTTGAAGGCAATCACCATGTTAGCTTCTGTTCGGTGTACATGACTTGCTTCAAGAGTCAATGGTATGTGATATCATAGCTTGAGTCCTGAAGTTTTGAGAACTTTTCTTCAGGCATCTGATAAGCATTCTGTCGACTTCAATTTGCAGTGAATGAATAGAGTATACATGTGCCCGCCACCCATACCATATGGATCGCTGTCATCTTTCATAGTCGCTGTTGATAAGAGGCGACACAAAACTCCAATGTCCATAACATCGACCCCCTCCGCAATTGAGTATTGACAGGCGACGCAACACGATTATACATATTCGAGCTCTTTCAAGGTCTGCAGATACAGACGGTGACCTCCTCAAATCTTCTCCATGGGGAGCACCGTGTGGTGTTGCCATTTGTGCTAACTCCCCTTGCAATTCAAGCTTTGGAGTGAAACATGAAGTCTTTTGCAAATCCGAAAGCATCGTTGACGGGACGCGAAGGCAGCATGTACTGCTATAAAACAACAGTGCTGTCGATCCTCGAGCAACGTCCCAGATTACAATGCCTCCGAATATCCATACATCGCCAGCCGCCAAGACGTTAACAGTACCCTTCTCCCTACAGAAATTCCTTGGAAATCCCAATATCAAGGACGTGCAGTGCGTAGGGTCATACAATAGGATTCCCGCTCGTCGACCTACGATAATGGTCCCAGGTAAGCGAGTATCAGGAATGTTATTCAAATTATACCATGTAACTCCTTACCACTCATAGGACTACCCCGTGTCTGGACGAGGCTAGTCCCGCCATTTTCTATCGTATCTGATCCAAATCTACGCCAAACTGAGCGCAGAATGCCTCCTTTCATCCGCTCCATGCCCTTCCACTCACTCATGTGCGCCATAGACGCAAAGAAGCTGGACAGTATCCCATGGTCTTCAGTTGACTTTGTCACTGATTGCGGAACCTTGCGCCGGCTTCTAGAGGTCGTCAATGCCTCTACTGATAGGAAAGAGCTCCGTCTTGTTCTACAAGTCGTGGGCCAGCACACAATTCTGTTGAATGACAGTCCTTCACAGACAAATCCCATCGTCAAAAAGGACAATGCTGTCAGACAGGACAAAGACTCCTTCGGTTATTCTTTCGAAATGGCCACAACCACAATGCCACTTGGCGGCGGAGGAGCTTCCAAATATTATCGAATTTTACAATACGTGAGTAGCTACGCCCGACATATAGCAATTCAGACTGTAGCGCTGAATCAGAAATAGGTGTTTGGCGATCTTCGCATGATCGTCCGGGCCGAAGTCGATGCATGTCTAAGTGTGCGCGAACAAATATCTCCATCCGAATCAACGCCCTCAAAGGATGTGGCAGGTCTGTCCAGCTCTGAGACCGCACAATGCTTACTATACAAAAACTGACGATTTCGTCGTTCATTGTTTGGTAGGTCTGCGCATCATTGCCGGCGGTACCCATGTTCCGCAAGAAAGTATCCTGGAGCTCAAATCGCGTAGCGGGAAAAATCAGAGACATTCAACCCTGAAGAGTCACTTTTTCCCGCAATTGTTCTTCTCGCACACCTCGAATCTCATCGAGGGCGCGCACACAGACGGCACCGTGTCCGACATCCGCCACCACGACTTTTCTGGTGAAATGGAGCCTCCGCCCGAAAGTCGATCACATGATCGGTTGTGCGTCTTGGTGGCGGCTTTAAAGCTGCTTCAAGAGACTGCGATCAGCCGCAGTCGAAGCGTCCGAAAGGGTCGATTGGTCGTTGTATTTCATGGGAAGCAACTGACTGTTTATGACCCACAAGGCGTCGACGGGCTATTGCCGCAGGCTATTGTCAAGAAATTCTGGCCTCGAGGTCCTACTTAAAAGAGATATGGCAATACTAGGAAGTGATTCGAACCATGTTACGTGCGAACAGCAGTTGGATTTATCCAGTCTTAGTTCACGTATAGTTTAAGTTTGCCCTTCGCTTTTCTTGTCGTCTTGTTTGAGACATTTAACTCTACGACATGTATTAGTTGCCGATCCTTCCCATTCACGATCGGCCTCATATCGCTTGCACATTTAAGTTCAATGTGCTCGTTATTGTACAAGCTTACATACTCGCGACGTGTCGATGTGCAAGTGCAGAACATGAAGTTTCGTCAATAAGATACAATGTCCATGATCAGAAGGGGTATTTGCGCGACAAATTCTTCAAGTAGTCGATACCATCCGATCTGTACGTGTCTTGCGTGATGCTAATGGGAGCCGCCCCGTCCAACAGAGTCAGAAGGTTCGGTGAGTCTTTTGTCCACTTTGGCCAGGTGGTGGCGTTGGTTCCCCCGTTGGGATCAAGGTGGACGGCGAAGCGAACAATCAACTCTTTGAAGTCGTCGCCTGGAGGGCCAAATATATCATAAAGATCCGAAAGGTGATACTATAAGTTTGCGCGTTAAAAAAGACTTCTGGAAACTGAGCCCAAACACTTACAGTGCCCAGATACGGTGTCGATTTGAAACGCTTGTACTCTGAGTGAAGCTGCTATTAGCTCTCGTTTGTTCGATTACATGGGAACACGTACGGAATGCCCAGGCAGGTTGAGTAGATGATAGGTAATCCAAGAAGAAACGCCGAGGGGCTTCAAATATGATGTCTCCGGTCAAGGCAGAGATGCGCTTATATTGAGGCGTCAAAGTGTTGTTGTCGCCGGTGTCGAATGGAGAGCCAACAACAGGATTGGGGGGATAATATTGCATAAGCTGGGTAATTTCACTGCTTGATGCTTTGGAGTAGTAATTAGAATGGATATAGTCGTGTGTTTCTTGATCGGTGCTAAGAGGCATCGCTTAGTCAATGTCGGCCAACGCAAGAATAGCACATACGTGAGGTTTGTAGAAGACAAAGAGAACAAAGTGCCCTCGTCGTCGCAGTCTCCTGATAACATTCAAGCGTGAGTGCGATTGCCTCAAAGGAAGCACGATCACAAACCGTTGATGAATGGCAATTTAGCAGCGACCCCTTTGGCGATGAGTGTCTGCGGGTTCTCTTTCAAGAACACGCCATCTGTACGAGGCTGCCAGACCAAGTTCAAGGACTGTTATGTTGCACTATCAGTAGGGCCATATGGCTGACAACCAATTGACGCACAGAGTAATTGAAGAGCGAGGGTGTGCTGTTGGTCGCGGCAGACAATGACTCGAAAGGTACTTCGCGTAAGCACTGTAGAGTGTCCCTTGCACCAGTGCAGCCAGTCTTGTCGACGATGTAGTCATACATCGGCTGTCCATTTGTGATATCGCCCATGGGTTGAGGCGAACCGGAATGCATGATACCCGCGCGGAAGAGTCCTTCGGTATTTCCATTATTGGTGATCATGTGGTTTCCAATCGAGACGCCTCCTGCGCTCTCACCCCAACTGTCGAATGGTGTGTGAGAGGAAATCACATAGGGAGCAACCGATTTCGTACAGTGTCACCTTCTTGGGATCCCCACCAAAGGCGTGGATGTACTTTTGGACCCATCTCAGCGCCTGTCGCTCTGTGAAAACGGAATTAGACTTGATCCATGTAAAATCAGGGGACTACTTACGGTCCTGCATTCCAAGGTTTCCAACGCCGGCTCGCTTGACTTCTTTACTTGCCAGGAATCCGAATGCTGTAAGACAGATTCAACCGTCATAGACCGTTGTGTGGATGAAAATATCATGTATACGCACAATTAAGCCTTTACAGTGATCCTATCACTTAGAACAATCCTTTGAGACAAGATCTGAGACTCACCGGTAGGCAGTGCTAACGAATACTACGGGTGTCCCGATGTCGAGAGACTTCTGGACGATGTAGCTCCCGTCGAACCTGACGTGAAAAGTTGAGTGCGTATCGCTTTCGTCAGATATGTGGCCTCACAAAGAAGTCTCTCCGACCTCCCATCCGCCTGTTCAATATCCGATAGTCATAAGCAAAGACTTCAGACGTCTAAAAACGATGCTAACCTCCGTGGATCCACTGAGGAGGTATGGACGTTCAGATTGAATAGCATGAGATGACGGTAAAATATGCTCACAAACAAGACCGGCAGCTTTGAGTATGACGTAGCATTCGCAGGACTCCATACATTGACATAGAGACCTAGATAGTTTTGGCATGCTTTAAGGCAAGGCCGTTAAGTATACTGAACAAGGACGCACAGTCTTCGCCTGAAGGGGCAGTACCGCCGCCTGGCAGTTGAGAGAGGATCTCTCCCAGCTCTGCGTTAGGGATGGTGGGCGAATACGATTGCTGAGGACATGCGAGCGCAAACTGGGTGGCATTGTGTGTGCCACGGTACGGGAGATTTGGTACAGGCAAACGGAATCGAAGATTTCCGGTTCTGCAGTCAAATTAGGATCAGCATGTTCACAGAAAGCATTAGGGGGACACACGGAGGTAAGGCATATGGGACCCCTAAAAATCTCGTCATATTTCCAAGCGGAGTGCCGACGAACGTTCCTGCATCCAGCCTCACAGTTGATCCAATAGCCGCGCCAAAAGAGGGAAAGCTGGCGACGAGCAATGCCAAATGCAATATGAAAGACGAGAGCGCCATAGTGACCAGTGGAGGGAGAGAGATGGACACGCAGACTAGCTCGAGTGCTGGCTGGGGTGTCGACGGATTCTGGTCAGGATCGCTAGCCTAAATACGCGGACGGCCTGCAGTAATCATCAGAGCATTGTCGGCGTCCTGGGGACAAAAATTTCCGGGCGAGAAATGGGAGTATGTGTGGGTCGGGCATGTGAATGAGCCGCCGCTAAACATTGTAGTTCTGGAAGCGCTATTCATGACCGATATTCACAAATCAGGCCAGAATCTATGTCTTCTGCATATGTCTTGAGAAGAATAGACAAGGTCGCACTTGTAATAGGTTCCCGGCCTATCGAGTGTCATCAGTTCACGGAGGTTGGGTGGAGCATGCTTAGCGCTTTCGGCTTCGACGCCCGTCGATGTATGGATACGCGCAGTGCACATTCGTGAACCTTATGTGTCGTCAGCGACAAAGATATTTTCCGGTTGAGTTGCGGAATGTTGTCTCTTCTTTACCGAGTGAAAGTCGACGAGGGTGAACGGTATCTACAAACAGTCAGCTGATGATCGATTGAACGAACAGCTATTCTCACCAGGCCATGATCATGGGTCAAAAAATGGCGATGGCCATGAACAAGGTTGCGATTGAGTTTCATCGGCGTGGATCCCGAGCTTGAACGGTTCGGCTTTGAGCTTGCTATCATCGCGAACCCTGATCGCAGAATGGATGAGGCAACCCGGCCAGGACCGCGAAGTTCTGGAAAGCATCAGCAAGGCGGTATTCCCGTGGGTGCACAAGAAGTCCTTCCCAGACTTACGCAGAGGCATGCCTCTCGGAACCATCGTGGTGTTCCCCGGTCGGCCAAAACATTGTGCAAACACGCTTCAAGCGCTTGGGGCACATCTATATTTGACATGCGAAGATGACAGCAGACGAAAGATAATGAGGCCGGTTTGAACACCGAGGTGAAAGCGAACTTGATTTGCCACGGTCTCGGCAGATTTATCGTGGAGCTTGTATTTGAGGCTACCAATGGCGAGCTGGCGATGCATCTCGGCATTGCACACAACTGACACGCGGATCCTATCTGCGTATAACTCTTCGCAAGGCGACAACGTAGTATTCGTATATGACGAGCAACATCTATCGTGTCGTAGAGGCGCTGTTAACATCCCATCAGAAGCTAAGCACTTAGCTTGAAATCTCCCAGGAGTTGCGATATAATGGTACGTGGCAATCATGTTTAGGGTGCTCATTACAAATAGAAACCTTCTCTCGCATCGCTGCTGCCGAATCTTTACTTACTATCTCTTTGCTGAACAAGCTGATCTGATCAAACAAGCTCTCGTAACTGATAATCTCGGGCAAATTTTCCGAGGCCGAACGTTCTTTCGGCGTTCAGACGCCATGATGTTTGCCAGTACGGTGTATCTCAATATTTAACATACCTTGAGCAGATATTCGATCGTGGAGAGATGGGTAATGTGCTGGTGTGTACTTCAGCTGATCAAGAAGTTCATTCCAAACGGCTCAATGTTTCACACTAACTGCCACTCCTATGTTTCTAGTTTCGAACGCACAGATGCCACTGGCGCTCACGAGAAATGAGCGATATGGGGGTCACGGGTATCGGTAGACACGGGTATATTTGAAGTTGACGTACCCATCTGCTATGCTATTGATGTAATGGATATGTTGATTTCTGAACCTGATTTGATTCTCTAGTCGCATTCTCAGTGTTCTGCGCATCGTGCCGACCTTCTAATCGGCACAGATCTCACAGGTCTTACACGCGGTCCGAGCCGTTGTCGTTCTTCATCTTTCCATGTATGTGCACTTTCACGCACGTATATCCGATTGTATTCCCGACGCAAGGCTCTCCCTCCGAAATGAATGAAACCACGTGCACGGACCCTGCACGAGTCCCGCACACCTCGTTATGTGGAACCGCCGGCAGGAGATATTTTTGTCGATAGAGATATTCTAGGTACAGATTAGCCTGACTTCTCGCAGAAGCATCGGCATTTGAAATGCCGATCAAGGAGGAACCTGGAGGAACTCGATGGACTTTTCGGTGGGGCTTTCGGACGGTCACAAGTCTATGCATACGTCTGTGCGAACAGTGGGTTTATATTTCCAGATCAATTGCCTGCGCTGCGGTTCCCACCAAAGGGCCTTTGGAGCTCTAGACCTATACAAGTCACTTCTAGAACGAACGCAGAACATCTTTGATGACTGCTGCAAACTCACTCGATCTCCCTCGGACGCACTGTTGAATGTTCGGAAATGATTGTGGAGATTGCGCAAGCGACGCCGTGCTTCAATTCTTTCGAGAGGGTAGGGTAAATTCGGCAAAGGGATGCGGCCAGTGACGATCTGTCATGTTGAGGGAAAGGTTGCAAAATGTCTGACCGCCTATTTTCGCACGCGTTCTGAAACAATGAGTGAATCTCAGGGCACTGTAATACAGGAACAGGCTATCGAATACCGTGCGTTTATGCCCGGAGTTCGCATATGCAGTGGGTCTTGACCCAAGTGCAGGTGTTTCAGTGGTGAGAGGTGCTGTCTTTAGACCTCTCTAAGAAAATATGAGAGGTACACACCCGTTTTCTTCGGTCTTCCATGACGAAGGGCACTTTCCGCGAGTTCTGGACGCTTGTGACGGCGCCTTGACCAACATTGTCGTAGTTGGATGACCCATAGTCAATTGCTTTCTCCTATCCGCCTGTCTCTCTCCTTCGCTCTTCCCACAACGCTTACCTTTGACGCTCGATGTTGGGGAAGTTTTTCTGACCTGTTGGAGATGTGAGCTATTCCATCCACCTCTCATGCAGATACAGTATCGTTCCCCCGATATCCATTCTTTGGTTAAGGCTTTCGCTCGATGCCTGTCCCTTTTATCGCGTCTTATTACCTTTGATCGGCCGATAGGACAAATCAGGACTCCATGTCCGCTACCCAGTGCTGCCCACGAGTTGTAAAAGACGTTAGCGCGCCTTTCTCATTATTCTGAGGAGCTCTGAGGTCGTCACTTGGAATGCACAGCCTCGGCATCCAGTGAAGCCGTGCCTGTCCGTTTCTTAATCCGCGTTGCGATCAGAGGTTTCATCAAAGGTGTTGCTATTCATCTCCTGTGCACACCCCTGCTCTTCCTGTCCGTACTGGTAGTGGTGGTGCTTGTCCCGACGATGCCTGCATTCTGCTTGGACTTTCGAAGAGGTCAGGAGGTCTAACCCTAACACGAGGGTGAGGTTAGGTGTTCTGTCGCGCAAACAGTCGCAAGCAACAAATTGAGGTCGCGTGCCACTGTTTGCTCTGCTTCAAGTCCAGGTGCTCTCGGTGGAGTCCTTCGACCTAGCTCCGCAAACGTGCGTCTTATCCTTTCTTAATCTTCAGAAGCACTTATATCTCCGCTCACATTGACTTCTTTGCCAGCCGAACCTCCCTTCCTCACTCCTTCACCACCATGTCGGACGAGAACAAGAAAACAATTCCGGCAGCGCTCGCTACCGCAGAGCCCCATCCTCCTCAATCCCCTCGTTTCAAGTCCACCCTCGAGGAGTATGAGCGCTCTGGAGACGACAGACCCCCTTATATTCTAACATACCCAGAGCTCAAGCTCTTAGGCATCGCTGGGGTAAGTATAAGACTTCCATGCATGTGAGGCCGCACATTGACAGCCATCGTACAGGTTGGGTTCTTCCTCGATGGTGCGTCCTCTTGTTCTCTTGAAGCACATATTGTTTATGGGTGACGGAATAGCATATGACCTGTTCATTATCAACGTGAGTTCTTTCCTCGTGTATGTACCTATCCGGACTGACGGTCGACAAATTGCAGCCCGTGGCGACCATGCTTCAATTCCGTCTTTATGGCGGCGAGTCTCTTCCTACGGGTCTTGAGGGATTTGTCAAAGCGGGCGCGAACATTGGGAGTGTCATCGGTCAATTTGCTTTCGGTGCGGTGGCTATTTTTACTGGTGGATGAAAGAAAAAAATGCTCACTATAGTATGGCTCTTTTTGCTGCAGGTTACATGGCTGACCGCTTCGGTCGTAAAGCGATCTGTGCGTATCTAATCTGGCTGCGTTCGATCTGATCTGATCTGATCAATGATCCATGTTTTAAACAGATGGCAAGGAACTCATGCTCATTATATTCGCCACCATTCTCTGCATCTGCGACCCTACTGGTATGTTTCCGTGATTTGATTTTTTTTTTTCGGATTTCTTAAAGGCTTTGTAGGCTCCCTTTCCCCCAACGGCGCACTTATATACCTCGGCGTGTTCCGCATCATTCTTGGTATTGGTGTCGGCGGAGACTACCCGATGTCGGCCTCCATCACCTCTGACCGCGCAAATTTGCGCAAGCGGGGTACCATGCTCGCATACATTTTCGCGAATCAAGGATGGGGCAGTCTTGCAGGGAGCTTGGTCACCATCATCGTCCTGGCTTGTTATAAGCATGTGATGAACGAAGAAGGCAAGACAAGCAAGGTCGACGGAGGTATATACTGAGATCTACCGCTTGTGCCCGCTCGCTCACCCTTTTCTCATAGTCTGGCGTATCGTCGTGGGCCTGTCATTGATTCCCGCCTTTGGCACGCTGTACCAGCGGCTTACGCTTCCCGAGTCGACTCGTTATCTGAAATCAACCAAGACAGATGTTGAAGAAGACCCAATTGAGGAGCTCAAGCAGAAAGCAAATGCTAGCACAGAGGTGCCCGAAAAGGCCGACGCGTCGAACTCGAGCAATGCATCAGAGGAAGGTTCCTCGCCTGCACCTGTTGAAGAACCTGCCCAAACCACTGGTCACAAATCGCACCTCCGGGGTGAGTCTATCGTATCGTCCTCGTGATGCACCGCACTGAGCTGTCATTCCAGAATTCATTCACTATTTCTCGGAATGGCGGCACGCGAAAATCCTCATCGGGACGTGCACGTGCTGGTTCTTGCTCGACATCGCGTACGTCTATTTCCCCGCTCTTCGTCGACGAAGATCGCTTACTTTCCGCTCGTTCATGAATAGTTTCTACGGTATCAACTTGAATCAGAACGTCGTTCTCCAACAGATTGGGTTCGCTGGCAAGACTGGCACGCCTTGGGAACGCCTCTTCAAGATCTCCATCGGTAACATCATCATTACCGCATTGGGCTTCGTTCCAGGTGCGTGGCAATGTTGGAGCAGGAGCTCCCTCGAACGTGCGATGCTCTTGCGTTGGAGCATGCTAATATAATGTCGCGCTTGCGTAGGCTACTATGCCACTGTCCTCACCATTGAGAAGCTTGGACGCAAGTGGATCCAAATACAAGGCTTTTTGATGGCGGCATTATTCCGTACGTCAGCGGGATTTTAGCATCTAGACCTTTGCTCCCTGACCTCTGACGTGCTGCCTTTCATCGTAGTTGGCATCATGGCGGGCAGATTTGATACAATGAACACAGCGTCGTTTGTCGTTTGCTTCGCATTCCTCCAGGTAAGCGGGTATGCTATGCTGGGAGTGCGACATCGTATCTAACTACTTTCACCGCTAGTTCTTCTTCAACTTTGGTGCCAACGCGTGAGTTCTCTCAAAGTCATATTTCCATAGCAGCGTTGATTGGCATGCGTCGTTTAGAACTACCTACGTATGTGTTATATCATATGACATCCTTGCCCTAGCTGACTTACTTTTTTGGTTGTTTAGTGCTACCCGGCCGAAGTCTTCCCGACGCGCTACCGCGCCACTGCACATGGTGTCTCCGCCGCTTGCGGAAAGGCCGGTGCCATCATCGCTGCCCTCGCATTCAACTCGTTGAGCAAGAAGATCGGGACTCCGAATGTTCTCTGGAGTGCGTAGCTCGCGCATCTCAAACTTGGAACACCTTTACTGATTCATTCTGACTTGTTCGCAGTCTTCATGGGTGTTTGCTTCTTGGGTGCTGGTGCGTTCTTTTTTTTATGTGGCTTGTGAGTTGACCTGTTCTGACGTGCTGTCGTGTGTCTGCAGCTTGCACGCTCCTGCTTCCTGAGGTTCGCGGCCGTGACCCCGACGCCATCCTTGCCGAGGAACAGCGGCAGAAACGTGCGCTGTAATACTACTGCGCGTACACACACACGACAGCCATGCATAGTGCATCGCATGACAACATTAGACATTTCAAGGACATAGACATGGAAGCATTTGAGCGTTGAACGTTAACCCTCGCATTAAGTGCCAGAGTGCGGGCAGGGTCCACGAGTTGCACCTGCGAACGGTGATATATCGACGACGATGACGAAGAAGTTTTGTAGGGATCAGTCAGCCGTATATATAAAAAGAATGTAACTATCACTTGATGAGAGTATCATCCACAGCCCGCGCGCCGCGAGGGCACTTCACAGCGTCACTGTCCTGCCATTGCCTACGCTGACACCACTCGACGCACTCTCCACGAAGACGCCAGAGTAGATCAGGCCCTCTGTCGTTCCCTCCTGAATTCCGAAATGTACGACGTCGCTCTGCTGAGCAGACGTTTGTGTCGGATCTATCAAGGGCAGCTAGAATACACATTCGACCATCGTAAGTCAGCCCGGTCTTCCGACATTTCAAAGAAGAAAAGGCACTGACCTTGAGGACGCCAAAGTGAAATTCGCCCTGCCCAGCCGCGCCTGCGGTGGCGCTCGTGTTCGGGACGACGTCCGTGACGGTCTGCAGCGTCTGCGCGTTCGCGGAGTAGAGCACCTGGAGCGTGCGCTGCGTCCAGTCGACGACGACGGCGAAGTTGTGCCAGTCCGCGTCCGTGAACGACGTGTTGAAGACCACCGTGGAGTCGTGCGCCAGCAGCTTCAGCGAGTGGGACAGCGCGTCAGGGGTCTGGTTGAACGGGGTGCCTGATCAGAGGAAGCCCGCGTGCTCGGATCTCAGATTGTGTGCGTTGCCAAAAGGGAGGAAGGAATTTAGGCAGAAGATCAGACGCACCGAGCTCGAGGCCGAAGACGTGCGTTCCATCTGAGGGCTCGATGAACACGACCTGGTAGTCATGCGTGAGGTTCAGCGGCCGCTGTGGATCTGCCTGGAGGGAGAAGTGGAACGCGGTGACGCCGGTCTCGATGGTCTCGTCGAAAGCGGTGCGGTTCGAGATCGGGTTGCCCTGTGCGATGAGCTCGGTCCTTCGGAAACCCAGCTGGGGCGCTGCAGTGCCCGGGGTGAAGACGGAAGTGTTGTCGATGGTAACGCGGATGCTCTGTTCATCGACGCCCCACAAGGGTGTGGGCGCGACGCTCTGTCCTAGCAGAGTAGTGTACTGTCGCGGATTGTGGCGATCAGAACCGAAGTCTGCATGAGACAATGTGCAGAAAAGCACGTACATGGCTCGCGTTTTGGCTGCCTTTTACTGCACTAGAATTGAAAACGCCAACGTCAACTGATACGCTTTCGTCGCAAAAGCATAGTACATACGTGACATATGGCCCGCTTGAGGTGTCCAACTGAGCTGCAGTCAAGTTCGATGGCGCACGTCCGTCGTAGAGTATGCTCGTCGCCGCTGCAACAAAGGTCCCGACCGCTGCCAGAGCTGGGATATACATGATGAAAAGAGATGAAGTAAAGTGAATTTGGGGTTGGTAGAAACGCCGGGGACCGTACACGCGAAAACGCTTTATATACCTTCTCGGCGGAGAAACAATGGACGCGGGGGAAAAGTCGGCGACGGCGGAAGTCAGCCATAAGATGACGCCTTGCTTCTGACCTTGGCTCCGATCATGTTACCCTCCTATAATTTGAGCATCAAACTAGACCACAACGAGGGAATTCAGGGGAGAGGAAGTGTGTGATTGCACAAAGTTGAAGGGAAACTGAGGGAAAAGCAAGGGATCTTTTCAAAAAGACAAATAGTGTCATTGAGATGACAACGTGCGCGGACATCAACAGATGAAATACGAAATATTCATTGTCGCCGTCAACTTTCACCGCATCTTCAAGCGTAAAGAATGGAACAATCCTAGACGGACATTAGGTCTTCGGTTGTGTTTGAATCAAAAAGTATAGGTAGATGCGATATATGCACTCACCAAAGCTACGTCCAAGTTTTTGCACTAGATTTTTCGTCACGTTTCAGTAAGGCCAAGTCCCAAACGGTCGAACTTACTCAAATAATTGATGAACCACGAAGCTTGATACACGTGGGTAGAACATTGCCAAGAGCTCGAAACCGATAGATCCAAAACCTAGCTCAATAAATTACAATCTACGTACCCCTCAGACAACATCACCGCTGTACACTGTCACTTCGAACGTCCGCCCGCCCTGGCAACTTGGTCACCACAAACTTCCTCGTCAACAGGTTGAAGACGCTCCCGAAGATCAGCGCGATGAGCGTACAGCTCATGATGATCACGTTATACGGCATGCTGAAATCCGGTGTGGGGAGGTCGACGAGCATCGCGGGGGTGTACACCCGTCTTGTGCCGTCCCAGCGTCTGCTTGCTCGATCGAGCACGAAGGTCGAGTTGGAGTTGGAAAGCGGGACGAAGACGGCGGGTGGGAGATCCCATCCGCGTTGGGCATCTGGCGGGTGCTCGGTGTAGCGTAGGAAGGATTTTGAGGCGTCCATTGATATGAATAGGGTCGCCGATGGCGGGAGCGTGATCACAGATTGCAAGAGAGCTGGGCTGAAATGTGGTATGGGAGGCGTGTATGTGAGGTTGGAAACCAGGTTGTCTACAGAAACATCAGCCTTACGAGTACACAGATGGAAATTCAAGTATACGCACTGTGCTTCTGCCCAGCTATCTCTACGCGCAAGGTATGCAAGTAGAACTCTACATGCCAAGGCATTGTTTCGAGATACAGCAAACGTATTTCATATGGACGATTGTTGCGAATCACTAGCGAGATTTGGCCCTGGGTCTGGCTTGAGCCCTTCAGCGTGCGCTGCACGGAAAACTCAGATAGAGAAGATCGGGAAATGTCCAGAGCTACGGGATAGTGTAGATCTCAATTCCTGGAGCGAAAGCTACTCGAGATATTACGCACGATATGTGAACGAAGTTTCCCCAGGCCACCGCAAGGCTACATCGAGTTCGTCTGTTACTATTCATAAAATAAGTGCTGATCAGCTAAGAAATAACATGAACTCAAACCTTCCGCGACATTGTATGTTGCAAGACTGCCATCTATATTTGAAGGCTCAGGTGTTATCGAATAGGCACTGCCGCTTATAGACGGAAGTTCGACACGGATTCGACTGCTGTTTGCGACCGGACATGGTCGAGAAATCGTACGGTCAAATATGGACCTTAGCGACCAATCTTTGAAAAGAATCAGATGCTTGTGATTGACGATTTGAAGAGTGTTACCTCTTCTCCCTTCTACAGATATACGAACGGGATCAAGGACGGCCTGTACAGTGAGGGCAAGCTCCACGCCGGCGTCTGCCCTCCATCTCACATGAACGCCAAGGCCGTGCCAGTCGGCATCGAAGATTTTATGAGCCATGAGGAGCGACGCAATGCCTGCGCGGGCAGGGCAAGGAAGGAGTTTGAGGAATGGGGTGAGGTTTTCGGTGCAAACATGCTCTGCGGCGAGCGTAGCGTGGCGGAGACGGTGGGTGTGTGGTGTTGTCAGTACAGGGAGATCGCCAGCAGGAGGGAAAGCACGCGTCGGAGAGGTTGTGACTTGAGTATTCATCCCATTGAGAGATGCACAGAAGAGGCCAGCCAACGCATTTTGTGTGTCTTTCCAGCGTTGATCGACACTGGACAAATGGAGTTGGGAAGGCACGAAACAGTTTATTGAGTGGTGACTCACCTAGTAGGCGCGCCTTCGCCCATCCAAGCCCAAAGCTCTGCACCCGTCCCGACGCCTGTCTCGTCAGGGTACCCCCAGCGGTCATAGTCCCATCGACCGGCATTGAGAGTAAGATGAAGCTCTGTGAGGGCATACTCTCTCAGAATCTGCCCGAGAGCGAGCGGGAACAGTGTGTAGTGCTGTGCTACAGATAAATATGGAGATGGCTCAGGTCATGGGTGGATGACGAGACGTACATTCATCCTCCTCGTTGAGACTGCCGGGTGCACGAGGTCGCGCTCCTTTCAGGAGCGTGGTGAAAGAGAAACGTACTGCCAGCTTTCCATCAGGCAGAGGACGAAGAGTCAGTTCCTCGTTGTATTCTTCTGTGTGGTGTGCCCGAGATGTATGCAGCAATGAGCATAGCAATGAAATCGCAAGAAACCAATGCATGTCCACCCGCTGTGCCCAACGTCGAAACAATAAACGTAGAAGTAAACGCAGTTCGATGCTCGCAGGCCCTGCTTGGCCTTGAGTGAGACTCGGAGAGTAATTGGAGCGTTGAGCGCGACGTTGTAGAGCGCGTTCTTCCCACGGCCTTTACCATCATGCCCAACAGAATTTGGCTCAATCCTGTCAGTATCCTGTCTAGTCTCGTTCTGCCGACTTGTAAATTTTCTGTCTCTCGAAGGGTTCACACACACGGTCTTGAGCTGTCGTACTTCGGGTGAGTTCTTAGCGAAATCAGGATGGGTAGGGCGAGGGTACAATATCGCTATCTGTGTGGTGACATCTTCAGGACTGTGAGTTCCAGATTATTGGGCGCATTTCTTCCGTTATCTCTTCTCACCAGCTCAATGTTGATAGAATATGTCCTTTTTTTCTGTCAGACCTTTAAGACATACCGATACGTTGATTCCGAGCCAGAGGATTTCACAGACGATTAAGACATGTCTACCATCTCCTCCAAACGGTTCTCGGTCCAGGCTGCAGATCCCGAAGACACTGAAGGTCGGGCAAGCCGACGAATCATCGTCAGTAGCAATGCCTTGAAAGGTACAAAACTATGCGCCGGCGATCCTGTCGTTCTGTCTGCAGCTGAGAACAGCCTCTCGCATGATCAAAAAAGGGTGCGAACGATCCCCCTCCAGTCGGTTCGAATAATCTTGAAGAAGACGTGCTGAACAGGCTTATGCGGTTGGCATATTGTGGCCTTCACTGGACTTACCCTCAGATAGTGAGTCCCATCTAGCTTCCATGCCGGGCACAGGTCACTAATTTCCCTTCAGCCGTCGAAGTCGCACCGTCTATCCTCCTCACTGCCCGTGTGACGGAGGGTAGCCAAATCCAATTATTCTCGTTGAGCGTCTCGCAATCCCAGAAACTCGTGAAATGGCTCCCATCTCTCCAGCACTCTTTCGAGGCAGTAACCGTCCGATTGATAGAAGTCGACGCATCTGGGGCGCCGTCTCCACCTTCTAAGAAGGTGAAGGACGACAAAGGGAAGCGCCGCGACTGGCTCACTCTGCTTGCTCGCGAGTCGTTAGGTCTGACCGAATCGCGCTTGCTCTGATTCCCTCCACACTGAAGCTCTCCCTCACAGTCGATCTCAAATATCTCACACCCACTCAGACGATTGAGGTGCAGTACGAAGGACAGACGAGGCGATTTATTGTCTCCTCCGCGACAAAGAACAGCTCCGAAGAAACGGTCACCGATCTGGCCGACAAATTGAATGGACTCAGCGTTGATGCATTGCCGGCATTTTGCACAGTCGGGTGGGATACTGTTGTTACCATCGAGGATAACACGGAACTCATCGTTCCCGAGAAGGTATATCCTTTCATTGCATGTGTAGTGGAACGGCATACTCAATCTCTGTGCAGCCTCCAATTGAGAACTTGGGTCCTCATCGATCCCAAGAAGCCTATGCCTCAGTAGGTGGACTGGAAAAACAGATCACGCAGATACGCGACCTCATTGAGATTCCACTAACAAGACCTGACCTCTTCCGCCATTTCGGTAGGCCTCACCCCACACCCCACCCTTGCATGCATTCAATCCATCTCTCCAGGTCTGAAACCTCCTCGCGGCCTCCTTCTGCACGGCCCGCCAGGGACGGGCAAGACTCACCTTGCGCGCGCGATAGCAGCTTCCACGAACTCATCCGTCTTAATTGTCAATGGGCCAGAACTTAGCTCTGCATACCATGGCGAGACGGAGGCGAGCCTACGCCGTGTATTTGCCGACGCGCGCGCCAAGGCTCCTTGTATCATCGTGCTGGATGAGGTGGATGCTATCTGTCCCCGGCGCGAAGATGGAGCTGGCGGCGAGGTGGAAAAAAGAGTGGTCGCTACGCTATTGACAGAGATGGATGGGGTGGAGGGGGATGGGGATGTCAAGGTTGTCGTTGTCGCGACGACGAATAGACCGAATGCGATCGATCCAGCTCTCAGAAGGCCAGGGAGGTTTGATCGAGAGATTGAAATAGGTCAAGCAGAAAGTCGTGTATTCATGTCACGTTTGACTGACGCTGCGTTCAATCTTTAGGAATTCCCGATATCGAGGCCCGCATCTCCATCTTTCAAGTTCTGCTCGCCAAAACGCCAAATACAGTTACTCTTGGGGACCTTCGATCCATCGCCTCGCGCGCTCACGGTTATGTCGGTGCAGACCTAGCTGCCGTCGTTCGCGAAGCGGGTACCATAGCTATCAAACGCTTCCTCACATCTTCGACTTCAGTGTCTCAATCCGCTGAATCGATCGCTCTGACCGCAAACGATCTCAACATCTCCCTCCCGTCCGTGCGCCCCTCTGCGCTGCGCGCACATTTCTTGGATATGGCGCCTGTTCGATTCTCGGATATCGGTGGACTGTCGTCGACGATCGCACGTTTGCGGGAGAGCGTTGAGTGGCCACTAACTCACGGTGAAGCATTGGCACGGTTGGGTGTCCGTCCTCCGCGAGGCGTCTTGCTGTGTGGCCCGCCTGGATGCAGCAAGACGGTGCTCGTGCGTGCAATTGCGACCGAAAGCGGCGTAAACTTCGTTGCTGTTCGGGGGCCGGAGGCATGTACCGCTCGCATTCCTTTCCATCATGACCCTCGTTCTGACTGGTATCCTCAGCTGCTGAACAAATACGTCGGCGAGTCGGAGCGCGCTGTCAGGGAGATATTCCGCAAAGCCCGTGCAGCAGCCCCCTCCATCATCTTCTTCGTAAGTTATTAATTGATGTTCATTATATGCGATTCTCCATGGTGTCTACTACAGGACGAAATAGACGCACTCGCGACGTCTCGCTCAGCTGGCACAGAGGGAGGGTCGCACGAAGGGGTTCTCATGAGCCTGTTGAACGAGATGGATGGCGTAGAGGAGCTTGTTGGCGTCACTGTCATCGGTGCGACAAACAGACCGGATGTCATTGTGCGTCCCAAAACCACTTCCCCCTCCGCCCTGTTCATCTGATATCATGTCTTTCAAGGATTCTGCGCTCATGCGCCCTGGGAGACTTGATCGCATTCTCTATGTGGGACCGCCAGACCACTCAGGCCGAGTCGATATCTTGAAGATCCGTATGCGCAAGATGAGCGTTGATCCTAGCATTGACCTGAATGAGATCGCGTCATTGGTGCGTGCTACTTTTCGTGCAGTAATAGTCTTTTATCAATTGATGACTTTTCTCAGACGGAAGGGTGTTCCGGCGCAGAAATTTCTGCCCTCTGTCAGGAAGCGGCATTCTTAACTATGCAGAAAGACCTGGATGCTTCATTCGTGAGTAGCGAGGTCTTACTGATGAGGACGACATTTCATTAACATCACCTAGATTCCACATGAAGCGTTTATTACTGCAGCCAAAAATGTGAAGAAACAAATCACGCCAGAGATGCTGCTAAAGTTCCAGCGCTGGAGGAATGACCATGGTGTGGCGAGCTTATGATTGCTACCGTGTCGCTACTGTCAGTCGTCACGCACACTTCGATTGAGAGCGTCAATTTCTGTACACACGTGAGAAAAATACCATTTGTCTGGGGAGTTACCAAAAAAAAACGAGTGAATGATTTGAAGTGTAACCGTGCACATAGTAAATTCCGAGCGAACGAGGTTGCCTCCGCGGTCTTCTCTCCCACAACGCTATAAGCTTCAGTGCCTTTCCTAGGTCATCAATTCCCTCAACCAGCCTCCTCCCATTCTATCAACGTTCTTTGACCCCATTTCGCCATGCCCTCCGCGTTCTTCCCAGCACGCCCCGCGGGCTTCGAGTCACCATCTATCGCGATCGAAAAGGGTGCACACCGCCTCGCACATCCGCCACAACGTCCCTCGTCGCGCTCTCGCGCTCGTGTGCGCACACAATCCCCTTCACATCGAACGACATCTTCGACGGCGAGCGTGACTACGCGGGCATCGATGCAGTATGAGCGGCGTATGGCGAGCCTGGTGGTGTTGCTTGCGATCGCTGCGACCGCAAGCTTTGCGGCGGCATGGATGTTGTTTCTCACTGGCAACAGAGGTGCGTCTGCTATCCCATTGACAGTGCGAGGGATTGTTGAAGAGCCCGCTGGTCTAGTTCCTCGTCGGTAACTAGAGCGTGGCCAGTGCGTGGCCGGATTTGATACGCAGTACTTCGCCATGGCTTCAATTTTCTGACTGGAGGCGCAAAACATTCACTCAACGACTTGCTGTCAGTCACGCACCACCTCGACACTCCCGTAGCCTCCCGTAGCCCTTTCCAGCCGCCCACCCACAAATACGCTGCAGTCAAGAAACGCGGCGAGTCGGGATTCCGCTGCAGAGCTTTAACGGACCATTAAGGCAGTCGCACGAGGACCTTATCTCCCTTTCCTTGTCTATAGGCACTCCCGATTCTTGAGGACATTTTTAGGACCACTTTCGCAATGACATGCGCCAGACATTCTTTTCGATTCTTTTGGGATATTTCACGTCCCGTGTGTTGTATAACTGTCGAGCTGACTTCTGTTGGCTACTGCGACTATTTATGCCTTATTTAGGAGCTCCGTCCGCTATACTCAGTGCAACTTATTGTCTTCAAGTAGCGGAAGTACTTTAGATGCTGGAGACTGCCCACTCCGTTGCTTACCCCTCAGAAGCAGTCGATAAACGTTCGGGCAACACCGTCTGATGTCTGCCCATCTATTGGATTATAGGTATCAAGTTTATCCATGGCCGTCTCGAGAACTATGCCATCCGGCGGTGAGCCAGCCGATACAAAAGGGTATGGCTCTAAAACTATAAGCAAACAACTTGTCCAAAGAGTCGACGGACACGCGAAATAGCATCAGAGGTGTCGCTGGCTCGTCGAAGGTGCGTATGGATCATATGCTTCAGAGGTGATGACCGAAGAGGTGGTGTCGCTGGACAAGGTTCGAGTGCGACGAGCTTTCTTTCTCTTGGCTAGAAGACAGAAAGCGTAAGTACGTCACCGAGAGGTTCATCACAATACGCACCTGCAACGCGCCGCTTCCTCATCTTACGCAACCGCATCTCAGCCCGGTCATCCTCTTCGGCCTCCGCGAACGCCCACAGCGCGCGCTCCGTCTCCCGCGCCAGCTTCACCGGTGGCGCGTCCCCCGCAACCATGGCGGCCATGGCGGCGTCACAGCATCTGCAGGGCACAATGTCCGCACCGAGGCGCAGACGCCAGTATGCGCGCCGGAGGTCCCGGACGAGGCTCGACGAGGCGGGGTGCTTGTCCAGGGCGTGCTCAAAGGCCCGGAGCGCGGCGACCGCGATCGGGGACGTGATCTGTGCCGCGGCACTAAGAGGCGCGCCGCTTTGCTTGGGGAGCGCGGTGGGAGGGTAGCCTGCGAAGCGGATGTAATGAGGCAGGATGGCGGACAGTGTTGGAGGCGCAGCAGAATCGGAAAGGGTCGAGAGAGCGAGCGATAACGCGGTAGGCATGGGTGTAATCGTTTGCGGAATAATGGGGCACAAATATTGTGATATGGAAGATGATTTGGATGCAGACTAACGGGCTTGAGGGGAGGGCTTACTTATCCATTCATGTATACATTCTTTTGATGGTGCAGGCCGGTACAGAGTGCCAAGCTTGACACGACAAAGGATATGCTTGCTACACCAATTACACAAAGCTCCAAGGATTCTTCCGTCTGTGGGCTGCGGCGAGCCTTCAAGAGATGCACCTGAATCAAGTATTTATAACAGGCCAAGAAATGAGCCTATATATGTAGTCAATATCAAAAGAATTCTACAAAAATAGTGTCTGTCTAGTATAATATCTAGAGGTCTCAAATAAGCAATTCTATATCATGAAAGCATAGAAAAATGCTCACCAAGTATATTATTCCCTAGATTCTTCGACAATCTCTATATCAAGTACAATATCATGCTCATGAATAGATTGTGATTGATAAAATTCTGCCTCAGATAAATCATGAAAACCCCCAAGCTCCTGTGGAATAGAGGCATGGACTATTGGAACTGAGATCCTTGACATTTCCTCAACTGTGTTGTTTAGACTGACTACAATCATAATAATTGTTGGATATATCCCCTGAAAAATCAACTAATCAGAAAAGTGATGATATTGAAAAAATCACTTACTGTCAAGAATGCACCAAGATCAAAGAATATATCTACTGAAAGACCATGGATACTTATAAATGATGAACAAATAAGAAAAATCTATTTGAATAAGTTAGCTTGGTAAAAGAATATTCATTAGGTTATTACCTATAGACCACAGTATAGAATGCCAGACTCTATAAGCAAAGCAAGAATCTTTTCAATTTGAGTTTTCTTATTGTTTGCCAAATATGCCTTAACAGATTGGCGATATTCCCTTAAAATGCAGTAAGTCAGCTATAACAATAAGGCTTGTTTTTAGAAAAGATACAAACCATGCCTTATATGCTATCAAAATTGTTACCACTAAGTTTAATATAAACTCTAGACCCCATTGGGCTATTTGAAAATATCTTGAATATATAAATTCCCAGTCTTGTCCATTTATATCTCCAAGAGCATTGATAATATAATTTGGAATTGTGAACACTAAAAATCACTTAGTATAAAACATAAAAATAGGATTTAGATAGAAATTCACTTGTAGTCACGATAAAAATCCCTTTGGTGAAGGCCATAATATAATGGTTTTTCCATAATATTTGGGCTCTCCATACTATGATTATGTTTCCTAAAAATGCCTAAAGCTTGTCTTAGTCCTCTTTAAATAGAAGAATGTTAGGAACAACAAACAATAATAGCTCGGCAAAAATAGCTTATAATTCCAGATATCAGAAGTCTTTGATTAATCTTGGAGAATTTTTTTTCTAGTGGCTGATTGTCTATTAACACAAGCACATCTTGGATGCTTTGAATAGTGTTAATTATTGTGATCAATGATGTAATTGCTGCTATTATAAATATTAGCATAGTAGCAGCAAACATATATGATTTGGCCCTGGATATTATTGTTCCTTGGCTATATGATTTTAGAGTATTTTCACTCGAATAAATATTAAAAAAACTTACTAAGAAAGGTATATCAAATAAAGAACCAGGATAAAATAAACTCCTAAAAGTTTGTGTTTTGGATTAGTTTCTTACTAAGACAAAGGCATTAATAACAAACCAAAGAACAAGCATGTGATGACTACTTGTATAACATAAGTTAGAATGACTCTACCAACATGCTGAACAATCTCGGAGTTTTCAGATACATTCATGGGGCAGACTGATGAGAGCAGATGCTAAGATTGTGGGTGTGAATGAAGAAGGTATGAAGTATTCTGTATCATGAGTCATGACAATTTATATATCAGCAATGGACTGGGTGATAAAGACACTGATCAGATAAATGTCAATTCTACATCGAAGGCGACAAGGAGATCCGAGATGCATGTTGCCAAGCTTGAACAGACTGTGAGGCATCAAAGGCTCTGCAGAGCTCGGAGCTCAAGACAATCACAGATGGTTTCACAGCTCAGGACCGCTCAGGAGTTGAGCAGATGAAAGCAATCTGATATCATACCACTGAGATGTTTTGCATCATGCAGAGAAAGACAATGCACTGTTGAGTGGAAGGTTTCGAGACCGGGGCCCTGCGATCGACCTCAGCTGATTGTTGTCCTGTATAATCTGGGCGTGCACCTTCGGAATGCGGCCTGCTGCCGAGGCACTGCCTGTACAGATCAATCACCGCGCGCAGACCCGAACGCACTGCGCCTGTCGCGAGAGGACGAGACAGATCGGTGTCGACACCTCGCAACGAGTTGAGACGCACCATCGACAAGCCTCGCAAACCCTTACTTCTCACCTCGATCCTATGCTCGTGTTGCGAATTGGAAGCACACCTCTGTCTTTCGAAGATAGTTATATGATGCATTGCGCGTCAGGTATCCCGTGTACTTTTCCTGTCCACAGAGAGGCCGAGATTCGAGGTTGCATCAAAGCTCGATCGCGGTATGATACCACCTTTTCTGCGCTCCAGAAGAGCAATGTGTATCCAAAAGCAAAACCAGACGCGAATTCGACAGATTAGAAGAGTCGTGACGACTCTTAACATCGCGGAACGCACCTTGGATGAATGCACATTCCAAGCTGTCTCTCTTGAGCTTCGAGGCGCAAGCTCAGAAGCTGTTGGAGGTACTGATACAGGAATATAGATAGTGCGGTGATATGTGGTCGGAGGCGTGGAATCAGGAGGAGAGGAGGGCACCGCGTCCGCGATGCTCGATGGGCAGCCTGATGGAAATAGAAAGCTGTAGCGCTTGAGAATCTAATTCATCGATCAGTATTTGCTTCAGCGATGCACCAGAACTCACAACGCAGAAAACACCTGCACACCCAGCTCATACAGATGTCATCCTGCACAGCGGATGCGGAAGAGATGATCGACCTGGGAAGAAGGATCAGGCCAGACGCGCTCGCCGCGGTGTGCATGCGCCGTGCACTATGCAGAGAATCAAGACGTATGCGTGCAAGGCGCTCGGAGGCTTGCGTTGAGCGCGCACGAAGGGCCGCGGGGAAGCCAGGATATTAACGGCGTCCATGGGTCTATCCCTCAATGCCAACGCTCGTCAAGACAGCGCGAGCTGCTCGGTCCTCAGACTAGCGATCGTTGAGATAACAAAGGGGAGAACGCTCCTCTAAGTGAATCCGCTGTTGATATGAAGCTTGTATATTGTGCGCATTATAGATACATGACTAGACATGAACGGCACACAGACGTTCAGCACTCATCTAGCACAACGAGTGCGAGTTCAGACTGGATCTGCCGCAATAACGCCCATGCAATGCTCACCATATTCCAACCAAGCTCGACAGCCTCCCATGAAATCGCTGCAACCTCGAGCGTCTGCCTTCCGTTCGGGCCCTGCAACTTCATCGTCAAACCGTCAACGATGCAAATTTCGGCTCTACGAATGACGGTACTGCGTATGCTGGCGAGAAACGTTAATTATCTCATGCCCGATCGTTGATCGTGAAGTTGATAGACTACCGGGACATGAGACAGACGTCGACATTCTAATTCCTTACGAAAGTGGACGTACGTCTTGTTTCTCTGTGTATCTATGCATCCTGGTCCTACCCTTGTGTCACCAATAAATGTACTAACACAACAGCCTTGTGTGTTATCGTGCATCGTGCAAAGGTGTACCGATTGGTCCGCACCCATGCACGTACAATGCGCGATGGATGCGAATGACTTGAAGATCTGGGACGGCAATGTTATGTCCTCGCTCCAGACACGAAAGGGTTTCGGATTTCGATCGAAAGTGAACTTCTGCGTTATCTGCCATCCTTCCCATGCTATTGGTGATTGCTTTGCGACAGATTGCTTTGGTAGCAAGACGATGACTTAAGTAGGGAAATTTTGACGCCGCTCGAGGTGTTTGAGAGTTCAATGAACAACACGCTGACCAGCAGCTCCGTTGTCCAGGCGACTGACTGTCGATTCGGGTGCTACGACTCTGTGCCTTGATATGCTCTGAACAGGACACGATCTCTTGATGCTTCTGTGCCCATGAACCAAGTGGAAGACTTCAAGCTCATTCAAGCAAAAAGCGACAGGGAACAAGAAATACAAGATCGTACATGCAGCCTATCAAGAGCATTCTCAAAGCTTCGATCCAACCCCCGCGCTCCCACCCGCCCCGTAAACCATCTTCAAATCAAGCTCTGCCCTCCTCCTCCATTCCTTCTGCAGCGCAGCTATGCCTCTCAAATCCCCTTCCATATCACCCTCTTCGACCCACCTCCTGAACGCCTCAATGTCCACTTCCTTCGTAGCTTCGCCATTCCTGACGGCCCACGCCGCACGCCCCAAGAGGAAGAGCGCGCACGACACACTCGCGAAGAGGTTGAGCACAGAACGGGCTATCAGCGGGTTTGTGGCGTTCTGCGTGAAGAGAGGAGGCAGCTGCTCGACGAGTCCTGCCAGCGTTCCGATGGCGGCAGGAGAAATTTCCGTGGATGTTTCGCCGATCGCTCTAGGCAGAAGTGCTTGTGCCCACTGGCCGTCGACGGGTCAGCGAGCCACATTGATATGTTTTTGAGGATATAGGAGTTCGCAACTGACCTTCATATAACTTTCGATCGTCTTCGCATCCTTTGTCGCGCGCACGAGGTCAAGCGCCAGTATGTTGACCGTCCCCTCCCAGATTCTCTCCACCAAGCTATCCTTTATCAACCTACCAATGCCTACCTCCTCCATATATCCAAGCCCACCGAGAGAGCCCATGCACTCCTCCATCACTGTCGGACACCTCACCGCCGCGTAACCTTTGATCGCCAGAGTCAACAGTCTCAGCCGCCTCTCCTCATCCTCACTCGCGATACCGCACTGCGTCCATCCCAGCAGCACGACCATCCTGAACGTCACATGCGTCAATGCCTGATGCAATAAGCTGACTTCGGCGAGTGCGGTCACATACAAGGGCACATCACAAAGCTTCCCTTTCCCCCCTTCGATGGCCCTTACCCGAGCATACGACCGCGCGATTGCCAGACACCCCTGCAAGCTCCCGACCGAATGCACGGCAGAGTGCATCCTAGTAATGCCCAGCACCGTCACGATAGCTTTCACGCTCTCCTCCGGTTGGCCAAGCAACCATGCCCTGGTCCCTTCCAGTTCCAGTTCGGCGGTCGGCACGCCATGAGCTCCTAGCTTCTGTTTGAGCCTGTGGATCTTGACTCCGTTGCTTAGTGGGGTGGGATGCTGTGCATGGCGAAGCGGGACGGCAAAGAGCGAGAGCCCTCGCGAGCCTTGTTGGGGCGTGCCCATGCGTGCGAGGGCCACAGCCATGTTGCTCTCGGCCGCGCTGGAGAACCATTTGAATCCGTTGAGTACACATGGTGTTCCCAGGTCTGTCTGAGTTGGCGATGTAGGCACGGCTGTTGTCTCAGTCTGCGAGATGTCAGATCCACCGGGACGCTGAACGATACAGAGATTTCTTGAGATTCGTTTTTACAGGGCGCTTCGAGGCGCTCACCTCTGTCATCCATTGCCCAGATAAGTATGCAATTGATGGGTCATGACTGTGCCAGACGTTTTAGACGCATGATTGCAAGAGTACACACTGGGCAGAAACACGCACCTGATCAACCTGGGCAACAGCTGCTGCTTCATCTCGTCCGTCCCAGACAGTTCTATGCCTGCGTATAACACATGACCCAACGAGCACACTTCAGAAATACAAGGAAGAAAAATCCCTGCAGACGACGTACGACGTGACAATCACCGGTCATAGTCATTACCTTGACAAACGAGTATCTTCTGCTGTACTCGTTATACTTGCGCTCATATGCGATGGACACGAATCCTTCTCTGATTGCGAGCTCCTCTATCTTTCTCCATGCCTCAGACGTGTGCAGCTGATCAACGCGCCGTTCCCATTGATCGTACTAATTCAAGGAGGCCGGGTGAACATGCATTGATAGAAGGCGTATCTCTAAATACATCGTAGGCCAGTCAGCAAGGAATAAACAAGACATCACAAGAGCTGAGATACAAGAGAAACGCATCGTCCACGATGTAGGTCCCTAGTCGGGTGATATCATGCTCAACTTCCTGTCTAATGCTAAAGCATGACTTGATGTTAATCACACAAAACTGCTATCGGAGTAGTAAGTACAGACCTTGAAGGCAAGAGCCTCCGGAGCAGACTAGGCAGAACCAGGTCTGCTGTATAGGGATTCTCGGACTCGTCATATATTTCCTGTAAAGGGAAAGGAAGTCTCATTAATATGAGACGCAACAACCACGAGAGAATGCACACCTGGTGAAACCCGTTCTCAATACGCATCGCAGTCGAAACCCCGAGGGAAATACGCGTACTGGGCCACAGACGGCCGGTATTTATGCGAATATTAACATGCTCTAGCCTCTCTAAGGCTGGTTGAGACCACAGGACTGTCCGGGTCTCGGTGGTCTCAGTCGGTTGAGGTGCTTAGTCTCCAGTGCTGACCTGGACAGAAGTCAGCCATTCTGCGAACGACTTCTCTCGGTAGAGGCTCTCCAGGTCATATGGCACGTGCCCTGAACACGCGCCCAGTTCCAGTCAGGGCATTTTTTATTCGCTGAAGCCTAGTGAAGCCTCCGGAGTACTGGTGACCAATATCGGATCGAGAGATCATGCAGCTCTAAGATCCAGCAATAGGTGCCTGCATGCGTCCTTATAAAAAAATGCTTGAATTCTGACCTTGGAGATTTACAGTAATCCGGTTCTAATCGCCAAAAGGTGTAAGATGTATGGGTCCAGGTGTCAGTGGAGCAATGACATTATTAGGTCAGTCTCGGAGTTCAAGCTTTCGAAAGTTTCGCTCTGTCCAGAACGAACACAAGACGGTAGACGTCGATGGCTCGCTTCCAATGCGATAGAATTGACCCTGTCAAATGAAACTGGAGGACAGCGAAACGGGACTTCCATTTGGACTTCGACCAGCACGAGGGCCATGGCGCGAACGCAAAGCTTGGATTAAAATTCTAGGATAGGCATTATTCTGTGCCGAAGATACGTGCGAACATACATAGGTCTATCACAAAAGCACAGCTGATGCGGCGCGTAAGACTCACTGCGTCGTATGTCAAGAAGTTTCTTCGGTGCGCTCGAGGGAGTCGCCATCGTCATCTAAGAGGACATCGATACGCGAGCGATCAGGCATCAACGGCATGCTGATGCCATCTGTCTGCAAGAAATCGGTGAGCGTCAACGGCCGCAGGTCGAATCCCTGTGGAACGCAAAATGAGTTCGTTCAACCCAACTCGGCCAAAGCAAAGAGGGGCGTACTTCAGCTTGACCCTGAGCAAGGAGTGCGGCGTTTCCGCCGGCCTGGCGAACGTATTCGCGCACGGGAACCATAGCCGCGTTGCGGCAGAGCTCCCTGAGGTCCGAACCGGACAAACCCTCCGCAGACTCCGCCAGCATGCGAATTGGGAAGTCAGGGGCGAGAGAGACGTCCTTCAACATCTATGATGTCTGTCAGTGCTGAGCATATAGGAGCAGTCGAATGTGGTGAGTGCGAACTAAGAGTGACACGGGTATCTGGGTATACAAAGCCAAATGGCGAATACGGGTACCTCGGTATACAAAGCCGAATGGCGATTAAGACTCACCAGAGTTAGAATCTTCTGTCGTTGATTGACGTCCGGGAGAAGAAGAGGGAACCGCTTCGGCATCCTGCGCAGTATCGCAGAGTCAATATCACGGATGCGATTAGTGGCGCCGAGAACCAATATCCGGTCCGACGCAGATAGCAGCCCATCCCACAACCTGCAAACAATGATGTATCAGATCGCACCAAAGTCGCGTATCCGCAGGCATGAGAACGCACGTCATAAACTCTGCCTTCATCATAGCAGTGACCTCGTGATCGCCCTTAGTGCGCTCACGCAGGAACGAGTCGATTTCGTCGATGAAGATGATGCATGGCTGTACCTTGCGCGCGAGGCTGAACAGGCCGGCGACAAGCTTGTTCGACTCGCCATACCACTTGTTAGTGAGAACCGACACGGCAATATTGATAAATGTCGCGCCAGACTCTTTTGCGAGCGCCTTCGCAAGCATTGTCTTCCCGCACCCGGGCGGACCGTAGAGCAATACACCCTTTGGCGCGGTACGAAGAGTCGAGGATGCATTGAAGAGGGAAGGGTAGAGCAGAGGGAAGATGATTGATTCCTGTAACGAGGATATGATGTCGTCGAGACCACCGATATCTGAAAGAGATAAGTCACGACCGAAACAGGATAGACGCAGTGCAACTACGGACCCGCGAACCGGACAGTGATGTCGTCGGGATGAATGACTTCAGATGCGATGGTTTCTAAGCCAAGTTGAACGTTCTGGCCAAGAATGCGAACACACAGACGCACTTTCATACTCGTCGAGCTCCAGCTTTTCGTGTCCTAGTTTCTTCAATGCTTCGAGGGGCTTGGCTTTTACCTCTTTTTCCCGGTTCGGGCTGAACGAGTCCAGCATCCACTGCATCACACGTTACTTAAACACTCATTCAGAATGATACAAGAGCACAAACATGGACGGTGTACCACATGGCTGCCTTGCACGCCCATTTAGCTAGCCGGTTTCGAGTGAAGGACATGCACGCACTTGAGAGGCCAAAAAGATCGCCACTTCAGGTTTTAAGATGGTTAAGTCAGTTTGCGGCAAGAAAAATGAGAGACTTCACCATCAAGCAACGCTTTCTTTGTCGTAGAAGACATCGCCATGGCTGATGACGGAGGCGTAAGCGCTTCGGGCACAAAACCTCTGCACTATGGTCGCAATTTTCCAGTTACACCAGGCTACACCAGGCAATCACTGAAGTGTTCAAAGAGAGACCAGGACAAGAAACAATGGATCGAACCGAAAACCGCGAGGGTGTACAACCAAAGGACTATCCTATCGCGTAATCGTAAGTACTTGTCGCCATAAAATTACATAATGAAGGGTATAAGTAGTCCATATCGAATGCAGCACAGGACCCATACATTACAAGCAGATCCCTACTCTGATGTAGCCTACACACATCCTCAAAAACAAGCTTCGGGACACTTCGTTATCTAGCCCTTAAGGTACTGTGAGACACAAGGGTATCCAGAATCAGTCATGGCTGGATCCAGGAGTAGCTAATGCTCCTCGACACAGCCACCTGCACCTGGTGGGCCTACCCCGTGACGTCGGCGAGGGCTCGCGTCTCACAACGCGCGCTGAATATACGCCTGCGCAGGCATAGCGAGCACGTTATCGCTAGACTGCGTCATCAGCGTGTCTGAAGACGGGAGCCTCCGATGGCTCGCGCGAGCAGGCCGAGGGGGGCCGGAGATGGGCCGCTGTACCCTGCGCAAGCGCAAGGGGGTGGCCCTCGTTCGTCGGCATTTCCAAATCAATATGAAGCCGATGATGACGACGAGGAACAACACTGTGGGGAAGGCGCGGGGTAGGAGGCATAGAAGAACGAATGGGTGGTCAGCAAGACGGAGTCATAAGAGTCTTCCGGGGGTGTCACACCTAGCACCACCCCAATGGCAACCCTTGTGGATGGGGACAGTTTCCCGCCATCTGACCACTCCTCGTTCGCATCTGCGCCAACGTCTCTCGCACTGGCAATGATAGCCATGGGCATGCGCAGTACGATGAAAAACAGACTGAGCACAATATCAAGGTGTAGAGTGTGACCTGTCTTTGGGGTAGAGGAGGGTCGATGTCTGGTAGACGGAAGTTGGAGAGAAGAGTCATTTCTGTCTTATATACGGCGTAGATCGTCTCCCAGATCTGGTGGCTGTGTTCAGGCAATCATGCTTGTGAAGGAGCCGAGCAATATAATTTTCAATTTGGTTCCGTCCAAACATCAGCAAACCTGTAACCGGTCCCAGCCAGTCCCAGAGCCCCAGATGCTCCTAGATGCTTAGGTCATCTGGGGATATCTGGCTAGATATCTGTGTATGGCCAGATCTGGGCAGATAAGGTGCTCTATCAATAAGTTGACTAGGAGCACATTTCCGGAAGGCAGAGTATGTAAGATTCCCACAGTACTGGAAAATCAAGAAATACATTTGTTGGACTTCAAAGATTTTAATTGACATTGATGCTATCTGTTAGATTTCAGCTCATGAGTGGTATTGGGATACTTCCCTGTATCATAGCATTCGAATGATGTATCATATGCCATCATTCTTCCATGGATAGATGCTAAACATGCGAAAATAGATGACACCTCACAGGGTTTAGGCATCTCAAATTCTGTGAAGTCCCAAAAAGTGCGATATAAGCTAATTGTTGACAAAAGATATCATGGCCATATGGTGGAGTGGATAATTCTGGTACTCACATTGCTCTTAGCCAGTGAATAGTTCAAGAGGTTCTGGGTTCAATCCTTGCTTAGTACAGATTAATTTTTGCGGTCATCTATTGACATCAATTATCTAATCACTTCCATATATGGTGCATCTGGACAGATATGTCCAGACACTGACCAGAAGTCATAGTGTCTGTCTAATCGGGGACTTGCTAGGGGCATCTAGGGCTCTGGAGCATCTGTCCAGCTCTGTATAGACGCTTCCCAGTTTGCTGATGAAGGCACAGAGACAATGGCAAAGGAGACACGATTGCTTTCCTTTGCAAGATATCCAATGTCTTTCTACCCGACTGCAAACCCGTGTCCCATCCTCAAAATATTGATATAAGATTTTCAGGCAATCATATACTATATCGACGGTGTCACGGAGACAAAAAATATGGAGGTATGTGGGTGTTTGTGACAAGAATCATCCGTGACAGGAGGCAATGCATAATCGGATTCTTGACCTTGCAGGTTCGATCGGGAGGAGTGGCTTATGGGGTAGTCGACTCGAGATTGATTTCACGCCCAAAATCTATCGAGAATGAGGAAGATGTATCAGTCTCTTATGTAGGCATATGTGGCCTTTCCATAAACAAGTTTTCTTTGCGGGTGAGGCTGACCAGCAGCCAGCTGCGGACGCAAGTCACACTTCAGCCACGCAATCGCAGATCCTGCATCAGAAAATATACTTCAGGCCCGATACAGCCATTCTTAGAACTCACCCCAAGCTGCACTTGGTCACAGTCGCGTGCCATTGCGAGCACGGGGAAAGCGATGACGGCCGGATATTACCTTGGCAAGGATCAGTACAAGCCTGAGCGTCCCGAGGTTTCATAGGTGCCGTGTAAACACCGCTGCACATGACATAGATGACTATCTGATGAATGACAGGTAAGTGGTTGTGCAGGCAGATAACGTCGAGGCATTCTGTCACCGACGCATCATGGCCATGAGAAATGCGCAATGTTTCGGGGGGTATTGGGAACATTAAGAACACCTCAATGAAGTTGGGCCCACACACCGTTACACACAAGTGAAAAGAGGAGAAGTAGCTTATTCGTGCGAAAATTGAATTCGAAGACACAATGCTAGGTGACTACGCGGAGTTGTCTTCCTGAGCTTACGTATCAGTTCAGTCTTCGTTCCATGAGCACGATGACCCGAGCTGATCGTATCATACAATGCTGCGAGGAGTCGAATCATTGCGATATGGAGCCGGATCTCGTGGGATGCCGACTTCGCCGCTTGATAAGTGATCTAGCAGCGCAGATTGGGAAGCCAGAACCAAGGAAGCATACAGCTCGAACGGGGCAGGTAGCAAGGATTGAAACCGGAGGTGAAGTAGGTGCATACCGATGCGGTGGGCCTCCGAGGCTTCCGAAGCTACACTCGGGTTTCAAGGGGATCGATAGAGAAACTCGCAGCCGAAATGGGTCGACGACATATTATGACGTGAAGAAAAAACCCAAAGAAGAGCAGAAAGGGGTTCCACCCAGACGCGTGTAAGAGGCACCAGAGAACCGCAAGGGTCGCATTGATCGCAACAAGGCGATCTACTTCAGCGGAAGCTCGCCAGCCCATCCGAGTTCAAATCGAGCTCAAGGAACAAACTCAAATGCGCATATAATAGTGTTTTCCAATTGGGGTAATATGCAGGTCTCCGTGTTGCATACTCGAAGTGGGCTATGCGCGCCTAACGTGCATGTCGGAAGTACCAGCCAAGGAAGGTGTTGGCTGCATAGCTCTCAGCACGCGGTGAGCGGCGGAGTAAAGGACCAACGATGCGAATGCAAAGAGGGGTGTTCGTTCCAGGACAGATATCCTAGGTTTGCTGTTTTCGCGTTTCTAAAACGATCGATTCCTGTGGGGGGACCGATATGGACACAGAGCGCGAGATCACCATTTAAGCCGAAAAAGGTTGCAGTGATGACAATATGGCTAGTCATTCGCTCCACCGACCGTGCGAGTAAGATACACATACATTGGTATATGTACTATGGTACTTACGTGGACCGAGGAGAATGCCCTCATGAACGGAATCAAACTGGCTGAATCAACTGCACGAGCGAACAATCAAACCGAATCGAATGACATCAGAGTTATATACAGTGCTTACGAGGAAATGGCCAGTTTTGAACCAGCAATATGGCCTTCTGGAAACATAGCGAACTTGTGGACACGCCACATAAGTTGGTCGATCACACGTTGCTGACTCAATCTCATGACCCAAGATCATGAGAACCGTCCGTCGCAGATGTGGAGCTATACATATTGTTGCTAAGCAGGGGCTACGAAGGCACTTTGAGTGTTTGAGTTTCTACCGAGCGGCAATGAGACCTTTCGGAAAAGACTGGTCAGCACGTTAACAGTCGAAGGTGTACACTTAATTATGTGATGGGTTTCTTTTCCTGCCCCTTTCTGCATTGAGATGGGAATATTTGAGCGCCCCTCCGTAGGCAGGGCATGGCCGAAAGCAAATTTAGTATATTGGACATGAGGAGTTGAAGATCAACTGGGAGCTTTACGAGTCAAGTTCGCATCTATCATAGCTACTCCTCTTGCATGGGACATGATGCATGATGATTAATGCAAAATTTCCCCAATCAAAAACTGTGGTGCACCAATTAACGGCCTAGTGTTCCGAGGACAAGATGGAGGTGTTATCATCGAAGTGAGGTTCTGGAAAACCCATAGTCTAGGCTTCAGTTGGAGTGCCAGAAGAGATAGTATTCTAATGCCAAAAAAACCTTCCAAATTTCTTTCTGTCTGGCGGCGTTTGACTGGCTCGATAAATGTTGCTGGCATTGTCGAAGAGGACAGGTTCAAGACTGGTGCCATGTTATGATCACGGGGCATTGATGATGTCGTCCGGTATGGTGCTCAGATGAATCCTGATGGGCAGCAGATTCAAGCAGTATGATGTTGAAAAATGAGCCGCTTCACTAGTACTGTGATGCAACCCGTTATCCACCTTTATCTACTGCAACAAAAAGCCTATCTATCCAGCAGACCTTGACAAGTACGTCTTCTAGCATCATCTGGAGACCCAATTCCCCTCGATCGTGAGCCCAAAGCGGTCGCAAGACCGCTGCAAGGCTGTCCGAGGTGTAGCCCGTGATATGACAATCATTGGCAACGGGGCATTCGGAGTAACAACTGTGAACAGGAGCGTGTATGCTCCTCAACACAGGCACTAGAACCTAGCAGGCATCGCCCCCGCGCCAACATCCACGCCTCAGTCTTCGCGCAGAAGCATCAGCTTGTGCGTCGTTTGACCACCTTTGTCGCTGTTGTGGGCAAGCTGTCCTTTAATCTGAATGTGATTGTGGGTGGCACCGTATAGAGGAGGCACTCGGCGACGTGAACAGGGAGTGCGGGGAGGAAGTCGTGGCATGATGGGGTCGGTGAAACCCCTGATGAACGTGATCCCGACGAAAAAGATCACAATTGCCGCTGGTGATAGGCGTTCCATTAGCTCAACAATAATGGCCATCAAGTCGAACAGCGAGGGTCTACCGAGGAATGCAGCCGCTTCGACTGAGGCAGCCAAGTGCAGTCTGTCATATTGAGTCATATGACATGTCATCATGCTCGTATTGAGTGACGGCGCAGAGGGTGAGTTGAGGGCAGCAAGGAGGCGCATATCGGAAGAAAGTTGAATGAATTGTTGGTAGAACGAAAGCTGAAGCCGAAGAGTTGAGCCTTTAAGTAGACTGGTGCGACATAGACTGGTGCGACACAGCCATTGCGTGATGCCCTCAACAAAGAGGTAAATTATCGTTTCTGAATTTCCAGCGCATAATTACTTCGACTAACCTCGTGGTTTCAAAACGGCAACAGGTTTGCGGAGTACAGGTATGTACAGGTTCTGAGAAATTTTATCAGAGGACCATCAATGCGATTTGCCACGATTTGCCCCAGACGGTCCGTTCAGTCCGAAACTTCATACAAATATAGCTCGTCTGGCCGTATGAGGAACAAAATGCGATAAAACTGATGTTTCAATAGACTCCACGCAGGTCACACCTTACATGACGGCGGGAGCATCCGCACTTCAAAAATAGTCACAGACATCCTGAGAGAATAGGATTCTTCAAGGATTCTCACGGGAACACCGCAATGTTGCTACCCAGCGAAATTGTGGATGCTCGTCGCGGAGATGGCAATATCTCATTATGAAGCCTCGACTACGCGGATTGCACTCAAACCAGTTTGAAGAGTCATTGATGCGCCAGGGAAGCCTACCCGAAATCCTCAGCAGGATTTTGGCCATTTTAACTCCCAACGATGCTGTGCAAGGGTGATACATAACCGAGTGCAATCGTGTTTTGCACTTACTCTGGCACAATGGGCTAGAAATTCAATCGATTTGAAGGGCCTGAATATATGCCAGGACGCAGATATGACAAGCTTTTCTCGGACATCAAAGACGTGCACATGTCAAATGTTAAGTCATTCTGCTATGCCCCAAAGATATTTGAGCATTTGTTCATATCAAGATAAGGAGCGACTCACGTCGGACCGAGTTCACATAAGAAATCTGGTGCGCTTGCGACCTTCTTTTGCAGAATAAGTGATCAAGGCACAAGCTATTGCTGTAGCCTCCGGTCTAGACGTGCTGAACAATGGAAACAGAGCGAAGCAGAGTTCGATTGCACTTGACGTTTGAGGATTGTGCTCAAAGCGAGCTCAACCGTCCGCAGCGATCCTTTGGCCGACGGCCAGCATCTGTGCACCCGTGCTGTGTGATGGAAAGTCGTCTTGTCTCGAGGCCTGGAGTGCATGGGAGCACCAACTACTGCCAACGTATCTTCAAACTTCCAGCGAACATGATACTCATATGCCGAGTCATGCGCAATACAACAAGCAAGAGATTAAATCAGCTTGTAGTACCTTGAAGGGGTGTAAGGGGGATCCCGTAGACGGAATCAGCGCGGGCAGATTCATCGTTTTCGCAAAAGCCGGGGACCGAGTAAAAGACCAAGACTTCTATCATGGTATCGCAGGGCCTCGGTAATCACGGGACGATCTGAGAAAGGGGACATGGGCAGAATGGAAGACAAAACGAGTGGCGACATGCACGGGGTCTCCATGCTAGACCAAACAGGGACATTTTTGGGCCGTCTCTGATGGGAAGGGAAAGCTAGAGCGTTTGGGCAGGCCGCACGGCTGTTTCCCATTTGTCATGAGAATATCTGCTTAAAATCGACGAGTCGGTAGAGGTTGGGGTGGGTTGTGATAGAGCGGAAATAGGGTTGGGTGAAAAAGGAAGTGAGACGTAAGTTTGACCGCCCCCTTGCACACCTGGATCCTACAAAGGGACACTTCAAGGTGCAACAGCTAATGAGATGATCAAAGAGACATGCGATGGCGCACTTGAGGAAAAAAAATGACTCCATCGTGGACGGGGACCAGCGAGACTTTGGTCGTTGCGTGCGACTTCGCTGCAAAGAGGACGCCAGCTCACTTCATCCACACAGATCATGATTCGTTCCTCTCAACATCATCCACGTACGTTCGGATCAATCGTGGCAGACTGAGATACGACGTTCGGCAAGTTCCATCCTTCCGTGACCCAAGCCTAGCATTCATCAAGTTGTTCTAGCAGGCGTTTCCTTGAGTCTGCCAGCCTCGGTGCCTGCGTAAGCCGGCGCTTCAGTGTTCGAAAAGGCATCGACGTCAATTCACACCGTCCAAACGATAAGATCACTCGACCTTCACAATGGCGACGCCTTGTCCAGGGTGCCGGATCTTTCAATCTATTTGAAAGCCAATTCCCGACCGGGCGGTACGTGCCGACAAATCAGCTTGATTCAATTGAAGTGAATCCAGGGTACGATGCTATATGAAGCAGTGCTTCAGTCGATGAACTTTCACGAGGAACGTAAAAGCTCCCACTGGACATTGCTCTTGAAGGCTGCATTTATGGCCTGTCGCAGGCTGATTTGTATGTGAGTGTCGACAGCTCTATGTCTGTTCGGAGCTGACAAGCATTAGGCCAGTACATCGTGGGTGAAGATCAATTCGGATCTCACACGAGTTGCGGGAAGTGAGCATGAGACGCTTGTCTCCACGGCGCATCGATTCTATTCGAGGAATTTCCTATGCCAAGATTAGGTGACCAGTAGAGGATATCAGGTACGATTGATAAATACTGACCTACAGCCCGCCTGACACCCTTTCCTATTCCTCATTAGCGTCTTGAGGCCGTAAATCGGGAATTCGCATCGGCTATGGTCGATGACAATCTCAGACTTGGGTCCGTGTGGGTCCATATGGGTCCAAATTACTATTCAGGGACATTATCTTCAAGCGATAGACAACTCGGGTCCCTTCGCAGATAGCGCTGCATCATGTGGCTCGCTTCGGATGTTCTGAGGCTAGGGCCACCGAATTGCGGGAATGGACACGGGCTGCAAGAATCAAGATTCGGTGTAGTCCTGCGAAGATAGACACTGAAAAACTTCAAGCAGCTCACATTTTCCTCTTGAGCTCGACGTAGGATCTATCCTTCCTCAATAGCAACGCGTCGTAGGATCCAGATGATAGCTGCACAATCCGCTTCCAAGTTAACAGCATCTTGACTCTTTGGTGCCACACAGCCTGGCAGCCAATGCAGTTCCATCTGGTTCTTCTCCCGGTTACAGTGAATGTTGTTCACTAAGGTTCAACCGGAATTCCTGCAGCTTCGTTGATGGGTCTTCCTACAGCCTCCATCCATAACTGGAGAACCAGTTATCCGTTGCCACCGGGCTCACAATCCCCGATGGATCCTACGATAGAGATGTGATAGGCGCCGAAGACACGTAGTGTATGCGGGTAGGGTGTAGAGGTATGAGGGTGCGTATAGCTGCGCGCAGGGCAAGAAGGTTCCGGTGAGGGCTTGTGAGTCGTTGAGCCTAGTAGCTTGAAGATACCTGGGCTAAACTGGAACAATTCTATTCTTCATCCAAACCAGCATGAAGGACACAAGGCCTCGCGAAGACCTCATGGTTGGTTCGAGGATCGTGGCGGGACAAGCCAAACGATACATTGCGGGGCCGAAAACTGCTGTGCCCCTACAGTTAGTTGCTTTCACTCCACGTCATGACCCAACACCACATCTTTAGCCGCGGATCTTCGAGATTCACACATTTCCTACATGTCTACGCATCCTCACCAAAAAACGTCAAAGAATCCAAACCCACAGCATGCTACGCTGCTTAGTCTACCCTACACCTATTCAGCATTCGCTAGCTGAGTGGAAATTCGGAGATCTCGAAGGAAGCAGGATTTACGGATGGAGCTTATGGTGCGTTCTCAAATTTTCATCAGCTCTCCAGAGGAAGAGTTCAACATCAACAGGTGTCCTCATCGCCTATCATCCCCTGCCATTACCCCATGAAAAGCGTCGCATCCCTGGTGGCCTTGAACATCATCTATCCTATGTTCTGTCGACATGTTGGATCCAATTGAATCATGAAGCGCGGCCACTCCAGCGGTGAGGTCTTACTGATAGCTTGCGGCTCCTTTCCTTACAGCTCTCTTTGGTATATAAATGCTCTCTTCTGCATCGTTGCTAGAGTACGCAAACCATGGCACCTGCATTAACTTCCTCAATTACATCCATCCCTGATATGTCGTGTTTTGCAGTCGACTCGGGCTCTTCTCCCGCATCGCCAGGCAGCACAGGAAGCGAGACGATCGTTGCGATAGTCATCGCGGCTTGTGAGTAGCATCTTGAGTCTTGACAACCCTCATTCGGGTACTAACATTTACGCCCACCCGATCCCAGCACTTCTCTTGACCATTATTGGAGCCTTCCTCAAACTAGTCCATCGAACGACCGATGGAAGCCAGTCAGACGAGCCTCCGCAATCGCAATATGACAACAGTGCGACCACAGCACCAGGTGCGTGCTGCATGAAGTAGAAGTTGAGAAGGCGACGTCCTCTCTAACCTCTCATATACAGACTGCCCTTCTACATCCCTAACTTCGCCTCCACCAGCGCACGTCAGAGGAAGCTCGCGTGCGTTACCAGATGCTTCGTCGATCTTTCTTCAAACAGGCGGGTCATTGTCGCCTTTTGGATTGAGCTTCAGCCTAGGAATAACTATGTGACGGCCCTGAGGTAAGTATGGCATGGGTCTCATCGGGCAGGAATCGAGAGAACCGATGTCAACTGTGTCTATACGCCGGGACACATACTCCCTGGTTGCCCATCCTGCATCTTCTATTTTGTGTACATTCCCTATTTTTCCGTGCTGTCATATAACATTATGGAGTTTGTAAATCAGATGCATAGATCGCAATAATTTGGGTCCAAAGGATTGAATTTGCTTGGCGATTTTCTAACAAAGCTTTGAGAGTCAACGCGCGTTTTTTGTGCAGGTTTGTGCAGGACCCAGGCATACTCCTACAGAGGTCCGATCCCAATTTACTTCATTTATGCTGACGGAAATGCCGTAACCGCCCGCCAAAAACAGGATCGGACCTCTGGTAGGGTATGCCGGGGTCCTGTTTGTGCAGGGCTGTGTCGCAACACGTCACGTGCACTGCACAAGAACTGCCCACGATTGACGCTTCGACAGCAACAATCCCGAGACTGCACAGGAACGAGAATATCGTCTAAGATCAGCTCATAAAACCATAAAGCACCAGGGACGATGGTCGTCATCGCCGCCGTGATCATCGTCGCCGCACTTATCTTCTACATCCGGCAACTGCGCGTCACCAATGCGCAACGGCGAACGAGCGTACTGCGATCTCTGGGTGTGCAGGAGCCGCACAAGAAAAAGCTCGTAGGGTTCTTTCATCCGTATTGGTACGCCTAGCCACTTCACCGCGCGCACAGGTGTCCTGATGAGACTGACAGACATTCCTGCGGCTTTCTGTAGTAATGCTGGTGGCGGCGGCGAGCGCGTCCTGTGGACCGCCGTCGCGTTCCTGCAGCGCACGGAGCCGGACGTCGTGAGCGTCGTGTACAGCGGCGACGTGGACGCGACCAAGGAGCAGATCCTGGCAAAAGTGGAGGTGCGTGCGCCCGCACGGTGTCCTGTTTGTTTGCGCACGCGTCATTAACGCGCTGCGCAGGCGCGGTTTGCGATCTCGCTGGCGCCGGGCACGCTCGAGTTCGTGTTCCTCGACTCGCGCCGGTACGTCGAGGATTCTGCTTGGCCGCGGTTTACGCTGCTAGGGCAGAGCGTAGGGTCTATGTACCTCGCGTGGGAGGCCATGTCGAAACTCATCCCCGACCTCTACATCGGTACGCCCAATATATTTCCTCTCACTGGCACGTATCATAAAATGGATAAAAGACACGATGGGCTACGCATTTACCTTCCACGTCGTTGCGTGGCTGACGGGCGTCCCCATCGGCGCATACGTGCACTACCCCACCATCAGCACCGACATGTTAGCCCGCGTCCAGTCCCGCAAGAAATGGCACACAAACTCGGACTCCATCTCTTCCTCGCCCATTCTGAGCCGCGGAAAGCTTTTGTACGATCTGTCTCCTCGCGCCATGAGCCGGGGCCCGCTGACTCTCGCTCCCCCGCAGGTACTACCGCTTGTTCATGTACCACTACGCTCAGGCACTCCGGCGCGCGTCGTTCTTGATGGTCAACTCTTCGTGGACGAAGAACCACGTCGACTCGATCATCGACTACTCGGATCCGATCCTCGACGCGATTCATTTGCCGATCGCGACGGTGGCAGCGCTATTGTCCTTTGCGATCCATCCTCTCTTACCGCGCGTGTCGTTGAACGACGCGCTGCGAACGACACCGAGGCAGTCGACGATCGTGTATCCGCCATGCGACACGCGCGAGATGTCAACGTTTGCGCTCGAGGGGCGCGAGCGCATCGTGCTCAGCATCTCCCAGTTCCGGTGCGCGCGCCGTGCATCGATGTCACAGAAAAAGCGTCCTCATCGGTCCTCTCTCTAGGCCAGAGAAAGACCACCAAGCGCAGCTGCGCGCGCTGGCGCATCTCCTGCGCGAGCACCCGGAATACAAATCGTCCTCAGAGGACCGCGTGCGCCTCGTGCTCATTGGCGGCAGCCGCAACGCAGACGACGCTGCGCGAGTCGAGAGCCTCCGCGCGCTCGCGAAGGAGCTCGGTGTCGAGGTGACCGCGAAAGCGCACAGACTATATGCTCTGGGACTAATACACGCGTCGCTGTGCCGTGCAGGACCACGTCGAGTTCGCCGTCAACGCGCCGTATTCTGACATGCTCTCGTATCTTGCGCGCGCCAGCGTGGGCCTGCACACGATGGTGGACGAGCACTTTGGGATCAGCGTCGTCGAGTTCATGGTCAGTCCGTCGTCACGCATCGGTCGCGCCAGTCTTTTTCGAGGACGCTGATCGATGTATCGGCAGGCGGCGGGCCTCATCCCCGTGGCGCACGCATCGGGCGGCCCTCTGCACGACATCGTCGTCCCCGTCGACGGGCAAATCACAGGTGCGTAAACACCACGCCATCCTCTCTCCAGCGGCCTCGTCAACCGCGTGGATGCTGTGTACTAGGCTATCACGCCACGACGCCGGAGGCTTTCGCGACGGGCATACACGCGGCGCTGACTCTGCCCGTGGACGAAGAGCTGGCGCTCCGGCGGCGCGCCAGGGAATGGGCGGTTGGCCGCTTTTCGGAGCGCGAGTTCGAGAAGGGCTGGCAGGGGTGCGGGTGGAGGACGTGGCTGTGAGCCGTTACGCGTTACGCGTGATCGCTGGGTATGGACTCCGGACTTTTTTTTTCCACCTCTATTTTGCTTGCCGCCCTGCAGAACGAGAGATAATTTATTCGCTTATCGATTCGATCGTGGAAAAGGGATGGCGTTTCGACTCGCGAGCTTCTCGGATAGGGTTAAGGTTGCCTGGCTCAAAATTCGTACATTCACCCCGCCCGGACCGCGGTGCGTCATCCGGGGACAACAAAATAAAGAATACAGTACAGCGACGATATTGCCGCGACGTCACTCCATGCTCCCGACCTGCTGGTCGCCCTCCGGGAGGCCCTGCGCGCGGAGCTCGGCGTGCCGCTGCTCGACCTCGTCTTGCACGCGCTCGATGGACTTGAAGTACTTGACCGTCTTGACGTGCAGCTCTGCGGCGGGGCTCAGCGGGCGCGCGCGGGAGGGTGGAGGGGCTGCACGTACCGGCGGTGGCGTCTTCGTCGACGACGATCAGCGCCCACGGATGGTTCTGCAAGGCCGAGAGCGTCCACAGATGGTTCACGCCTTCCTCTGCAAACAGGCGCCGCGCGGGGGCGCGGATCCGACGTCAGCACCATCAGCACAAGCGCTCCCGGCTCCCGTCTGCACGCGCGCTCACCGATGGCCTTGCTGAGCGCGAGGCTCTTGCGCTGGCCGGTGACGACGACGACGACCTCGCGCGCGTCGAGGACGGTGCCGACGCCGACGGTGAGCGCCATGCGCGGGACGGCGGCGACGTCGTTGGCGAAGAAGCGCGCGTTGGCGAGGATGGTGTCGTACGCGAGCGTCTTGATGCGCGTGCGCGAGGCGAGCGACGAGCCGGGCTCGTTGAACGCGATGTGCCCGTCCTCGCCGATCCCGCCGAGGAAGAGCTCGATCCCGCCGTGTGCGCGGATGCGCGCCTCGTAGCGCGCGCACTCGCCGATGAGGTCGCGCGCGTTGCCGTCGAGGATGTTGACTTGGGAGGGCGGGATGTCGACTGTGCGAGCCGGGGAGGGAGAGAAAGAGGGGGTGGTTTAGGGGGGCTATGCGCGCGTGCGTGGGCGGGGCGTACCGTGGGAGAAGAACTCGCGGAACATGAAGGTGTGGTACGACTCGGGGTGGTCCTTCGGGAGCCCGACGTACTCGTCCATGTTGAACGTGACGACGTGCGCGAAGCTGGTGGTGAGAGGCGCTCAGCCGCGGGCGACGTGCCCAGGGGGCGCAGCGTGTGTGAGTGTGTGTGCACGCACGAGAGCTTCCCGTCGTTCACGAGCTTGATCAGGGCCTTGTACGTCGGGATCGGGGACGAGCCCGTGGGCAGGCCGAGCACGAACGGCTTGTCGGCCGTGGGCTTGAAGTTGTTGATCCTGTCGAGGGGGACGCGGCACCGGCTCGTCAGCAGCGTTGCGCGAGGAGTGGGACGGGCGGGACACGGACCGTTTCGCGATGTAGTTGGCGATGTAGTCGCCCACGGCTGCCGGGTCGTCGCGGATGATGAGACCTGTGCGGGGGCTAAGATGACGTCGGTCGTAGCCGGGAATGCAGAGCGGGACGTACGCATCGCGCTGCAGAGGGCGGTGTCTGTGTACTAGGTCGAGGGGCGGCGGGAGAGCTGGCGGACGGCGATGGTGCAGCGGTGCAGCGGTGGATGAGCCCCTGTGGCGATGATATATGGCGTCGGAGGCTAGGCCCGAGGAGCAGCGTGCGCGGTGGATAACACAAGGATAACGATTGCCCGAGGGACCAACGCAGCCAGATCTCGGGGAATCGCAGAGAAGCCCCGCCGGCTCATGACCACAGCTGCCCACGAGGACCGTGTCTTCTCTGGCGGCAGCGTCCGCGCGAAATGAATACAGCTGGATGCGCTTGGATGTAGCTGGATAATGTACAACACCGTCCCGCATAACACTACAACATCTGTTGGTACACACACACACACGCCGCGGCGCACAACGTACGCGCCCGATCGCGATCGCACAGCCTCCGGGCAGCTGTATTGATAATAGCCTGTACCCTCCTGTGCCTCACACCTTCACCATGACCTCCTCCTTCTTGTGCCACACCTCCCCCACGTTCTTGTACCCGCTCAAACCAAGCGTGATCTCCGTGTCCGCATGCAGCGCGCGCAGCACCTCCTCCACGCCCCGCTCCCCGCCGACCGCGAGCCCGTACATGTACGGCCGCGCCACTGCGGGCCGCGCGTGCGGCGGTCAGCGAGGCGATCGAGCGTGTGGGAGAGGGAACGGGAACGGGAACAGTGCGCACCGAGGACTGCCTGGGCGCCCATCGCGAGCGCCTTGATCACGTCGCTCCCGGAGCGGATTCCAGAGTCGAAGAGCACCGTGAACGTCCCCGCGCGCTGCGCGTCCGTCACGCGCCGCGACAGCATGATCTGCTCCAGCGCGACGAACGACGGCACCGCGCCGTCGATCTGCCTCCCCCCTACCCACCCACCCACAAACAAACAAACAAACAAAAACATAAAAAAACAGCAGCGAAACAGCAGCGCCCAGCGTCAGCGCGCGCGCAGCATAGAAATCGCGCAGACGAGCCCGCACCGTGGTTCGAGACGACGATGCCGTCCACGCCGACGTCCATCGCGCGGTGCGCGTCCGCGACCGCCTGGATCCCCTTGAGCACGATCGGCCCCTCCCAATGCGCGCGCAGGAACGCGACGTCCTCCCACGTGCGAAACAAGCCCGAGTTCAGCTGCGCCAGCCAGCGCGCGCCGAGCCGCGCGTTCGCCCGCGCCTCCGCGTCGCCCGCGCGCAGGCGCGCGTCGAGCGCGGCGGCGTCGAACGGCCACGCGGGGCGCTCGCGCGGGCGCACGGGGAGCTGCTGGGCGGCCATGAACGCGGGGTCGGAGGTGCCGATTTGGATGCCGACGCCGTGCGCGAAGGGGAGGTAGGCGGCGTCGAGGTCGTGTGGGCGCCAGCCGAGGAGCATCGTGTCGAGCGTGACGACGAGCGCGGTGAAGCCTGCGGCTTTGGCGCGCGCGAGGAGGGAGAGCGTGATTGCGTCCGTGCGGGGCCTGCGTGCGGGTGCGTGAGCGTGGTGCGTGCGGGTGCGCGACGGGCGAGTGCGCGGGGGTGGGGTGCGGTTACCAGTAGAGCTGGAACCAGCGGGGCCCGGCGCCGTTGGCCTCGGCGACGTCCTCGATCGAGCGGCTGCTGGCGGAGCTCATGATGAACGGGACGCCGACCTTCGCCGCCGCGCGGGCGGTCGCGAGCTCGCCGTCGCGGTGCATGATGCCCTGCACGCCGATCGGGGCGACGAGGATCGGCGACTTGTATTTCACGCCGAAGAGCGTCGTCTGGATCGATTCAAGCGCGTTTAGCGGGCGTATGCTGGGATGGACGCAGAGAGGGCGGGGGCGGGCGGGGGCGGGCGGGAGGGGGGTGAGTGGGTGGGTTGATTACCTCGAGGGTGCGGTCCGAGGCGTCACGGAGCATGCGCGGGACGATGCGCCATTGCTTGAGCGCTTGGCGGTTGGCGCGGTTCGTCGAGCCCGAGCCCGCGCTGCCGAACGTGTACAAGAACGCCGCTGTGGACACGGACACGGCACGGTGAGCGCGCGCCCATCGCGGGCCACGCCGGGGCTGTATATGGTGCTTACCGTGGTAGTCCTTGGTGACCTCGCGCGCCTTCTCCTCGAGCTTGTCAAAGTCGTACGTCGTGTTGACCGGCGGGTTCTTGTTGCGGTATATGTCGGCCATGAAGGACGACCACGTCTCTGGCGGGGTCTCGCCGTTCTCGAGGGCTGCGCGGAGGGACATCGCGGGGCGCTGGGATCTGGGATTGCGCGGGTCAGCTTGGAGGGCAATTGGGGACATCTCGGGGTTGGCTGTACCAGTCGGGATGCGAGTGCGGGGGAGTGTGGGGAGGAGGTGCGAGGGCCGGTTGGAGTGGACACCGAGTGGGAGCGCCCGTTTTATACGTCCATTGCTGCGGGGTGTCAGCTGGATGATGGTCCCGTGAGACGGGAACGGAGGCCCTCCCGAGTGCATTCCTTTGCGCCGCTTCAGGACGCGGTTCGTCGCGCGCGCGCCGTCTCGGCGTCTTCGGGGCACTGGCACCGGCGCGATACGTGCCAGAAAACGCGCGCCGTGTTCCCCGGCCGAGCGCGCTGAAACCAGTCTGTCGAGCCGGACGTGGCATTGCGCGACGTCGACAGTCCATCGAAATCTTCACCGCGGGCAAAGTTCCATGGGATCAGTGATCCCAGAATGATTACCTGATGATTTCTTGCCCGAAAGGATCAGTGTGAGATTTATAGATAAATCTTGCACAAAATGGCAATGTGCTCCTCAAATTCTGCACAAAGTATGTTTGGATTACATGACGATCCAGTGAAGATTTTCTCTCAGACTAAGATCAGGCTGAAACATCATAAAGGCTGCAACATGTGTTCATGGAGCACAAAAGGAAGGACATTTGAGCTAAAATCACAAGAAACTTGCAGATCACATCCTAAACTCATCCTAAATAGTCCACAGATTCCAAGCTGATTCCATTGTGATCGAATGATTAAGCAATAATTTGATCACAATGGGATCGGCTCGGTCAGAGTGGGATCAGCGTGGGACCAGTAGACCATTTGGGATGAGTTTAGGATGTTGTGATTTTAGCTCAAATGTCCTTTCTTTTATGCTCCATGGACACATGTTGCAGCCTTTATGACATTTCAGCCTGATCTTATTCTGAAACAAAATTATAATTGGATCATCATGTAATCCAAACACACTTTGTGCAAAAACTAGAAAGCACATTCCCTTTTTGCTCAAAATTTTATCCATAGATCTAATGCTGATTCCTTCGGGCAACAAACCATCAGGTAATCATTCTGGGATCACTGATCCCATGGAACTTTGCCCGCGGTGCTTGCAAGGCAGTCGAAGTCATCGCAATCTTCGTCGATCACCGGACAGCGTCCAGTGCGCGCCACACCAAGTTCGGACTCCACAGCTCCGCCCGGCACCTGCCGCGCCCCCAGCCGCAGCGCGCGTATTGGCCGTCGCCGTTCAACTCGTCGCCCACCACCATCTCACACCCCCTCCCCGTCTTCTCCACCTCAAGCCCCACCCCACGAGCAATGTCTGACCTCTGCCCCGTCTACGCTCCTTTCTTCGGCGCCATGGTGAGTGCGAGCCCGCCGCACGCGGGGGCAGGGTATATGGCTGACGACGCGACGCTGCTGTCCCTTTGATGCGCTCTCCTAGGGCTGCACCTCCGCGATTGTGTTCACGTGTGAGTCGCCCCCTGCGTCCTCGAGGTGGCTGGCTGAAGTGTGACGTGCTCGCTGCACAGGTATCGGCGCCAGGTGTGTTTGCGTCTTCTTTATGCGTATGCTGTCGTTCGCGGGAGCGCCGTGCGCATGGGGACCTGGATCGTTTCTGGGCCCTCGCAGGCGTCGCGCTTCATGGTGCGCTTGGGGATCATGGCTCACTGGGCTGCTTGTTTGTGCAGTTACGGCACCGCCAAGTCAGGAGTCGGCATCTCTGCGATGGCCGTCCTCCGGCCGGACCTCATGATGAAGAACGTCGTCCCGGTCATCATGGCTGGTATCATCGCCGTGAGTCCCTCCACCCGCCCGTCTCTCCTCATTCGCGAGCTGAACGCGCGTGCGCGCAGATCTACGGCCTCGTCGTCTCGGTGCTCATCTCCGCAAACTGTACGTCCCGCGCGCCCGTTTTGTTTGCATCTTGATGTCGCCGTCGTCGTCTCATGTCGAGGTTTTTTTTGCGCGCAGTGGAGGCGCGGATGTCGCTCTTCCAGGGCTTTATCCAGCTCGGTGCCGGGCTCTCGGTCGGGCTTGCGGGCCTTGCGGCTGGCTTCGCCATCGGTATTGTCGGCGACGCGGGTGTCCGCGGAACCGCGCAGCAGCCACGGCTGTTCGTTGGGATGGTGCGCAGGCCAGCTTGTCGTCGCGACGTGGGAGGGGACGCTGATTGTTCGTGGACCTGCAGATCCTGATTCTCATTTTCGCTGAAGTCTTGGGCCTGTACGGTGCGTTGCGTTCTGATGCTGGGTGCCGCTTGCGAAGGCTGACTTTTAGCACCTCTTAGGTCTCATCGTTGCCCTGATCATGAACACCAAAGCGACGTCGAGCGGTGTCGCCGTGAGCGCCTCTTCTCTCTGATTCGATTTGGCTCTGCAGCTCAGGTGTCGATTTTTTTTTTTGCAGTGCGCGTGAGCTAAGCGCGGAGCCGATGTCAGACGAGAGGTGACGGGAATCGTTGCGGAACACGATCGACGGACAGGCTCGCTTCCCTACGCAGTCCACGTTGCCTAGTTCTCTAAGCCTCCTTTCTACCTAATTATATCCACGAAAATCATGCGCGCGGTGTCTGCCGCGTGTGCTCGTATTTCTGAGTTGGTCGTGGCGGTGGTGTGCGTGTGTGTATAAGTAGCAGCACCCCGTGGTCCGTTGAAAGAGCGAGTGTGAGAGCGAGGCCCAGCGCGTGAGCGTTACGTGGCGGAAAGGCTGCGGCGCCTATAAGCGTCTTGCTCGCAATAGCAACTTACCGCCCGCTGCCCACCGCCGCTAGCCACCGCCCCTCCTCGCAGAGCCTCAACAGCTGCTGCATCCGCCACGCTCTTTATCCTCCACCCGGCGCCGCCACCGCCCGTGCGCCGCGCCCTTCGTCCCAGCCACCCGCCCCACCATGTACCCCGCCTCCGCCGCCCTCCCCGCCACACTCACCCTCGCCGCCCTCCTCCTCGCAGGCCCCGCCCTCGCAGCAGCCCCCACAACGCCCCACGACCCCTTCCGCGCCCTCGCCGCGCGCGCACCAAAGCCACCAGAGCAGCCCATCTGCTGCCTCAAGCCCCTCACGCCCCTCGAGCCCGTCGCGGACGAGGTCTTCCTCTCCTTCGAGGAGTGGAAATCTAGGCGCTATGCCGAGCACAGCCAGCGCGACGCCCCGCCCAGCCGCGCGAGCGAGCCCCCCGCCGACGCAGCAGCAGCCTCCTCCGCCGCCGCCGCTGCCGCCGCCGGCCCCCTATCTACCGCGCACGCGCAGGACGGGCCCGCCGAGCGCGCGGACGCGCTGCAGGTGCCCCGCGCGCCCACCGAGCCCGTGTCGCCGCACTTCCGCGTGCCGCTGACCGACCGCTTCAACTACGCGTCGCTGGACTGCTCCGCGCGCGTGCACACCGCGCACCGCGCCGCGCGCTCCGCCGCGAGCCTCCTCTCGTCGAAGCGCGACCGGTACATGCTGAGCCCGTGCGCGGCGCGCGCGCCGTTCGTCGTCGTCGAGCTGTGCGAGGACATCCGCATCGACACGGTGCAGCTGGCGAATTTTGAGTTTTTTAGCGGCGTGTTTAGGGAGTTTACGGTGAGCGTTGCGAAGACGTATTCGACGGAGCCGGAGGGGTGGACGGTTGCGGGGACTTATGTCGCGAAGAACGTGCGCGGGGTGCAGGTGCGTCGTCGTCGTCGTCGTCGCCGTCGTCGGTCAAGAGCCGAACGGAGCTGAGTGTGTGCCCTCCGCCCCGCAGTCCTTCCACCCGCCAACCGCGATCCGCGACTTTTATCGCTTCATACGGATCGATTTCCACACGCACTACGGGAACGAGTACTACTGCCCGATCTCCCTTTTGCGCGTGTACGGCCTCACGCACCTCGAGCAGTGGAAGTGGGACACGTGGGAGTCGGAGAGCCGCGCCCGCCTCGAGCACGGCGCGCCGCCCGCCGCCGCCGCCGCCGCCGCGGCGGTCATCCCCGCAGAGGCTGCGGCGGAGGACCCGCCAAAGCCCGCGGCGGAAGCGGGCGAGCGGGCGCGGGCCGAGCAGGTGTCGGCGAAGGCTGCGGCGAGCGGCGGCGGCGTGCAAAAAGGAGAGGCTGCGGCGAGCGGGCGGGCGACAGACGGGGCGTCGGGCGAGTCCGAGGCCGTGTCTGTGTATTCCGGATCGGGTGCCGATTGTCTGTCTACCGCATCCGCGAACAAACCGTCGAGCAGCGCGCGCTCTCTGGCGACGTCATCGACGTCGAGTCCGGCCGATGCCCTCCATGATCCGAGCCACGCGACACCGCCCCTCCTCCGCGACTCTCGACGACAGCACAGCGCATCACCTGACCACGTCGCGACCCCGTCTGTGTCGTTCTCACCTGAACCCTCCTCTTTGCACAACGCGTCCTCTTCTTCTGACCCGCTCCACGGACCCTCCTCCACCGCCTCTCTCGCGACCCCGACCACGACCTCTTCCTCCGCGCCGTCGTCCCACGCCTCCCTGCCCCTCCCCGCGATCCCGACCCACGTCTCGTCCAGCGGCGAGTCCATCTACCGCACGATCATGAACCGCCTGACCGCGCTCGAGTCCAACATCACGCTCTACGCGCGCTACGTCGAGGAGCAGGCCGCCGGCACGCGCGAGGTCCTGCGCCGCCTCGGGGAGGACGTCGGCCGCCTGGAAGGCATCGGCAGGGCCCAGGCACACGTCTACCAGCGCTCCATCCACGACTTCGAGAAGCACCGCAGGCGCCTCGAGGTCGAGCAGCGGGAGCTGCTCACCAAGGTAAACTACCTGGCGGACGAGGTGCGTGCCGCGCCCCCCTTTGCTTCCCAGCTTCTTCCTCTTCCCCGCTTCTTCTCTGCTTCTTCTGCCGTCGACCCTGGAATGGAAGCTCACGCCGCCGCACCGCGCCGCGCCGCGCCGCGTCCCACAGGTCGTGCTCGAGAAGCGCCTCGGCATCGCGCAGCTGTGCCTCCTCCTCGCCGTCCTCGTCTTCATCAGCCTCACGCGCGGCTCGCGCACACAGCACGTGCACCCCGCCGCCGCCGCCGCCGCGTCCTCGTCCTCGTCCGTCCTGCGCGGCGTCCCCGGGGGCACGTCCATGCGCGAGTGGGGGCGCCGCAACCTCAGCTTCAGCGGCGACTGGGTCAGCCGCCTCCGCAGCCGCAGCCGCAGCCTGACCGCCTCGCCCGACGGCGGCACCGGCGGCACCGGCACCAGCACCACCACGCCCGTCGCGCGCCGCGCCGGCGATCCCCAAGGTACGCCCGCCCGCCGTCGTCCGTTCCTCCACGAGAACAGCGCTGACCGTGGTCGTCGCAGCCTCGAACAGGATCGCCTTTCCCACGCACGACGAGCCGCACTTGCTCCCCGACCGCGACCGCGACCGCCAGCGCGACCGCCAGCGCGACCGCCAGCGCCACGCCACCACGAAGCCGTTCACGACCCCCCGCCGGCCCACAGCAGGCCCGTCCAGCGCGCGCCCGCGCACCCCGCGGTACCTCGTCCACCGCTCCGCGACGCCGACTGGCCCGCGCGCCGCGCCGCCACTCGTGGCGTCGCACTCGCTTGGCTCCGTCGTCGTCGTCGGCGGCAGCGGCAGCGGCGGCGGTGGTGGTGGTGGTGCGGGGACAGGGGCGGGGGCAGCGCTCGTGGGTCCCGTGCCGCGCTCTGCCAAGCGGTGGGCGCGTAGTGCGCATTTGCATGAGGTGCGTCGCGGGGCGCGGGATGCTGAGGTGCGGGTGCAGGTGCCGCTCCTGGGCGGGGGCGGGGGCGGGGACGCGGACGTGGGGAGCGAGGGCGACGACGAGAATGAGCACGAGCGCGAGCACGAGCACGAGGCGGCGGCGTACGCGCTTGATGTGGCGGATGGGGTGAAGCGCGGGGCGGGGCTCCACGCGCGGAGGCGGGGGTCGCCGCTGCGCGAGCGGGCGGTGAACGGTGCGGGCGCGGGTGCGGGCGCGGCTGGGGCTGGGGAGACGGGGGGAGACGGGTGGGTCGATACGGATGCGGACGGGTCGGATGTGGATTGGGCGCGGGGGCATCTGGGGGAGGTCGAGGTCGTGGAGCTGTGAGTGGCTTTCGCTGCTCGTCGTCGTAGCTGTGGCTGCTGTCGTCATCGTCTCGTTTCTCGTTCTCGCATCATCTTTTTTTTTTTCGTCTTGTCTTTCGGTTTCTTGTGTCTTTTTTGCCATGGGGGGAGGGTCGTGCATTTGGGTATATACAAGGTACACACGGTATCGGCACACATTACACACGGATTTATCTCTGTCATTCATCGCAATCTTCCATGCATCGTTTGCTGCATCGTGGCTTAGAGGGATGGATCCCGTCACGCGCAGCCCCGCCAAGGCACCGGCGCGCCTCGTGTTCGCAGTTGCCTTTTCGGGACCGCAGGCGTCGTAGTCGCCGTCGACCCAACCATCCAGAGTCGTCCGCGCTTCGGCCATATGGGGCTCGCTCTGTGGAGCCCCACCTCTTTTGTCACGGCTGCTTTTCGGACTCGTGGGGAAGGCGCTGAGTTGCCGTCGCCCGGTCCGCGCCGCGGGATGGCGCGCGCAGAGCGCGGCTGCGCCCGTATGCGGGCCAGCGACTTGAAGCGCTGCGGGAGGGGGGGGGGGGCATTCTGCTGGATGGTGGGTGTAACGGCGTGCAGCTCGCGCGCATACCGTTCGCCCTCGGATCTGATGGGAGCCCCAGGGCAGGGCGGTTCGCGCAGGACTTCCCGCTTGGACGGTCGGTCTCGTTGATCGGCGGGGTTTTTTTCGTACGTGGATGATCGCTGTTGAGTCGCTGCTTTTCCGTTGGGGGGTGGGGAGCGGGTCTGGAGAGGCCGCGAACGCGAATCTGGCCCAAGGATAGCTTTCCTGGGGTGTAATTCCGGACAGCCCACTGCTCAGCACGTCGGAGAGCATAAGCCACCCGCCTATTCATGTCGTCTCACCGATCTGATGACGGCGGTGCTTCCAGACGGGGTTACTTCGATGGCCTCGGCTCGGAAGCCCTGGCCTGATAGGCGCGGCAGAAGGCTAGCTTTTTGTCGTTAGACATATCGACGTCGCTCCCGGATACCGACCCCTCTCTGGTCTTGCTCGCCGGCCACCGTGCTGTTTGTCAATACTATCCGCGAGCCCCATGGCGTTCGTGCGGCGACCCCGGAGACTCCAAGTACGTGTTTTCCACGCCCAACGGCCCGGCAGCAGCGAATCTGATTGATCAAATTTTGCTGCCCCCCACGGCGCCAGATCTACTTCTGCAACTTACCACATCATCTTTCGCACGAAGTGGGCATCTATCCAACGCCAAAAGCGCACGCCGAGGAGCTCGACGACCTGGATTGATCGCCAGGCAAGCCTACGGGCCATAATGGACGTGAGGTGCTCGCCAGCTCGTCACGTATTCTGCTGGGTGCCGTGACGTTACATGCCCTCGTAAGTCTGTGCACACCGCCTTGGGTGCTTAAATACCTCTTTTTCCCGGCTTGCCCTCCTTCTTCCTTCACCTTCGCTTCCATGGACCACACGCTCTATATGGCCTTGGCCGCCTTCATCGTCGTCGTTCTCAAGGCTCCCCCTGCCGCCGCACTCCCGAGCCATCCCCACCTTCGCCGCCTCGGTGAGCAACCTCAGAGCACGCCTATCAGCGTGACCACGATCGTCGGGATCGTCTTCTGTGCCCGTAAGCATCGCTCTCCGCGTCCTCTCGCTCTCAAAGCTGACCGCTCTCGACGCCAACCAACCCCCCCAGTCTTCTTCGCCATCCTGATCTCCACCTTCCTCTGTTTCGGCCGCATGAGGGACGCGACGGTCTGGCTGTGCACCGACGTCCGCCCGGCGCTGCGCAGAGGTGAGTGTCGCTGTCGCGGCTCCGACCGATCACGAGACGCCTCTGACGCGCGTCCGTCCACGCGCCTCGTCGTCGCCGACGCAGAGATGCGTGCGCTCTGGACGCGTCTGGTGGGCGGCCTCTGCCGCCGCCCGCCCCGGGTCGCCTCTGCCGCCGCCGCACACGGGCGCAGGGACGGTCGGCGCCCACACGTCCTCCCCCCCATCGCCACCGCCCACTCGGCACCGCGCGACGTCCGTCTCCCCAAGCCCTCGCATGCCCATGTCGGCGGCGGCGGCGCTGCCGCTGCCGCTGCGCAGAGCAGGGTCGAGAATTGAAGCCCCGCCCGCGCGCGTGCCCTGTGACTGGGACCGGGACCGACGGACATACACACGGACATACAAGCGTGGAAGCCTAGGCGCAGCACAGCGTATGTGTGGCGAGGCGGTGCGCACCCGGGTGCCCGCTGTTGATGTCGCTCCGATCCCGCCGATCGAAGGACGACGGGGACGATGGAGAAGGAGATATGCAGCCGGATGCGGAGGGGAGTTTCTGGTCCCGATGCTGATGCCGGTCCACCCCCCGATCCTGCCTTGTCTTGTCTGTGATCGCGTCCTGTGCCTTCCCATCGCGTCCTGCCCTAGCCTGCCCTGCCCTGCCCTCCCCACACACACACACACACACACACACCTACCTACTCACACCCACAATGAGCCTTCTACCCCTTCCCTTTCACTTCTGTGCTCGCCCGTGCATCCCCTCGCTTCTATTCGCGCTCTTCTTTCCTTCCCTATCTCCCGGATCTCATTTACGTTATGTCCTATCTGCATTCGAACCCGCGTCGTCCATCACTTTGCTTTCGCGCCCCCAATGGCAGTTTTCTTTGGTTTAAGCCTTTTTAAGTTTTGCGTGTGGCGAGAAGCGCGATGACATCTGCCCCCGAGGGAAACCCATCCGTCATCCGAACGGCCTGCCACGTCTATTTTGGAGTTGCGGGGCAGCGGCACTCCCTTGGCGTTTTCTCTCGAGCGGCCATCGATCGAGACGAGAATAGAACATCGAGTCTTCTCCCGCGCGGCGCTCATCCGATAACACGCCGTCGCGTCACGGGCCACGGCGCCTCTCGAGCCGCACACCGACCGACGAGCGCTTTCAGAGAAGCAGCGCATCGTCGAGCGCCATTCGGCCCGGACACCCCATCGGGCAGCGCGGGCCTGCGGTTCTCGTGCCCAAGGACCTCGCGCCTGCCGAACCCCCTGGCGGCTTGCTTCGATGGGTCGCCTCTCTTAGCCCGTCCGATTTCCCCTTGATGCGCTGAGCTCAGCCTCGTCTGTGGACCGCTACGACGTTTGCGGCCATGGCCACGGAGAGAATGGACTGCGTGTGCATCTACTGGACTCGATAGACACCGACGAGCATGCCCCCATATCGACGCCCCGAAGGCATGGCCTGCGAGAGGACCAAAGTGCACGCGAGATAGAGGGGGTGGGGTTGTTTTCCTGTAGAAATTGACGTGTCATGACACGTGCTAGCCCTTCCCCACGCAGAAGCGATGTCGGCGTACCGTGAGCTTCGTCGGTCGCCATTATGCATGGCTCGGTGAAGTCTATGGCGACAGATCCATATGCGGCGGTAACTTATCTCCCTGATACACAATGAATTAAGTTTATACTTCAAGCGGCAGTGACCCGCACAGAAAAAGGCAGCTTGTTATACATGGCGCGTCGTGGCTCAGGGAACGTTGCATATATAACGGAGCGTGTGCCGCCCCACATCGCTTGCCTGAAAAATGACTTTGCCATCCCTTGCCCTTTGCGTCCTCCTCGTTTTCGTCCTTGAAACCGCCGCCATCGCCCACGCCCTGACACGCCGCCCCGTTGCTCCCCGTGACGAAGCCCCGCAAGGCGGTATCACCGAGAGCACTGCTGTGGACATGATCGTCGCTGTTGGTACGACCTCCAATATCGAATCGTACTGTCGACATTCGACACGCTCACCTTCGTTCAACCCAGTTCTGTCCGTGGTCGTGATCGCCACGTTTATGTGGCTGGACTGGGTGTGTCGCACCATACGCCGGACGGTCAGTCTCGAGCGCCGCCTGCGACTGGGTGAGAAACATGTTCTGCAGACGGCGGCTGCACCTTCGATGTTGAATCATTGACGGCCGTGCACGCAGAAATACGGAATCTGCTGACCCTCTTTTGTGGTGTTGCGGCCAACGGTCCTTCGACCCCGGGCGGAGTTGGCCGACCCGCGAATCGCAACAGCGACGCAGCCGGTCCTTCCATGGACGAGAGAGCCCAGACATCCCCCGTCGATGGATTCGGACGCATCGCTTCTCGAGCATAGCCCATGTCAGAACAATCGCGTCGACTCTCCTTCTATTTCAGGACCTAGCGCTTGATTAAATTTTCATCATCAGGCATCATGCGAGGAGATCCGTACCCTAATTCTACCTTGTATATCATTGTTTTCATCAAGGCGGCACTGACGGCAGTGGGAGCCTTGACGCAGCAGGAAGTATTTGAATCGGAGATTCGCGAGGGCCTCCGACGGCATATGAAATCCCAGCGGCTGTATATTCCTTGGGACAAGCGTGTGGGATACGGGCCTCCCACTTCACCCCGTAAAATCATAGCCATGCACCAAACTCGGGAGATGAAATCGTCTCGACGTACCATTTTCGCGGCTCTAGGCATTCATTTCCTCGAGCGAGTTCAAGGCTGATATCAAGCAGCTGTCCTCCCAAAAAGCGTCCAGCAATTCGTGCGCGATCTAAAGATACGTCGAAGCGTGCATCGGCGCAGGAGAGCTGATCCTAGTAGTTTCGAAACTCATCTCGTCATTGTACTGGTGGCAAAGAGCAAGCATAGTTGACTCGCCGCGACTGGTCGCTGGTTGAAGCGCGTATAAAGCGTATAGTGGTCGCTGGACAGCTTTTGGGTGGTCAGAGGAATCTGTGAGGTCAGAGCGAAGTCGCTTTATAATGAAAAGCGTTCGACCCACGCACGTCACATACACTGCAGATGGACGATCGTGGTGGCTTTGACACCGTCGTGCGTCGCACGCAAGGTGAATATGGTACGTATATTGAAGAGAAATAAACGATAGATAAAAGAACAGCATGTGGCAAAGTTCCAACAGACGAGCAAGTGCCACCAAAGACCCAGCGACTAAGCGGAGAACAACGCCGCCCATAGGGATCACTAGCAGACTTCCCGAGCGCAACTTCACAGACCAGCAGCAAGCAGCCTCCGGTCTCGTGCACGAAGAAAGCCGAGCATCAAGATTCAGGAACGCCCGAGCTTGATAGTCTCGCTCAATGCAAAGATCGAGCGCTCGAGATTGTCCGTTCGGGCCCAGTTTTCCGCCTTGAGAGTCGTGTTTTCGTCTTGGATCTCTGCAAAGCTGCTGTCGAGCTGCTCTTGAAGTTCCGATGCGGTGAGCTTGACAACGGCCACCTCGGTTTTGAGCCCTGCGACAGTACCCTTGAGGCCTGCGATGTCGGTTTTGAGCCCCGCCACGTCGTCTCTGATCTCGGTCAAGAGTCGTTCTATCCTAAGGAGCGAGTCTGCTGAGTTTCCCGGCACGGGAACGTCTCGGCGTAAGTTGGAATATATGTGCGTGCGTGGTGCAGACAGCCTACCTGGTTCAGCTGCTACATAAGCATTGAGGAGCTTGTGTTGATAAACGAGGACCTTGGCTACATCTTCTTCAGAAGCAAAGGGCGATTTCCTATAGGCTGTTCTCGTACAATTCAGTCCTGAATATTCATGGAGATTCTGGAGTGGCACGCACTGTGACTGTCGTCAATCTCTTTCTGCCACAGCCTTGCACGATAGATGTCCTTCAAGAGGGGTGGATCGTGAGCTACCTGCGGAGGATTCACGCCCAGGTTCGGCGTGAGCTGGGGAGGTTGGATGGCTACCATTCCGAATAGTGGATCGGGATACAGACAGAGAAGAGGATAAATGTTGGACGAGCTTGTGGCCGCATGACGCACCCAGATGGCTGAGCGGAGCTAGAAATCGGAAGTGTTTTCGGGATATAATTGCAACCGTAAACTGCCCTCATTTGGAATACGTTGCAGTCAAATCAGATTTCCTTCAAATCTGTAGAAAATATACTATGCACCACTCGCACTCGCAGGTGCTCCGAACTTAGCGCCAAGGGCCAGCCAGTATTCCGTCATCCGTCAGAGGCCAATGATCCGTTGCTGACGCTAGGGTTTGCATCCGTATTCAACAACAAAGAACAACGCATCCTAACCTACAAAAAATTCTTACTCCTTCGGTCTCAGCGTCTTTGTCGGCTTCCTGCAGCGTTGGCGCCAGACATCCTCGCGGGCGATGACCTTTCATTCACGGACGCACGTCGGCCTGATGACGCCTCTCCCATACGCCAATGGGCGATCATCGCAAGATGGGTTGCTCGTAGCTCCGCGCCACAGCTCTCAGGGTCGTTCTCCTCCATGATATGCGCCCTCGCGCCTTCTTGGCAATAGAATACTACTAGCACAGCTCCGAGTATCGAGCAGTCCTGGAGCACGAGTAGTGCCTCGCGGGGCCGGTCAGGGCCGTCAACAAACCCGACTTCCACAAGCAGCGCGGGGCGCGTTACCACAACGGCGTTCCCGGGGGCAATCCACAGATCGGATCGCATCGTTCGCGCTCTTTTCCCAACGTAAACGCGAACGTTTAGAGTTCGTCGTCCCCGCCGTTGAAGGCGCTCCAGCCCAACCCTGCAGCGTATGGGGAAGTGATGTCGCACGGCGCCTAGATGACGTTACGATCGTGGGGCTTCGTACGCAAATAACGCGCGCTTAAAGCGCACCTCGCTCGCCCACGCTCTCTCAGACATGGGAGCCTCCATGCCCATCTTCAGCCCTCCGTCCTCCACGCATACTGAACTTCGGTGATAGAAGGCAGAAGGAGAGGGAGCATTCACAACTTCGCTTCGCCTCCCGAGATATAGATATCCCTCCAACCAAATAGTCTCTGGCCACATGGTTCAAATCATGGGTAAAGCGGACCTATCGTACTCCTCTCGATACATTCTACTAGTCAACTTAGAAGTTCCTCCGTAAACAACGGAAGTGAAACGAACATACAGAGGGGGACGAGAAAACAAGAACCAGACCCAACGCTGCGATCGTGATCACGACAAACAAACACGGACCCATGCATCTGCTCGTTACTCGCCAATTTCCTCTTCCTCAGCGATAAGCTTCTCCACCTCGAGTGCGGCCATGCAACCGCTCCCTGCACTGGTGATCGCCTGACGGTACCGCTTGTCTTGCACATCGCCAGCCGCGAACACGCCATACACCGACGTTTGTGTTGTACCCGGCACGGTGATGATGTAGCCGTCCGCGTCAGTTTGGAGCTGATCACGCACGAGCGAGGTGGCGGGTTCGTGGCCTAAATTCAAAGCGACGGTCTAGTCAGCAATGTGCCTTTAATGATAGAAGAATGCTCACCGATGGCGTAGAAGAGCCCATTGACGGCGAGGTCAGACTCGACGCCTGTCGTCGTGTTCTTAATGCGGAGGTTGTTCAGCAAATCGCCGTCGCCTTGGCATTCGACCGCGACCGTGTTCCAAAGCACGGTCTAGAGTTCAGAAGCATTGAATAGAAGTGGGGGGATGAGGTTGTCGCGCGCATCGAAAGCGACTGATGACGTACAATCTTGGGGTTGTTCAGAACCCGTTTGGCCATGATTTTCGAGGCGCGGAGCTCGTTACGGCGAACGAGGACATACACGTGTGAACCGTACTTGGTTAAATCTTGTGCACTCGTTCAACGGGCTGCTAATAGAAGTACGAAGAGAGAAAGCACGTACAAGTAGCTTCCTCTGCGGCAGAATCACCGCCACCAATGACGGCGAGCGGCTTATTCCGGAAAATGGGTACCGCACCGTCACAGACGGCGCAGGCGCTGATCCCGCTCTGCCAGTAAGTCTCTTCGCCCTTGAGCCCGAGGCGTTTTGCGCTAGCACCGGTCGCGATGATGATTGTGTCTGCCGTCTCCGGTTCCTCGTTCTCTTGATACTCGCGCCAGTAACGGAAGGGCCGCCGGCTCAGGTCGATCTTGGACACTGTCTCGGTGATGATGCGCGTCCCGAACCGCAGCGATTGCGCGCGGAATTTATCCATGAGCTCGGGGCCGAGCACACCCGTGGGGAACCCTGGGAAGTTTTCGACATCGGTGGTGGTGGTCAGTTGGCCGCCGGCTGCGAAGCCGTTCGCCATGAAGCCTTCGAAAAGGACAGGGCTAAGATTCGCGCGCGCGAGATAGATGGCTGCTGTGTGCCCTGCGGGGCCAGAACCGATGATCACCTGTCGAAGAATCGATTTGTAAACACATGGAGCTCACGTCAATACTCGGAGGTGTTAGGAGAAAGTGTCCGAAGCGGCCACGCTGAGATGCAGAAATATTCGCAGGCGTCCTTCGCAAAAGAACTAAGCCTAGTTTCGCAATCCAGTCAGGGTCGCACGGCGACCGAAGCGCACAAGGCATGTGAGCGAAACCATCTTGGGAACGGCGACGTGCCATCAGCGGCGTACGCCAATGCAGACGGAGCTACGGATGCAACGGACCCACAACGTCATGACAGTACGCACTGAAGCCTTTTTGGACACACCACGCTCGAAGACTCATCTGGAATGGATCTCATCTGATAAGGCGAACTCCGATGAGGCACACGAGGACATTTCCGCGGCTGCACACCGACGGAGGACCGCTGAGCGGTATCCAACGGTGCAAGCATCCTCAGGCAAGAGGACCAGCACCACGACACCTATGGGAAGACGAAAAGCGACTCACCACTTTGGAGTGCATTCTAGAGCTCTTGGGGATGAAGCCGTCGACGACCATCGCGCCTGCTCCGTTAGTTACGGGTGCCATTTCGTGGAAGTAGGTCGCAAGGTTTGGCTGTGCACGAGGGGTGGAGAAAAGGACGACCGCAGCGAGAGGTATCGCGCGAAGACGGGGGGAGAAGCGAACAGGCGTAGTGTTGTATTTGAGGACGAGAAGGGGGAAGAGACGGAAGATGACAAGTGCGAAGACGGACGCAAGAAAAGGAAAACCCTCATCATATTAATAAGCTCGTGACCTACGGCAGCGGTCATGTGATGCCGATCTTCCCACGGATTCTGCATTCCCGCGTCTGATTGGCCGCCACGCTGGATTGCGAGGCGATTGCTCATTGGCCTGCGCTATCTCACACACTCGTCACGCAGAATCAGAATGCAGCTCCTCCGTAGAACAATTTTATCCGTCACAAGACGCCCATCATGCTGTCAGATCACATACACCCGGCCGCAAAGCGCACCACTCGGGTTGCAGCTTGATAACCTTCACCCCCCTCTTCTCCATCCGATAGGCCACGTCGTGCAACCGCGGTAGCGCCGAGCTCACGTTTCCTCCAGGCCCCGTCCAGAACAGCTCTGCGCCAGACGCCGCGCGTGGCCAGGTGATGGAATCCAAATTCGACGGCGAGGACTGTTCCGTCCACAGGCAATGTTCCCCTATTTCGATGGCGGCGGATGGCAGAACAGAGCCAAGAATCAGTAACGCTGCACGTTCCAAGCCGTTGTTTTTAGGTCACCTCCCAGGACGAGGCTGGCTTCTGCCTCAGACAAATTGGCAGTCGGGTTGAAGGAGTAGGACTGTCCCACGAGTACCGCATCAGTCACACCTAAATAGGAAATGATGAAACGCCCGCCCACCTTCTGCCAAGTCTTGAACGGGTCACACCAGCTGTTCCTGTGAGGATAAGACACGACGGGTTTGGCGAAGAGCGCAAGTCAAGGTGAGCCTTCGTACCCGTCAATGTCGGCGCCGATCCACTCGCCCGCACCGCAGTCCTGCAAAATCACCGTTCAAAACTACGTCTACCCACGTACATAAACGAGGACGGCGTTTCGAAGCGAGAGCCAATCGCGTACCAGATAGAAGTAGTCGGAAGCCGCGTGCACAAATCGATATCCTTTCTGCGCGACGGCCGCTGCATTTTCCGAGGAGATCCACACCCTGAATGATCATCGCAAAATTGTCATGAAAAAAATCCCCGCCGCACGCCATCACGCGTCAGCGAATCGGAGCACGCACATCACGACGGTATCGTTCGGCAGGGTGACATTGTAGTCAAGCACCATCTCTGCGGGAGCTGTCAACTCATATGCATATGTATTCGAATGGGGGAAAGGCGGACCTTCCCAAACCACGGGCGTCTTCCCACTCCCTCTGATGGCCTCGTGCACGCTGCCTACAAATGAATCCAAAGCCTGGGCGAGATTTTGCCCCGTTGCGTCCAGCTGCTGCTGTGTCTCTGCATCTTGTGTGTAACAATTTGTATTGACCTCGTCCCCTCCCGAGCTTATGAGCGTTGAGGGAAACAACTTTGCGAGGGCGCTGAACAGGCTTGCAGTAAATTTAATTACCGAAGGGGATGCGAGACGGAGTTGGCCGGCTGGGGGTTCTATGAAAGAAGCATGAGAAGGAGTAGACGAGAAGAGAAGACAGCTCAGCAGTGGATCCGTATAGTCTTATTCACCATTCGCGAAAGACGCCCAGGGCGTCGTCTCTGCACAGGCCACGAACTCAGGGTGGGATTGTGACATGACAGCCGTGTGGCCAGGCGTATCGATTTCCTGCTCCCAAACGGATGCTCGTCAGTCGACCCGCCCAATATCCGATATATAGACGCGCCTCGAAGCGCACTCACCACTAGCACATCTATTCCGCGCTATTGCAGCAAGCGCAAACGTCGAGTCAGGTACATACAGGAACGCTTATCTGCCCCAAAGACGGGGCAGCGGCGAGCGGACTTACCGCACCGGCGTACGCAACGATGTCGCTGATGTCATCTGTGTGATAGACTGAGGAGGATGAGTATGCACCCTTTTCAGAGAGTTCGGTGAATCCCGGAATCTCAAGTGGGAAGCTCTGGCTGTCGGTAGCGTGCCAGTGAAGAGTGTTCAGCTGGACGGAAATCACAGATAAGGCGATATGCTCGGCCTGGTCAGATGCATGGCCGACGCACCTTTACCCAACTCATCGCGTCAAGCGTTCGCTTGATGTCGTCAACGGGAAAGCTGGAGACAAAAGGGGTGTTCAGGGATCTTATCAACAAACTGACAATGATCTACTGACAAGTTTCTCGCTGTGTCCAGCATGAACCCCCTATATGGCTATCCTCAGATCAAGCCAGCGCGTGAGTGCTCCAGCGCCCGGCTGCGACCGAACCGACACCACTCACATACACAGGCGCGTCCTCGATCGTGATCGGCGCCTCGAGGGTATATATCTCGCTGTCCCACCAATACCACATCTGTTCAAATGTCGTGAGGCCTCTGAAGAGGCCCAAGGTCGAGTTCGCGGTGAGCGTCGCGCTTGTGCCGTCGCTTGGCACGCCCAAGGTGTATGCCTCATCCCGGCTGCCGAGCGGCGCGCGCGCCTCGTCGGTGATGGACGCTGGCACCACAGTTTTTCCGTTCTGTGTGGAGAGAGTGATAGTCAGTGACGGAAGCGTGTGTGCGCCAGCGATGGCTTGTGCGTCAGATGCGCCGCGGCCAACCACCAGACGCTCGAGTTTATCCGACTGGAGGAACGACTGGCTACGATGAACGGCATCCCTCAAGTCAGCAGGCGCATTAGAGATGGCCAACTGGATGGAGAAAGTGGGTGAGAGACGGAGCGGCTCGCTGCCGGTATTCACGGTGCGTGGCTGGGGCCATACGGCAACGGCAGGAGATATGAGAGAGGCAATGGCGATGCCTAGGAGTGCAATCATCATGGTCGAGACCAAGTGCCGTCAGGGCTGAGGCCGAGGTCCATTCATTCTTGTCACGCCCACAACGTTTCGAAATGCTTTACTTAGACTGAAGAGGTGCCGTTACCCGCTGCGATGGAAGCCTGGTGGCACATGAGCAAGAAGGCAGATGTTGCATGGCCGCCTCACGGGAGGAGTGAAATACAGTAGCAGGATTGGTCTCGATAAGCCTTCCATGGTTCACTTAGTCACCACCAATGATGGACAATTTCTAACTATTTTCACTTTATTATGTAATTGATTCACCAAATCGAATCACTTCCCGTTTTGGAGCTCGCCCATTTTTGAAGATATTGACAATCTGTCTTGGGGATCTCTTCTCGTGAAAAGACATCGATTGGCAGGACAGATAGTCAATTGGGCCTCAATTCGTGACCCTAGTCTTGGTGTTCGAAACATGCGGTAACTAAGTGAACGGCACCACACCAGCGTCGGTAACATGATCCTAGTCTCCAGTGCTGAAGCGCTAGCCTTGACATAGAGAGATCTTCGAGCTTTTCAGTTTCGAGTTGTTTCGGGACCAAGTCGGACGACCGAGGACGGATTAGGACTCCAAAAAGCTTAAGACTAGCTTAAGTCTCTTTCGGGTGATATATTCTCACACGCCTGCAGACTTGAATGGAAATAAAACTAATTCGAGTAGAGAAGAAGATATACGACGCTAATTATGGTATGAATTAAGTTCCCCGACTAAAGACAGTACGGTGGGGGTTGAAAAAAGGGTACACACCTTTTGGGCAAGGTAGCTCAAGTCAGGTCATAAACAAACGGACTCACCTAAAACCGGTGTCCGACGGTGCGCACCCCCACATGAACAAAGGATTTGGGGTTCACAACTTCGTCGATATTAATATAGCTGCCCGCAGCTGTGAGTTAACGAATCCGGACGGAAGGGGAGACGAAGGTTGATCAATGCATCCTCGTGAAGCAGATGAAGAAGAGTAACTCAGCGGGGTCCATCCACGACTGCATACCACCGACTGCTCCACCGCAGGTTCACGTCCCGGGCCCACATAGATTGCAGCAAGAATAATGCGATAGCAGCATACGAAAAGGGCAATATCATTTACATAACAGACGGCGAGTCGAAAGGTTAACTCACGTCTCATCCTACTCCGTTCTCCCCACCACCCCTGGTTCAGTATTGTACTCATAATAATGTCTTTACACGTCCGCAGTCTCAGTGCAGTCAATGGCCAATGGCGCACAAACGCACCTGCCCCTCTTGGCTTCAAAATATCAACCCTTCAATCAACTAGCATTCGTTCTGTTTGCAGGCCCTCGCCGTATGCCATACTCTCGAAGATCACTTGTCTCCAGACGAGAATGGCGAGCTCACCAGCTTCCTCTTCAAGAACCTAGTCAACACGCATGATGATGATGATAAGCATGGCCCTTCAAATTATGAAGAAGATGGGCGACGCACCGGCTCTAGGCCATCAACAAGCTTGCTTGGACTCTTATGGTCCTTGAGATGCTCCAACACGAACATGACAAGGTCATCGTCTTCGAGCTCACCGATATATTTAACCATCAGCCGCTTGACGAGAGGCTCGAATTTGCGGTCAATCATGAGCTGAATGGCAAGGTCAGCCTCATCGATGAGCTAGATACTGAATAAGCTCACATCAGTCACGCAGTCCCACCGGACCTTTGCCTTGAATAGCGTCTCCTTATCACTGGGAACGGAAGCTTTGATTCGCTCCAATCTCTCCTTCGCCTTCTCTCCGTCGTTCGCGGCACTGAAATCAAGTTTCACCAAAGGCACCTTGCGCCTCCTCACCGCGTCCTCCTCCTCTTCCTCGTTCCCGAACAAGGTCGCCTTGTCCATCGAAGGCCCGCCCTCCGCTTTGGGCGCAGCAGCAGCCAAGGAGACATTAAGTTTGACAGGCGCACCGTCATCGAGCAACATGCCCGCCTTGCGTTGTTCCTCCGCCAGCGCCTGCATCTCGTCCATCTGGCGTGCGAGGAACGCCTCGGACTCCCGCCGCAAGTTCTCCACCTCCCGCTCTTCAAAGGCCCGCGACTCGGCATCGGCGGCCTCCTCCGCTGCAAGCCGACGCGCACGTTGTGCTCGCCATCGGGTGCGGTCCGTGTAGAACTGTTCGTCGCTTTCATCGTCGTCCCACACGTCGAGCCGCACATGTATCTCTTGGCGATCCCGCTCCTCAGCTTCCTTCGTCGTTCGCTCCCGCGTGAGCGCGCGCTCTAACGTCTGTATACGTACACGTTCCCGTGGTTCATATCTGCGCTCGCGCTACGTACCATGTCATGAGATACTTGCCACAATAAAAAAGATAGAAAAAACGATTGGACGCACGTCTCTGAATGAGTTTTCTTCGTCTCGTCGTCTCGCCTCCTTCCTCTCCGCCTCTAATTCTTCATCCGTCTTTGTCGTCTTCCCGGCCAACTGCCGCTCATCTCCTTCTGCACTTTGTTCCGCCTTGACAAAGCCAACCGGCTTGTTGTATCCCTGCTGTGCATCCCTTCCCAGGGCACCAGGCTTCGAACTTTGTGATGATGGCGCCCCTGGCCCGCCTTGGGGTTTACCCCACTCGCGCACCTTGGGCCCACTTGGCAGCACTGGGATGTTCTGCTTAGTGTCGCGCAGCTTCTCTCGCTCGCGTTTCGCAGCACGTTCGCGGAACTGCGCAATCTCCGAGATGACGAGCCCACGCTGAGTTTCTGGCAGGTCTGCCTCCTGCAAGTCATGTAGATGCGGGGGAATGACGTATTTCTCCTTGTCGAGAAGACCATTGTTGGATGCTTCTTGAGAAGTGCGGTTGATTTCGGCGAGGTGCTTCTCAACACTGGCTTTTGCTTTTTGCGTGGCTGCTTCGTCGGTCTGGAGAGTACGATGAGTCGACTGCTGGCGTGAAAGAGATAGGTGACTCACGTCTGTCTGCATACGGTGCGCCGAATATGCTTCCAGAAACAGTTTTGTTCTATCGTCTGCTTTCACCTGCGGACTGATAGGTTCGAAGTGAGTAGGAGAGAAAAATGGTACTCACCAGCAACTTTTTGCTAACACAACCATCCTCCAACGCAGGGAGTTCCACGTTATTCAACAGCGCCATAGCACGCAACGCTCCCTCAGGATCCTCAAACTCGGCGAACCCAAATCCTTGGGGTTTGTTTGCGGGTGTGATCAAGCGCTTGAATGACTTCACCGGGCCACATGCCTGTTCAGTGCGAGAGGTCTGAGTTTACAGGTATTCATGCAACAGGTAGAGACACACCGTAAGAAGTTGATTGAGAAATGCATCGGTGATCCCGCCTGATATTGAACCAATAAAGAGCGTTACTTGCTTCTGCGCTTGAGGCGACACAAAGTGTTGGTGCATTTGCTGCTGCTGTGCAAGAGCCGACATTGAGGGTCCCTGGCCAAAGGACGGCAAGGGTTGGTTACGAAGACCAAGTCCTAACCTGTTCGGCAAAGGCTGCATGGTACGGTCTGGTCTGATATGTTTAAGCAGAGGGAGAAAAAGTTGGGGTAATCGAACTTACTATAGCAAAGGAAGAACGATTTCGGATATTGGCTCTACTGTTGAGATACGAAGATCGGCAGGTTCATAAGCGGTCAGATAAGGGGAGAAGTATCAATAGAGCGAGCACGATAAAGTCAAGGGGAGAAGGTGATTAGAGGTCAGACGGATGGAACAAGGTGTAGATCCTCTTGCAGACGCGCGCAGGTTCCAGCGACTGGTGAGAAAATATCAGATGATCTCCACGTGTCCACTGGAGCAGACGTTAGAATAAGGCAACATGGCCGAGCGGTCTAAGGCGCCAGAATCAGGAATTAACCTTATCTCCATCTGGTCCTCCGGGGCGCGAGTTCGAATCTCGCTGTTGTCATAAATTTTTATCTTTACTTTTGTTAAAGATTTTCAAATCGGCAATGTCTCACACGAACACATCCCAAACGACATTAGGCAGCTCTTCCAAGCTCTCGGTAGCGCACGCCCCAAGCTCTACGCCAAGATTGACGTCAGAGATTGTGTTTGGGTTAATACTGTCCCAGACGTCCCCCATGGGACTGTTGGAACATACAGACATCCACGGATGTTGCATATCCACCATAAGGAGAAATTGTACGAACACCCGTGCTTTTCGCGATGGGCCACACAACAAATAAGTCGCTAACCTCGATATGAATATAATCTCCACCTAAGGGCCTCCCCCATGAGCAGAATGAGTCTACCACTTGAAGACCAGACCTGCTGCGCAACTGACGCGACGTTGGTGATGTGTGGCTTGTGCTGCGCAGTGGGTTCGACTCGTGCACGCAATGAAGAAATGTGAATGCATTAGGTGTGCGCAGGAGCGAGAGTCGTTCCTGGAAGATTTGTGGTTCGTGAAGCAACGCTACAATTCATCTTTTGGTGTGCCAGAATGTACATATGCGAGTACTTGATACATATCGGGAGACAGCGTGTTACCGCACCTTGAACATTTGTACAACCGCCTCGCTCGGTACCTCTGCATCTGTACCGCTCTTCACAGTGTAATGAATTTCGATGTCGAGTTCCCGCGAGTTATGGTCACTCTTCCGACAATGGAATGTCCCAGATACGATGGTCCCTATGACAGAATTATCAACTCGGGGTAATCGTTGGACACGCCTTAATTAGCACATACCTTCCTCGACTTGTATCGGATCCCGCAGCAGGAAGATGGTGTGCTTCCAGTGGGTAGGCACACTCTTTGGGCCTGTGCTAAAACTGGTGATGCGTGCCTTGACGCTCTGGCTTGCTCGTCTAGGGACGTGTTGTTTACCGCCGATGGGCCAAACCTCCGCCAGATGTCCTCCACCGTCTTTTGTGATCTGCACTTCCGTCCCTTGTGGTATAGTCTCACCGCTAGGATGGAAGAATGTGTCGAAGTAGAGCACAAGCGCGTGGACTTTCGTCCGCCGTTCAGCAGTCGAGACAAGGGTGAAGGGAGCTGTGAAATCTAGTTGACGGGCTGTGATCTCGCGGAGATACAAGTCCTAAGAGGATGAACATCAAGACACATTGGCACTTGAATCACAAGCCAGCCCGACCTTGATGGGAAAAGCTTCACTAAGCATTGTATCTGGGCCTACGATGTCGACAACGGCATCATCATACACTTCTTGCCCCATCGCCGACAGATCAAACCCTTCAGTACGGCCCCAAGTCAGAAAAGATCGTGAAGGATGTACGATATACTTACCATAGATGTCATTCCAAAACCCTATTCTCTCCTTGAAAATCTCACCCGCCTCGCAAAGACCAAGCATTATTTTGCATTGACTAGGCGCCATGACACCGTCAGGCTTCAAGAAGAGGTCTCTTGCATGAAGGACCGAGTCCAACATGGACTCATACAAAAGCGCGTAGCCCATCCATTCAGAGATGATGATATCCACTTTCTCGATGTCATCGGGGAGAGTGATACTTTCCACCTTGCCATGTATGACTCTGCAGGATGAATGAGCTACATTACAACTAGGGGATATTCACAAACACCTACGTGATAACGTGATCGAGATTATTCGCTTTCACGATCTGTGCTGCCTTTTCGGCAATGTCGCTGGCGTCGACAGCAATAACGCGTCTCGCGCCAGCTCGTGCAGCAAACAGTGAGAGGATGCCAGTCCCGCACCCGACATCTAGCACAACAGCGTCTGTGAAGAGTGCTGGGTTCGTGAGAATGAATGATGCGTAAGATGATGTGCGGACAGTGTCCTGAATCATCACAGCATGAATATCTATATTTCCAATAATTAGACATAGGGTGTGCGGCGAGCAGAAGATGTCATACCATTTTCCTCATAGCTTTGGAAGTAATGTGTATCATCGTCGCGCACACTAGGCCCTGCAATATTATCACCTGTATCTTCCTTGAGACCGCTGAGATCAAGGCGTTGACTGATCAACGCTTGATACTCTGCCAAGTCCTCCTTGGACTGCTGCAGCTTCCGCTGTAAGGTTTTGATCTGCTTTTGGAGGCTGGTCTGATCGCTTGATGCAGGAGTCTCATCATCACTATCCGACCAGTCATCGGACGGGTTCACTAAGGACGCTCAGCCTGAGAATTAAAAAAATGTTTGAAGACATACGAAGCAGGGGGTCATCTTCCAAGGCGGGGAGCAGGTAGTCGTCTGATGAAAAGAAAGATTCTTTTCCGTTTAGACCTTGTAGACTTGCCGCCATGGGTTTCTGAATTTATATCTTGAGTTGACATCACATCTAGATAAGACAAAGGGTTCCACACACTTCTTTGCGAATATAATTGATGAGTCTGATACGCGCGTGGAAATCGAGTGCTAAATCGGAAATTAGGAAGCGAGAGATATGTAACGGTAGATGCAAGCGTACAAAGCTTCGAGCACACAGTGGGCAGATCAAATCCATGTTCTTTCCTGTCGTATGCCAACGCTTCTGACACTGCGGGCAGCGTCTTCTCTTCAAACAGGGATTGGCAGGGCTGTTTGTTCATTGAATCCGAAACCCAATCACTCCAAGTTTCCTCCTCTTCACTAGACGAGCTCGTGCAATTTTCATCTTCCGAGCCAACGTCAGAAGGGTCTAAGGAGGTCGTCGGTAAGCGAAGGCTCATGATGGAATAGGGGGACGGGTAGGAGAGGAATAAATTGCTTTGAATCTGCCTTCATCTGATGACCGAAGACAGTATTAGATTCTCACGCTCGCTTGAGTTGTAAGATCTGTAAGAGTCCAGACGACGCCGACGATGACTCGACGACAATTCGCCTCAGACTCACTCGAACTGCCCCCATACCTATAGCAAAAGATTGCGATGATGCACTCAGGACTTCAGCGCTTCAGCCTCAGTTGTCGATAAGCTTCTCCCCCATGCAGCATATCTTGGACGATACATATCAGTCTGCATGATCTACATTATCGGATATCGAGTAGCATACTTGACGTTTGACGACTCTCTGCCTTACTCTCACACGTCGAAAACAGAGCATACCACTATGTCCCAGCGGCATTCGTATACGTCCGGCGCATCATGAATCTACATCAGAGTCGGTTCCGAAGATGACTAGATGACTCTGCAAGTGCCCATACTTGGTATTTTATTGTACTCCATATGCTGACAGCTTATGCTTCCGGTTCTGTTTGAGGAAAGTTACACGCTGGACCGACATTTATAAGACATGTCTTGCAGTATAGCAGCCCGCTCCAATACCGATTCACTGCGGCCCTTATTTCCTCTCCTGTCTTTCTCCGTTTAACAGGTGTGTTCATCATTGTGTCACCAGAGTCGTATAAAACACAAGTCTGATTATGACAGGCCAGGATCTCATTCGCACATCACTATGTCTAGTTCAGCCAGCCCTTCAGAATCCAAAATCTCCCTCCTGTCGCATGATTCTACATCGTCATCCTACGATGAAAATGAGAAGGCTTCAGGGACTGGGTTGAGAAAAAGCTTCTCCCCTTTTGTCGCTCTTCGATCCAAATACAGCACGGACAGCAGCTCATCTGTCACCTCTAGCAGTTCCGCTCCTCCGCTTTTGCATGCACAGACACAATCGCAGCCCCCGCCTCCCCTTACTTCCGCCTCTGCACTTTCGAGCCACCCTACTAAGGACTATGAGGCATCGTTTGGTGCCTTGGCATCATCATTTGGATATGGAGGAGGGGCGCCGATCATCGTGAAATCGAAGAAAACTCAAACGAAGTCAGCCACCCAGACTGGTGCTGCAGCCCCCTCAACCTCGAATAACACACCTCTAAAGTAGTTTCTTGACATCACAGTACGTCTTCCACCTCCTCGTTCTGTCAGATCTCCTCATCGTTCGGTAGGAACGTGCCGGGCGGATGTGAGGAATGCGAGGGTTAGATCTTTTCACCGTCTTTACATGTACTTACCGTTCATTTCCCTTTTGATCCTTTGTGTCAGTCATGTTTTGGTGGCCGCGAATGACTCAATCCCACAACCAATAACTTGGCATCTTGTCATATTTGAAATTCATCTGTACAATTGCCTCGCGCTCTCATCCAATTTCAGAATAGGCTTTCTCTTTCGTCAATGAATGAAGGCTTATAGCTTCAAGAGCAAAAATGGCCCCGCAAGTTCGGCTTTTCTATGTAGCCCATTGTATGATCGTAAGCTCTGTGTTACCTGTCTACCTCTCTAAGCTAGACGCGTGTGACCTCCGTCCCATATGCACTTCCACAGTAGTGCAGGATTGGGACGTTGGCGCTGACATTACGAGCAGTCGACTGTGGTCGACCACTCTAGGTAGAGCGCTCACTCAGGGTTCTGCTGCGCACACTTACTCAAGCTGATGATGACCATTGCGCAGCTTGCTCCAGCCTCAATATTCTCAAGTTGGGTGTGTAGCACGAGGCCTTCAAACAAATGTATCAAGCTATGCTTGGCCCCCCTGCTGCGCGGAAGCGAAACACGAGAACTTCGTGACTGCGCTTCGAACTCTTTGGTGCGAATCTGCTGAAAGCCTCCTTGCGCACACTCGACAGGCACTGTCGTTTTCGGAAACATGCTGCGGAGAGATATCTCACTTTCAAAAAGTCCAGCTCCTCCCAGTGCGTGTCAGAATGCACTGTCTTGTTGCGTGCTCTTGCGCGCATCGTCTCCGCCATGTTCGACACGGGGTCGCTGGGCGCTAACTCCGATGCGTCATCATACGTCTACCTAACACCCTCAAGCGTCACTTTGAACCCCTATGCATATTGCAGCAGCTCCAACAGACCCACTCGTCCGCAGCATGTGTACCGAGTCAAGGTACGATTGTGGAAAGTGTGCGGAACAGTGAACGATTCGTCCGTCCGCAGCGACATTCTTCCATTCAGCACAAGTATCGATTCATTCATCGTCTACACTCTACATACAAGAGCATTCCAGCTCTTTGGAGGCGCGTATCAGTAGTCACTAGTAAAGCTGACCTACAAGGTGCGTCGTCGCAGCTGAAACTCGGGAAGCGAAGTCCGCGCTTGTTTCCTAATCGCAATATTTCATTGATCAAACCGAATTAGTTCAGAATGGTCTGAAACATCATGTACCAACAAATTTGATGAGATTATCGGCACGATCACCAGGCGATCGCCATTTTATGATAATAACCGCTTTTATGTTGCTGAAGGAAACGAACAACAATCTCAGCATCTTATGAGATTGTGATGCCGTTTTCATGCTGGTATGGGTTGGATGGGTCAGTATGGACCCCCGCATTGATCGGCGATTCACGAGAGATCGTGGAGATTTTCAAGATCCGCGAGCTAAAGATCCCATCTTGGTTCCTCGGTTCACATCAATTGACTCTTGCGGCTGCTCGCAACCCTGAGCGGGTCCGGCACAGGTGGTCGAGAATCAGACCGAGTCATGAACACAGGTGCCGAAGCATATATAAAAATGGGGACATGACCTCTGAAACACACATCTCTTCGCGCGCCCATCTTAACCCAGAACTCCCTCTCAAACTACACTCATCATACTCTTAGAACGTCCTTTCGTCCCTACCACACACTCAAACACGATGTCGTCTCCCTCTTCATCCACTGCGACCCTCGTATCATCCAACAAGAGCGCATTCTCTGTCAAGGGAAAGAAAAATATCTTCTCGTCCGTCTTCGGTGCCAGATCTAGCACATGTGAGTTTGCCTGCGCTCTTGCGAAGGTTCCACATTCTCACGCAGCGCATTAGCGTTGAACACTGGAACTAGCACTTCCACCGCTACTACCAAGGCAGTGACGAAGCCCGATGCCGCATTCGGTAATCTCGCCACGAAGTACGGCTGGGCGGCAGCTGGACCTGGCTTTGCAGCTCCCATCGATCCTTAAAGTCTTATAGACGCTCAAGACACCGTGTCTTAATGACGCATTCGTGATTCGGAAACCCACCCGATTCATCATTACCCCCATAGGCTATTACCATGGAAATGCCACAGGTAGCCACAAGCCTCAGAGTGAGGCGGGGACGAGGACGGAGGCGGGGGTAGGGGCAAGAAGGAAAGGCGGTAGTTGGGAGATGCAGTCGGGTATGGCAAAAGTTCACATCGCCTTACTTTCCGACTCCCGTGACGTACAATATACATACCATCGCATCGCGACTGATGTACCATTCCGCAATCATTTTACCCATGAGCATCAGAGACTTGGGGTCGATCGGGATCACCGCATTGAGATGATAACATGACAAGGATTGTGAACCACTGCGCGAACTAGTTGAATGTTTAGTTTTGTCTGTTCTAAAGAGTACATTGCGGTGGGCATGCCGCTGGCCGCTCCACCGAGGCTCGGAGAGGTCGATCAAATCGACAACGCTTTCGGGTTAGTTTGGCCGTCAGGGCGTTGTGTATCCCCTGAGTCGCTACTCGCATTCACTCCACTACGAGTCCTCTCGAGCAAAGCCGATCCCATCCTCATGGGCGCTCACCGTCTGACTAGGTTGATTGCCATCTAAAACATGCCGAAGTCGAACCGTACAAGCCCGAAAACACCAAAAATACAATACATCTACATCACTAACCTGATGTTGCTCACATGAAATCCTCCTCCCATTCCCTCACCGATTTCTTGGGTCTCTCATCATCCTCATCATCGTTGACAGTGAAGAGCGTATCATACGATCGTGCCGCCTTCTCTGCCTCTCGGGCCTTTGCAAGCTCGGCATCGGCCTTCTTCTACTCGTGTGCATTGTGATAAATAAGTGTGAGGGCAGAAACGGTAAGGGATGGAAATGACAGACGCACCTTCTCCGCCGCTGCAGCGCGCTTGATCGCGTTCTCCTTCTTTACGCGCTCGATGCGCTCAGCTTCGTGATCCACCTCACGCACTACCTTGGTTTTGTTCAGACGATTTACAATTGGGTTCTCGCGCTTTGCTATGTGGACTGTGTATTGATTGGATATCAGAGAGAGAGAGTCATATGGAATGAATGTTGCAGTGCAGACCTCGTTTGACCTGTTGCGTGTGATGAGCGCACATATTCTTTGGCAGCCGATCAAGACACGTACCCGCTTGTCATTATGGAAAGACACTTGTCCAACAGCCATATCACCCGTTTTCTATGTTCCCTTCAGTATTGCTTTTATCTTTGAAATTGATACACACACCTTGAGATTACTCCCGAGGGTGTATATGATCGTTAAATTGTCCTTTTTGTTCCCTGCACAACCATACTACGGTCACCGCCTCGTACGAATAGTGGATACCTCAGAATACCCACCCTCGATAGAATTAGCTTTGACCAGCTGAGCACAGTCAATGAGGAGTGGTTCTGGGATAGATTCCCATGATGAGATGGACTCGGGAAGTCGGAGGTAGACGTGTGCAGAGGAGAGTTTATCAACGTGAAACCAGACGTCTTGAGGCCACGCGTATTTGATGAGATCTTCGTCTGGGGGAGAACGGTGAGATCAAAGCATGGTGATTTTTGATCACATTGAATCAAGTGTTTCCGGAATGGATCGATGGATCGAGAGGGGAAGACAGAAAATCTACGCACTTACTTTCCACCTTGTCTCTGCCCATGTATAGTGTCACTGGTGGGTCATACGCTTGATTCCCCAACGATAGTCAGATAGGTCAGTATACTGATATAAAATTGTCGACCGACCAGTCGAAGTGAAGAACAGAACCATGGCGAAGCTGAGGAGGGCCCACTGACGACGATGCTTGCAAGAAATGTCGGGATGTGCGGTGGCTGTGAGACTCGATTTGGGTATACTTGCCAAATGCAGGACAGTGCACATGCTCACTAGTCCGGCGTCCGGATCCGCTGATCGACTGCCATCCTTTATCGAACAGCCATGTCATTGTTGGAGGCTGCACAGAATGCCGACACCGCATTTTCCAACATCCCAGTGATGTATGTACTGAGTGTGTGATACTCAAGGCCCGGCCTTCTGACATACCCCTCAAGAGATCTTGAGAACGTGTCCGATCCTGCAATCCGGGCAGCGTTGGCAGATCAGGTCAGAGATGCGTGTGTCAACGTCGGGTTCTTCTACGGTAGGCCCCCAAAGTTCTCCGATATCGACACTTTTTACCTGCTCATTCCTGCCAGTCAAAAACCACGGCATTTCGGAGCAGACGATCCAAGGCGCATTATCTTCCATGAAGGCATTCTTCTCACTGCCGACGGAGATCAAGATGGAGGTATGCTTTGGTCGCTGATCTGGTAGTTGTTTGTGGTACTCGACTCACACGAGCTACCTAGCTGGACATAACTAAGACCCCAAACTTCAAAGGCTACACTGCTGTGCTCAGCAGCAACAACGATCCCTACAACAACGGCGATATGCACGAGGGCTTCGAATTTGGCTGGGAAGCTCTCGACGCGTCAAAAGCCGCCAATGATCCGAAGCGTGCGAAGGATGGAGTCATGGCTGGTGCGAACGTGTGGCCGAAAGAAATGCCGGGCTTTAGGGAGGCCGTCCTGGAATACTAGTGGGTTGTTCCCTCGCGGCATATAGACTTGCCTTGGATTGACTCACGATTTGTAGCCATGCGGCGGTTCAACTAGGAAAAGCTTTATTCCCTCTGTTTGCCCTTGCCTTGAATCTTGAGGCCAATTTCTTCGACGATAAGGTAACAGACCTAGACATATCATTTACTTAAAATCTCAAAAATTCATAGACAGAAAACGCAGCTGCTATAATGCGTGTTCTGCATTATCCGCCGCAGACAGGGCCTGTCGACGACCGTGTCATTGGCATTGGGGCACATACAGAGTAAGTCGCACCTCGTTTAATAACGATGATTGTGCGTTCCCTACCAACATGTCTCTCGCATAAAGCTTTGAGGTAGGATGATTCTCTGAATGTTGATAATGCTCGCGCTGCATATTTTATATAGTGCTTTACCATTCTCTGGCAAGAACCGGAAATTCAAGCTCTCCAAGTCTTGAACACAGACCAGAAATGGATCGATGCCACGCCTATACCTGGTACACTGGTAATCAAGTGCGTTCACAGGTTGCGATAAAAACACTTCTCATTGACAAATGCATATGATTTAGCATTGGAGATCAGCTTGCTCGATGGACCAGTGAGCTTATCTCTGTCTCACAACATCTCTTGATCGCACTCTTGATGATATCTTCTAGACGACGTATTCAAATCGACAGTACATAGAGCAATCAACAGAAGTGGCATACGTCGATACTCCATACCGTTATTCTTCGGCACGGACTATGATGTCCAGCTTGAGGTCTGCCTTCACACCCGTCTTCCTTTCTATCCCTGACTTGGTATGTACGCGTATATAGCCAATCCCAAGTTGTGTCAGCGACGATCGACCTCCTCGATATGACGTTGTAACTGCAGGCGAATACGTGAAAGAAAGGCTGAAGGCGGCATATGGCCACTAAGATTCACAAGTGTATCTGATCTGCCGTGTGGGTGATGACGTTTTTCTATGTCTGTAAAGCTTGAACCTCGTTGGGAACTGTTTACCTTGATTACGATGTTGCAATCGCTTTCGCAGATTGATTCGACAAACCTTTAGGGGAAAACACACCAGCTTCCATTTCGACCTAGTACTCTTGACTGCGAAGACGGCGACTGCTCGTGTCTATTATAGAGCTTATGACATGATATCTCAAATGGAAAGATGAATAGCAACGGACCATCGAGCAATCCTCGTAAACATTTCGAGGCCTCCGAAGCTCGTGCATCATTCAGCGCTTCAGCCACCCATACAGCCCTTGTGATCCGTCATTTTTCTAGGGCTCTCCGGCGCTGTCGCATTGTCCATCAATCGTCTGACATACCGGGCAGCGTGATACGTGAACGATTGCCTTTTCAGGAGACCCTTAAATTTCTGGAGTATTAATGGCCTTTTGTGTCTTTCCTCGGTCATAAAGTGAGGGCTCCTAGGCTTCTGGCACTACGACTCTAGTCTACACGACTGTTCTCATCATTCTTTCCGTCCAGTGTATTAAAGGACAACTAGTCTATCCCAGCTTGACTCCCGCCACCGTCATGGATCTTTCTCTGGTAATCGTCTCGGTGTCCCTGTGGTTGAGTCTGCATGCCGCAATCGGAGGCGTTGCTGCTGTTCCCACGATTCAGTTAGATCGCGGAGTCTTCATAGGCAACTCTACAGGAACAGTTGATAAATTCCTGGGTATACCGTTTGCACTTCCTCCGTACGTCCGGTCCATTCAACAGAATTTTTTTGTGCTCTGCCTGACTTCTATCTGACAGAACTGGTGATCGTCGCTTTCGCCTGCCAGAACCGAATCACCCGTACGAGGGAGCTTACAACGCTACTGTGTTCGGCAACTCGTGCCCTCAGCAAACCGCAACTCCTACCATCCCAAACGAGATTGTTGGCGAGATTCTGAGCACCTATATACTTGTGGAGGGTGCCCATCCTCAAAGTGAAGACTGTACGTCCGTGATGATCATGCATTGGGTCCACCATTTGATCTCTCGCCTCCATTATAGGTCTGAGTCTCAATGTATGGGCTCCTGCTAATACTACAGCGGATGCGAATCTTCCGGTACTCGCGGTAATTACACCAATTCTCCAAACGGAGTTCACATTGATAAGATGTCTTGCTATAGTGGATATATGGAGGTAAGAAGCGTCGAATCATCTACCGATTTAAGCATCACCGTTTTTTCTTACTTAGGCGGATGGGAGGTCGGGGAGACGGCAACGTAAGTAGGTTTGAACTATCAGCGAATGCATTAACTGGATGTTTTTAGATACAACGGGGAGGCTGTTGTCCAAGGGTCTCTCAATATTGGCATGCCGATAATCTATGTGAGCATGAATTATCGGTGAGTACATCCGACAGTGGTTGGCATCCTAAGTCTAACCAACCGGTAGATTGGCAGGTAGACTTGACTCAATGTCTATGCTATCTCGAAGCTGACTTTATCGAAGCTTTTGGCTTCCTTGCTAGCAGAGAAGTAAAAGAGGCAGGTGTTGGGAATCTTGGTCTTCATGATCGTCAGTAGGATATCGAAACGTCCTTTTTCTACATATTTTTAACAGCGAGACTTCCTGCCCAGAGCGCCAGGCCCTCCGATGGATCCAGACATATATTGGTACCTTCGGAGGAGACAAGGACAGGGTAACCATGTATGTCTTACGTTGTTGTATTATGGCAGAGTCATCCTCACAGCGAAGTATCCTAGCTGGGGTGAAAGTGCTGGCTCTGTTTCCGTTGCGCTCCAGATGATTACGAATGGTGGCAACAGTGAAGGCCTTTTCCACGGAGCGTTCATGCAATCTGGCTCACCTCTAATTGTCGGCGATATCACTCATGGTCAGCCTTACTACGATCTCATCGTCAACGAGGTCGGCTGCAATGGCACTGAAGATACCTTGCAATGTCTGCGCGAGGCTCCTTACGAAAAATTCCAGGCTGCGTCGAGCAGTACGCCTTCGTTGTTCAGTAACACCGTATGTGATCATATTTTTGTCCATGTTCATTGTCCAAATTTCCTTCTCAGTCCCTAAACCTGGTCTGGATGCCTCGTACAGACGGTAAATTTCTGACTGAGGATCCCCAAACGCTTGTCAAAAAAGGGCATGTCGCAGATATACCTTTTGTCAATGGTGCGTACCCGTATCTCTGGTCCCTCGTTGATTGAACCTGGGTTTACGCGACACTCAGGAGATTGCGATGACGAGGGTACACTATTTTCCCTCTCGTCATTAAACGCAACGTATGATTTCCCTTGATATTTTCTTTGTTCGGAGCTTACACTAACACATCGCAGTTCCGACGAAGACACTCTGAAATACATTCAATCTGTCTACTATCCGAAGACTTCCTCGCAAGAACTTGACCCTGTGCTCCAGCTCTATTCTTCCGACCCATCTGAAGGCTCACCTTTCAATACAAGCAGTAACAATACGCTCTCTCCACAATACAAGCGTATCGCCGCTATCCAGGGAGACATATGGTTCCAGGGTCCTCGCCGTCTGTTCTTTGAGTATCGGTCAGAAAAGCAGAACACTTGGTCATATCGTAAGCGGGCGCCTTCAGTGATCTACAAATTATTCATGGAATGGCTGCATCGTAGTGTATAAAGGATTTAAGTCAACGCCCTTCCTAGGATCAGTGAGACTGTTTTTTCATTGTTCAGCACTCTCATCCTAAACGTCTTTAATAGTTTCATTCGTCCGATCTCATTGGCATCTACGGTCCTGGAAGCGACCTAGGAAACTTCGTCATCCGCTTCGCCACCGGTCTAGATCCTAATCACGGAAACACCACTATTTACTGGCCTAGGTATACCCAGAAATCACGCAAGCTCATGACGATACTGGATGGGTCGGTTCCCCTGACTATCGGTGAAGATGACTTCAGGGAGGAAGGGATCAAATACCTTACGCAGTTAATGTTGCAGAACCCTCTTTGAGGTCTGACATAGCTACACTATACATGTAATTTGGCTCACTATCGCATATCTGTTTGCGCTCAATCTCGTCGTTCATCATCTTGCGTTCAAATCATAATTCACTGTCCAAGTCCACGAGTCAAGGCGTGAATCCTGCTGACGGTACTGCGCGGACACGCGAGAACTTGCTTTCTGAGTGAGGCGTGAGGATATCAATTGTTATGGCGAAATGTGATGTCGGAAAAAAATGACCTGTGCCGCAAGGATGGGAAGTGAGCCCCCGTACAGTGCTGATTTCGAGCGCTCGTCTTGAGGATAGTGCCAGAGATGAGAACTCACCTTGAAGCTTGATGCAGCACCGCTCGTCAGGGTTGAGTCAAAGAAGAGAAAGAAATGTGGATGGACATGGATTGACTGTGTAATATCTGAGTGGGACAGTTCCGAGGCCTGTTTACGGGGTTTCTGACGGGGCCACATATGGGAGCTTCCCAAGGCTTGCCACCTCGCACTGATCAAATCAGACCTGGTTTGCTTCGTGCACAGGTGTTCATATTCCTCTCGTGAAGCACTCAACACAGACAGACAGAGGGCCCTGATATCACAGCCTGCTCTGACCTCTTCCGTAGTGTGCATCTAAAAAGCGAAAGACATCCTGTGCTATCATCAAGAACTATTGTTAACGGCATCATGGAGGTGGCAGTTCGCAGTGCAGCCCACCTGAGACTTCTGATGCCTCCTGTGGAAATTGTCGAATAGGGCGGTGGCAATTAGGTCACAGATTCACAGTGCAGCTTCGACACGGACAAGGTGGTCAACATCTAGGTGCCAATCATTCCACTTTTTGCCACTAGCCCATTCCTTCGCATGCTCTTCCGGATATCCGGAGACCACGTCGGAGGTTGAGGGAGAATCGCCTACGTTGCTACCTTTGGGAGACTATCTAGCTCTTCCCCCAGATCCAATGCAGCGGCATCTTGATATCTACCTGTGCAAGGAGCTTTCAAACTAGCAGGGCTACATACTTGTTCATAACATACGTCCAAATCTCTCTCAGAGTTACATTCAGGCGACTGTCGTCGAGTGTTTAGCTTGATCCACGAGTTGGCAGCTGATTTCCATGGAAGGACGGACAGAAGAATAGAATGCGATCGTAATAGAGACGTGGTTCCCTGCGCTATAGTACGCAGTCAAGATTTGAGGACGAAAGGGCACATAATCTGGGGAGGTAGGCAGATGTAATAGGCAGGCTTCAACGCTTCAGCTTCAGTCGCAAATAAAAGCCCGTGTCATGCCCGCCGATAGAATGCAATTGTGCATGACAGTGTCACGGGCCTTACCTCCTTGCCATTGTCCACAACAAATGCCTCAAAGACAAGCTCGACGATGCAGGCGAATGTGTGTACCGTTGGAAATTCCACAAATTATAAGATGCACGGACTGCTCCTCTATTCTTTTTCAATCTTGTTGTGCTCTGATTCGGCAGGCAGCGGAATTCCGTCGTATTTATAGGGAACTCGCATATTGACCCAGTGCCCACTCACTCTGGTTATCAGACTTTGAGCAATCTGGCATGGAAAGTCTTCCAAAGTCCTTCAAAGCAGGTACTATGTCCTCCCTTCCCTATGCACACCGCTCGTCGTACTACAATCCTCGCTCCCACACACCTGCTAAATTCTAATCGATTAATCCTTTGATGCAGTCGCCTGCCCAGGGCCAAACCAAGGCTGGCGCTACCTCACGCGCCCTCTACGTCCGCCGAACCCCGCAGAAATTCTCATCCGCGTGCACGCCTCGGGGATCTGCAACTCGGACCACTTCGTGCAAGAGGAAAAGTGGTCTGGTATCATCTACCCTCGCGTGCCAGGGCACGAGGTCGTTGGGCAGATTGCGGCAGTCGGGGAGGCAGTGCGACAGCAGCAGAAGATCGACGGGACCAGTGGGGCGAGCGGGGGAGAGGCATGGGAAGGTGGGCGGTTCGAGATCGGGAGTCTTGTGGGCGTGGGGTGGAATGGGGGTTATTGTGGACGGTGTCGGTATTGCAGGAAAGGTGACTTTCCAGGTTGCCTTGAGCTTCAGATCACGGGCATCAACCATGATGGCGGACATGCCGAGTACATCTACGCCCCAGCCAACTGTACGCTCTCTTCCCATCCCTTCGACTCTGCTCCTTGAACCGTCGTCTGTTCAGCTGTAGTTCACTTCCCCCCATCCGCGCTTGCCGACGCCTCCTACGCCCAGCTCACCTCGCTCCTCTGCGCCGGGACAACTGTCTACCATGCCCTTCGCACCACGCCAAACTACGCACCAGGCGACCTCTGTCTCGTCCACGGCATCGGTGGGCTCGGACACCTCGCCATCCAGTATGCGTCCAAGCTCGGTCTCCGCGTCCTCGCCGTCTCCGCCTCGCCTGCACACGCGTCCAAAAGGGGCGTCGCGCTCGCGCTAGGCGCGCATGAGTACCTCGACGCATCCATCCCAGCCCCATCATCCCCTGCCTTACTCTCAGACTCTGAAACTGCACAGTTGGACGTGGATGCGGGGGCCGCAAGGCTTGCAGAGATCGTGGCCGCTGTGCAGGCGATGGGCGGCGCCCAAGTGATCCTTGCAACGACGCCCTCTTCCGCGAGCGTGAACGCAATCATCCCCGCCGTTGCGCGCAATGGGTGCGTCACTGTTGTTGCGACGACCGACGGACACGTCGGGATGGACAATGTCGCGCTCAATGTGCGCCGTGCCACGATCCGCGGGTGGGCGTGCGGTGCGGCGGGCGAGACGGAGGAATGCGTGCGGTTCTCGTGCGCAGTAGGTGCGTCGGCCGGTTCTTGTGTCCTCGGTTTCTTGTTCAGTTATTGTTGCATCTCTGGCTGCTTGCGGAACTGCACCATCTCACTATTGGTCGTGTTGTCCGCACACGCGTGTACAGGGATCAAGGCGATCGTGAAGGAATGGAAGTTTGAGGACTACGCGGACGCGTACAGGGACACTATGGAAGGAAGGCCCGAATTCCGGAACGTCCTTGTCTTTCCGTAGGGACTGAGGTGCGTGCGCGTTCTCCACAGGCTCCGTGCAGTGGAGGGCCGCCTCGCCAATTGCTGTACACTGAACAAGACGGCCGTATACCATCTTTTTTATGCAAACCTGAAAACCGACATTCATACTCCGTGTGGAGATGGGCATGTTATCTGCAAGTGCTATCTCGGCCGCAACTCTCTAAGCCTCTGCGCCTTTGCGTCAGTGCCAGTACTCACAACGACTGCGGGACCGTTCGGGTGAGCGATCACTGCAGAGTCGTTTGCTCCCGAAAAAGCTTCTCCCAACACCGTTTAGAGACTATCAAACTTGCTGATCAACCCTATAGTGACATCCTCTCCAGACGCATTATTTGCCCCATGGAGCATGGCCAAACAGGACTCAAGGCTCCGCGGACTTCTCGATAGCGAGCTAGGCTAAAGCTGACTACAAAGCACGGCATCCTCCTTTGAGGTGAGTGTTTGTGATCGACGTGTTGTTCGGTCCTTACAGTATATGTAGGCTATGGATAAATAGGTTGGGTCAGCACGACGATCGATCATATTTGGCTGAAACCTTACCTACGGAATGTGAGGAGATATACCATCTCCGTTGCGGCCATCCGCAGCCTGGCTCGTTGTGCATATACACCGTGCGCATTGAAATTGATGCATCTTTCCTCGTAACAGGTCATAATGCAGACCCATCGGGCCTCGCTTATCTTGCATAAGCACTCAAAGCTGCTGCGGGATTTACCAAACGATCCTGCAGTCGCCCTTCACGAATCAAACTTAATGATGCTCATTCGACACATCATGCAATAGTTTTAACTGCACCAGTCGTGTCGTGGAGCCCATCCAAAGAATTCTGGTTCATCTTCTACTATATGCCAACACGTGTTGGTTGATCAACCTCATCGCGCTTTTCAATTAGGGGTACGTTTGGAATGTGGATACTTCTTCACTATCGCCCCCTAAATTGTAACTCTCCAGGCTTCTCATTGCTAAGCCAAAGGCCCGCGCGTACGTTGCCGATGAAGATGCGTATATGTCGCCAAATCTCGTGGAAGTACACGGAGCCGTTCCTACTGCTGCTGCTTTGTGCTCTGGGGCTTCTGTCGAGATACGTGACTCCTGTCTAAGACAGCTTTGCTGACCGTCGACAATCAAGAGGTCAGGTTGAAGCTGAAGGCACGTCAACATGTAAGTCACACCGGGGTGTAGAGCATAGATAACTCACTTACCAATGGAGCGACCCATTCCCAATAGGCGGCCGCCATGCTGTTCAATTACATAAAGACGATTTCCATCCTGGAAACACGGCATTTGAACAGGAATGAAGTGTGGATCGGACCCACATCATTGACGTCGTATACACCTTAAAATCACGACGGCGCAAACTCGCCAGTCACCATTTACACCCTTGTCCCCTTGATTCTAAATGGCCAATCCACCGACATTCTTCAAAGCTAGTAAGTGTCTCCCTCCGGCATTGTATGTTCCAGGCGTCCACAGGCAATTGATGCGCACCTTTATCACGTAGTCTCTTGTCCCGGCCCGAAACAGCCTTGGCAGACCATCACTGTGCCCTTGCGCGCGCCCAAGTCAACAGAGGTCCTCGTACGGGTCCACGCTTCGGGCATCTGCTACGGAGACCATCTCGTGCACGATGGCACACTTCCGGGGATCGCTTACCCGCGTACGCCAGGTCATGAGGTTGTCGGCCGTGTGGCTGCTGTCGGCACTGCGCTCAATGCTCTCGGCCCCAGTGCCCGATTCCGCATCGGGAGCTTGGTCGGCGTCGGGTGGTACGGTGGGCATTGCGCCACATGCGATGCCTGCCGACGAGGCGACTTTGGGGGATGTGCGAGCCAGGTGATCACGGGCGCCACGTTTGACGGTGGCCATGCAGAATATTTGTATGTTTCTGAGAGCGGTCAGTCAAAAAACAATAGTTATACTGAGCGAATAGCTTAATTATAAGCGACAGCCATCGTCGGCATCCCAGAAGAGTGTTTAGAGCAGGCGAGCTACGCCGAGCTCGCGCCACTCCTCTGCGCCGGTGCCACCGTGTACGAGGCCCTCCGCACGACACCGTTCTCGCCGGGGGACCTCTGTCTCGTACAGGGCATTGGAGGACTTGGCCATCTTGCGATCCAGTACGCCGTGCGCCTAGGCCTCAAAGTCTATGCGGTCTCGTCGGGCCCAACCAAAGCTGCCCTCGCGATGTCGCTCGGAGCGCACGGTTATATCGATGCCTCTGCACATGGGCCGAGCGTGATAGAGCGCGTTCAGGCGATGGGGGGCGCGAAAGTGATCCTCTGCACCACGCCATCGGCGGAACAGACCAGTGCGTTGATTCCAGCGGTCGCGCGCGATGGTGTCGTGACGCTCGTAGGCGTGGCGATGGACGGCGATGTGAGAATAAATAACGGGCTGATGGTCATGCGGAGGGCGATGCTGCGTGGCTGGGGGTGCGGCACTGCGCGCGAGACGGAGAGCTGCGTGCAATTTTCGATGTTAACGGGTAAGCACTTCATTTGTGCATTGTTTATAGGAGAATAGACTCACTAGATGTAATGTTGTTGTACGTGCTAGATGTCAAGTCAATGGTCCAGGAGTTCGGGTTCGAGGATTTCGTGCGGGCGTACGATGATACGATGCACGGCAAGCCACAATTTAGGAACGTCATTGTATTCCCTTAGAGCTCAAATACCAATTTTTGGTGTTAAATAGCTGGCGAGACTCTTGACATTGTCAAAAGATCGCTTACCTTTCGATGAGGAGTGGAAGACACATGTATCTGCTCACATTGTTCATGCAGATTCATCACGAGGACTGCCAGAAAGGAATCATTGTTCTCCCTCGCAGGCTTGAAATTACGTAGACCTGCTTCGGCCTACGTAGCTCTGGGCGCCCAAATCATGACAGTACTCCCTTGTACCCGATTCGGAAGCGCGCTCGGCTCTTTGGTATATAAAAGCTAGAGCGTAGACGATACTCGGCACTTCATTCACAACCCCACACCTCTGCTCTCTAGCGCAGAACCTCTGCAAAGCTCAATAATGTCTATCGTTCGATCATCTGGAAAACAACCACGCACCATTGTACAGACTTCCGGAATCTCTCTTCATTGGACCCTCTGTGAAACCCTCGGAGACAGCGACATGGGCTCGTGCATAACAATTCTCGGTATCGGGGGAACTATGCTGCGGGTGGGACACGGGTCCACATACTGCGCTGGAGAGGCGGTGGAGAGCAACGTAACAGCAGGGATATCATGGAGCAGGATTGGGTATACGCGGTGAGTCTCGAGCATAGATCGAGCTAGGACTAAGCATTGGGCAGTGGTGGCTGTAAGATGCAGCCTTGGGAGCGGCGGTCGTGGTCGAATACGCGCAGAGAATGTACCGCCTTCACTTGCTGTTCTTCTTGTGAGTTGACTCGTCCTTCAGTTACGTCGTCGGTATCAGAGTATTCGTGTCCAGGTCACGCTGGATCGCTATATCATCTTCCATTCTCCGTCTGAGCTTGAATAAACCGCTCGGCGGCCGCCAATGTATACATAGACGCAGGAATAAATACGTAGCCTCACCGTACACTTAAATGCTTCTTGCAGGTCTTGTATTTCTCTACCTCAGGACATTGAACAAGTGGTAGGATACGTTGGTGAGTCGCAAGATCTCAAAGAATTGTATAAGATATAATACTGATACTCATCTGTGAGGCACACATCCAACACAAGTCTGGGACACGTAGACTTATACAATCAACCTCATGAGTTACGTTTCTCGAAGCACGAAAAGCTATAAGGTCGGAGCATCGATGGTCAAGCTGTCAAGGCCCGTCAACAGAATAGCCGGCAATGAAAGACCGATGCCATGGAGCAGCCAAAAGCTATCGTGAATGTGACTACGGGCTCCAAGGGCGACCGGCTCCCCGTATCGTGTGTCTACACTTGCGGAGGCGGGCCTGTCAATTCGAAGGCGGTGTCGGCGCAGTGAATTAGCTGAGCCTCAGCATCGTAGGCTGGAAGATGTCGCCTACACCGACGCGTATTCTGATTAGGCAAGAACACGAGTTTTCAAGGCATCGCACCCGAGGTTGGCGCAAGTCTGCGCATCCAACAGAACAGTAGCGGAGGTGCCGTCTTGGTAGGTGGTAGAATGGAAGCAGCCCGACTTGCAGTGTCTTGCCCCTCTCGAGTCAAAGCTGAAGAAGAAACGTATCCAGCAGAGGACGGGTGCTCAAGCGTGCCATTGCTCTGTATTAGCAACTACCATCTACTTTGAAGAAGGATCAGCTTGTGGAGAGAACGGCCTCCTCGTCCCTTCAGCGTCCAAACAATATCAAGTTTTCTTGACTCACCATAATTGGATGAACACAAGAAAGAAGACACAAGCCGAAATTCGATCAGCGAGTCCTGATCGAGTGAGTAATCTTGCGATAGTACATGTCCCACCACCGCACGTCCAGATGTACCGTCTAGAAACAAGACGTGCTGCAGTACTCAAGGGATTGCATGCATCGATTGTCTTCTATGACGGATACATGGGATACGTTGGGGCAATGGATTGAAAGTATTGTCCATAGTTGCTAAACCTGCGCCTGTTTTCAGCTATGCCCCGCTAATGTCGATGATGAAATAGTCCAAGAAGATCAATCATCAACAAAGGCGTCACAGTAAGTCATCCTTGGAAGATTGTGAATAACCGAAGCCGACCTCTAAGCGGGTGTAGAGAAGTCGCCTGGTGTTCGACGCTTTTCGCCCAACACGAATTCGAAAAGCTAGATAAGATCATGCAGACATATAGTTCAAGCAACCCCAAGTCTTGAATGCCACCCGCCAAATATGGTCTCTCAAAATAGAATCAAGAGTTACACACACTATAATCGTGACGACTCTGGAAATGATTAGGTGGATCAGTATAGAGGGTCAGATATTTGCTCCTAATAGGGAGGTGATTTCGAGGAAAGGCGGTGGGAAGGGTGATTGGGAGCTATACCAATTTCGTAGAATAATGGACACAGAGAGGTGTTCTGTGCTCATTCACAACACGATGGATGGAACATTTGATCATTACCGGTGTGTTAACTTCCTGCCCGGCGCACACAAAATGTCAGCAGAATGAGGTTAAACAAGGAAAGGAACGGACGGACGACAGTATGATGGGATGGCTTTGACAGAGTTTAGATTCATAAGTAATAATTTCTCCCTTGCAAAGGTGATAGCTTGATACCCTTTGATCCCGTGTAATGAAGACTTTGATAAACAGAAAAAATCAAAGACATCGACGTTAGATTGGGAGAATGAGTCGGATCAGACCTGGTCAAATATGGCTCTTTTGTCAGCCACGCAGCGCTCACTCAGCGAGCGTACTCTAGCCACTAGCAAGACCGTGAGGAGATTCTACATCCTCCTTTGAGCACGGAGACGGTAGCTGTATGGGACCATCATTGAGGCCACAGGAGGTGGCGGAAATGTGGAAGGTGCAGAGAATTTGTCATCCGGCCTCACTAAAGCTGGGAAAGGCTGTAAATTGACCCAAAATATAGTTGGATTTGCAGTTACGAGCAGATGAGTTAACTTCAGCGAGAAGGTTGAGAGGGCAGGGAAGGACCCACCATGTGGCAACACCAGCAGCGTGGGAACTCTGTACTTCTCCTAGCCAGTAAGCTCCTGCAAGACTGTAAAACCATGAGATCGAAAGACAACTTCACAACGAAAAGCACTCATCGGCATTTATCTTGACAATATCATAGAGAACACCAAAGTCGAAATATTCCTCGCTGTATCAGCAAAGGTCGATCGTTTAATTTGTAAGCTCATCCGTTATGATATCTCATCATGCTTGCTCATGATGGCGCACTTATCCGTTCAGATTTATATTTATCTACGGGGTGAATCTGACTTCTCTCTGCTCCGTGTTTTCCTGAAGAATCGAAGATCATTCGTCCGGTTTCATTATGAGCAAGTTTACATCCTGGCCTCCCGAATTGACCTCGGAACAAGTCGAGCAGCTCACCTTGCTCGCGACGACCTATGCACTATCCCATTCTCTCCTCTATCTCCCACCCCACTCTGCGTCGAATCCCCCTCCTCCATCGCCAACATCAGCGATACATGCTCCGTTTTCACTGTTACCGACTCCAATCCCTCGCCGGCACTTCGATCTCGTGAGCCGTCTCCAGAGCACATATAATGTGCTATATTCCCGCATCGCGATGGATGAAGCATTCCTCGACAAGATCATGGGTGAAGGGGGTGTGGCAAGCGTGGATGACTTCACCGGAGAGTTATGGAGGCGTTGGAAGCAGCTGAGAGTCGAAGGGATTGTGCAGGTGCGCCGTTACTGCTCTTCCCTAGATCTCGTCCATAGTCCATCACGTTCTGTGTGAAGCCTCTCCAACTCGGCCTCTTCCGCTCGGATTACCTCTTGGATCAGTCATCGGAGGCGGACCCGCTATCGCTCAAGCAAGTCGAGTTTAATACCATCTCGTCCTCTTTTGGCGCGCTCTCGCAACAGGTCTCGCTGTTGCATAAGTACGTATTTCTGATCCATTTATTGGAGGCCCTCTCTTATGATATTCGCGCAGATACCTGCTGGCTTCGACAAATTACTTCAACGCGTCGCCGCTCCTGAAATCTGTCAATCTTCCCTTCAATGATACAGTCGCGGGACTGGTCTCTGGCCTCGCGGCAGCACACAAGGCATATGATGTAGAATCGTAAACGAGATATTCCCGCGTACATTGTCTGTTGTTGACCTCTATGCATAGTGCCCATATCCTATTCGTGGTACAACCAGGAGAGAGGAACATATTTGATCAGAGGTTACTCGAATACGAGCTCCTAGAGAAGTGCGTACACTTTGACTGTCAAGTTTTCATGTTTCTTGATCTCCGGTTTTGAACATAGGCATTCCATCCACATCATCCGCCGCTCCTTCGCCGATCTCGCATCCACCGCCACCCTTCATCCCTCTACACGCGCGCTCATCGTCACGCACAACGCCGATTCTGTCGAGATTTCGACTGTATACTACCGTGCAGGTTACACTCCGGCGGACTATCCCACCCCCGCCGCATACGATACCCGCCAACTGCTCGAGCGCTCGCGCGCCATACAGTGCCCATCTCTCGCCCTCCAGCTCGCGGGCGGAAAGAAGGTTCAAGAGGTCCTCACTCATCCAGGCGTGCTGGAGCGCTTCCTACACGCCGACGAGGGCCTCGAGGACATTCGCGCGACCTGGATGGAAATGTGGGGCCTCGATTCAGACGCGACGCGATCCGGGGTCGATCGCGCGCGCGAACAGGCCAGCCAGCTCGTGCTCAAGCCTCAGCGCGAAGGCGGAGGGAACAACGTGTACAAAAGCGCGATTCCTGCGTTTCTTGATTCCCTTCCGGAGCGCGAGCGCGGGGCGTGGATCGCAATGAAGTTGATTCGTCCTCCGCGTGGTGTCGGGGGGTATCTCGTGCAGGCGGGAAGCGGTGGGCATGGGATTGTTCAATCGGATGTCGTGAGCGAGCTTGGAATTTTTGGGTGGTCGCTTTTTGGGAATGGGAAAGTCAACGAGGAGAAGGCTGTTGGATGGTTGGTTCGGACGAAGAGTGAGGGTGTGGATGAGGGTGGGGTCGCGACTGGGTTCTCTGTGCTTGACAGTGTTGTTCTTGTGGATTGATACCTGAGTCAGCGTCGTCGTTTTTGGCCCAGTGTTTCTATGAGCTGAAGCTCCTCAGTGGGGGTTGTGAAGGTCGTGAGCAGGTGTAGTACAACCTGTACGAGCAGCAGTATCAAATGAAAGTCTGAAAATCGACTATATTATGGAGCTTCGCTCCCGTGGGGCTATCTGTAGCTCGCGCTAGTCTGTTCTTTACAATACAAACAAGGGGAACGTGAAGAAATACAGAAAATCTCTTCATGTGGAAACAAAACTCGGCGATTGGCTGCGGGCGTATCGGAAATTGCCGGGATGATTAGCGAACGGTGGGCCCGACGTCGACGCTGCCCTCCAACCTCTTCCTCGTCGTTCGAAACGATGCTAAAAGCTTCAAGGGCGGCCCGTGCGCGACATTTTTATATTGTTCTCGTCTATTAACGCTGACTTTCTGCGACAGGCAGTTCGCGCCAACTCCCTCTGGCCGCTCGTCGGTCGTTTGCTACCGTTCAGGATCCACCTGTACGACGGTATGGCGGTTTGAAAGACCAAGATCGAATTTTCACCAATGTATATTGTCGGCATGACCACGGTATTAAGGGCGCCATGGTATGTCTTCACCTTGCTCATATCGTTGACTTTTGAGATGATGCCATGTTTTCTACCATACAGTCTCGTGGTGATTGGCATCGCACGAAAGATATTCTCAATAAGGGCGACTCGTGGATCATTCAAACCATCAAAGACTCTGGGTTGAGAGGTCGTGGTGGGGCTGGGTTCCCAAGTGGTCTTAAGTGGAGTTTTATGAACAAGCCGGGCTGGGAGAACGACAAGCGGTGAGCGTCGCAACCCTTCCCATAGTCTCAAACCCTACTTCGAACGATGATCGCCAAGCCGGAGGAAGTGATACATGGATGTCATCAGTGTTCATGAAAACATCGTATGAAAGCTGCCATGCATCAGCTGGCAGCATGATTATCTTCCGAGACAGGGGCATTCAATCAATATCCCTCCTCGTTTCCCCCATTTGTTTTGACTCCCACTCACGTACCTTCACTACAGACCTCGCTACCTCGTTGTCAACGCCGATGAAGGCGAACCTGGAACTTGCAAAGACCGCGAGATCCTCCGGGGCGACCCTCACAAACTCATTGAGGGCTGCCTCATCGCCGGTCGCGGCATGAACGCGACGGCGGCCTACATCTACATCCGTGGCGAGTTCTACCAGGAAGCCGCGCATGTCCAGCAGGCGATCAATGAGGCGTACAAGTCGGGCTTCCTCGGCAAGGACGCGTGTGGGAGCGGGTACGGCTTCGATGTGTACCTCCATCGCGGCGCGGGCGCGTACATCTGTGGAGAGGAGACGGCGTTGATTGAGAGCATTGAGGGAAAGCAGGGCAAGCCTCGTTTAAAACCGCCGTTCCCGGCTGATGTCGGTCTCTTCGGCTGTCCGACGACCGTTGCAAATGTGGAGACGGTAGCTGTCGCGCCGACAATCTGCAGGAGAGGTGGGAGCTGGTTCGCGTCCTTTGGACGGGAGCGAAATCAGGGCACCAAACTGTTCTGTATCAGCGGCCATGTGAACAACCCATGCGTCGTCGAGGAGGAGATGAGTATCCCGCTGAAGGAGCTCATCGAGAAGCACTGCGGCGGCATTCGCGGTGGGTGGAATAACTTGCTTGGGATCATTCCCGGTGGTAGTTCCGTCCCTGTCTTGCCCATCGACAAGTGCGAGGAAGTCCTGTTAGTGTCTGTGTTCTGTCCTTTCTGCTTCATTCTTACCGAATTACCATAGTATGGATTATGACTCCCTCAAGGATGCCCAATCCGGCCTGGGCACGGGCGCCGTCATCGTCATGGACAAATCCACAGACATCATTGCCGCCATTGCTCGCTTCTCGCAGGTGTGTGTTCTCGGTTATCATCTTGCCGGCTCATTCTGACATCTGCTTGCAGTTCTACAAACACGAGTCGTGTGGCCAGTGCACGCCATGCCGAGAAGGCACCACATGGATGATGAACATGATGGATCGTTTTGTCGAGGGCCGTGGACACCAGCGCGAGATCGACATGCTTTTGGAGCTGACGTGGGTCCCTGTCTCCTGTTTTTTTCTTCCTATACTAATTATAATGTCCATATACAGGAAACAAGTCGAAGGACGCACGATCTGTGCATTGGGTGACGCTGCCGCGTGGCCCATCCAGGGCTTGATGCGGCACTTCCGTCCGGAGGTTGAGAAGCGGATTGCTGATTTCCGTGCGCGCGAGGGGGCTGTCATGTTCGGTGGCAAGATGGTCAAAGATATCGACCCTTCGCTGGCTCTCCCAGACAACCTAGGTGCTCACCTTCCCGAGGTTGGTGCGCCGCAGTAGATCGAGGTCATGTTCTACTAGACAGCTAGTTTCTGCCCAATCCTAATTTTATATAACTCGATCGGCGGCTGAACATGCCCCTCCGGCCTTGGGATCTGTTCAAATGTGAGTGAAGTGATGCTTCCATATTGCAGGCGCTGTTTCCGCGTTCTCCTTGTCAGACGCTCTACAAATGATCATACCCCCATGTCGTCAAGTGGATTGAAGAGAATACAAAGAGAAAACATACGCAGAGAGGGAATTGACGATAGTTCTGTGAGCCTACAAGAGCAGGCTGGTAAGACTCCATTTCGCACGTTTTCATTGTCGCCATGAGACGTCTCTCAAAATCGATTCTCTTGCTCTCTGTCTACGGCCTCTCGCAAACACTCGGAATACATTCTTCCGGGCAATCACCATGTCATATCCCAACGGGTATTCACAGGTCTTGCTTCCTCCGGATAGGGTAGGATTCATCTCCGGATCCTGGATGTATTCGAAACCCCGCTCCCTTGTGTAGACCATAGTGTGTATACGGAGATTGCAAAATCATGTCATATCGGGACGTGAATGATTTGGACTCGATTTCGATTTCATGTTCAAAGCGGGGCGATGAATCGATTGCTCTTTCCAAGCCTCGGGATCGAAGCCTCGGGATCTCCCAATACAAAAGCGAACACCAAACAACAACAGATCGAACGCATTCATGCAACAGAACGATCAACAGTCATCTCCGAGAGCACCCTTCTACAATTCCCTATCAGGTGCAATAAGAGTTGCGAGCCCCAAATCGTCTGCGTCGATCAGTTCACGCAGGTTGACATGCCGGGGTTCGAAATGCGCCGCGAAAGGCAGAGGGACTGTAATGATGCCCTCCTTCAATGCGAGCGTATCAATGGGCCGTGTCGGGTCTTCGGTGATCTTGAACGACCAGAGCAGGAGCGCAGTATTGATAAAGAGGGACCTGGGAGATGAAGATGCATCAGCGGCGAATTTTGTTGAATGTTCGTGAGTAGCAGACCTCAAGGCCACAGGCATCCCAGGGCAGATTCTTGGTGAGCAATATCTTGAGTCAAGGTCAGCGGTGGATAAAGCGTCGACGTACCGCCTACCGAAACCGAAATTCGAGAACTTGGGCTCTTCCTTGACTCTACCGTCCTCGTCTATCCATCGCTGGGGATTAAATGTATCACCATCAGGGAAGACTTCGGGGTCACGGCCGATGGACCTTCATAGGTATTCGAATATGTTATGGATGAGCCACAACTGAAAGAAGTCAGATATACCAATGGTTCCCTATCAGCGTGGCGCCAGCAGGGATACGATAGCCTCCCTAGCGAATGAATGCGTCAGAGGTCATTCCCTCTCATTCGAACGACATATGACGAACATAGATTATATCTTCAGTTGCCCTACGTTGAATGCCTCCACCTGTCCCGGGTCTCCATCGGAAGGATTCCAAGAAGAATGCATGGACCTGTGGGAGAGAGTCGACATCGCTAAAGGACGGCACTGTGTTCATCAGATAAAATAAAGTCAGCGCGCGAAAGATGATTAAGGCTTGAGGATGCACATCTGTCAAAGCCAACAATACCATCAAGTTCTTTTTGTACCCTTGCTTGAGCTTCAGGGTGCAGTGCCGCAGCCATGATAACGATACTAATTGCTGACGCAGACTGTGTGGAAGATCAGCTTATTAGAGGAAAATTTAGGCAATTAATATACCGTCTCAGAGCCTGCACCAAACATAGAGCCGGCGAGGTACGCCAATTCATCATCAGAAAGACCAATCTCTTGTTGTTCTTCCAGTAAATATCTAGCAAAAGACGGTGAAGCCTTCCCTTCAGCCTAGCGAAAAAATGTGGCATACATGAGAAAAACAAGACATAGCCATGACACATACAAAACAGCTTACCATCTCATCTCGAACAGCCTGTAGCTGTTTTCGGAACAAGGCCAACTCTTCTCTGTGATACTCCCTTAATTTTGAACCATAGAAGGGGATATATTTGAGCCAAGGCAGATCCTCGACAAGGTGAGCTCCCGGACGCAGCGATTGGCCCATACGATGTAGGCATTGGTTGACCAAGGCAATGTCAGGGTCCAGTCTTTTGCTAGGAGAGGGTTTACCATATGTGAGGGAAAGAATCAGAGACGCCGAATATCTGGAAGCAACCGTCAGGTAAACAAAAGTTACGGACTTCTGAATTTGGGACAGACCGTCTAGCATGTTCGTGATGATTTTCGGGGTCATCGAGAATATCGCGCAGGAGGACCCTAGCGTTAAACATCTGCAATGGTCCGTAGGTTACCGCAACTTTGGGTTGCAAGTGAGTGTGGAGAGCCCTAAAGCCACCAAATGAACAAGGAATTTCACAATATGAAAGATGAATACATGCTTGCGCAACTTCCGGAAGTGTTCGCCAGCCCTTACGAGAAGCAGCCTCATGTTTCCAGAAATCATCTCGCCACCTGCAATAGCGCGAGGCCGATCTGCAGTAATTGCGCCATCCTTCTCCAGTATATCCATTGCTGCCTTCAGATATTAATGAACATAGTGATCATCCTGTGACAGACTCGATTTGTACCTGGTATGTCCCAAGAACAATGATCGTGCGACGACCGCGCCTGAGCGAAAACATGGGGCCATACTCCTTAGTCCACTGAGCGAATTGCAAGAAAGCACTTCAAGGATGTACACATTGTCAGTCGTGATCGGAGAGCTCTACTCAGGCGATCCACCCACAATTTTTCAGGAATCTCGTTGCCCCACAGCCAATGGCCAGGGGGGCCAGGGGGAAGATTCAACTGAGAGGTCGGCTGTCGCCACTTGAGGTACAACATGGCAGCGACGGCCACCGCGATGCAGATCTGTAATAACTCTACAGCAGGTAAAGCTCGGGGCATAGTGGGCTGGGAAAGTGGGGTTCAGAGTGACGGAGGTGATATAGCGTTTAGCATTTGACAGTACGTGACCCTGAGAGCCCGAGATTCAAGGAAAAGTGATACGGCCCTCATTCTTCCACTCCTTATCGCTCAGGTGAGTTCCCCACAGAAGATCAAGTATTCACGAGCAGCGGTACATCAATGTTCTGCGATGACAGCGGTCAGCACATAGAACAACGGACGGGCTTCATATAACTTACCGGAGAGGAGGGTATCTCATACCGATTAAACAAAACAATCCATAAATAAGCCAGTCTATCCAACGGGGATGCTGTCAGCATTGATCATGCACTTAAACGCCGCTGGTGTGCATTCTCATCCCAAAGTTGACCGACTTGTTTCCGTTTCATCTGCAATGCCTTCTCACTAGCCAATTCCAGGAATTCCTTCGGAAGCATGATCGCACGATCAAGCGCGACTGGAAGCCCACGATGCCGTCCGCGGATCATGACAGCACAAAGGATGAGCTTGGAAAGAGTGTGCATTGCACCTGAGAGAGAGAAGTTCGCCTGTAAAGGAGCAGTTACAGACAGAATGTATGGGAAGGTCATTTTATGCGGGCTTACTGTGGGTATACCTATGCTTAAGCCTACAGTCGTGTATGCGGACACTACTTCAAAGACTGGAATAGGACGACGCGAGTCGAGCTTCACATCCAATCAATAAGGTACATACAGGATCACTTACTCATACAGAACAGGTTGAACCATGATTCGTTGGCGGGATCGCTCAGCTGCTTTTTCTGGAAATTGCGTGGATATGAGTGAATCCAATTCCATGTGAAAAAGGCCGGATTCACCTCGATGACGCATATTAGGAAGAGTGCAAGTGCGAGCCACCACATATCTGGAGCAGATTACTGATCATCACCTTGATGAGGAAGCATGTAACACATAACTCACCGAATGCCAGCTGCCGTTTGACATGACGTCCAAGGTATCTGCCCCATATCGCTACACGCGAGTCCGTCTCAGGATAGTTCGCCTCATCCTCAATGTCCCCAACGTTTCCAACTTCTATTTCAGACACTCCTAACGATCGCTCTTCGTACACGTTTGTTGAGCGCACGCTATTAAGGAGTCAGTGTGATGCCCTGACGTCGTACGGATGGGAAATTACCACATGGCCACAGGGTACACGGAAATGTACATCATGACGAGGTAGAGAACCCTGCAGGGAGTTTATCAGGATTTTTGGGCTTCACCAGCAATCAAATGTGGGTATATGTACTTGACCGCAGGAGCCAAGACGGCAATTGAAACGGATTGGAACCCTGCAAAACGGACAGCAACAGATTGCACAGCTGCCACGAGGAGTCTGGTGCCAACCGGTATAGCTTCGACAGTTGCATTTCCAATATCCAGCACCAAAAACAAGAGCCAATCCGTTAAACTTGATCGGGGAGTCAACACGCAGATGATGATGCATAGTGTATTGGGAAGCTCACTTGAAAAGAATGAGTACGGTGAGGAGGAACCAGGTTTGGCGCGACGGGAAGAGGTAGATGAAACATCGTCGGGGGTGATCAAGCAGGAATTGAAGTGTCTCACGCATCTGTGAGGTTTTTGGGACGCATTTGAAAATTCCCCATCTATTACAGAGGGTGAGTGTCAAGGGACAGAGGACTTTCTGAGCAAGGCGTACATCTGAAATCGTAGGCTGCACCATGCCGCCCAAGTATAGAATCAGCCCAGAGTACATTGGCAGCCATTCCAACTCACAGTACAGGCTGTCATATCATGGTGAGCACAAGATTTGACTATCAGAAATGGAGCCGCCTCACATATCCAGGGTTTCCAGCGATCACCACCCAGATGAGAAAAATCAACATGGGGTACGCAGTCTGGAAAGGAATAAGACTCTGATCAACTAGAGACATGCCTGTGTTGGCCCAGGCGCCGATGACTTCGAAAATTGAGTACCTAGAAAGCAGTATAAGCGGTAAAGAGTCAATATCATGGGATATGCTCACCACACTGGATTGATCACACGATGTTGCCGAGGTGGCTGGAAATTGCTCCTCCATCTTGCAAGTGACATGTATGGTGCGGTGACCACAAATGCAGTCCCAAGGGTACCAACAGCGTACTATGTCACGGAAGTTGATAAGTCGACATAAACGCATATAGATAAAGTTTTCAATCACCGCGGGTACGATCCACAGCAGTGCAGTCAATGCTCTGTACTCGACTCCGCCCAACTCCTCACAGTCATGGTCCGACAGCCCGTAGAACGCTGAATTTTTGCGCACTTTGACGTTAAATGAAAAATATGAGACGGAACGAGTACCCGGAATGTCTGTGTCGGTACAGTCTGGCACCAACTTCGACTCAATTGGCATCGTCATTGATCGTTTGAGTTTTCTCTGTATGTTAGGAAAGAAGTCGTGGAAGAGGCTAGCGAAGGGGTCTAGAACATTTCCAAATCCGCCAAATTCGTCGTCCTGAGAATGATTGGGATCAACAATTTCAATCGTCGTGTGACGAGTGAGTTCTAAAGGCGAGTCAATAGAGCCAGAATTCGTTTCGTAAAGAAGGTAAGGATGCAACGCACCTCGCCGAGGTGCAAGGTCAGTGTGTCGTTGTACTTGCACCTGATCAGTGCAGCCAAACGTCTGACCAACGGAATTCTTTTCACACGTTGTTGGGATCGAAGAAGGAATTGTGAGGAGAGTTGGAGTCATATCCATCGACGACGATATCGGTTTGGGTAGTGTATCCACGCGGCGAATCATGGATGATTTGAACTGCACATTTCGCTTTGAGGTGGTGGTGCTCTGCGCAGCTCGAAGAATATCTCGAGTCTTCGTACGCTCGAACTCGGATTCCACAATCCAGTGGAGATGTCGCTGAAAGTACCGTCGGCGCACGTATACAACGAGTAAGGCCACGGTGACCTGTGGCGTAAACATAGAGTTAATATTCTTGGAGGCATAGCGCAATTCTTGAACATACCGGACTGCCGATGATCTCAAGAATCATAAGTATAACCTGCTGCCATACCGTCAGGGAACTCAGATCCAACGTCATAAGCCCGGTGCCCGTCATGGCGCTGACACAGCAGAATAGTAAATTGCTGTATGAGGCAGGGAACTCGCCATTGAAAGCATAGGCTATAGTGGCGAAAAATAGCGGTATAATCGTGCTCATTGGTAGGTCATTTCAACATCTACACGGAGGCGTCGCAGAAGGACCAAAGTACTCACAAGTGCAAGAGATGAAGTCGATAGAAATTGAGGTGAAGACTGTCGAATCCTTTAGCCGCCAACACGCGCGCGCGGATGTAGAGTGTCGACATAGATGATTCTGAATGCTCGCGAAGAGAACGACTTATGTTGGCAGTGTAGACTACCGTGGTTGGAGGGATGTCGCAAAGCGGGAATAAGGTTATATATATTCTGCACCCACACATATCTGGCGAGAAGCCTGCAGGAGGCCATCCAAGCGCCTCCATTTACCGCCATACTGTAGGATCTACACAGCAGAGGATATGAGCGGACATAGCTCAAAAGACTAACTCGGATGTTGTGCATTATGCATTGGAGGGCCAGAAGGAAGGTTCGACTCCGGCGGTTGACTGTCGATTAAAGTATAGCACAGCAACAGGGATTAGTGTGTTGGAGAGGTTCCACAGGATTCCACTGCAAAGATGACGACTCGAACATGAGGAGGGCATGTATTGAAGAGGGGCATCCGACGATGTACAGAGCCTAATAATGAGACACAACAACAAAAAATCAGACTGGAAGAGAATATGTGCGTGCACCGACAACAGTCGGCCATCTTCAAAGGATGTATTGAAAATTTTGAACGAGGAGCAGGTCGTCTGCAGTGCTGGAACGAGAACGAAAGACCAAAATGTTGACAAATGGAGTGCTGGTTAAATTACTCCATATTCACACGCTGCCTATGGAAGAAATTAATTGAACTCCTGATGAGGCCGCCAAGCCATACTAGACCTCCATAGACACATCCTCGACGTCTCTCAACCTACTATCACAACGCCGAGGCGGGCCAGTACGCGATCATCGAAGGCCAAGTGTGCAACATAAAGTGGAGTCACTCATGAAAGTGTAGTAGGGGCCCTCAAGGCTGCTTGCAAGCCAGTACGTTGAATGTTTTTTTGCTCTACTACAAGCAGCTTAGCAAAGTAGTAATGGTCAGTGTTGGTCACAATCATTACTAGCAGCAATAAAACATAGGAGAAAAACTGCAGATCATTGAAGCATTACCCCCGTCTAGATAGATCTCAACGATGCATATGCATTAGCACTACCATCGTGAACACCCGAGTGCTGCCCATGCGCATCCTTAGCGGCCTGGCGCCGTTTCATTTACTGCGTCTTATCATAACACTCCCTGGGGGCGTGATTGTGCGATCGACGGGAACTGGAAGCCCGAAATAGCGCCCTCGGACATGACGGCACATATGATCAGAGACGCATCGCGACAGTAAGTGGGAGTCTTTCTGCGGCAGGGCTGGAGTTCAAGGTGTGAAAGAAGAAGGCTGGTAACACCAAGTCTCCGTGATGATACTCAAGCACAGGTCGACACTCAAATACGCGGATGCGGTTACGACGATGGAGAGACAGCAGCAGCAAGAACACGCGGTGAGCAGTCCGCTCCACATCTGACAGGCAAATATGTGACATGACTTACTCATGGAAAACAGGGCGAATCATGGGTCATTATGGAGATCGCTGGATCGATGTTGGAGAACGGCACGATCGAAGCCAAATGACATTAATCCTCAGAGGGGTAGTAGCGTAGAGGCTCACCTTGACGGTACACCACAAGAACAACGCGAGCGCGAGTTACCACACATCTTCGATCAACACCATCATGTATGAGCCAACCTCCACTCTGCATCCTCAGGGCATGCGGTTCATGAATGAAGATAAGCTAGGCCGCTACAGGTAGCTGTCCGACGTTGTGACGTGCGAGTCCGGATAATCCTCCTTGAGCTCGATATTCTCCTCACCCTTTTCCTCTTCTTCGACCATGCTAGCGACCTCTCTTCATGTATGTCCATTCAACGCAGACTGGCGGCTGAACTCTGCGCAGTCAGACACACCTCATGATCACTGGGCATGCCTAGATTATACCGAGGTAGAGAATTCTCCGGCCAGGATTTCAGAGCCATGTCACAAAACCACAACACACTATCATGCACTGGAGCCAGCGCAGCGATTGACATGTACTGAAGCCTTGTCAGGCGCACATCACCTGCTGATACAGCAGCCATAAGGAGTCTTGTGCCGACCTCTAGAGCTTCTACCGTCACATCACCGATGTTCAAGAAACGTCTCAGCCTCCGTTCCAGCCTCCAACACGGTGGTCAGCCATTGTTATCAGTGTTGCCCTCTGCGTATCACTTGACTATCCGATTGTCACCTATTCGGCTTGGAATATCTAGTATATATCACGACTGGGACCAGGACCAGGATCAGGAACAGCATGCAAACCTAGCCCGTCAGTTCAACATGCCTCCCTCGCTCACCACTTGCTAACGAGAAGCGCTCGACACATTTCGCGTACGTCTATGAGCTCGGCGCTCAGCTTCGTGGCTGCTGGCTGAGATTCATCTGTCATGAAACCTGACTTCGGTGCACGATCCTCTCGAAGCACTTGTCGCCGATCTCTTGCACACATACTTAGCCCTCCGTCTCATAGGCTTGGGTTGTTCGGTCTCGGATAAATCTCACTGGTCAGTGCTCCATGAAACTGGGTTGTGATCAATCTACGGTGCGCTTATTATTCCGATGAAGAATGGTCGACCCCTACAGAAAGCAGCCTCATATTTCTGGACATCGTCTCACCTGCAATAGCACGAGGGTCTGCAGTAATTGCGCCATCCCCTATCTAAAATATCCATTGCTGCCTTAAGATGTTGTAAATATTGTGATACCTGATATGTCCCAAAGACAATGATTGTGCAACAACCACGCTTGAGCGAAACAACGGGGCCATATTTCTGAGTCCAGAGACAATTTCACAAAAGCACCATCGGGGAGAATTTTGATTGTGTCGAGTAGCTAGTGTTGCATGTACAATTTCCCGGGAATCTCGTTGCCCCACAGCTAATGGCCAGGGGGACCAGGAGGAAGGTTCAACTAGGAGGTTGGCTGTCGCCATGTGTAGTACAGCGTAGCAGCGACCACCACAGCGAGGAACATTTTCAAAATCTCTATGGCAGGTAAATTTCGAGACATACTGGATAGAAAAGCAGATTTGAGAGTTACAAAGGTGATATAGCCCCAGCACTCCACGGTACGTGACCCTGAGACTCCCTGAGAGCCCAAGATTCCAGGAAAAGTGATGCGTGCCTAATTCTCTCATTTCTTATCGCTCAGGCGAGTTCTACGTGTGGTACATCAGTGGTCTGCGGCGACTGCGGTCAGCACATAGAACAACGGACAGGCTTCACATGACTTACCGTAAAGCACTTCATCCTGAGAATATAAACAAGGCAACTCGCCAGTCAGTTAAATGCGCACATGCCCGTACATTCCAGAGGTGTATTATCATCGTCAACTATGCACTTAAGCGCCGCCTACGTGCGTTTCGGTCTCTTGATTGTCCGACTTGTCTCCGTTTCATCTGCAATGCCTTCTCACTAGCCATATCCAGAAATTCTTTTGGAAGCATAATCGCACGATCGAGTGCGACTGGAAGCCCACGGTGGCGTCCACGGATCATGACAGCGCAAAGGATGAGCTTGGAAAGAGCGTGCATTGCGCCAGAGAGAGAGAAGTTCGCCTGTATAAGGACAATTACAGATGAAATGTATGGTAGAGTTACTCAACGCATGCTTACCGTGGGTATGCCTAAGCTTAGACCTACTGTTGCATATGCAGACACTATCTCGAAGACTAGGAAATCACAACGCGAGTTGAACACCATATCAAATTATGCAAAAATAAAAAAGAGAAAAAGAAAAACTTACTCATAGAGAACAGATTGAACCACGATTCGTTAGCAGAATCGCTCAGCTGGTTCTTCTGGGAATTGCGCGAATGTAAAGAAATTGAGCTTGGAGTGAGATCAGTGGGATTTACCTCGATGATGCATATCAAGAAAAGTGCAAGCGCAAGCCACCACATGTCTGAAGCAGTTCCCAATTGAATCATGACTTCATGAGCATGCAACAGATAACTCACCGAACGCTAGCTGCCGCTTGACATGACGCCCAAGGTATCGGCCCCAGATTGCCACACGCGAGTCTGTCTGAGGATAGTTCGCTTCATCCTCTATATCCCCATCGTCTCCAATCACCGTTTCAGACACGCCCAGTGATCGTTCTTCGTACACGTTGGTTGAACGCACGCTATGGGGAAATCAGCGTACTACCCTGAAGTACAACTGCTATATGATTACCACATGGCCACAGGGTATGCCGAAACGTACATCATCACGACGTAGAGCACTCTACGAAGGGACGGTCAGGATTCTCGTTTTTAAACGAAGACGGTGGATGCGTACTTGACTGCAGGAGCCAAGACCGCAATTGGGACAGATTGGAACCCTGCAAGACGCACAGCAACGGCTTGTACGGCGGCCACGATCAGTCTCGTGCCAACCGGGATAGCTTCCACAGTCGCATTTCCAATATCCAGCACCAAAAACAGGAACCAATCCGTCAAACTTGATCCAGGAGTCAACTTACAGCTGGCAATGCAGAATATTTAGGAGCACTCACTTGAGGAAAATCAGCATGATGAGAAGGAACCAGGTTTGGCGCGATGGGAAGAGGTAGATGAAACATCGTCGGGGGTGATCGAGGAGAAACTGAAGTGTCTCGCGCATCTGTGAAGTCTTCGGAACGGATTTGAATATTCCCCATCTATCATAGACGGTCAGAGCAAGGGGGCAGAAGAATTTTTGCACAAGCCATACATCTGAAATCGTAAGCTGCACCGCGCCATTCAAGCGCAGGGTCAGCCCATAGTAAATCCGTGCGATCATTATCACATTCAACTTACAGAACAGGCTGTCATATCATGATCAGCACAAGGTCAAACGGTTAAAACTATAGCCGCCTCACGTATCCAGTGTTTCCAGCGATCACCACCCAGATGAGGAATATCAACATGGGATATGCGGTCTGGAACGGAATTAGACCCTGGTCAACCAGGGACAGGCCTGTGTTGGCCCAAGCGCCAATGACTTCGAAGATTGAGTACCTACAAGGCAAATATAAGCGAAATATGGTGAATGTCATGAATGACTCTCACCACACTGGATTGATCACACGATGCTGCTGAGGTGGCTGGAAATTATCCTTCCATCTTGCTAGTGACATATATGGTGCAGTGACTACAAACGCGGTCCCAAGTGAACCAACAGCGTACTGTGCCACAGATTCGATTAGTTCCCATACATCTATATAACATAGAAATCGCTCACCAAGGGCACGATCCACAATAAAGCAGTCAGCGCTCTGTACTCGACTCCACCTAGTTCCTCGCAGTCGCTGTCGGAAAGCCCATAAAACACTGAGTTCTTGCGCACTCTGGCATTGAATGAGAAATATGACACTGGACGATCGCCCTGAAGATCCACATTGGTATCGTCTGGCACTAACTTCGACTCGGTTGGCATCGTCATTGAGCGTTTGAGTTTTTTCTGTATGTTAGGGAACAGTCTGCGGAAGAGGCGAGCGATGAGCTCTAACGGATTTCTGAACCCGCCAAATTCATCGTCTTGGTTGTGATTTGGATCAATGACTTCGATTGTTGTGCGGCGAGTGAGTTCTGAAGTGGCGTCAATAAGGATATGAAGCCAGAAGTGGATCGAAAAACAAAGGGTGAGAACACATCGCACCTCGCCGAGGTGCAAGGTTAACACGTTGCTGCACCTGATCACTGTGGCCAAATGTCTGGCCGGCAATATGATGCTCTGGGATCGAGGATGAGAAGTCGAGGAACATTGCATTCATATCCATCGATGATGATATCGGTTTGGGTAGTGTATCCACACGACGAATCATGGAGGGCTTGAACTGTGCATTGCGTTTTGGGGCGCTGTCGCTCTGCGCGTCACGGAGGATGTCCCGAGTCTTCGTACGCTCGAACTCGGACTCCACAATCCAGTGGAGATGTCTTTGAAAGTACCGTCGGCGCACGTATACAACGATGAACGATATGGTGACCTATGATGATGTACAGTTTATTTGAATGTCTTATTTGTCAAGGTGTGACAAGATGTTAGAACATACCGGGCTGCCAATGATCTCAAGAATCACAAGTACAGCCTGCTGCCACGCTGTCAGGGAGCTCAAATCTAGCGTTGCAAGCCCAGTACCCGTCATGGCACTGACACAGCAGAATAGTAAATCGAGATATGACGCGGGAAACATGCCATTGCATGCATATGCTACAGCAGCGAGGATAAACGGGGCGATCGTGCTTATTGATAGTTGTCTCTTCATCATATGGAGATATTGTAGAAAGACCAAAGGACTCACAAGTACAGGAGATGAAGTCGATAGAAATTCAGGTTGAGTGTATCAAGTCCCTTGGCTGCGAACGCTCGTGCGCGGACATAGAGTGCTGACATGTGATCCCAAATCTCTATGGAGAAATTGACACGCGCTCGCCCGTGCGGTGCACACCACCGTGGTTGAGGTCTTTGAGGGCAGGATGCAAGAAGGCGATATATAGGTAGGTGGCCGACCTCGCACGTAAGAGTCCGTTGTATATATACGAGCTATCTCGTGTACGGCGGTGTCGGCGATCACATGATACTGTGTTCTTGTGGGCATGATTGCTACGATTCCAATTAGATGATCATTGTTGATGAAGACATGCAGTGGCTGTCAGAGGTCTAGCCATCCATCGTCATCTCCCGACATGCTGGATTTGCACAGCAAGCTTTACCAGACAGAGGACATACGTGAGGAAGCGTGAATCACTCAAAAATTGACACAGATACTGTGCGTGGTGCACCAGAAAGCCAGACGGAAGGCTCGACTCAGGAGCTTGATGTTTGCTTCAGGTATAGCGTGCGTTCAGAGGTTCACGAAGACGATGAGTCGAAACATGAGGAATACATGCGTTGGAAAGGAACATGAAGCTTGAAGCTCGGAGCAGAGCAGCTTGACGTAGTTGTATGAGATCATGCTTTGAGAGAAGAGAACAGGGATGAACATATTGCCAGTAAGAGGCCATCTTCAAAGGAGTCACCAAGTTTTCCGGAAGAGAAGGAGTGCTGGAACGAGCAGAGTGAGCAGCACCTAAAGTGGTTTATTTTTCACACGCTCCTCATTACCCCCTCAAGCACCTTCACGCCAATCATTTTCCTAGTTGTTTCGGCCTGGCGCTGCTTCCTGTTGCTTCATCCCAACGTCGCTGGGGACGACACGATCCAAGTGAAATGGTGCGCGTTGCAAAGAGAGCGGTGTTATCGACGCTTGGTCAGAAAGAACAGGGATAGCACGAGTGCGAGTCACCAGCCATGAGGAGTCTTGTGCCGACCTCTAGAGCTTCTACCGTCACATCACCGATGTTCAAGAAACGTCTCAGCCTCCATTCCAGCCTCCAACACGGTGGTCAGCCATTGTGATCAGTGTTGCCCTCTGCGTATCACTTGACTATCCGATTGTCACCTATTCGGCTTGGAATATCTAGTACATATCATGACTGGGACCAGGCACAGGACCAGGAACAGCACGCAAACCTAGCCCGCTAGCTCAACATGCCCTCCCTCGCTCATCACTTGCTAACAAGAAGCACTCGACGCATTCCGCATACGCCTATGAGCTCAGCGCTCAGCTTCGTGGCTGCTGGCCGAGATTCATCTGTCATGAAACCTGACTTCGGTGCACAATCCTCTCGACACACATATCACCGATCTCTTGCACGTAGACTTAGTCCTCCATCTCACAGGCTTAGGTCGTTTGGTCGGATAAATCTCATGGGTTAGTGCTTCACGAAATTGGGCTGCTATCAATCTACGGTACGCTTATTGTTCCGTTGTAGAATGGTCGACCTCGTACGATGGCAAAGAGATACCAAGCGATTTGGGTAGCACGCGACGAGAGCCTTGTGATGTCGAGCTGACTGCGGTTGAAAGGCATTGGTTGGACCGGTTGACGATGTCCAAACTGACGTGTGAGATGAATATATGCTTGCGCATTTTCCGAAAGTGTTCGCCGGCCAGAAGCAACCTCATGTTTCCGGAGATCATCTCACCACCTGCAATAGCGCTAGGCTGGTCCGCAGTAATTGTGCCATCCCATCGGATATCCATTGCTGCCTTTAGATATTGTAAATATTGTGATACCTGATATGTCCCAAAGACAATGATTGTGCGACGACCACACTTGAGCAAAACAACAAGGTCATATTCTCGAGTCCACTGAGACAGTTTCACAATAGCAATATTCCTACTTAGTCTGCTCTGTTTTTTATTTTTATTTTTATTTTAAATCCAATTTATTGTCCATGCAGGGTAAAAGGAACCCTATGTCGGACATTTCTAGTACAGATTGCAGCTACCACACCCGACCATGTTATAGTGCCTTTTAATTGGGATGGGGTAGGATGCCCTTGTCTGATTGGTGGGATGACGGAAGAGTGGGCTCGATCAGGTATGGTTGTCTGCTCTGTTACAAAGGAACTCTATGACCCACTCGGCATCGTTCTCAATCAGTTGGCTTCAACCACTAAAAAAGGCATCTCACTCGCTAGTATGCGAAGTTGGACGAGCAAATGAGACGAGGAGAGAATGAAGATCCTACCGACAGCATTATATCTTATTCTGAGGCAAAAAGGATAAACCAGATACAAGCTGTCCTGCGGAGAACACCAGCTGTAGTCTTTTTTTTTTGGTTGTAGTAACTCAGGTGGCTCGACATGTATAATGGAATCTATTTTATATTATAACGAATAACTTAGAAACTAAGACAACTATAGTACATCAAGACGAGGTAGCAGCTCGAGACAGAAGAGGGAAAAGCGATATTCGGAAAAGGGAATTGAAATGAAAGGTGTAAAGTGTGATTTCATACATGAGACAAGGGCGAAAAGGACTTGACGGAACAATAGTTACGATATACTAGCTCAGGAAATCCGAACCCAGATCTCTCATTCCTGTGTCTGATGTAAATATATATGCGTTTTATGAAAAGCAGCTGTGATCACTTACCAAGCCTAACTTAGAGATCATCAGAAGCTGTGACCTTCGTCCCTTTGTTCGGGGTCCTCCCGTACTTGTCCAGGCCTAGAATAACAAAAGTTAGTCGAAATCTCTCCCTCCATCTGAGGTACAAATAAATTGACGCACCAAGGCTCGGATCGCTTGTCATGCCCAAGTTATGAGCAATTGCCACCATAGCCTTCATATTCGTATCACCCGATAAACCCAAGGTTTTTGGAAGGGTGACAAACTTGGCGCTGGAGAGGAGAGTGTACGTCGCAAAGGACTCTGGCAAGAATGAGATATTGCCCAAACCCATCAGAACCGTGTTGTCTTCTTCATCGACGCCAAAGTGGCTGGCGTCCAGTCTCGCTTGTACGCAAACGAGCCGTTCCTCCGTGAGCTTGACGCGATCAAAGCTTTTCCCGCTGTTTATAAGCCTTGTGCGGCCCTGTTCCGAATTTCATGTTAGCGGACGATGAGCGTGCGAGAGAATTTACTGGACACGTACTTTGTCTACATACCTCTGAAGCGCCGTAACATTCACGAAAGGGAGCGGTGCTTCGCTGCTTTCAAAGAAGGCATGTCGGATGCACCCGCCTCCTAACGGTCCTAACTGGTGGTCGGAAGGAGCTTGAACCCCCAAAAGCCACTTCACAGCATCTACAATCCTCTCGTCCAGGTCATCAGGGGATTCGACGAGCTTGATGTGCTCTAGAACGACGTATGATGTTCCTTGTCCGTTGTCGAACTGGTGGATTAGCTTAGGGATACGAAGCTTGTTACTTTGTGAGTACAAAAACGACTGCGTTACGATGTAGGAAGCCAGAGTCTCGGGGTCGCCATATTTGACAATGTATGGATATGGCTCAACAAGTACGCAGCCGGTTTTTTTATTGCCACGCCCATGCTCTGCCTGGTGTTTTCTACATTCAGCCATGATGACGACCTCATCATCAGGGGAGAAAGGCTGCATTTGCGAGCTACACTAGCCAATGCGACGTGAGAAAGAGTAGGGCAAGGCTAGAGAATGATACGCACGAGTGGAATAGGGTGAGAGTAATAGACAAAGTGGTACTGCCTTTGATAAAAGTACGTTGACAGACGATCTCAACGCCCTAGACAAAGACACTCGAGTAACGACAATGAAGGCTAGGACCAGGATACATACACTGACGGAAATGGAAGTCCAAATCGAAAGAAAGAATAAAATAAAATAAAATACTGTTGGAGGTTATAAGCAGGGCAAGAAGCAACGACAGAGTGAGACGCACGAGTGGACCGGTTAGGTCGACATAAAATCACAACACGGTACCCAAGATGAAGTCAAATGTAAATAGCAGATAGGAAGACTGCTACAAAGGGCACTTACGTGGCGGTAGGGCCAAGGAGAAGTCTTTTGGTTCACAATAATAGACGAAATGACACGAACGAGAATGCAGGAGGTGGTAAGAAGAGAGGATAAGAAGCAAATTGATAGGAGAAAATGAATGCTAATATTATTCGGCTTTGACGCCCATGGACGCGCTTTAGCCACGAGTCACGTTGGCCACCGGCAGACCCGGGCCGGTTTAGACAAATCTGTGCGCGAGGCTTTATATTTTGTTCAAAAGCTATCTGCACTGCAAATTTCAAGCTTCGAGATTATCTTTGACCGTCTTAGCATCTATCAAGTACTTCTGCAGCCATACCAAGAAACCTTGGTGAGGTCAAATGTCCAGAGGTTTCCCCGATCGCGTCCCTAATCGTCCTTCATACCTTCCTTCGCAATCACATCGAACGTGTCCAAGTACTGACACCATCTTTCACCCCAATCGGCCTTTCCATGGAGTAGCCAGATGTTCTGGTCCCTCTGGACGCTTTATTAAGCCCTGTCGTGCTTCCTTGCAGGTGGCACACTCGACGCTGCCGCCCACACCGACTGTGGGGCCAGGGCGGGGCAACTCACGGAGCGGGAAACGGCCGGGGTCGTTCGGAAAAAACGGTCGCAAGAGACTGCTGTGGAAGGACGTACACGCGTTGGGCGCTGCGGCAGACCTGTCGAGGCTGATGTCGAGGCTGTATGCGCTGCGGGCGAGGTTGGCGCGCGTGACCGTGTATGGTCCGTCGAAGCGCAGCATGAACTTGGCGGCGCGTGTCTGTCCCGCTGCCTTGTAATCACGGCGGCGATGCAGCGTTGATAAATACGCGCGGTCGCCCACGGCGTAGACATGCTCGAGGGCGCGCCGCTTATTCGCGGAGTCCGCTTGTGCGATCTTCGTGGCCGTCAGGGAGTCGGCCGCGGACCGTGCGATATCGAGGATGCGGGTAATAGTGGCTTAAGCCAGGGCCTCGGGCGAGTCTGTCGGTGTGGGCGACGCCGGCGTGAGCAGAGGGGGTATCGAACGCGGGGCGCGTCCCATCCTGAGCATAAACGGTAACACGCCAGTAAATGCGTTCATAGTGTTCATGAGGTGAAAACGTACGATAGGTAACGCCCGCACCCAGCCCTTTTGTGTGCGGTTGACGTGAAACCGAAGACATTGATTTACTGTTTTGTTCGTACGTTCACTGGAGCCGTCGGTTTGCGGGTGGAAGGATGTCGACATCTTCAATTTTACACCCGTTAGCCGGTGTAGGGCGGCTGGTGCAAAGCACGCTCAAGTACTCATCCTCACATCCCCAGCTTGTCTTCTAAGCATTTCAGCGTACTCTCTTTAGAACATTGTAAGCCCGGCCATCGCTCGTCCGCTTCCGATCGTGGACGCATTCCGAGTATACCTACACAACTACTATATATATTCGTATGATTACTCATTCACTCTCGTACTTACAGGCCTGTTTCCCAAACTTACTTTCCCTTTCGTACACAAGACAATTACCTGCGCGCCTCGGGCTGCACCTTAAAAGGGCCCCGAAGACGGCATTCTCAGTAGCAGCTTTCCCCCGCTTTCTCTTTCTCTTTCTCTCTTCTCGCCTCCGGTTCTTTAATAAACCTGTTTTCGGGTCTGTCACGTCTCGAGCATCTGGCGTCACGACGCCCTTCCAAACATGTCTACCCCTGAGAACACTACAGAGACCAGCTTTTCCACGTTCGTTCACGGGCAGCAGGGAGACGACGTCTCTTCTGTTACACCGTCGCAGACGTCCAATGTCGAACAAGGCGTCGAACATCACGACATTTTTATGCCTACAATGTTCTAAAACCAATGTCGTTTCCCTCTCTCTCCGTTTTGTTTTGAACGGACTAGGAGCTCCTTCCCATAAACTTCGATGCCGATGGGTCCTGAAACACTAACAAAAATAGGGGACCTGCCATCCGCACTCCTCCCATCGTCAGGGATATTGTCGTCACCAAGTACAGCGTTCAATGGTTGAATCTCTCCCTGCCCGAACAGGGTTTCTATGCCAAAAATCATATGGTAGCGGCGCTGGACTCCGCCCAGCCTTGGACAATCGACGGCATCACCTATTATAACTCTGCTCGCATCTCTATGGAGCTGGGCGTTGAGATGCAGTCTGCTGACGTTATCGGTCAAGAGGTGCGCACAAAGTCATATTTTCAATACGGATATTGAAGTTAATCTGGATTCGTTTCACCAGGACTGGGTTTCTGGGGAAAACTACTTCCCAGGAGAATACGCTGTTCGTCTCTTCAAGACGGACGAGCTGTTCGATCTTGTCGTTTACCACCTCACTTACAACGACCGCACCGGTGCTACGATTGGAGACTTCATCGACGAGGTGCTTGAACGCGACATGCACCATTTTCTTTTTTTGCCTTACACTGCCAGTGGTCACTGGAAAGGTTGTGGCGATCACATGTATGTTCCTCTTCACTCGAATCTCAATTTAACATTGACGGCGTGATCCTCTTTGCTCTCCCTTTACTAGAATTCACACCTTCGCCGTCTTCGTCGACGAGGGCCTCCTCCCCACCACGGATTCCAACGAACATCCAACCGTCCCGCTCAGCACTGAACTCACTTACACTTATTTTGCCGGTGGGAAGAACACCTGGTGTCGTATGGGACGAGGATGGTGGCTGAAGTACAACCCTCCCACTGACCCACTTACTCCAGAGACCTCGTTCTCCGAAGGTCGTTTGACCTGGCAGCTCCCGACTGCGCCTCAGTCTGTTCAACAGGATACCCAAGAGGAGGTTGGCGAAGGAGAGCCCAGTGTCAAGTCCGACAACGACGAAGACGCTTAAGCTCCGTGAGTCAAGTCGGCGATAAGTTACCGTGGTGCCTTTGGATACGGACACAGCCTACGTCATCCGTTAAATGTCGTGGAGTTTCTGGATTATTAGCTCGGGCTCGCGAGGGTGGAAGCAAACCTCTGTGGATGACATGTGTACGTGGATTCATGGCTGCACATTTTCTCGTGTCGCAGAACTCGAACTTGAAGCCTCGAGGCCGCTTCTCGCGAGACACCACGCATCGATGCGATCATATCGATACCTCTCAGCACCATATTTTGTGCATATTATGCGACGGGGTCCCGTCTGCCATCCAGAGAGTAGGCCTCATCGTTTCTTTCCGACAGGTTCTCATGAGCCTACGTACCATCGATCTTTTTCCTTGTAACAGAGACACCCCTGCGCGTGCTTATTTGCCTCTGCTTGTTCAGCTTTTCCCGGCAAGAGAGGATACCGCAATCAGCCAGGTACAAAAACTGCGCCCCATATAACTATCCTCGACGTCTCTTACCAAAGGCTCCCTGCAAATGGCGTCTGACCACTTTTCGTGATCCTGCGGGCAGGGTGGTATCATACACAATCATCATTAGCAGCAACAAAGCACAGTTGAAAGCGACACAGCATATACAGAACTCCAGTCCACTGAGGATATTACCGCACCCATCTAGATCCATCTATCTATCTATCCATCCATCCACCCACCATACCTAAATCTATATCCAAAAGCACCAGCATCCACGAGCATCTATCCATCTACACACCCGAGCGCCGCCCATGCGCGTCCTTCTCCCAAGACCTCGCGGCCTGGCGCGCCTTCATCTGGCGCGCCTTCTCGCTGGCCTTCTCGAGGAACTCTTTCGGGAGCATGATCGCGCGATCGACGGCGACCGGGAGCCCGCGGTGGCGCCCGCGGAGCATGACGGCGCATATGATCAGTTTCGAGACGGTGTGCATCGCGCCTGTGAGCGCGTAGTTCGCCTGGGGCGGAGCGTGAGGGCGCGGTGTGCGTGAGGGAGGTGGGAGGTCGGGAACGCCGACTTACCGTGGGTATGCCGAGGCTCAGGCCGACGGTCGAGTACGCAGACACTATTTCGAACACTGGGGGATGGGAATGGCAAGGACGCGCGATCAGCGGTGCTTCGTTCGTGACGGAACCATGCGAGGTGCCTCACTCAAGGAAAATAGATTGAACCACGAGTCGCTAGAAGGGTCGCTCAGCTGGTGTCTCTGCGAGGCCCAAGTCAGCCGCGTGCCCCCGCCCCCGCACAAAAGAACGGCAGGGACGCCCACCTCGATGATGCACAGCAGGAACAGCGCGAGCGCGAGCCACCACATATCTGCAAAGCCAACGCAAACCACGCATGAGCGAGCTCCGACGCGCGGCGCCCACGGCACGAAGCACGCGCGGAATTGTAATCACCGAATGCGAGCTGCCGCTTCGCGTGTCGCGCGAGGTAGCGGCCCCAGATCGCGACGCGCGAGTCCGTCTCGGGGTAGTCCTCCTCGTCCTCGATGTCGTCGTCGTCGTCGACCTCCTCCTCGAACACCCCGAGCGAGCGCTCTTCATACACGTTCGTCGAGCGCACGCTGTCGCCGCATAGGCATCAGCGTGGCGCACGCCGACTCTGTGCAGGCGGACGGACGCACCTCATGGTCACTGGATAGGCCGACACGTACATCATGACGAGGTAGAGCACCCTGCAGCCAGCGCGTCAAGATACAAGTCACACAACCACGATACGATCAAACGCACTTGACGGCAGGAGCCAGCGCGGCGATCGCGACAGACTGAAACCCCGCAAGGCGCACCGCAACGGCTTGCACAGCAGCCACCACGAGCCTCGTACCGACCGGAATAGCCTCCACCGTCGCGTTCCCGATATTCAGCACCAAAAAGAAGAACCAGTCCGTCAAGCTTGGGATCCACGCATCAGTTCAAACTTCAACGCGCAGCCGGGCCGGCGGCAGATCGCGGGAGGCTCACTTGAGGAGGATCAGCACGGTGAAGAGGAACCAGGTCTGGCGGGATGGGAAGAGGTAGATGAAGCACCGCCGGGGGTGGTCGAGCAGGAAGTGGAGGGTCTCGCGCGTCTGCGACGCTTTCGGGAAGCACTTGTATATCGCCCATCTACCAGCACGGTCAGAGAAGAAGCGAGGCTTTCAAAGGACTTACATCTGGAACCGCAGGCTGCGTTGCGTCGACAGAGACGGAAAGGTCAGTTCTTGCCGTGCGTAGATTCAAACAACACCGATCACGTCTCGACTCACAATATAGGCTATCGGAATCACGATCAGGATAGGTTCGAGGAGTCGGACGATGGCGCACTCACGAATCCCGTGTTGCCCGCGACCGCCACCCAGATGAGGAAGATCAGCATAGGGTACGCGGTCTGGAACGGAACAAGGCTCTGATCGACCAGGGACATGCCCGTGTTGGCCCAAGCCCCGACGACCTCGAAAGCCGAGTACCTACGAGAGCAGAGTGCAAATGATAAAGATAAGTCGGAGTGAGAGGAGCAGGTTCCTCGCACCACACGGGGTTGATGATACGATGCTGCTGGGGCGGCTGGAATATGGACTTCCATTTACCAAGCGACATGTATGGCGCGGTGACCACGAATGAAATCAAAAGCGTGCCAATAATGTACTGCAGGCGGCGCGAGATCAGTCAGCACGCATATATGAATGCCCTTACGACAAAATCAACGCACCGAAGACACGATCCACAGCAGCGCCGTGAGCGCCCTGTACTCCACCCCGCCCAGCTCCTCACAATCGTCGTCCGAGAGCCCATAAAACACCGAGTTCCTGCGCACCCGCGCGTTGAACGTGAAATACGGCACGGGGCGCGCGCCCTGCGGGACGGTGTCGAGGTTGATGTAGTGCGGCACGAGCTTCGACTCGGCGGGCATGGTCATCGAGCGCCGGAGCCGCTGCTGCATGGAAGGGAACAGCCGGCGAAAGAGGCGCGCGAGGAGGCTCAGCGGATCGCCGAACCCGCCGAACGCGTCGTCGGTGCTGTGGTCCGGGTCGACGACCTGCACCGTCTTGCGGCGCGTCGGCGCTGGGCGAGCATCGCGGCACCACCACCAGCCGCATAGTGAGCATCGTGTGTATACGGGCGGGAGCGGGGCGCGGTGGAACGCCGCTCACCTCGCTGGCGCGCGAAACCGACGCGCCGCTCCGACGGCGCCCGCGCCTGTCCACTGCGGCCGAACATGTGGTCCGCGATGTCCTGCTCGAGCGCGAGCGGGCTCGCCATCATGCGCTCCGGCGACGTCGAGAACGCGACGAGCGTCGCGTCGACGTCCACCGTCGGCCTGAACCGCGCGCGGCGCCTCCTCGACTCTGCGCGCGCGTCGTATTCCCCGCTCCGCTTCTCGGTCACGGTCTCGGCCGCGTTGCCGCTCTCGTTGCCGTTCTCGCTTTTGATTCCGTTTTCGTTCTCGGTGCCGTTCGCGCCGCCCGCGTTCGCCCTGTGCCGCATGGTATTGGCGTCCGCAGTGCCGGTGCCGGTGCCGGTGCGCCCGCGCGCGACGACGTCGTTCGCGCGCGCGTCCAGAGATGCACCGCGCGTCTGCGTGCGCTCGAACTCGGACTTGACGATCCACTGGAGGTGGCGCTGGAAGTACCTCCGGCGGACGTACACCGCGACGAGCGCGACCGTGATCTACACCGCGCACACCCAACCCCGAAAATCCAGCCCGATTCCGGCCAGACATACGCGCTGACAGCTTAGATGCGGGAGGGACGGGAAAGGGGAGGAGAGGGGAGACGCACCGGGCTGCCGACGAGCTGGAGCACGACGAGGATGGTCTGCTGCCACGCCGTCAGCGCGCTAAGATCGAGCGTCGCGAGCCCGGTGCCCGTCATCGCGCTGACGCAGCAGAACAGCAGGTCGACGTATCTCGCGGGGAACCTGCCGTTGCTCGCGTACGCGATGGCGGCGAGCACGAGCGGGGTGACGATGCTGGGCGCGGCGGCGACGGCAGCAGTGAGAGCGGCATCGGGGACGGCGTCGGGACGGCAGAAGCGACGTCAGCGGCGAGAGAGGGAGCCAGGGAAGGGAGGCGACGCACAAGAAGAGCAGATGCAAGCGGTAAAAGTTTACATTCAGCACCTCGAACTCGTTCGCGAGCCTGCGCCCCTCCGTCCGCGCGCGACCGCCCAGCGCCTCGAGCCGCGCCCACATTCTGTCCATCGTCGTCGCCCACGAGTAAGAAAGTAGAGTATTACAAGCCCGCTGCAGAGAGCAGTCGACTCGGCGACGCAACGGGGGCGACTGTTACAAGGCGATGGCCCCACCTCCTGCGACGTGCATGGCCGCGATCGCTCGGTCGGCGTCGCGGCCTCCCCCGGCCCCCTGCGGTCAAACATGATGTGTACTCCGGCAGCACGCCACAACCGGCGCCAGTGCAACGCCATGCATCTGTCGCAGCCAGACCAAGAACAACTTGATGCTCACGGTGATCACGCCGTCGCCTCCACTCGCCACACCCGACACCTCAGCGCGGAACCAATCCTGCCGTCCCACACGAGCTAACCCAGAAAGGCGACGGAACCTGGCACTCGATCACGTCGCACACGCACATATATACTCATTCGTGCCAAATAGGGCTATACGGACGTATAAACAACAATCGCAATCTCGGACTCGGACTCGGACTCTAAGAGAAGACGAGGACGCGCACACGACACAACACCGCGCCCGTGTCCGAACCAAACGCATGGGAGCCAGTGGGGTGGGTGCGGTGGGGCGGCAGTGGGTATATAATCAGAAGTAGTAAAAAGGAGTGACAACAGATGGGGACGGAGGCAGTTTTCGCGGGCGGGCGGGCGGGCGGATGCGATGGAGGGTCGATGGGGGTGAGAGTACGGATGGACGGATGAATGGGCGGAGGCGGATGAGCGGATGGTTGTATGGCGTATCAAATCAGCGGAACAGGGATGAACAGATGCAACAAACGAACACGCGAACCAGAACCAGGGCTACATGCAAACACAACACAACACAATAACACGCACGTACACACCAAGTCCGCGCGGGAAGAGGCGGCGACGGGGATAGCGAGGCAAGGAGCGAGGGGCGCGTGCGGCGCGGCACGGCGACGGGGCCGGGGTCGGGTGGGGTCGGAGTCGGGGTCGAGAGGGCGGTCGGGAGCCCCGCGTGCTACCGGGGGACGAAGACGGCGACGAGGACGATAAAGGGAACGTAGGTAAAGAGCGAGAGGACCGACATCACGCGACACCGAAAGCGCCACGATTTCGCATCTGCACCAACGGCGCCGATTCAGCCATCCGTCCATCACACGCAAGCAAAAGAACAAGGACGCACCGAACTCAATCTGCGGATCATCCAGCGTAACCGCCTTCTCCCTATCCTCCCCGCCCACCACCCTCGTCTCAGGGGTCCCCAACACAGCCGCGAGCCACCAAAGCGGGAACAACACAAACCCAACAAAAAACATCCACGCGTGCGCCGGCGACCCGCCCTCGCCCTCGTCCTCCCCGCCCGCCGAGCCCCCGCCGCGCCGGCCAAGCCGCAGCGTCCACGCCGTCTCGAGGCGCCGCCGCGGCCGCCGCGGGTCGCGCATGTGGAACGTCCCCGACGGTGCGATCGACGGCGCGTGCGGCGTCACGAGCGCGCTTAGCGGGATCGAGATCTGCGATAGGCTGCGCCGCCTATCGTGCGCGGCCTCGAGCGGCGTGTGCGGTGCAGACCCAGCGGCGGCGGCGACGACGTGGGCGGGAGACGAGCCCTCGCGCGCGGAGGGCGCGCGGGACGGGCTGTGGATGGGGGTGCGCGAGGACGTGCGGGAGGACCAGGTGCCCATGGTGGTGGTAGTGGTGGCGGGCTGTGCTTGTGCGGTGGTGGAGCCTGCGCGGGAGGGGCTGGGCGTGGTTGGTGCGGACAGGCGGGCGCGCTTGCGGTGGTAGGACGAGGGCACGCGCGAGACCGTCGACGGGCGATGGGTGACTGTCCAAAACGGAAGCACGCACACGGTCAATAAAACGGCACGACCACGACCACGAGCGAAACCGGCCGCGCTAAGTGCTCGTGCACCGCTCGCGAGGAACGCGATGGTGATCCCGCATCCGCATCTGCATCTGCATCAACAGACGACAGCCAGACAACGTGCGAACAGCGCGGCCCGCGCGCGTCGAAGTCGCCGGAGCGACCCCAATGACGTAAAATGACGAAGGAGAACGAGGTCGGCTGGACGCTGATGGTACTCACTGCGTGGATCAGCCGGGATCGCGAACGTCGCGCGCGGCGAGCCCCGTAGGTCCGGCGGCGTACTGTCGACGTCCTCGGCCTTGCGCTTGCCCTTCGCGATCGACGTCGCGCTCTGCGCGCGCGAGCGCGGCGGCGTCCGGAACGGCTCGCCCGCTTCGCCTGCACCATACTGCGCCGCCTCGCCAGGCATCAGCGTCGAGCTGCTGAACGCGACCGAGGGGAAGAGCGCCGAGGACCGCGACCCGGTCGCATCCTGCTGCTCGGGGTCTTTCGACGAGGACGCAAACGAGGCGGACGCACGCGCGCTGCGCTGCGCGGACCGCGTAGAGCCCTTGCCCTTCATCGAGCTGCGCAACACCCTCGTGCCCGCAGCCCCAGCCCCAGCCCCGCGCACGCTGCCCGCGCGCGAGGCCATCCCCCCATTCTCGCGGCCCTGGTTCTGGCTCTGGCTCTGGCTCGGCATTTTGTTCTCCTGATCCCGATCCCGATCCCCCCTCCTCGCGCCCTGCTCCTGCTCCTGCCCCCCCTCATTGCCCACACTCCACGACATCGACGGATCCGATCGGCGCACGCGCGCTGACGCAGCAGATACCTGTACAAACGGGGCGCCCCCCAGTGGCGACGACGACGAAAAAAGGGGTACAGCAGAAGAAGAAGCGGGAAAGGGGAACTGCGCGCGCGGGGGCGGGGGAGGGGGGAGGGAGAAGGAGGACGAGAGCAAAGAGGGTGCTGAAAAGCGAGCGGGTCTCTCTCGAGGCACGTTGTCCCCACGCCCACGCGCCGCCGGCTCCGCGCCCTTGTTCTCCCCGGCAATCCCCGCACCCGGCGCCGTCGTCCCTCGCCCCCCCTGCCCCGTGCTCCCCCTGCTGCCCGTCCGCCCGCGCGCGCGCTGCGCCTCGGGGGCAGCAGAGACCACCTCGTCGCCGCCCCCGAACGCGAGCGCAACGTCCCCCCCAAGCGACAGCCGCACCATCTCCCGCGACACGCGCGCCGCCCAGTCTTCTCCCGTATCTCCCCTCTCCTTCTCTTCCTTCCCCTTCCCACCTCCACGCGCCTTCGCGTGGTTCTCTGTCAGCCCATCCACAGCCGTCCCCGCCGTGGCCTGCTGAGCGAAATAGTCTGCGCTCGTGCGCCGCCCGTGGCCCTGGCTCCGCGCCGACTGCGTGCGCGTGCGCGTCCGCGCGCGCACCATCTCGCCAAACCGCGACGCCGGCGACGTCGGCGACTTGGCGCCCGCATCCTGCGGTACGGGAGACGCCGCGGATGCGGCCGCTGGTGAGTGCATCTTCGGCGAGGCCAACGACGCAGGCGACGACAGGGCGGTGAAGATGTTCTGCACCTTCGGCAGGCTGCGGTACGGCCGAATGACGCGTGCGAGTGCAAACGGCCCGAACGTGCTATCCGCATCCACGTTCGCGCTTGTGTCCGCAACGCCGCTCGCGTCCGCGGCCGTGTGCACGTCCGCGAGCAGGCCCGCGCTCGCGTCGAGGTGGATCCTCGGGCTCGTGCTGTTCCTGTGCGCGCGCACGGGCAACGATTCCCCGCGCAACCCCAGCCCCTGCCCTTGCTGCGCAGCGAGCGCGAGCGCAAACGGCCGCGGCTGCGCGCGCGGCGGATACGTCTGGCCGTGCGCGCGCGCCTGGGGGCGAGGCTCAGACCGGGGGTGGGGATGGGGATCGGGGGCGGCGGCGGTATCGCCGAGGGTGTATCCGTGCTCGTCGAGCTCGAACGCGCGCTCGAGATCGGGCGTGCGCGCCCCGCCGCCGCCACTGCCGCGCCCAGCGCTGCCGGTGGCGGGGTTCGCGCGCGCGAGGAGGACGGAGGCGAGCTCGGGGTGGTCGAGGGGCGGCAGCGGCGGCGGTGGGGTCGCGGCCCCCGAGACATGTCCATGCCCGTGCGAGTGAGAATGCTGTGAATGTTGTGAGTGAGAGTGGGACTGCGAGTGCGAGTCGAGCGAGCTCGACGGGCGCCCGAACGTCCCGGGGGAGTCGAACGCGCGCGCGCCGCGCGAGGCGTGCGATCCCGGCGTGGTGCTCCCACGCGGTCTGCTGGACGGAGTCACCGACGCCGACGCGGAGACGGAGACAGAGGCGGACGGCGAGGCGGAGGGGGAGTGCTGCGCCGAGCCGCGGTCCGCGTTCTCCTTGTTCATCGTGTCCGACGAGCGCGTCCGCGTGCTCGGCGTCGTCGACGGCGAGCCGTGCCCGCTCGCCCTGCCGCCGCCGCGGCCCTTCGACCTGAGGCGCGCGCGCCACGGCGAAGGCTGCTCGCCCGCTGCGCGCTCCTGCTTCCCGCGGCCGAACGTCGTCGACCACTCGCCGGGCGAGGCGAGCGACGAGATGCGCGAGAGCAGTCGCCCGCCGTTGCTCCCTGCGCGCGAGGCCCGGCTGACCTTGGACGCGCGGCTCGCCGCGGACGGGGGGCGCGTGGGCTCCGCGGTGGCAGTGACGAGCTCGTCGTCGTTCAGCGAGACGGCGGGCACGGTCGGGAGGCTGGGGCGGCGGGGCCTGAGGGGGACGGGGACGATTTCTTCTGAGGAGTGGCGTTCGTGGTAGGGTCTGTATATGCGCCTCGCCTGCGGCGGTCTGGTGGGCGCAGGGGTATGCGGGGGCGGGGTATGTTGTATAGAGGAGTATTCTTCGAGGAGGGAATTAACGTCGGGGTGTATCTTACGTTCGAGGAGGGGCTGGAACTGAGGCTTGGTGCTTGAGTGCGATTGCGAATGCGAGTGCGAGTGCGTGGTCGTGGAGGGCGTGAGGGTCGTGGGTGTCGAGGCGCCGTGTGCGGTAGCGGCGGAGTGGGAAGAGTCAGACGTGGCGGTCGTTTGGCTGATCGCGCGGGTGCGGAGGCGCGTGAGGAGGGACGGCATGGGTCGTATGTTCGTATGCGGAGTGCGTTCGGGGGGTCAGAAAAGTCGTGAGGCGTTGCAGGACGAGTTACTGGGCATCTGGTTGAACAACGCGTGGCTGGTCAGAAGATGTCTCGCGGCACCGTGGATCGGGACACGCGGCGCATACAGCGAGTACATCGTTCATGGATGTATCTCGAGGACGACGAGCGCGCGGATGTATGTACACGGTGCGCGGCACGGCTGTACAAGGGCGGCGAACATCGCCGATAGTTGGTAGAATGCGGACTGTCCCGCGGGCGCGCTAACCGCCGGCGAGACAATGCATGCAGGCGGGTAGAGCATCGCAAGGCGGGATCGTCGAGCATGCAACGCGACTTATAAGGACCTAATTTCATCGAAATCACATTCCTGTCCAACACGCGCACGGCCCCATCCAGCGCGCGGCGGGCACCCCGGCACGTCTCCGTGGCGGGCGCAGAGCGGCGCTCCCGCACGACGCGCTCGCCCGGTATAGAAAGAGAGAGAGCAAAGGCGAATGGGAAACACGAACCAAAAGGCAGCGGTTGACCGGCGAGCGGCTATAGCATGCACCTGGAGCGACCTGTCTCTCAGGCGGGTGGCGAATCGTTGGGGCGCACGACGACAGCGACGCTCCGACGCTTCCAAGCTATCTGTCCGGACGGCGATGGCGCGTGTCGAAGTGCAGAAGAAAAGCAAAACAAAAAAAAGGGAAATCGTGAGCGCGGCGCTGTGTTGGACGGCGTGCGTGCGTGGAGGCGAGTTGAGGTGCAACAGAGCAGACGGGACGTGCGTGAAAGCGTCCCAGGGCTAAAGAAGGCTCGGAGCGGAAGCAAACCACTCCATCCCAGTCCGCCGCGTTTGGCTCCCGGCGTGCCCTCATCTCGTCCGTCCCGGCACCGGCACCGGCCCCGCCGTCGCGGACTTCGGCACGTGCCGTCCACACCAGCCGCTACCGCCGCCGCCACCGCCGCCGTCGCCGCCCGGAACCGGCGCGGTCGCTCGGCAAGGGCGCCAGCACGTTCGCATCTCCACGCACTCTCTTCCTCATCACCGGCCCCCTCCCGCTCGTCCTCCCTGCAGTCGTCGCCGACGATGGACCGCATCGAATCATGGGGAAACACGATCACCAACCTCACCATGTACGACATCAAGAGCATGTACAACCAGGTGCGTCCCCGCGCCCGCGGCCTGCCTCACGCCTTACCGCCACCCGCCCGCCCCGCCGCTTGCTTCTTTGCGTCTCGCCCTTGCCCTCGCCTCGTCTCGTCTTCGTTCCGTGTTTCGTGTGTCGTGTTTCGCCCTTCCATTGCTTCATTTGATGTGAGGCCGAGTGTGATCGCTGACGACGACGGGCGCCCCTTGTGCGGTGATCTGTAGGCCAAGAACGTCGTGCTTAATGTCAGCGAGATGGAGGCCAAGGTGCGCGAGGCGACCAACGACGATCCATGGTACGTCGCCTCCTTCTTTCATTCCATCTCGGACCCCCCGGGCATGAACGGGCACACGTGGATGATGGCGCTGATGCTCTTGGCGTTGTGCGTGCGCGCAGGGGAGCGAGCTCGACGCTGATGACCGAGATCGCACAAGGGTACGTCCCCGCCCCGTCCCCCCGTCCCACCCGGGCGACGCATCTCACTCCGCCCCGCCGCATCTAGGACATTCAACTTGTGAGCACCCACCCCCCCGCTCTTCCCTGATCAGTCCCCGATGACCTCCCGAAAAAGTCAAAACTTCAACGAGATCATGCCGTGCATATACGCGCAGTTCATGGAGAAAGAAGCGCGTCAGTGGCGGCATATATACAAGGTGCCGTCCTCTGTCTTCTCTCGCCTTCCTCCCTTCTCGACACCGTGGGCTAACGACCACGCAGGCGCTCCAACTGCTCGAGTACCTCGTCAAGCACGGCAGCGAGCGCGTCGTCGACGACGCCCGCTCGCACATCTCAACTATCAAGATGCTCCGCAACTTCCACTACATCGACGACAAGGGCAAAGACCAAGGCATAAACGGTGCGCCCCTACCCACCATCCCCCACCTACCCGCCCTCCCTCATCACTCATCGCTCACCCGCCCCCTCGCGCAGTCCGTAACCGCTCGCGCGAGCTCGCCGAGCTCCTCTCCGACGTCGAGAAGATCCGCGTCGAGCGGCGCAAGGCCAAGGCCAACAAGAGCAAATACATCGGTACCGGCTCCGACGGGCTTTCCTTCGCCTCCGGCGGCTCGCGCTACGGCGGCTTCGGCAGCGACTCGCTGGGCGGCGGCGGTGGCGGGAGCTACGGCGGCAGCGCGAGCGGGTTCGAGCGAGGTGAGTGCGCGCGCGACTGCGAACGCGGGGGAAGACGCGGACGACTGACTGACCACTGACCCTGGTGTGCGCTCGTTCCTGCAGATTACAGCGGCGGAAGCAGCGGCGGCGCGGGCGGGAGCAGCGGGTTCCGCGACGACACCGCGCGGCGCGGGTACGAGGAGTACGACGCGGGCGAATACGAGTCGGGCCCGCGGCGCTCCAACTCGCTCACCGTGCCCGCCGTGCAGTCCCAGGCGCGCGCGCAATCCCAGTCTCAGGCGCGTGGGGCGCCGACGCGCTCGGCGACGCAGCCACCGGTGCCGGTGCAGAAGGCGCCCGAGGTGGACCTGCTTGGATTCGCGGACGACGAGCCGGCGGCATCTGTGACGGCGACCGCGGCAGGGACGACGGGGTTCTCGATGGCGGGGAGCACGGAGAAGGCGCTCCCCGCGCTCGCGACCCTGAGCCTCGCGGATGGTGCGTTATCCCTCGTCCCTCCTCCCTCCTCTCTCCTCTCTCCTTTGTCGTGAGCGGAGTTACCGACTGATCGACACACGCACGCAGACGACGACTTTGCCGACTTCCAGGCGGCCCCGCCGTCCGCGACTGCCGCGGCGCCCCCGATGCCGAGCGGCAAACCGAGCCTGATGGACATGCTGGCCTCCGCGCCCGCGCCCGCGCCGGTTGCCGCGACCGGCACGCCCACGTACGCCGCGCGGCAGCCGCTGTACACCTCTCCCGCCACCACAGGCGCGCCCACTGGCATGGGCATGAACAGCGGCATGGGCATGGGCGTGGGCATGCAGCCCACCCCAGCGACGTACGGCGGCGGCCGCCCGCTCTCCTTCGCGCAGCCCGTGCTGAGCCCGACGTCGTCTTCTACGGCACCGCCCTCGCTTGCGACGTCACCGACCGTCGGGGCGAAGAAGCCTGCGGGCGCGGGCGCGGGGAACTTTGACGATCTGTGGACGATGGGGATGTCGCTCGGCTCGGGATCGAAGCCCGGGACGCCGGTGGGCGGGAAGCGGACGAGCATGGGCTTGGGCATGGGGGTCGGCGCGGCAGCGCCTGCCAAGTCGATGAAGGACCTGGAGCGGGAGAAGGCGCAGGCGGGGATATGGGGCGTCGGTGCGCAGAAGGCGCCGCAGGCACAACAGCAGCAGCAGGCGGGCGCGGGTGCGTTTGGGTCGTTTGGGCCGGCGGCTGGTGGGGCGGGCGGGGCGGACGACTTGTTGCTTTGATTCACGCGTCTTTTCTTTTTCGTTTACTTGTTCGTGTTTTTTTCGTGTTTTTGATGTGGTCTGTTGGGAGTGTTGATTTTTGTGGGTATGTCCTGACCTTGTGTGTGTGTGTGTGTGTTCTCGACTGGCGGGCTAGATACGGCAGTGAGTAAGTAGGTGACGGTGTATGTTGGTCCTCTGGAATTCGTCCCACTCGCGAGGTCTCGTTCATGTCCGGGGCGCGAATAGAATAGGGGTGTGGCAACGTACTCGCGACCGAGATGGCCGCGACGTCATGGAGCGGTCTTGTGACCACCGCACACCGTACAGGCGCAATGGGGAGCACATGGTGGCTGACGGCGTCATCAGCATGACGCGCCCAAACGGGGCGGTGCCTTTGCCGCGCTTGGACGGACAAGGGCAGCTCGCGCCGTGCTGAGCCGCGCCTCTCCATCCTGGCGACGCGCCTGAAATTCTGCGGTGTTTCGCGAGGAGAGAGGGCGAGAGCGGAGGCGCCGGAAGCGTGGTCATGCGCCTTTCGCGTCAGCGTCGAGGGCCAGGAGTGGGCCAGGGCGACTCGAGAAGCAGCAGCGCATAAAGCCCCGCTGCCTTTAGCTGCCTTCCTAGTACTCTACTCTGTCCTCGAGCAGCCTCCCGCAGCCATCACACGATGGCGCCCCTCCTGTCCCTCGCGCTCTCGTTCCTCCCCCTCCTTCTCACATCCCCGGCGCATGCCCTCTGGCCCCTCCCGCGCACCCTCCAGACAGGGTCCTCGACCGCCGCGCTCCGCCTCTCCCCCTCCTTCCACATCGCCCTCTCCCTCCCACACAACGCAACCGCACCCCAGGACCTCCTCGACGCCGCCGCCCGCGCAAAAGGCTACCTCACCACCGACGCGCTCGGCCGCCTCGTCGTCGGGCGCGGCGCCTCCGACGCCGCAGCCGTCGCGCGCGCGCCGACGCTCTCGCAGCTCATCCTCGAGCTCACCAGCAACAGTACAGGCGCGGCGCAGAGCATCACGCAGGGCGCCCAGGCGCCGCTCGGCGCGCGCGACGAGGCGTACACGCTGATCGTGCCCGCGGACGGCACGCCCGCGGTCGTGCGCGCCAACTCGACGCTCGGGCTCTTCCGCGGGCTCACGACGTTCGGCCAGATGTGGTACGCGCTGCCCGGCGCGGGCAAGGACGCCGCGACGTACGCGCTTGGCGTGCCCGTGTGGATCGAGGACAGCCCGGCGTACCCGTATCGCGGGCTCACGCTCGACACCGCGCGGAACTAGTGAGTGCCTCGAATGTGCGGGGGCGCGGGGAGTGCTGACCGTCCATATGTGCCATAGCTTCCCTGTAGCGGACATTAAGCGGACGCTGGACGCGATGAGCTGGGTCAAGGTGCGCGCCTGTCTGATCTTCCTGTCTGTCTACCCCTACGTCATCGCGCCGACTCACGTGCGCGTCGCAGATCAACACGTTCCACTGGCACGTGGTCGACTCGCAGAGCTTCCCGCTCCAGATCCCCGGCTTCGAGGACCTCGCCGCGACGGGCGCCTACTCCGCCGAGCAGGTCTACTCCCCCGCGGACGTCGCGGATGTCGTCGCCTACGCTGGCGCGGTGAGCCTCCTCTCTCTGCTGCGTGTCGCGTGCACGAGCTGACGCGTGCTGCAGCGCGGGATCGACGTGCTCGCCGAGATCGATACGCCCGGACACACGTCGGTCATATCAAAGGCGCACCCGGAGCACATCGCGTGCGCAGAGGCCACCCCATGGGCAACATACGCGAACGGTACGCCGCCCCCGCGCGCCTCTCTCTCTCTTCTTCCCCACACGCTCACGCACGCCCGCGCGCACCCCGCAGAGCCCCCCGCAGGCCAGCTGCGCCTCACGAACGCGACCGCGACGTACACCGCGTCGCTCCTGCGCGCGGCCGCCGCGCTCTTCCCGTCGTCGCTCTTCAGCACGGGCGGCGACGAGATCAACGCGCGGTGCTACGCGGACGACGCGCAGACGCAGGCTGCGCTCGTCGCGGGCGGGCAGACGGTCGAGCAGGCGCTGAGTGACTTCGTCGGCGTGACCGGGGACGCGGTGCGCGGCGCGGGGAAGCGCGTCGTGGTGTGGGAAGGTGAGTCCGTTGTTGGGTGGAGGGGAGTGTAGGAGGCTGACGGGCGCGCACGCGCGCGTGTGTGTTGGTAGAGATGGTGCTGGACCATAACGTGACGCTCGCGAACGACACGGTCATCATGTGCGTGCCTCGCTCTCCGCGTCTCTCGTGCGCCTCCTCATGCGCCTCCCTATACTTTTGCTGTTCGCCCCCGTGCATCGCGTGTGCGATCTTGGCTCCCTCGCTGGCCGCAGGGTCTGGATCTCGTCCCTGAACGCGGCGAAGGTCGCGCAGAAGGGGTTCGACCTCGTCCACGCTGCGTCCGACTACTTCTACCTCGTGCGTGCCCGCCCCGCTCTCCCGCAGACTCCTGCGCTCTCGCTCACCACTGATATCATCCGTCTACCTACGTACGTCTCTGACAGGACTGCGGCGGCGGCGGATGGGTCGGCGCGTACCCCGAAGGGTGAGCACATCCCTTTCTGCGACGCGACGCGACGAGCGTACGAGCGAGAGCACATACTGACGCCGCCCACTTGCACGCCCCCACAGCAACAGCTGGTGCGACCCCTTCAAGACCTGGCAAAAGGTGCCCGCCCCCTCCCACCCCCTTCCCTTCCCTTCCATCTACTGACCCTGACCCGCACCGACCACAGGCCTACTCCTTCGACCCGCTCGCGAACCTAACCACCCCCACCGAGCGCGCACGCGTCCTCGGCGGGCAGCACCTCCTCTGGACCGAACAATCCGGCCCCGCGAACCTCGACCCCGTCGTCTGGCCGCGCGCCGCCGCCTCCGCCGAGGTCTTCTGGTCCGGCGCCGCCGCGACCGCGAACGTGAGCGCCGCGCTGCCGCGCCTGCACGACGTCGCGTACCGGTTTGAGCGCCGTGGCGTAAGGGCGATAAGGTTGCAGCCCGAGTGGTGTGCGCTGAGGCCGGGGGCGTGTGATTTGACGGCGTGAGTGCCGGGGAGGGGAACGTTGGAGTGGGCGAGGGGGTGGTTCGTGCTTGTGGGTTGGGTTGGAGGCGGACTCTTTCGTAGTGCTGATTATATAGGTCGCGCGGGCTGGACCGGATTGTAGTTATTTCTTTGGTTTCTCTGGAGCTCTTTTCGTTTGCTCCCTCTATCACTCCTATGCAACGATGCGAGTGACACTTACGAACGGCAAACTCCACCTGTCGGCCCGTGAGACCCTTCTGTTATGTTGGCCAGGAGACTAACATCAGCAAACCGGGAAGTGTCTGTACAGACCTGGACAGACGTTTCAGAACCCCAGATGCTCCCAGCAAGTCCCCAATTAGACAGACACATGACTTCTGGCCAGGTGTCTGGACAGACATGTCTAGACATACAATGCCGGACACGCAAACACGGTAAACTAGCTAGCACCCGAACGGGGTTTTTTTTTTCATGCCAAACTAACTTCAGAATCAGACTCAGGGAGTCAAAATACGTCCAAAAACATCCTTCCGGAGTTTTTCCCACGAGAAATAGGGGGTGGCCAATATTTTGGCCGAAAAAAAATGAACTTATCTAGATTTCTGAGGCATTGCTGAGCCCTGTGCCTGCCAGTAAGTTATGCTGATGCAACATCACATCTACAGACATCATTGTGTATGGTCCGACCCTCCTATGTGACTTCTGCTTGCACACAGCCCATTCAGCAGCTTTCCCGGTCAACCCCATAGTATACATCTATAAATCACCTAAGTGATTGAAGAACTAATAGATGTGCTCAACTGGGTAGCTATTAAGGCATTTACATGCAGCTTGCTTTACAGTGTCAAACTTTACCTTATAGACTTCCCAATACCTATATTTATACTAACCCCGGTACTATAGAAATATTAATACACCATATATGGATCCTAGCTAGTAAGATTATCCCCTTCATCTTTAGTATTGGAAGAATTCCTAATAGCTAACTCTGCATTAGGCTGCTGATTTTAAAGGCCATTTATATACCTTTTTCTTTTCTTTTCACTAGAAGGGAAACCATGGTGGCAAGGGCTAAATATAATATTTAGAGTATCACATATAATAGATTGTTTATTTTTTTCTGTCCAGCACATTTATTTTTAACAAACCAATTGTCATCTAGAAAAAACTCCTCTATTAATTAGATCCAATTATTCAAAATGATAATCTAAGCTAATTAGAATATATTATCCATGATCAATTAAATAATCAAATCTGTAAGTAAATGTACTATCATAGTTCCCTTGGAATCTACAACCTAATTATAATTTTATATATTCCAAATCCAGATTGTATGAGTGCTATAATCTTATTTTTACCATATTCTTTATTTTTTATTGGTTTACTATATTATTGTTCAGTATCCAAATTCAAATATCAAAAGCCCTGATTTTTAGGGTATTTATTGACCCCTTTGTATATAAAATAGGTAAAAGATAAATATATAAGAAAATCAGAAATATTGAGATTGCATTATTTATATCAATATATTTAGGTTACCAGATAAATAACTTAGATCTTATAGCTTAGTGGTTTAGAGCACTAGTTTAGAGTGTGTAGGCATAAGGTTGTTAGTTTAATTCTAGAAATGGGCAAGTTTACTATAAGGTGTAATTCTAGTTCAATTAGTAGGCTTTGTATATACTTTATAATTAAAAGTGTAGTAATAGTAAAGAAACTATATGAATGGATTAGTTAATATTTTTCTGGAAATCCATATGATAAATTAGCTTTAATTAGCTCTAATTAGACCTTATAATTTCAGAATTAGAAAAGGGGTAAGCCCAAAATCCTTACTAATAATTAGTAAAAATTTAGCTATATTTATGCTTAACTATGGTTATATTAAGCCACTAGGCTTATTACATGCTATAAGTACTAAGAAAAATTCTCTAAGCTATTTAAATAATGACTATCTAATGAATAAAGACTATAGCTCTTCTTTATACTTGTGCAAGAAAGTAAGAATCACTATTGACTTTGTCTTTAAAGAGATAGAGAAAATAATTCTCAATAATTGGATGATAGTCATCTAAAAGAGCACTATCTTTTCTAATCCAATAGATGACTTCTAAGAGATTCTAAGAGATGACTTGAAAAGTGGTGTATTCTTAATATATAATAGTAATATAAGAGTGTATCTGGAAAATGCCTCTCTTGACTAGCATTGGAATCTTAAGTTATAAGAGCATAATTGTATGAGCATCAAGAGCCTTGTGCATTAGATTCCAGAATTGTTGTATAACTGTCAAATTTCTGGACACTATATATCTTGGAAAGAATGCCCAGCACTGGTGATCTCAATAGTATTTTATAGCTTAGGCTAAGCATGATATGTGCTTAATAGTACTAGAGATTAGCAAGAGTGGCTATGATAAGCTAATGGGAAGTTACTGTGGGCTGGCATTGTATCCTGGTGCTAGTACTGCTGCTAGATGAGATAGTGAGGGTGAAGGAAGTAATATGGACTATATCTTTTTGTATACAATTTACTTGAGAGTCAAGGCATTTGAGCTAGTTAAACATTCTAGACATGGTCCAAAGCTAAGTAGTGCTTTGAATATAGGTTGAGGACTCTTACCTGTCTACCTAGTGCTCCTAGCTAGACAATATTTGGCAATAGCCCCAAACCTGCCAAAGACCAGTGTAAAACATACTAAATATTCTTTGTTACATCAGAGAAAAGCTCTATATTAAATTAACTATAGTTAAGCATAAATATAACCAGATTTTACTAATTACTATTAAGGATTTTTAGCTTATGCCTTCTTTAATCCTGAAATTATAAGGTCTAATTAGAGCTAATTAAAGCTAATTTATTATATGGATTTTCAGAAAAATATTAACCAATCCACTCCTATAGTTTCTCTACTATTAATATACCTACAATTATAGAATATTTATAAAGCTCATGAATCAAAATAAAGTATCTTAAACTTGCCCATCACTAGAATTAAACCAACAATCCTATGCCTACATACCTCAGACCAGTGCTCTAAACCACTAAGCTATAAGATCTAAGTTATTTACCTAGTAACCTAAATATATTAATATAAATAAAGCAATCTCAACATTTCTGATTTTCTTATATATTTATCTTTTATTTATTCTATATATAAAGAGATCAATAAATATCCTAAAAATCAGGGCTTTTGATATTTGAATTTAGGTACTAGACAATAATATAGTAAACTAATAAAAAATAAAGAATACAATAAAAATAAGATTGTAGCATTTACACAATTTGGATTTGGAATATGTAAAATTGTAATTGAGTTGTAGATTCCAATAAACTATAGTAGGATTGACAATATCATATTTACTTATAGATTTGATTATAAAATTGATTATGGATAATATATTCTAATTAGCTTAGATTAGTATTTTGAATAATTAGATCTAATTAAAAGAGGAGGTTTTTTTAGATATAAATAAAAGATGATCAATGAAGATATACATATGGAAGGCAATGCTAATTATAATTGCTGCTTGCTATACAATAGACTAGAAGAATAGGTCAAACAAAATATCTTCTAATGTGGGAGAAATCAGTTGAAAAGTGACAGGCATTGTCTTCTTTGTCTCTGGCCTAATTGAAACACTATGTTTGTAAGTGGACACAAGGCTTTATACTTATTCTTGTATTTTTATTTTGATCTGATATTGGTCTAAGTGCACCAAACACAATATGTTTTATACATTCCTACATACTGTAAGATTCTAAAATTAGAGCATAGTTGCCACAATTAAGAAATGTATTGGTTTTTGAACCGGCAAATAATAGGATGGTAATATACTATCAATGACTCTGTATGCAAAAACACAATACAAAATACATTACTAAACACAGGGTAGGTAGAGAGCTAACTTTACTATAAATATCAAGAGACCTTTGTAAGTTGCAAGATAGAGTATGAGATATATACTATAAGATATCAAAATATCAAGTAAGATAATGCAAGGCTATATGAGAATGCTCTTATATGATACAAGGTGGTGGATTATATATCAAGGTATGAGTGACCAAGGCAACTTTAAGGGCAGCAATAAAGGCCCTGATAATAGCAGCAATAAAGGTAATAAGTAATAAGTCAAGTAAGACAAGAGTGATATTAATGCAATGTGATATGAGCAAGATCTTCTTGCAAAGTTGAGCTCTAAACAAAGGGGTATTTGAAACTAGTATATTACAGTGTCATAGGCAGGTATTTATAGTAAGTCAAAGTGAGCATAGTAAATGTGAGCTTATAAGGTAAAGTAAACCAATATTGCACCAAGACTATAATATAAAAAGATAAAGAAAAACCATGCACAGAGGTGCTCATAGACTATGAGGTTCTGTTATGCTATGGTTGAGAGACAAAGTAATATTTAGTAAAGAGGTATAGTGATAATATACTAGGGGTGTCTCTAAGTGCTGGACACAATACTAAAACAACCTCTAGAGTAGGGAGTGCTAGAGCTAGTATCTGATATACAAAGAATCATTAGTGATGACTTTAGAAATTAAAGGTACACTGAGAAGCAAAAGGAAATGTGAGAATATAGTGCCTAAATAGTTTTGGGACTGTGCTGGACACTGACCAAATGTTTGGTTGGTCATGTTGGGGATTTGGTTAGTAATGAGAAAGTAGTGCTGCAACTGATAATTATGTGCTTTAAGAGCCATATGGGACTCTGACAATATATGAGGGAGGACAAGGGGTATGAGCAAAGAGATGAGTATAAACACAAATGAGGCTGAATAATGAGGATGACAACTTTTTAGGAGTTGATGAAGACAATTTCAATGGTTGAGACAAGTGCAAATGAACTCTAAAATATGGGGTGCAAAAGCTGGTTTATTCCAGAGTTGTGTGTAGGTTTTTATAGTTAACTGAGCCTCTAAGTAAAATATCAAACAAGAGATGAGAGTAAATGTTGAACAGGCACTAAGCCTTAGCAAATAGAGAAGATAAGAAGATGGGTAAGATATCTATATGGGTTCTAAAAGTGATAAGGTAGAAGTTAATTAGTGATAGTGAACTCCTGACTGTTTGGTATCCATTGTCCAAGTGTAGGTAGCAGGAACAGGCATTAGAGAACCAATGAAAATAAAGAAGAAGTAATGTACAACTAGGGTGGTCAAGTAATAATACAAGATCACATTTGA